TCCTGGATAACCGGCTTACACCGCGGCAATGGGATGAACTCGGACACCTCCATGACCAACTCGAGACATTCTACGAAGCCACAATCATGAACGAAGGGAGGCAGTGGACTCTTGCGGATCATTTTCAATCGTTGGATTGGCTAATTGATGAAATCCAACTTGCTCGGCAAAAATTTGAACAACTTGCTGACGATGCCCTCCGCAGGCGTGGCCCGAATCAGCAGGATACCCAAAGCGAAGTCGATGACTATAATTGGCTTGCTGCGGCAGCAGAAGTTGCCTGGAAGAAATGCGAGAAGTACTACAACAAGGCTGATGATTCGCCCGCTTACTACGCCGCTATATCGTTGAATCCAACCCTCAAGAATCAATGGTACCATCAGGTTTGGAATGAGAGCGATGATAAGCGTGCCTGGATCCAGGCAGCGGTTGGGGCTGTCAAAGAGCTCTGGACTGAGGAATATCGAGGAAAGTTTGCTGGCGGAGCCCCAGTTCCTACTCACATCTCTAAGGCGCCGGAATTAAAGGAGAAATCGTTCACCTCGGTTCGGAATCACAAGCGGCTTAAACTACGCCAGTCCGACCCTAAAATTAAGTCATGAACTACCCTCGGTGGACCACTACAACGAGTTTATCACCACTGACGTTATCGGCCTTAAGGATGACGAAGAATTCGATCCCATTCAGTACTGGAATGAGCGCTACCACTCGCAGACGGACCTAGCTCGTATGGCGCTGGACGTGTTGGCCGTGTCTCCCATGTCGGATGAGTGTGAGCGCTTATTTAGCAGTGCCAAGCTCCTCCTTACGGATCGTCGTTCACGACTTCGGATGGACGTAATCGAAGCCAGCGAGTGCCTACGGGCTTGGTATGGACGCCCAGAGCGGAAGGCATTTGATAACTCCAGTATCGGCTTGATGGAAGACGAAGCAAGGGATGAGGCTGGGACCTGTGGGCGGGGTGCGGCAGGGGAAGAAGATGGCGGTGGAGATGACGGTAGTGAGGAGTCAAATATATTGGAGAACACTGCTGGTGAGCATACTTAATGGGCTCAGGGTTTAGCTAGTATCATGGGATCTTGTGTCGCAATTTCTGATGGATCTGGATCGTAGCATAAAAGATCTTGATTTTTCCTCTCTAACGACTGAAAAGAGGTCGGTTTCTTATACATAAGGTCAATAGGGCCGCCAGGGCCGTTGTGTTGAAGAACTTGCTTTTTGGGAGGCAGATGGTAACGTGCATGACAAGCATGTGCACCAAACAAGCATGTGCACCAAAAATCCGTCAATCTCTCCTCTTTCCCTCTGATCAATTGTTTCTCAACCACAAAACATGTCACAGTCAAATAAAGAGGCAAATATCCTTCTTGCCCTTCAAGCTCTTCAAAATAACTCATCATTAAGTCTCAGACGCGCCGCAAGGATCTATGAAATTGATTATTATGCCCTACGTCGCCGACAGAATGGCATTCTTTCTCGACGCGATTGGATCCCTAAATCACGCAAACTATCAAATCTAGAGGAACAGATCATTATTCAGTTCATTCTCGACCTAGATTCGCGAGGATTTCCTCCGCGACTGCGTGGTGTGGAAGAAATGGCCAACCGACTGCTCGCTGACCGCGACGCGTCACCCGTCGGCAAGCGCTGGGCTTCCAACTTCGTCAAGCGACACCCAGAGCTTAAGACGCGTTTTTTTCGCAAATATGACTATCAGAGGGCTAAATGCGAAGATCCGACTATTATTCGCGACTGGTTTACGCTTGTGGCGAACACAATCGCGAAATATGGTATCACCCTTGCTGATATTTACAACTTTGATGAGACTGGCTTTATGATGGGTATGATCGCAAGCGGAATGGTCGTCACAGGCGCAGAAAGGCGTGGAAGACCGAAATCAGTCCAGCCTGGAAACCGGGAATGGGTTACGGTCATCCAGGCTATCAATGCGGAAGGCTGGGCGATCCAGCCGTTCATCGTGGTTGCGGGCCAATATCACCTCGCCAGCTGGTATCGAGAAAGCAACCTCCCGGGCGATTGGGCCATCGCCACGACCAAAAATGGCTGGACTGACAACGAGACGGGTCTTGAGTGGATCAAGCACTTTGATCAGCACACAAAGACCCGATCAAATGGTCGCTATTGCCTTCTGATCCTCGATGGGCACGAAAGCCACCACTCGACCGGCTTTGAGACATATTGCGAGGAGAACAACATCATCACGCTTTGTATGCCACCTCATTCGTCTCATCTACTCCAGCCTCTTGACGTCGGGTGCTTTGGGCCACTCAAAAAGGCGTACGGTCGGGAAATAGAGCATTTGATTAGATGCTCTATAACCCACATTTCAAAGACCGAGTTCTTTCCGGCCTTTTACGCTGCCCACCAAGCCGCTATGACAAAAGGCAATATTCAGGGAGGTTTTAGAGGAGCCGGGCTTGTTCCTTTAGACCCGGAAAGTGTCATATCCAAGCTTGATGTGCAGTTACGGACTCCAACACCTGTTGAGGAGGAGGCGAGCCTCCCCGACCCTTGGGTTCCAAAGACCCCAAAGACCGTCCTTGAGGCTAGCTCTCAGTCTGAATACCTCAAAAGACGAATTAGAAGGCACCAGAGCAGCTCCCCGGCATCTATTCTTGAGGCACTTGAGTCATTTTCTAAGGGAACAAAGGCAATAATGCATCAGATAGCATTACTGAAGTCTGAGAACCAGATCCTTCGACAGTCAAATGAGGTACTTAGCAAGCGGCGTAGAGCAAAAAGAACCCGCCTGCAGAATAGAGGGAAGATGACTGTAGATGAGGGAAGGGAAGCAATTGATCAGAAGGATGTTGGTATGCAGGTAGTGGCCGAATCATCGAGAAGTGGTGGTCAAAGAGGATCGGCGCGACGGAAGGAAAGCCGTTGTGGAACATGCGGCGAGACCGGGCATAACGCAAGAACATGTCAGATCGTTGTTGCGATGTCTGGAGAGGAGTATAGCGATTAGTCTCAATTGATTAGATGCTTTGTTGTGTTTTTTTGCTATGTTTTATCTTAAAGGTTAAGTGAAAGTGGTGCACATGCTTGTTTGGTGCACATGCTTGTCATGCACGTTAGCTGATACCAACCTCTGACTGGAAGACTGGAAGCTCGGACCTCCGGGCAGCGGGTCTGAACAGCTAGTCTGACTAGCTGGAAGACCTTCCTTCCGGTTTGATCAATTATATAACGTTTTGGTCTGTTGGATGTGACATCTTGTTCTGCATCATATATCCTCGACGTTTATTCAGCGGCTTACTAATCGTCCCAAAAGGGTAAAATTATGATCTGGATCGGTTCTGGATATCCAGGAGGCAGCATGCCTTCGCATCTGGACTGGATTGGAGCGACCCTCGGATCCAGCTCCAATCCAATCCAATAAGATCACTGGCCGCATTGCTTCCTCCTGTATGCAAAGGGATGCATAAGTCTAAGCTCATACGTCACGCACCGGCGAGGCAGACTTCGGGGAAGCCGATGCAGGAGACGTGAAGCTGCGGTGCATGATAATGAGAGAAAGGCGTGACTCATGACCAGGTTGCAGGCATCAGCTTGGACTGAGACTGTCCGGCTGGTCAGTTCTGCCGCCTGAAAACAAGGGCACGCATGGTCTCTACAAGTGCATTACTCTACGAAACTCAAGAGTCGTGAGAGACTCTAGAACGTTATTGGCGGTGGATGTTAATTCTACCTAATGACTTGGTCGCCCTACGTCTCGATGGAGTTCAATAGGCGGAGAATGGCCTGCAAGCTGAAGGAGGAACGGGGCCAGGTTTACGCAGTTGTTTCCAGGACGACGTTGGCAGGGAATTAGGAACAATGATGTTAGGTGGTTAACCTAGACAGCCAGGCCAGGATGTAGTTTGAATGCAGTGTTTCAACATGTGATGTCTTTTTTCTCCCTTGTTAGCTGAGTGCTTGATATGCCATCATCAAAGCTCTCAGTGAGCTTCGCCTCTAAAGCCGTAAGCTCACGATGCAGGACCTGCAGTATGCTGAAAAGTGATTAGCTCATCTTGGTCGGCCCATGGGTTTCATCTAATAATCTCTCCTTCATGTTCGTCATCCGAAATTGCTGCATCCCGCAGAGTTGCCGACGAGAATGCGGCGTCGTCATGGTCTGGGCCAATGACTTGCTCTTGTAGTACTGGGATGTTTATGTACCTGTCACCATGTCCCGTTAACTTAGCTGGGAGTCCAGCCCCGTAATATCTTATGTAATTCACTATCAATCTAGAGGGAGTTTAGTATCCAGCGACACCCTCCTTAGCCGATTTTTTAATGTTTGCGATATAGACAAAATGTTTAGATAAGACAACAGGCTTGACACTGATAAGCTTCGCCCGGCATGATCTTATCACCAACTTTTATAAGGAACCAGAGTTAACCCATACTAAATGTTGGGGATATCTGGCCGCCTGCAGAGCCAGACTATCTTTTTTGAGAGAAAGGGGAGTCTCGCATAACAGCAATTAATATTTTCGTGTAATGATATAGGAGACGGCCAGACTGAGCTAGATCTTCTGCAAAGAGGTTAAATGGTGTGAATTGAGACTCGTGACCGTGCGTCAACATGCTCAGCACAGTGACGTGAAGTTTATCGGCAGACTCCAAGATAGAGTAGGCCGACAAGACGAAACAACCTAGCGGGGATGATATCCAAGGGACGACGGGCGATCCCTGAAGCTCCGAGTCAGGGACCATAGTACAATGCATAGAGCCTTTTAGGATAGAGAAGAGGATAGGCTGGAACTACGAACTGGGCAAGGGAGCAATCATTAGGGACACTAGGCCTTAGAGCAAAGTATTATTATCTAAAGAGTGAAACAAATAAATACAAACTGATGTCCCTGCTGATACCCTATCTAACCTCCTCCTAGACGATCTGGTGGTGGATGCTTTATTGACGAGCAGAATATCGAGGCACAGGGCTATTCCTTTCTTAGCCGACGACAGTATCATTCCACTTCCTGCGAGAGCTATCCTATGTCGTTTGTACTCCTCCTTGTGCTCGCTATAGTTGGCGGTGATTTATCGGCGACCCCAGCCTCTTTTAAAATCTGCCTATACCGGTTGCGTTCACTTTGGTAATCGTCTCGCTCGCGTGTCAACTGCTGAATCTACGCCTAAATTTGTAGCCGCTTATCCTAATGATGGAGCTGGCGGCATATATGGTTGCCCGCGGTGGTCGTGGTAGATGCGACGATCCTGAAATGCGCCGCCGATCTGGGTTGCACTCAAAGCGGAAAAAGTCGATTAAGCTGTAAGCCAATCATCTATTTCCAGTTGCGCTGACCATGGAACCCTCAGGCAATGTAAACAGGACTCCGCCGCTCCAGGTCCGATGCTTAGGTAGCATACCAGCCGGAGCAAGCTTACTCTGCGAATTTGAGGGCAGCTGTGCGGAGTTTAAGTCATGAGGAGGTCCCGTCACAACCGCCAAATGCTCCAAAGGTGGTTTCACGGACAGCGTGGCGGGATCTGACGTGCCAGGATCAAAGATAAAGACGTTTCGTCGCTCCATGCTACGGTAGCCTTTTATGCTGATCAAGACAAATAGACGTCGTTGTTGTCACTAGCACAGCCTTATATAAAAGTGTTGCTGCCATCTAGAACCTTCCACAACCCCACTCCAGCTCCACCCAAACCCTCTCCACAGTGCGGGCAAGCGATTGGGCGGAGATTCGTAAAGAGGAAGGAAAAGACATCTCTCGAATTGTTACATTTCTAGAATCTTCAGTGACCACTGATCTGCCGCCATGCAAGAGGGTGTACAAGGAGTCTTTCACAAGGATCATTTGAGTCCTAAAATAGCTGTTGGATCCTTCAGGAGCCGAAAACGGCCACCGTCGTAGCCGCTCCAGAATCAGCACATCCATAATTCGCTAACTCAGAAGTAGGGACCAGGTTTTCAGACCAGCTCTTTGCTTTACGCTCTGCGCTCACTTAGGCCGGATGCTTATCGATAGGCCAACCCTCCTTTCACTAAGCATATCTGCCTCTTGTAACTAAATATTATTACTAGCAAGAAAGGAATTTTTGAAACAACAGCCATTTATAGCGCCGCAACACCGCTCCAAAAGGTCAATTGGATAGCCCAGTGTCTGCCGCATCACCCAGTGCGATTTAGGCATCATGGCGACCCCGTGGCCCCAGGATGAAGTCTGGCCCACCGACTACTGAGAGTACGCTACAAATTTAAGCAAATATCTTTTAGAGAGCGCTGTTAAGTATCGACAATAGAAATAACTAACCCCTCGCGCCTTATAGGGTTAAAATCGCGCCTATTAAAGTGCTTTCTATTATTATCAAATTACAGAGTAACGTATACGATAAGCAGAACTTATCGTTGGTGCGTTTTGCTTAGTAATTTCCGGAAAAGCGCAGGGATTTCCGCCTGACTTCAGATCAAATTATGCCCTTACCCATCCCTACCCCTGCTTTTCATCCAGATCATTCAGAGCATCTAAAAAAATTATTTACTAGATGATTTCATACGGCAAGTTAAGTAGGTTAATTTATTTTTTATTTCTAGATTGATTTGCGGGAGAAACCAAGCTCGTTTTTATCGTCTCTAATATCTGGCTCCTGGCCCCTCGTGGGCACGTACAGTCATCGCCGGCAGCGGCTCTTCTTCTTCTTCAGCTCATCCGCAAGGCATTTCAAGCTCCGGCTCGCCCGTAGAAGCTCTAGCTCGGCGATAGCCTCATCCTCGCTTTGGCCACGTGCGATACGGGCTTGGATCTCATCCCAGATCACCTTACGGCGGCAAAACTGAACGCGGATCGCATTCCCAGGGCGCCAGCGACTTCCCCACTCCTTCTCTAGCTCCCGGATAGGCGGCTGGCCTCCATATCCTTCCTTCCACTGCTCCCATACGTCCTGAATAGTGTATGCCTTAGCTAGAGCCGTAGAGATAGGTATCCCGGCTTCTGTTGGTGCTGCCGGCAGCTCTGCTGCTGCCGCTGCCGCCGCCGTTGCTGCTGCCGTTGCCGCTGTTGCTGCTGCTGCTGCCGTCGCTGCCGCCGCCTCCGGCTGGCCAAAATAGCCTATTAAATTAAGAGGGACGCGGCCCTGAAGCAAGGCACCGAGGTTCTCTTGTATAAAGCAAAGCCGTCCTTCCAGCCGCCGCTCGATACCATTTGCTAGCCGGTTGCTATTCTGAAGGATAGCATCCCGGGAGCTTTCGAGCGCGGAGCTAATCTCTGGTAGCGCGCGCTGTAAGAGTAAGCTTGGCGGCTCGCCTACGGCGACGCTCGAGCGGACTGTGAGGGCATACTCATTCCAGTCCGGGCCGTAGAAGGGAGCGCGGGCAAAGAAAGGGAGAGACGGATAGCGTGGCTGGAGCACGGCAAGGTCTTGGAGCAGAACTATCCGTAGGCGCCGTAGGAGCTTGATAAAGCCGTCTGCCGCGAGGTCATCGTCGTCGAGGCCGCCTTCGGTCCAGCGCTGCCGCTGTGCCCGTGCCTCGAAGCGGGCCTCCCATTCTTCGATCCAGGGCCACAGCTGCTTCTGGAGCAAGAAGGGCGGCTCGTACGAGGCGCGGGCAAGGAAGTAATCGCCGCTTCCAGAGGCCGAGAAGCCGGCCACGACCCGCATAAACTGCCGCGGGAGATGGGTGAGATAGGCCTTCACGAGCATGCTCTGGTTCCAGCGGCCGGCCTGAGAGATCTGGGCTAGGGACGAGCCATGGGTTTCGGCATTCTGGGCTCCCGTACGACGCGGCAGATGCGTCTTCTTGGCGGAGACGATGCCGGCGGCTCCAAAGACCCGCCATGTTTCCTGTAGCTGTACGGCGTACGAGATCTCTTGCTCGCGGTCGCGGCCGACGAGGACCTTGATCCTGTACCAGTCCTGCCGGCGCCGGAAGGACGGCGGCGCCTCGCCCGATATATGCCAGCGCCAGAAGAGGAGCTGCGCGAGCGCGCCTTGCGTGCAAAGAAGGGGGTCCTTATGCCGTAGCGAGCCCATAAATTCCTTCTGCGCCGTCTTATTCATCTTGCCGTCTTGGAGGAGGCTAACTAAGCAGCCGCAGAGCGTCGGGCCTTCGGAGGGCGGGTAGTCGAGGAGGGAGAGGTCGGCAAGCTCTAGCTTACGCCGGTTCTCGCCCCGGAGAAGGTAGTAGTGGCCGAAGAGAAGGTCCACGCGCGTCCGCAAGCTCTGGTGCGGCGTAAAGACCGAGCTGCTTAGCAAGACGTCTTGGATACGGAGCCATTCCGTGGCTGAATAGCCGGCTTGGATGCCATCCGTGCCGCGGTCTTGAAAAGTCTCCCGGTCAAGCCGGCCGCGCTGCCGGCCACGCTGTTCCAGGAAGCCCCGTACAGCTATGCCACGCGGGTTTTCCGTATTGCGGTTCCCGTGGGCTACTTGCACCCTCCAAAGCTCAATCACGGCAGCGATGTAGGCGTCTACCGTGCCTCTTGATAATAGAGTGCCTTCTTCTTCTTTTTCTGTAGCTGTAGCCGCTGCCAGAGAGACTGGGGGTATGTAGCCTTCTCTATCGTCGCTAAGCAGCTCCACGGCTTCAGCTATGGGCACTTCTAACCTCTCGGCCAAAGCCTCCGCCTCAGCAAGAGCTTTAGCGTCTTGCTGCTGCTGCTGCTGCTGCTGCTGCTGCTGTTGCTGTTGCGAGCCGGCTTTGCGAGGCGTTTTGGGCTTCTTGGGGGGCACGCGCCGCAAGAGGATGTCTTCCTTTAGCCATGCAGCCAGCTTATCTGGCGTCACGAGCTCGCCATCCGGCCAGCAGTAAGAAGTAGAGCCGTCTTCGGCTACGCGAGGCGTAAGGCACCACTTCTTCCACTCTCGCTGCTTCGCTGCGTAGCTCCGCGCTGTATTGGCGGGCTGCTCGTCCTTCTTGGCTTGCAAGCCGGCCCTACGGGCCTCCCGGGCCCGCTCGTCAGCCGCCAGATAATGCCCGTCGTCCATAATAATAGTGACGATAATAACGATAGATGATACTGATGATGCCGATAACGAAGATGAATGACGCGCGGATGATAAGACGCATTAGATGCGTTTGTTTTGGTGGGCAGGGCTTATCACTCCCACTTATCATGCCAGGCACGGGCGGATTTCCCCTCATTTCCCAAGGCAGAGCGGATAGTGTGGAGAAGGCGGTTACATAAGCGGTTGGATTTCCCCCCGGTTTCCCGCGCCCTCGATAAGCGAGTGTCCCAGACAAGCAAGTGTCTCACTCAGATTTTCACCTAAAATCGCGATTTTAAAATAATTCTTAAAAACTCAAACTAACTCTAAAATAGCTATAGTTTTAAGTATAGCTTAATTATAATATATATTATTTTTATGAGCTTTCTTAAGCTATATATATATATAGCGCTAGTAGTATAAAATTCGCACTGTTTTTTTTACTATTTTTATTTATAACTAGCTTAATAAATTAGTTAGAAATATAAAGAAAATACTATTTTATAACCTTTTGTCTTAAAAGTTTAAAATTAATTTTTTAGAAATTTACTAATTAAATAGCCCGTTTTAGAAAATCTAAAATGTGTACTTTTAGCTGTACAGTATAGGTGGGACACTCGCTTGTTTGGGACACTCGTTTATATTATTAGCAACACTGACATCATTTGATCAATCATCTCTGCTATTGCATACAGCAAATTGCGTATCCAACAGATATGAATATGAATATATTCATGCATATTCATATAAGACGTTATTTGAATATTCATATAGCTATGTCTGGGCCCACTAGAACAGCTGCTGTCGGATAGCTTGCGTGGCACTTCAGATGACTTGATTGTGTGTATTGTATGTTCTCTCCGTTGCCCCTATTGTGATCGCTTGAGTGTATGTCTGTCGACTAAAAGTGGGGTCCCGAGGTATCTGCCCCAATAGGCAGTCTCGACCCTGGAGGTCACCATATGACCACCCGATCAGATGCTTTGTACATGATCCAATCTAACACGCCCCTTCAGCTTGAGGGCATCGCCGTCAAGCTGCGCTCTTCGTCCTTCCTCAGTTGTTCCAATTGATCGGAGAGATCGGCTAGCTTGAGTTGCTGGGTGAATTTGGCAAATGCCTCTCCCGGCAGGCTCTTCGTCAAGCCGTCAGCTAGCAGTTGCGTTGACGGGGTGTAGATCACTTCAATTCTTTCCTCCAATATCTCTTGCCTAAGCCAGTGGTTGTGAACATCAACATGCCTCAGCTTCGTACGTAGTTGCACCAGCTCTGCGGTGACTAGTCGGATAGTCTGCTTGTTATCGCATTCGATCGTAACTCTCGCAGGAGAGGCGACCGCTCGGCGAGCTGTTGGCGAAGATAAGTCGACGTTAAGTGCGGAGATGAGTCTGCTAGCAAAGAGGGCTTCTTTGGCTGCTTGGGATAGCGCTAGGAGCTCCGCTTCCGTGGTTGACGTTGTGACTGTATCTTGTTTGTTCGCTCTCCAAGATGTGATTCCTCCGAATAGCTTCATGACGAAGGCCTGTGAGCTCCGACGGTCCGCCGAATTGTCTGCGAAACTCGCATCGGAAGCCACTTGTAAGCCATCTTCTTCGCATCCGGGGATCGTGCCGTATTCGAGTGAAAGGCCGCCCGTTTCGATGAGATACCATAGGGCCCGATCGGCTGCTTGATGGTGCTGTGGCCCTGGGTTCTGGTTGAACCTAGCTAACCGGCTTGCGGTAAAAGCCACATCCGGTCGGGTCATCATGGCCGCGTACATGATCGTTCCGACTTTGCGTTGGTAAAGGTTGACGCTTCCTGGGCTAGCGATCTCGTCGTAGGGTAACAGTTCTTCCTGTATCATTGGAGTTATCGCTCGTAGTCTCGGCGGGTGATCGGCGAGCAGTCGGCGCATCTTGTCGATGTAGGAGGACTGTGAGAGCCACAGGCGACGGTTTCCTCGGTCTCGGATTACCTCGATCCCTAGGAACCACTGTAGGGGCTTGCCTCCTTCTAGATGATAGGTCTTCTGCAGGTCTTCTATTAGTGCCATTGCTTGGGGTTTGACCTGCCTAGGAAAGCAGAGGACGCAGTCGTCCACGTAGAAGAAGAAGATGATATCTCCATGAAGCCAGCAGCAGTCCTCGCCGGGCACTCGGCGAAAGCCCGCTAGCAGCAAGCCCTTCTCGAAGTGCTTTTGCCACAGAAGAGGCGATCGTCTGAGACCATAGAGGGCTTTCTGCAGCTTCAGGATCATCCCTGGCTTCTGATAGCCTCTAGGCATTTCCATATAAATCTCTTCATCGAGTTTCGCGTGTACGAAGGCGTTAACTGCATCGTATTGCAACATATCGTAGTCGAATCGGTTCGCTATTGCCACAAGGGTCCTGAATGACATGCCGGCTAGAGTCGCTGCGTAGGTCTCTCGGCTGTCGATCGCTTGCTGGTCGCCACGCACCACAAGGCGTGCTTTGATCTTCAGGAATCTTCCGTGCTTATCGAGCTTGTAGACATATACCCAGTGACAGCCGAGCACTCGGCGACCCTTCGCCGCACACTTAGCGACTTCGATCCACGATTGTGATTCTGCGTGACTCTGTAAGTGAAGTCTTTCCGCTTCGAGCAGTGCATCCCTGTATGGATGGCTGGCTATCTTCGCATGCGAGCTAGGAAGTGGCTGCAACAGGCGCCAAGGTGTACTAACCTTAGGTCGCCTTTCCCCCCTAGATGTAGAGCTCTCCCTATCCCGCGGGGCTTCTCGCTTTCCTACAGTCTTTGTAGAGCTCTCCCTATCCCCTTGGGTTTCACGCTTACCTACATCTAGTGTGATCTGAGGGCAGACTTCACTTCCCCCTGTAACGGGTCAGGCCCACTTGGCTGGCGGCTCTGCCGCCAAGCCTGAATTCTTCTCCACAGCGCCATCGAGTTGATTCTCGAATCTTCTATATTAAAGAAGATATAACGCGTCTTCACGCACCCAGTTTGTATTTACATTCTTTCCTTTCTTCATCTTGAAAGTAAACAGCATAGGGACTAGTTAGTTGAATCAACTCGCTAGAGGCCTTTCACACCCAGCCTTATCGGAACGTGAACTCACACGACTTCGCGTTCGAGCCTATCGTGCCCGCCAACACTTATCGAGAATACCGCAGACTGCCCAGCCCCAGGATGATGGCCCTTTGTCAAACTGGATTGATTCGGAAAACCAATGTTCCGCCCAGGGTATTTCATGCCCTCCACAGAACGATACAACTTCGCCTGTCCCTTTTGATCAAGGTGACGACGCACAACAGGCAGCAAGTGATTGGAGACAAACTCATTCCAGCTCTCCGGCCTCTCCGATGACTTCAGACTTTGGCTTCGCTCCGCTAGGTACCAGTGGTCACTTCCCCATAGCGGATGATCCCCATTCGGTTTCACCCGACCGCTCGTCAAGGGAGAGCCCAACCTCGCCAATCGGTCTTGCCGACCGGGTGCACGTAGATCTTCCATACCTCAATCGCTTTATCGAAGCTCTTCGAGCTCAGGAGACACGGTGCGGCCTTGACTTCCTTGAGTCACAAACCACGACATATGACCGTATTTTTCAAACATTCTTTGCTGTCGAGTGTCACTGTGAGTCCGTCCCTCCACCACATCATATGTCCCTATTCCCATCGTCTGATAGGAGGCTTCCTCAGGTTCAAGTTCGCATGAGATTCATGATCATGCACGGGCTCACACCCTTCAAGGAAGGGCGCGGTTCCTCCAAAGTTCATTACCACCGCTCACGACTATCTTTGACGAGCGTTTTGCCCATGAAGCCACCAAATATCTTCACCAATGGAAGGAATTCCTTTCCGATGAACCTGCTGAGCCTCTATCTTTCCATAAAACCGAAGCTACTCTGCAGCATGGTCCAGTCCGCGTCGAACGGCGGTGGGACGTCGATAGTATTTGGTTTGGGCCCAAGAGCCTGCAGGCTGTCCGCCAACCCGGCATTTTTCGCTTGTCTTTTATGCCTCCATTCAAACGCAATCTGTCCACTGACCAGGTTATCCGGCCTCACGGCATTGATCTCGCCACTACTCGACATATTCTATTCAGTGTGTCCATCAACCAAGTAAAGCAAAAATTAGACCCTTTGCTTTGCTTGGTTGATGGCACCCCTCTGCTTGACTTGGTTTACTTGATGGGAGGTCCTTGCTTTACTTGGTTGGTTGACATTGCTCGACTGACTAGTGTCTAGTTTTATATATATATCCCCCCCCCTTCCCCCCCTTTTTTTTTTCTCTCCCCCAACTTCACCCTGGCAGTAGATCTACGATAACATGCCGCTTCGAAGCAAGTGCTTCTGGCATTCAATCGCTGCTACAGTGTCCGAACTGAGCGCCATGCCTGTAGATTGCTGAAGGCTGGGACTTGGAGTTAATGGCGCGCTTATGGGGCTGGCGATATCGAATGGATGGCACTGGCTTCCTATCATAGCGGATATTGTCCCAGTCGATAGGGAAAGGGCATTGAGCGGCCTTCGGCATCTCTCTTTCATGAGAAAGCGTTGAAGGAGAAGGCCCATCATCGGACACGTTGGCCGGGGTTGAGGCGGCGCTAGGAGTGCTCGACTGGGCGGAATTGAGTGACTGAGAGGGTGCCCTAGGAGGGGGGTCTTTCCAAGCCTTCCATGGGGCTAAAAGAATGGATGCGAAGACATATTTTGCTCAGTGTTTGTGTGATTAGAATAATGGTTGATTGATTGATTGATGCTTTTCCGCCCTGTAGGCTCATGGTTTGCTGCAAGTTTTTGCGAGCGAAAAACTGAAAGATAGCAGCCAATCAGGGTGTGCTGGCCTTGCTGTTCGCCCAATCAAAAGCAGGCGTTTTAGAAGACTTGCCTAATACGGCAACCTAGTCGAGTAACCTCAAGTAACTCCGAGTAAGCGAAAGGGCCTTGCTTTGCTTGGTTGAAGACCATCTTTACTTTACGGGGACCCCTTCGTGCACCGCCCCGTACACGCACCGCTGAGTTGATTAGTCAGCAATAGCCCCTATAAATCCCCCCCCAAATGCCCTAAGGGCCCTATAACAGCTAGCACCTATCCGTCTTACTGTACCTGTCGGCGGTCGGTGAACCAGCAGCCGACACGCCGACACGCCCGGTCCAGCTTCGGCCGAAATGCGGATGTACCATTATCACTTATCCTCCATCAGGAGAAGGCATGAGAACTTCGGCATCGCCTTGACATCCTTGGTCAAGCCAGGCACGGTGCCAAATTCAACCTCCCTATCGCCGACTTTAGCCCCGTCCGAGAGTGTGAATTGTAATAAGTTACAGGTGTTCCTGTCGACGGTCCTGTTTCCTGTCCAAATTGGGTCACGTGTTACATCCTGTGCACGGACTTGTCTATGATCGGCTGCATCAACTTGGATGTTTCAAAACACAACACTCTCCTTGACGTGTGGCCAGTAACGCTTTTAGGAGATCAAGACAAAGCTTGGGAAACGGACCTGTAACATAGTAGTAATTTCCTATTGGCAGGAAGCCACCGGGCGTAATAAATTGTGTGTGTGTGTGTAGGAAGTCCTGACACACGTCGGGAATGAGACACTTGAGGTTGCCGGCATGATCAACGACATGCTCATAAGTTGGGAAAAGATGCATCAACAAAACTCCATAGGATAAATAAAGAGTTGTTCAAGAAACAAAGATGGTGAAACACACAACGGTGGTGCTGCCAGAAATAAAACGACGTGTCTTCACTGCCACCCAGATGGAGCCAAAGCCATATGCCGTCCTTTGCCATTAAAAGTAGGGGAATGAGATAACTGCACTCTTTCCTTTGAACCCGCAATCACCTTTTCTCGCCATTTTGCGCTTAATTTGCCATTATAGTACGTCCACAAGCGCGGCAGAATTTGTACGTCTTAGGCGCAGTAGAGCTTGATGCAATCGGGCAATGGGCGTTCATTGAACACCTCATACTTCCCGCCCTTCTCCGGAGCAAAAAGTCGAAGTCCCCTGTCCTTGGTTTGTGTCCAGGTCTGCCTTTCCTGTGAGGAAAGAGACGCGTCTCTCTCGATGGACTTTGAGAGTCCATTGACACATTTCTTAGGAAAAGTTCGCGTTGCGAGCTCCATCAGTTGGAGATCGTGTATACCAGCTAAGTCGATCTGAAAATGAGTATGTAGTGCATCCGAATCGTTACGAACATCGAAGAAAACGTTGGGAATGAGTTCAGATTCCAATATTGCTTTGAGAGTGCGGCCATTTCTCCCGGGTGTCGAAAAACACTTGTCGCGGAGCGTGTATACATAAATCAGATAGGTACGCTTGGCAGGGAGGATGTAAATTTGCAGGATTGAGATAGTGCAGTGTCGAGAAAGGTTGATACCTTCAAGGTCGATAAATATTGATGGTGGCACTGTTGGTAGTCCGTCGAGAGAGTCGACCATTCCTGACAAGGTAGCCGTATTATCCACAAAAACCAGACTAGGCGTATCATCGAGACTGATTCATCAAGTTGTTTTGTGGCAATCTCCAGACTCCACGCTTTGTTCTTCATGTCCGCGTTCGGGGATGTCGACATAGCGGGTGTTTTTGGTTCTGCCTTGGGTGAGTACATACACATTGATAAGACAACCGAACTCACGACGTGTGTTAACGCCTTGGCAACTTAGGAAGGAACTTGGTGCTAAACAGGCAAGCTTGCCAAAGAATTGGTTCCTGGCACATCTAATAGTAGTTCGGTTACCCCAATTTATGTACGAGCAAGTGGGAACGGCTACCTTAGCAAGCGATGGTTGGTACGTACTGTTAGTACATGCTCTTTCTGGGAGATTCGGGTGGGTCAGTTGTTTAGTATTGCTGGTGACTCCATGACTTTCTTTTCTTGGATGAAGCAACACTATACAGGAAATCTGCCTCCCGCCTTTTCGAATGTGAACCACCTAGTAGCAGCACAGCACTTGCGACTGACGGCACGCACGATTTGAATTCGGACGCCTTCCAACAGCTGGCAGACTGTGATTTGGTCGTCTGGAGCGGCTTGCCTCCTGCACGGACTGCTATCGGCTGCCAGAGGGATAAGGACCAGCAGATTCAGGCGGGGTGTCTCAGGTATGATACGCACGAGAAACATATGCTCACGAGGATTCGTCCTCTTACAATTGGAAGTACAATGCCAGTGGACATCAGAGACAATGCAGCCCAACGGATGTTTCCTGAGGCCCACTCTCAGAGCGGCCCAGGCAGCCTTCTCTGGACTCTGTAGATTTACATGTCTTGGTGAGAAATCTGCGTCGATCAACGAGACGAAAGCCTGGCGTGCGATGAAGAGGCGAGGCCTGACCAGTCATTACTCAACTGCTTCGAAAGATCACATCCCGCACGTAGCGGAAGGCTTGAGTCTCATTGCTCTTGCTGTTATTGACTACGTCCGTAATGGCTTCCGACAGCCGGGATCCTCCAGCACGACATGAATCTGACCTCCACCATTGTCAGCACATTTACCGAGTTCGGTCAGTCACACACTAGTCACACTCATACAATGAAAGTATCCCTGACCCTGACGGACAGCGAAGGGAACACCAGTTGAGCACTATATTGGATAATGTAAAAGAAATCCTTATGACCATCTGGCAGTCTTCTTCTCTTATCATATCTTCTCACTGCCCATCGTCACTCGCGCCGTAGGTGTTTGATCATCCAGGCTTGCGATGACTCAACGTCTAGTTATGCGGGAGGCCCACCACACAACTGTTATGATATAGCTGCGCAATTTCGCAAGTCGGCAAACCAGATTCCCCCGGTCTCCCAAAGTCTTCTAGTAGATTCGGTGATATGAGACACATCGGGTGAAAATTATTGGTGAAGAATTGACCCGGGCAATGCTCCTTGTACGATGCAACAAGTACCATGATCCACCAGTGCGAGATTTTACAGGATCCCAAACCACAGCGATTCCCAGCAGAGCCATATAGAGAGGCGACTTAGCTTCCTGTATCAGTGAGGGGGAGGGCATCCATAGCCGAGCCTAACCTAGGAATATAAGTGAGTCAGAAAGTCTGTGTCAAACAGCGCTCGTTGTACAGCTTGGCCTCCAGTCCAGCGATAATTGACCACGCAAACACGACAACATGAACACAACCGCATCAATTCCAAAGTCCTCTAATTACATAGACCGTTTAGGCTGTCTCGCTCATGTCCCGAGAATATCTGAGGTCTCATGTGTATATCCTTCAACCATCTTCTGTATCGGAACTAGACAGGAAGCGACGGTGTGGGCAGTGTCATCGAGGTAAAAGGACCTTACAATACTGTGTCTACATCTAATGTTGAAAACTGAAGTTTTATAGGACAGAAGCCTCCAAAATGCTGCAGCCTCCGCCTCATTTTTCTCACCGGCTATCCAATCAGCATGCTCGCTTGAGTGTCCTTGTCCCATGCCGTGACTTGGCAGTTAGCTATTGGATGGATCTCTGAGCCTTGTCGCCTTGATTTGCTAGCACTGGCAGATATTCGTCTGGCCGTGTGAGATTTTGTGGAATAGGTCGCCAGGGTCGGTCCCATTTCGAATCAATATCCGTGCCTATGCATTTGAGGCCTCCCAAACATGCATGGCGGCCTGATGCCGGAGCTCGACCAACGTGGTAACGAGAAATCAGACAGTCAATTGAGAGATCACCCTCCACAGACCGGAGGGTCGCATGACCCAACAGCAGGTCGTCATTAACAAGTTTTACGCGGGTGCCTCGAGGATGCCTCAAGCAAGACAACGGCATTCCCTCAATAGCGCATCGACAAGCATGAATACTGTACAATACGGCACAGCCTGGAGGCGGTCCAATCTTTGAATCTCAGATCAGATGCGCTGTTTAAGAACCACTGTCTTCCACCCCCATCAAGCCTCCTCTCGACATAATAGACCATGAGAGGTGAACTACGGCCATGAAAGATCCCATAGCCAGCATTAGGGTCAAGTGCCAAAGGGTTACACTATATTCTCCCTGGGTTCCTCTCAACTTCATGTTTAAAGTGTCGGTGTGACTGGGCCAACAACCCACGTCAAAGTGAGGCATGTGGCGCGGGATATCTATGCAGTCGTATCATCTGTGTAAAATATGTCGGTTGGGCCGTTGCGTCCGAAAGAGTGCATGTACAGTAGACGTGGCCCAATGCCGATGATGTAACCTCCACATTACTTTCCGGGGGCGCCGGAGTGTGATACCATACCCTTCATAAAGATGTGGTGTCAATGAACTCAGCCAGTGTTGCTAACAATATAAACAATACGTATATGGCAATGTGGACCCCTCACAATATTATTGTATTGCCAAGTGGTGCGTGTTGTATTACGCCATATGATATTGGCCCATATTGTATAGTATTACGTGGCCCAATCCCCTTGTGCCAACATTTCTTCTCCTTCGGCAAAATACTGCTCATGATGTCATCAAGTCTGCACCACGTAACATGCACTTTCCAAATGCAATACGACTTAGGTAGTCACGCGCCTCAGCCCGAGAACTCACCCAGGGGAACACAGGGAGATACCACAACATTCCTAAGTGTAAGTAAAAATAATGATGCCCGATTTTACCACAAGCTACATGGCCTATTCGTGATTTCCTCTATGTAAGATAACATCCAAATATCTATTGGTATAGATAACAGTCGGTCACATGGACTGCATAATTATGGAGTATCTGTTGGTTGTCTCAAATAACTTCTGCATCCGCTGATTTGTACACGCTCAGAAGGTTCCTTTCACCGGCTGTGGCCGATAAGAATATGCAACAGCGTGTCCGCGATTACGGAGTACAGTTCGAACGATTTGGTCTTGACACCCCAAAGCCCCACAATTGTTTTTTCCATTTCCACGCGTTGGTCTGAGTATTTCACACAAGCAACCCTCAGGGCCTTAGTGATAACCGCTGTAGAGATGCAAAGTATCGCCTTTGATCAATGCTTATGGAAAGGAGACCCTTCATCAGTTAGATAGCAAGAATCCTCTGCTCCCCTCTGTCGGAAAGGGGAGGGAGAAAAGGCGGCGCTGCAGCAGTAGCTAAATTAGGCTAGGCTAGTTTGGCGCTACGTTATCTTGGATTCAAGCTTATTGCATCCCACGCTTATTACCCCGCTCAAATCACTTCTTGATCACCAAGACTTCATTGCAAAAAGCAGGCAACATAGCCAGATTCAGCTTCAATAAACACTCTTCTCATTCTTCATTCTCAATTCTTCACTGCTTGAGCATTCGTAACTATATGCTCAATTATTCTCATCCTGGAAAGCTTCAAGATGGCTGAACATTCCTACAGAGCAACACTGAGCGCTGAGGATCTCGCAAAAATCGCACGTTCGCCAGCAACTGTGCGGCAGGTACTCGCTTCGGGCACGTTATCTGTTGATCAAGAAATCATGGTCAGATCCCAAGTGGCGGACCTTCTCATCCTCCTGCACGAGCGAAGGGCGCAGCATCATCTATTGAGCGATGCCATGCAGCACCTAGGCACTATTCTGCGTCGTCTTCCACGAGACTCGCCAGATCGTCCCAAGTACTTGAGTAACCTGTCGTATGCAAAGATGTCGGAATACAAAATGACCAGTTCCCGACATGGTTTGGACGAGGCTGTGTCGTATGGACGACAAGCTAATGAAATGGCAGCGACCATTGACCTCTTCCATTGTGACCCAAACGTGTATCTCGACGTACAAAACAACTTGGGGTTCGCGCTCGCTCTACGATACGCTCTGATACAAGACCCCGAGGACCTCGACAGCGCTGTTGCATGCGCAAAAGAGACGTATGACAATGCTTCAAAGGACTCCAAATCGTACAATTTCAGTCTCAATAACCTTGCCTCGCGCCTCCGAATGAGGTATCTTCGAGATCAAAATCCAGATGATATCAACGAAGCACGAAGACTGGCCAATGAACTGAGATCGAGAACGACTGCTGGTACAACTGAGCACGCCGCGGCCGCTGCTCAACTAGGGATCATCAATGCCGACAAATTCAAACAGACGGACAAGCTTGAAGACTTAGACGAGGCTCTTAGGTGCTTGAAAAGTGGTCTGCCAGCTCAGCCCGATCGATATAGGACGCAGGCGCCCGCGCTCAGCCAAATCGTTGACCTTTATAGCGCGAGATATCAGAAAACGAACGAGGAACACGACATGAGACAACTGGCCATATTTTCTGGCCACCTATTCCTCTCGACCCGGCGAGGTAACCCCGCCCGAGGGGAGTATCTTCTCAACCATGTGCGCCATCTGTACAAGCTTGCAGTCACGTACGAGTCAGGTCGAGCCGTCAAGAGGACGATACGGGCAATGAGGGCGACTTTGGAATTCGAACCTCCCAGATTCCCTCAGAAGCAGGCTTGCCAAGGGGTACTCGCACATCTCCTCGCAGAGCGGTACTGCTTGACTCAGGAACTTGAAGACCTCGTCGCTTGTGTGGATCTCATCGAGGAACTAGTGACTAGCTACAATGAGGAGGCTGAAAATGGCGACTCTTCGAAAGGCCCGGTACAGATGTCCTGGCTTTGGGATCTGAGCAAGGCCTCACGCCAACTTGAAGCATCCCCATGGAACAACGACATGAGAAAATTAGCTGAGCGGGAGCTATCGGAGACCTTCAGGTCCTATTTTCAGGGCGAAGACTCTGCAGTCCGCGGGTTGAAGAAGTTCTACCATCAGCGTGGCATAATCTTGAGCGTTCTAGCCGAAGCTGCCGCAGCTGGTCGGACACTTTCCGATGATGAGATCGCTTCTGAAATAACGAAGCTCGAGGATAAGAAAGCTGCTGCCACAAGAGAGCACCAGAAGAGGCGGGGACTAAAAACGAATGATTACGAGAACGAAATTGGTCTTCGGAAACTGGCCATGGACGAGGCTAAGAATGGAATCGACGATATGAGTGGCCTGGTGAGTGATGTCCTGGGCTGGGATGCAACCAAGAGCTATTCGACTGAGGAGTTTGCCGTCATGACCGCACAGGGGGAGCGGAAAGCCTTGGATGAAGCCCGGCTAAAAGGAAGACACCCTAACCTCAGGCTGTGTCGGATGTGTCGGGATGAGGCGAAGGTGCTGCAGCCCACGGCGGACGGCTTCGAGCTGACGGCGAAGGCTGCCTGGCTCCCGTTTGGAAATTTCTTTCAGCTCAGGCAAAGAAAAGACTGCTCTGTTTGTTCACTGATCCTGTCGGTAATTACAACGAGGTCCGGGTCGCTTCATCCGCGACTTGCGGCCATTGATCCAGAGGTCCAAGGAGTTCGCTTGAGTACCGGCAGGCTCTCGACGAACGAAAAGTTGATGAGGATTGACTACGGGAACAAGCACGTTAGTGAGCTGAGAGTCTTGACGCCTCAGAACTACTCTCAGGCCCTGCGGCAAGCTTGGGAGATGGATGCACAATCAACGCTCTCGGGGATTTTTTACAATCGCAACGGCCCGATCTATGATCAGAGTCAACAACGAATCAACCCAGACCTAGTCAAGTCGTGGCTGAATAACTGTGATCACAACCACAGCTTCGCTTGTAACCATCCGCGATCTGGAAAGCGGGCAGAGAATAAAATGCGCCTGACTCTCATTGACGTCAAGGAGGAATGCTTGGTATCTGCCTCCTCAGACGCGAAGTACTTTGCCTTGAGCTACGTCTGGGGCCGGGTGGACATGTCCAAGACACTGAAATCCAACTACGAGGAGCGAAGTCAGCCTCGCTCTTTGGCCACGATCCGATTTCCAAAGACCATTAGGGACGCAATGCAATTTATCCAGTCACTTGGAGAGAGATATCTCTGGGTCGATGTCGTTTGCATGGTGTAGGATGACGAGGTCTAGATGGCCGGAGACATTCCAAACATGGACATTGTCTACGGACAGGCCTTTGCTACCATTGTCGCAGTTGCGGGCACTGATGCGGATGCCGGCTTGCCGGGGGTCTGTGCGGGAACAAGAGAGCCTCAGAAGATCACCACTCTCACCATCTCCAACAAGTCACTCGATCTTGATGACGATCCCGACAGCAAAGGTAAGGAGACAATTCGTCTTACAGCGACGCCGCGCCCTTTGCACCTCGCCTTGGAGCTCTCTCAATGGAACACTAGAGGTTGGATCGTGCAAGAACATCTCCTTTCGAGGCGTTGCCTGTACTTTGCGCTAGATGTTGTTTACTTTCAGTGCGGCCAGGAAACGTTGAGTGAAGGAGGCGCTAATGAGGAGTTTGAAGCGCTCATGTTTGACGAAGCGGCTTTGTCAGATAACCACATCTTGGAGAAGGCGAATCGCAACAATCCCCTTTGCAGCCTGGACGCTATTTACGACCTTACGCTGTGTGAGCGACTCACTAAGGCTTTCAACACCTACACGAAGCTCGTCGGGACCTACAGCCAACGAAACCTGTCCTTCAAGTCCGACATTCTCAAAGCCTTTGCAGGAATATTTGCAGTGCTCGAGGAACATTTCCACGTCGTGACACTCCATGGACTGCCAGCAGCGGTAATCAGTCACGCCCTTCTTTGGTCGCCTGCGGCAAGAATTCCACGTCGAGGCTCTCAGTTGCCTACAAATTTGACCCTGCCCACCAGCGGCCCTGATCCACAGTTTCCAAGCTGGTCGTGGGTAGGATGGGACGGCCCTGTGGAATATCGGGTATTCAAGCATTCGAAGGGGGAGATGTTCCTGCCAGCCCCACGAGTAAAAATTTATGACACCATCAACGGCCCCATCAGCGACATTATACAGGGGCAAAAGGGAGCCCTTGAGCCCGCACACCAAGCACCCGACAGGACTGGCTCCCCCGATAATGGAAGAGACGACCAGGGGGGCGGAACAGGCAACAGGCCGGACAAAGAAGAGCCCCCGAGGGAGCATGTTCTCGCCAAAATGGTCCCTGACCACTTCCGTGGCAGCATCTGGATCGTAGGAGCGCCGCAGGTACCCCAAGACAGAAAGGACCCCCACATCGCGACCAAGCTGCTGCGTTTTACCGCGCGTACTGTTCCCCTCCCACCATTCCAAGTCATGCTTAATAAGGAATACCTCAGCTGCATGTCCCAAGTCCATGTCCGAAGCTCCCAAGCCGTCCGCCGCATCCAGGACCGTAACAGCAAGCACTGCGGGCTATGGTGGGAGCAGGCTGGGTACGGCTATGTGGGACTGGGCATCAGCCCGGAGGCGGAGAGCAAGATTGACATGCACTAATAGTCTGCACTGCAGTGTGAACTAATAGTCCAGTTAATAGTGCGCACTATTAGGAGCGCTGGACCGTTCAAGTATGCTGTAAGTCTAGGTGCAAACCCTGTTTTCCACAGCTATGATTTTATTAGCTTTTTCAACAGTAACAGCTGCCCCATAAATCTTGCCTTAATGTCTATGGAAATCACTGGCGGCTTCATTATTCAGAACTTCTTTCAAGTTGAAGAGCCTTGGCGCTGAGATATAAGGAGTGGTCTTCGAGATGAAGCAGGTCCTTTCGATCAAGGTCCAGGACGGTGTCGTGCTCGCCACTGTGTCCAACGTTGGCTTTGGCAAGGTTGATGAGGGAGTTAAGGATGGGATATTCGATCTTGAGCTTGATGGAGTAGACCATTCCCTTGATAGCGGTTTGCAAGTTGTACGGGTTTTTGTACTTGAGGACGAGGACGGCGACGTCGAGGATGATAACAAGAATATTAACCGCAACGAGATGGTATAGCATCCTGGAGGCCTGGGCACCACGGAGAGCTTCTTGCATCTGGAAGGCTTTGTAGGTATACCAAATGTATAGGCCCGAAATAGTCATCTCCTGGATGAAAAGGGACACTTGGATCTTCTCGTATACCGGGTAGGCGGTGACGTAGGGACTGGGTTCTAGGGCCAGAATAGCCCGGTAGGCGACAATGATCGTAGAGACGTGGCCGATGAAAACGTTAGTAATAATCATGGTCAAGACCAGACGGAGGATCCTCTTATTATATAAGATAAGGTGTAGCCGTGAATAAAGAACGAGGGAGTGGCCAGTGACCATGGGAACCCCGCCGATCACAGCGATGGTAACCCATGCCGCAGCATTTTTGAGGACGCCAAAGTTCCACATCAGATAACTGATAGTATGGAAAAAGATGCCCCAGGTAGCAAAGAAGAAGCTCCAGAAATAAAGACCGCTTTTCCGCTTAAATGTAAAAAATATGATGACATTGAGCTCAATGGCGTTGTATAGGGCGATGAAGGATACCATCGCAAGACCGATGGGGCCATCGACCGAGGAGTCATCCACATAGCCCATGTTGAAGGGCAGATGGAAGACGTCTTGAGAAGTGAGCGATGATGATATCGAGAAACATGAAAGACGGGCAGCTGAGAGAAATAAGAACTTTCATCTTGACACTGATGAGAACCCCTGGGAGTCAATGCGCTAGAAATGGGCTGAAGGTTAATGGAAAGCATCGACAGGAGTGAAACCAATCGTAGGGCAGAGTTGTCCAAGGGTTCACCTCCATCAGCACCAGCCCCTTATGGAAACCTGCCCCGGACTGTTGTTGCGTCTGTCGCACTGGTCGATTCACCTCTGCGGGGATTGGGGACGGAACACCACCACACTACAATGGCTCGCGGTGAAGTAGGGTCACCAGTGTTACAGGCCCGCTTTGCTTAGTGCAGTGGGCCGTGAGTCACGTCATGTCCCTGCAGAACCTTCTGGACTTTGCCAAGCCCCTCGGCATATCATAGTGGAGGGATCTGACAAAGTCTGCCGTGCACCATCTCAAAGGTATCTCTGCTGCCGACTGTATAGATGAGGTTTGTCGGGTAACGGACCGCGTAGGATGATGACGATAACGAAGGAGACGAGAAGAGTAGGATAAGCAATAAAATCAACTCTACTACAGTTGATATAGTTATTGTACAGTAGGAAGAAGACGTTTCTGTCCAACATCGCCAGGGACAAGCACGTCAACACCGATCCGCTCCTGGAGGCCCTCGAGCACAGTAATATACGCGGCGCGGCCCTCGATATGACCAACCCCAAGCCCCTGCCTGTGGGTCATCCCCTGGCAAAGCGCCGAATATCTTCATCACTCACATATCAGCTGGCAGACCCCCAATTATGGCGGGATCGCGGAACCGATGATGGTCTCCGCGGTGCAACCATTGTTTGACCAAGTGTCTAGATACTTATTGAAGTCGTAAACATCGCCCCTCTGCTTAATCTTCAGTTTGCTGAAGTACTAAGCCAGTAGGTTCAGTTTGTAAGTCCGCAGCGTGGCTTATCTGTGCGCCGGAGCATTACTCGATTTTAAGTTAATCCCCACAACAATAGTGATTTTTAGTGCTATCTTGGATAGATGCTGTTGATCATGATGTTTGCCTGTTGCCCGTATTTCCCTGTTGGCCTTATGGTCGTTTCATCGGAGACTCCTCCGGCTGATCCGTGCACCCAGCACCTTGATGAAAGTGAGTGTCACAAGGATAACGCCACATTGGGACAGAGACATTCCAGCAAGCCCCTGCGCTGCAGCCACTTACTCCGTAGAGTAAGTTGCCGACTGAGACCAAGTGCGGGAGAGCTTTTGTTTGCCGCACTTACCTTAATCATGTCTGGGTATGCCGTAATGCTTGGGAAAGCCTTGTCTAGGGCAATGTAAAGGGCCGTATCAACACTTGAGGCTAACACATTCCTTCCTGCCCAAAAATACCGCAAAATAGGTGGGTAGCTCCAGCCCAAACTTCTGTCAGTTGCTGGAGAGTCAGTTCGCCTACCTCAAAAGCCAGCTGACGCCACCAAGTGTTAGCTCCACGTAGCCCGGACAATGAAGAAATGATATACGTTGACGGAGAAACATACCCATTTATGGCACGAATGAACATGGCAGAAAGGTACACGCTTACAAAAGGGCTTCCAATCAGCGGAAGAATTCGGCGGTAGAAATGGCCTCGGCCTTTCTGCGCGGAAATTCGAGCTGCGTGTCACCTTTGGGATTCGGGTTCCCTTTGCTGCTGAAGTGTCGAGTGACATACCATCTCAGCCTTGTCACCAGACGCTAAGGTCAGGCTGGTACTATGGCATAGAGACGATGGCAACGGCTTGATCTCCACATAACGAAAGTTGATGGCCGAGGATTCTCGTCAGTGCTAGAAACACTATCTTCCCGCCACAGTGCGTCACTAACACAGGACCATGCCGGCGCCAAGCGTCCCAACTCTAGAATGCGGTGGAACGGACAGTAGCGCAAACTCAAACTTCACCCTGCACGGCCAGCTCCGCCGGGGGGATGTACCGGCCTTCCCCAAGCCACAAAATGGCATCAAAATGCATCATGTAAGGAGAGCGTCGATCACAGGCTAGCAGGCCCATTACCTGCTTCCCCTCACCAGGCCCTCCAGGAATGCAAACCGAACAGCGCCACCTGGCTCAAAATCAATCCGCGCCCCTTTCAAATTTTGTCCTCTGAATGTTTCATCCCCATGAAGCGATCGTGATCCACGATACTACGACTCATGGACCCACCCACAAGGTTTCGTCTCTCAAACGCTAAGAGCAGCAATTGTCACGCTTGCATGACGTCTGGATATCAACGGCCCGTGGCGTTAGGATGCCATGGCTTCCGCCGTCAACGATGCACCGGTGCCGTTGCTGCCCCAGCGGTGCACAGGCCAGGGGTGGACAGGACCATTTCGGCTATAGGAAAGACCAACACCTCGCATAATAACAATTTGTTGGATTGTGACCCTGTATTGCGAAACCTCTGATAGATCAATATCCTGACCTTATGTTAGATTGTGGCTGTGTATTGCATCAAGGAGGTTGTTCAGGTATCAGAATACTGGGATATCTGCATCTATGACTGAAGATGACGATAAAACCCCACTCTGGAGGAATATGGAGATGGGAGTCAACGAGAAAAGAAGAACAACCAAACATATCATCAAGAATTGATTTACATTTATCTGGCTATCCCGAATCTTCACTAAAGACACACCGCGTATCCAACACCTTAGTCAGAGGGGGCGTGAGATGACATAAAACCCCCCTCGAGAAAAGAGGGGGCCGGAGTCATCCTAGATCAAGACAATCAACAGATTCAGGATCCACACCCTATTATGCTGGTAGCATCTGGTGTTTGATATAATAGATGCTACCCAAGATATTGATGCTTTCGCACCGCGGAAATCTGTAAATACACCGAAACCCTAGCGCTTATTGCTCTCTCTATAGCAATGGTCGACCTATTGCTCATTCTTAATTTTCTTCTCGACGACGGGGGCTACCAGGCTAGAGATTGCACATTAGGTGCTGGATTGTATAGAGGAGGGACCCGACGAGATGTTATGCTAATTTGAAGGTACAGTCAGATCTACTAGGAATCGCATCCACTCTCGCGACACTCCAGCCTCTAACCCTAGAGCGCTAGTCCTATAATGATGTTCAGCCTGAAAGTCGTTCAGTATTCTATATTAATCACTTAGCCCGGGTTACGCCATACTTCCCTCCCTGGAGTTTACGAGAAATCCAAGTTGGCTTTAGCGTGGCGCCAAACGCTACGCCACTCCACAAACAATATCCGTGCCGAGTCCAGACCAGTCTTCGGCAAGGCCGTGCCGTGCTCTCTGAAAGCTTGCCGGAAGCTCTAGAAGCTTTCTCACCGGAGTCGTCTTCAGGTACCGAAGGCTCCCGTGCTGTTAATGGTGGACGATTTTCAGGCATGGGGAGGGAAGGCTTGAATTCCAGCCAATCTTTGCAGAGGCCGGGGATGCTTGCGGGCGCCACGACGCACTCAAGTCAGTGCTGTGTCACTAGATCCGTACGACTTTAGCTCCTGTAACTTAAGCTATTGACTGGCGGCTGATGATACACCAACACCATGGGCAAGGATGCCTATCTCGATCACTATCGTCCTTTATTTAAATTGTGATGCCTCTTCTGAATGGAACCAGAGTCTGGCTAAAGTTATGGTCATTCCAAGTTGATGTTAACCAATATTTGGTTCACAGTGATCACACTCCTCTCCCAATTTTATCCTCCAAGAGGTCACCGAAGATGACCTTGCTCTTGCTTCGCTGGCCTGGGGCTTCACGATTGGCTTTGGATGGCTCACCACCTGGACAGCCATGAAGCAAACAAAACATATTTATAAGAGACGCGGCCTTCTTGTATTCTGCAGTGCCTATATCTGGATGATTTGGCTCGAGATTCTTATATGCCTTATCTTTAGCATTATCTGTTGGTTGCACTTGAAAGGCATAATTCCCCCGAGGTAAGTGTTGATCCCCTGTGTTTTTAATGATCCTTCCTCGCACAGCCCACGTTTCCTATCGGTACAACAGGTCGAGCATATCTGGAGAGTCAGGGTACCGCTGGAAATGCTGACCGCGCTGGTAATCGAACATAGCGATATAGCAATCGACACCTGCTGGTAAGGGAAGTTGAAAGTGCGAGGAGGGATATCTTGGTGATGTAACGTTTGAAGAAGATACTGAACATTAAATCTTCTAGTTTCGCATTCTACTTTTACATTCATAAGCAGTCTAAAAGCACCCTAAGTCGCCAAGAATAAGATAATAACCTCTATAGTTACTATATAGGCACTTCAAGTAAGTATACTCCACTTACCCTTCTAAAGTTTATTAATAATTCTAACCATTTTAGGTCCAATTTCTCCTCCAAATTATTATTAATCGTTACGCTATTCTTCTTACAGATCCGATAACAGCATACCGTCTTCAGGTCGGTGCTGCGGTCTTAATTACAGCCGTTAATATCTCGGTCTATAATATTTAGATCCCCGCCCATCTCCAGATCTCAGAGAGATATATCTGGATTAACAAGTAGTGGGACTGTGTCGAGAAGGCGATCTACCTTCTTGTCGACGGAGCACTTAATTTCTATTTTATTCGCGTTATTCAACAGAACCTGGTAGCAAATAGTCTAACCAAATATAAGAGTCTGGTCAAGTTCAATATATGTATCGTCGGATTCTCCCTCAGTATGGATATGCTTATTATCTCTATAATGAGCTTGCATAACACGTTTGTGTAAGTCAACCCTATTATATTACCCTGCATTGCATGGACCAATAAACTTTCGGGGCGAGGAAAAGGAGACTAGATAATAGGAGATACTTCTAACTATAAATCCAGTTACATGCAGTTTCATCCCTTCGCCTATATAGTCAAGCTTAAGATCGAGATGTCAATGGCAGACTTGATAGAGAAAATTGCCAGATAACGATAATACGGTATCATACAGGTTATGCCGCCACCTCTCCAGAGAAGAGGTGGGGGCCTCAGCTAGAGGCTTATTTAACCCACTAGGTATATTCCGCTTGCTTCTTATGTATGTTATGTACAATTACACCACTACGACCTTGAGATCTCTTGGATGGCACTATCATAAAGCTGATCGGTGCTATTATTATCCCCGTGACCCATTACACTGCTTTCCACATCTATCCTCGTGGCGACCCTAATCTCGTCCTGTTCCCGCGATGGATATGATGATGCCTTTGATGTTGTGATGGTAACCGATGTGCTGGGCTTTATGTCTTCCATGTGGATTGCTTCCGGCCTGATCGTAGTAGAGCGCGTTTTCCTGTCCCCCGTTTGCGACTGACTACCAGAGAGCTCCACAAACACAGCTGTGTTATGGTTCGATTGTCCACCAGAACCAGTGCAACCAGTACCGCCTCGATGCTGTACAAACTCGATGAGCTCGCCCAATACCGCGAATTCGAGCTTGAGCTTGATGGAGTAGGTGACGACTTTGACTCCTTGCTCCCAGACGTATAAGCTCTTGTATTCAATGGCGAGAAGTGCGATGTCCATAACGACGATGAGGACGTTGATAGCGAAAAGCTGCCACATGAATCGTCGTTTGCTGCCGAAAGCCGTCTTGAGGATATCCCACGTCTTCCAGATATAGAGACTGGAGAGAGTGAACTCCTGGAGACAGAAACAGGTCATTTGAACCTTTTCCAGGATGTTAAAGACAGAGTTGAACCCAGCTCGATTTTGCGCGGGGCTATAACTGGACCCGAATAAAAGCACTGTAATTGAGGTATGCCAAATGACACCATTCACGATGATCATCCACAGGACGTTGCGGAGAATCTTAGGGTCGTTGAGAACTAGGTGTAGTCGTGAATAGAGAACCACAGATTGGCCTGACACTAAAAGAATCCAACCAATTGAATCAATAATCATACCAACCCAGTCATGGGTAAGTTCAAAATGAACAATGAGCCAACCGACGCAGTATGGAATGACGCCAAAAGATGCGAGGAAAATACTCCAAAAGTAGAGGCCCCTGTATCGCTTAAAGGTCATAAATATGAGGGCGAGGAGTTCGAAGGTATTATATAAGGCTAGTGTCGAGCAAACCTGCAGCAGATGGGTTAGGAAATCAGCCATAATTCAGAACTAGGGTGCCCATACAATAACCATCACATCTTTAGGGTTATAAGTGCTTTGAGCCCTTATGGCAAAGCTTCCCTGGGAGGTGCTCGACATACCCATGCTCTCGGCCACTTTTACCAGATTGTAATAGGAAAGGAGCAGTATGAGGCCTCAAGGTGGGGACGTCGGATAGTAGAACTGGTGACTTTTATGGTGGGTCGGACACCTTATAGGCTGCTTGTTACCCATTTAAACGGGGGTTCCTGATCTATTATTTAAAAATTAATTAGTCGGTCCACCTGGGCCACGGAGCTATCCGTGGCTCGAGTGCGGGGCCTGGGGAATGCGGAGGAGGTGGCGTTGTTGCAAAAGGCGATGCTTGAGTTATTTTCACCCAGCCAAGCAGAAACGCCATCATCAGAAGCAAAAACAAAGAAAAGCGGTATTTTCAACTCGTAGGCTAGGCAGCTCAGGACTTACTTCATAAATCTTGTCTTGGAATCGACTAGCCTCGCTGGAACTTTCCGTTGATGGGGTCATCCTGTGGCTTGGATGCATGTGTCTTCATCCCCAAATATGATGTGTGACTCTTGATTCAGCGGAGACGAACCGGGGTGGACCCGGAGCCCGGGTGGCGTACGGCTAACAAACCTACAAATGTAGCAGCAAACGAGAAGACAGAGAGATGCTTCCAGCGCAAGTCGAGAACAGGGTATGTGACTCAAAACTGCCATGGAGGTGTGTTGGTGACCACATTACTTGGGGTTAACACCAAGGTTGCAAGTTTTCCAAAGCTGTGGTATGAAAGAGGTGTGTCATCCTTTAATTACTCCAGTCTCCTGCATTTAGTCAGGCACAGCTGATAGACGGGTTCATCACTTGGGATTGTCACGGCCCTAGCCCCGCCTCAGTACGAAGGGGACACATCTTCTGTACACTCTATCAACAGTCTAGAAGAATCTGCATTATTCCGGCTGCCCGAACCCCTAAAGGAGGGCGTGTTCTCTCTATAAGATAGTGTCTTATAATCTATATATACTTGTTAGATATTGGGGTAAAAAATTATGTCCTCTTGTTCTTTCTTTCTTGGGCTTAGGGCAAGCCTCATATTCCCTTTCTGTGCCATGTAGAATCAACTAGAAGCTGCTTGCTAAGCCTGTGGCAATAGGTGGCAACTGTAATCTTTAATAGCGATATTCCTGTCAGCCTTTCCAGCTCCTTCGAGGGGCTTCCTTGCCACTATTCAACAATTATTGTCACGGGCTGAGGCCCGGTATGGGGGCACGGGCTACGCCGTGCCGGTCCCGACCTAGCTAGACAAGATTGACCTCCCCCCCCGCGGGTAATTCGCTCTCCCACGACACTCGTCATTGGCATTGGAAATCACTGTTATGGAAGGAGACTATCATCGCGATCAGTACCCGGAAACTTATCATTCCGGGTGAGGAACTCGCAGCGGATGAATCCAACCTCAGTCATCCGACATCCAGTTATAAGCTTGGAGGGTTGATCTGGGTCTGGCGAGGCCATGCGTCTGGCGAATCCTGTAGCAATGTTATGGAAGCTCTGGCTTAGTGACCGGTGAGCCTTAGACGTGTCACATGTCGGTTCGTCTGAGCCATCGACCTTGGAGCCGTGCGGGGTAGCCGACACTGAATCGACATATGACACCTCGCTTAAAGGCATAGAGTGAGCAGGACGACCGGGATATGCCGTGTGTCAGGTACGGATAAGGCGTCCATTGCGAACATGGTTCTGCTGTCGCATCTGCCATTTGAGGTCAACAGCAGAGGGACTCCGAGCGTGGCGGGCCGCCCTTGGAGATGACTGGTTCAGAGCACGAGTCGGAAATCAAGTGGAGCAACTGTGTCAGCCATTTGGGGGGGGGGGGTTCCTCGTAGACAACAGATTTACTGAGCGGAGACACGCAACCAAAGTCTATGTCCAGCCCTTCCGATCTAAAGCTTTCCAGCCCTGTTCTCAGGTCAAACACCCATCATCAGCACGGTCTGCTTAGACGTGATGAACGGGAGCTAGAATGGGACTAGGAACGGGGGCTTGTAATGCCGAGGCCCATTGCGCTTGGACTGGACCCAACAACTGACAGCTGAAGTCAAAGCGCATTGCGTGGCGAAAAGATACCGGGACCTTGATCTGTCACCTGTTGATTGCGACAGTGTCTGATCCGTCATTCCGTTTATTCGTTGACTGAAGTAGATGCCTCACATATCCAACGAGCAATGAAGGACGCCAGTCCAGCCGAGATGAGTCTGGATCCCTCCAGGCTTCTCGATCACATGGCAAAATGAGGAGGTCTCGATGTACTCTACTCAAACTCGCGGAAGCCCGTGAGACAGGCGGTCAGGGACTTTTGGGCTAGCTGGTCGCTAGCAGGGATGTAATGGGGATAAGTAGGGGAGGAAGCTGCGCACGGAAGGAAGGATCATCATTGCATCTTGACATTGAATTTTTCTTTCTTTTGAGTCAGAGAGACAGCAGTCTCGAAGACCTTATTGTTTGAGTTAATGAAGACTTTTTGCCCTTGATTTTTGAAAGGATTTTACGAGACTATTTTTGACCACAGTCGCGATCCTCGTCCGACCTCAGTCTTCCACTTCGCCAATTGACGGGCTGCCGCGGGCCTCATCGATGCCTTGCCACCATTATTTCCTGCGACCGACCCGATAGAGCATCCAATTAGATGCTTTACTATTAGGAGACATAAGCCTCAGATCAATCCGACCACATACGCGCGATCTGGTGCGGCTTTGGGCCGACCAATCTTGACGCCTGTGCGACGCTTTTCTGTGCATCCCCCTAAAGGAAGCTGATGAGTTGGGTGTTGGCCATTGTCCCTTTCGGCCGCTAAAATATTAACCTGTAATAGTAATAAACAGCGGGATTGCCTACTCTTAGGAATTAATACCCTAAATTACAGTAACCTATTCTCTATTTTCTGGCTAGGCCATTCTCAGCCTTCTATATTATTCAGTACTTATAATAACTATTCCAGTTAAAATAATACCTATTATAAACTCAGTTTTATTAAAATTATAGATATCTAACTCTACAATACTATATTTTGCAATTATATTCTCTATAAGCTAAAACCAGCCCCAAATAATATTCGGAGCTTTATATTAAGCCCTCTGGTAGTTATATTTATACATAAAACATATCATAAGCTCTAGTTATTACTTAATAAAGTTTGAGGCCTAGTGCTTGCTAACTGGAGGCGCATCGCGGTCGGCGAGCAGTCGATTGGCTATATCTTCTACATCACAAAGCCAGGAAGGAAATAATTGTGAATCTAGGTCGAGGACATACTAAATAATTGTTGATTCCTCCAATTCCGTAAGTTTTCGCGAATTGGGGATACTATCGCGTCGGAAAATTGTGCCCTTAAGGCGGCGGCTGAGTGTTGTTTGACTGACTGTGTAGATCTTGGCTGTGGCTCGTGTACTTAGAGTTGGGTCTTTGTGGATAGCTTGGACAGCTGTAATAAGGCGCCTTTCTTTACTAGGCGATGCTATTTTTATGTGTTGAGAAATGGTATGTGTTGGATACGCAATTTGCTGTATGCAATAGCAGAGATGATTGATCAAATGATGTAAATTGATGTTATTGTCCTGCATTGATTGAGGGTCATAGGGGCCCTGTTTTATACTCAAAGGGATCTAGATCCTAGATCAGGGTGTCAAAGGGAGACGGATCCGGCGTTTGTTATGATGCCGGATCCGGCTTATTACCTGATCCGGCGTTCCGCATCCGGCGTTCCGGATCAGGCAGTCCGGATCAGGCATGTTATGCCGCCACACGAGGTCTCAATCCAACAGTATGTTAAATGTATGTTGAGGTGAAAATGTGGTTACGTGAGTCGCTCGCTTATCATTAGTCATCTGCAATAGCTAGGAGAAATGACGCGCGCTGGTCATCCTTAGAAAAAAGGTGCAGAGAAAGGAGAGGAGTCCAAGACCAAACAGGCTTAGTAGAAAGATAACCGTTCCGAGCAACAAGAATCTTGCCACTATGACAGCCACGGAAAGCTCCTTTATGGATTAAGCGATCGGGGAGTATGGTCATTGGGTACTGGATGTCGTCGGTGGCTCTCTCTGTCGTCGCTCCCGAGCTGCAGCATCGTAGGCGAGACGTACCGCTATAGGTTCCTCTTGATTTGCAGCTTCTTCTCGCTCCATGGGGTCGATACGCCTGCAAATATGGGGAGTACACGTGGCCGAAACCTCGAGTTATTGAAGTTTCATACGGCAAACGTCCTGAAGAGTCAGATCTAGACGAAGGCTGCTCGGATCGGAGCTGCAGCACGATTACGACGGTATCGGCTCGCGGGGTCTGGAAGAAGACGAGTCGCGCATGTCCACATCATCATTTACTTCTTATCTCCATCCGCTAGTACCTCAGCGGTCTTTCATCATCGTCGTCCTTCCTTGCCGATCCGTTCTCGTTGAAGCTATCTGCAACACTACATGTGCTTTCCCCATGATTGCTTGTTGCAGCGTCGACGTTGATGCGATTGTCTTCCGTGGTATAAATAGCCTCGCCCAGTTTCAAGCTTGAAGATGAAGATTGGCCAAGAAACCCCGTGTCCCTGTTCGTCTTTGACCGGCCATTGAAGGCAGCTGACCCATCTAGTCCTTCCTGCAACTCGATAGATACTGCATCAACTCCGCGAACAGTACGGATTCCCTCCGTGGAGACTCTTGTCCTACTATACGTGGTCGTGAGGCTTTTACTTGGAACGGTTCCCTGTCGCGTTGTCTCCAGGTCGCAAAAAGTGCCATTAGAGATGACACCGCATTGTCGCTGTCTGGCAATTTTCCCTATCAAGTCTGCCATTGACATCTCGATCTTGAGCTTGACTATGTATGCGAAGGGATGAAACTGCATGTAACTGAATTCATAGTTAGAAGTGTCTCCTATTATCTATCCCGCTTTTCCTCGTCTTGAAAGTTTGTCGGTTCATGCAATGTAGGGAAATATAACGGAGTTGACTTACACGAACGTGTTATGCAAGCTCATCATAGAGATAATAAGCACATCCATGCTGAGGGAGAATCCGACGATGCACATATTGAACTTGACCAGACTCTTATACTTAGTTAAGCCATTTGCCACTAGGTTCTGTTGAACAACGCGAATGAAATAGAAATTGAGTGCTCCGTCGACAAGAAGGTAGATCCCCTTCTCGACACGGTCCCACCACTCGTTGATCCAGATATATCTCTCTGAGATCTGGAGACGGGCGGGGATCCAAATATTATAGACCGAGATATTAACGGCTGTGATTAAGACTGCAACACCGACCTTAAGACGGTATGCCGTTACTGAATCTGTGAGAAGGATAGAGCAACGATTAATGATAATTTGGAGAAGAAATTGAACCTAAACTGGTTAGAATCATTGATAAACTTTAGAAGGGTAAGTGGAGCATACTTACTTGAAGTGCCCATGTAGTAACTATGGAGGTTATTATCTTATTCTTAGCAACTTAGGGTGCTTTTAGACTGCTTACGAATGCAAAAGTAGAACGCGAAACTAGAAGATTTAATGTTTAGTACCCCCTTTAAACGTTACATTACCAAGAGATCCCTCCTCACACTCTCAACTGCCCTTACCATCAGACTTGTTGCACCGAAAGGAAACGTGGGCTGTGCGAGGAGGAATCATCTAATACATAGGGGATCAACGCTTACCTCGGGGGAATTATGCCTTTCAAGTGCAACCAACAGATAATGCTGAAGATGAGGCATACAAGAATCTCGAGCCAAATCATCCAGACATAGGCACTGCGGAATACGAGAAGGCCGCGTCTCTCGTACATACGTTTTGTTTGCTTCATGGCTGTCCAGGTGGTGAGCCATCCAAAGCCGATCGTGAAGCCCCAGGCTAGCGAAGCAAGAGCAAGATCATCTTCGGTGACCTCTTGGAGGACAAAATGGGGAGAGAGAAGTGTGATCATTGTGAACCAAGTATAGGTTGATATCAACTTAGAATGACCGTAACTTTAGCCAGACTCTGGTTCCATTCAGAAGAGGCATCATAATTTAAATGAAGGACGATAGTGATCAAGATAGGTATCCTTGCCCATGGTGTTGGTGTATCATCAGTCGCCAGTCAATAGCTTGAGTCACGGAAGCTAAAGTCCAGCCCTCGTACGGATCTAGTGACAAAGCACTGACTTGAGTACGTCATGACGCCCGCAAGCATCCCCGGCCTCGGCACAGATTGGCTGGAATTCAAGCCTTCCTACCCCCCGCCTGAAAATCGCCCACCATTAACAGCATAGGAGGCTTCAGTACCTGAAGACGACTCCAGTTAGAAAGGTTCTAGAGCTTCAGGCAAACTTTCAGAGAGCACGGCCTTGCCGAAGACTGGTCTAGACTCAGCACGGACGTTGCTTGTGGAGTGGCATAGCGTTTGGCGCCATGCTAAAGCCAATTTGTATTTCTGGTAAACTCCGGGGAGGGAAGTATGGCGTAACCCGGGCTAAGTGATCAACATAGAATGTTGACGACTTTCAGGTTGAACATCACTATAGGAGTAGCGCTCTAGGGTTGGAGGCTGGAGTGGTTGAGTGTCGCGAGAGTGGATGCGATTCCTAGTAGATCTGACTGTACCTTCAAATTAGCATAACATCTCGTCGGCTCCCTCCTCTGTACAATCCAGCACCTAATGTGCAATCTCTAGCCTGGTAGCCCCCGTCGTCGAGAAGAAAATTAAGAATGAGCAAAACGCCGACCATCGCTCGATGAGCGCCAGGGTTTCGGTGTATTTCCAGATTTCCGCGGCGCGAAAGAATCAATGTCTTGGGCAGCGTCTATTATGTCAAACACAAGATGCCACTGGCACAACAGGAAGACAGGCGTTGCGCGAGTCATTGCTAGAATAGCCACTGATGCGAATCGTTATCACGCGAGGTGTTGGTCTTTCCTGTGGCCGAAGTGACCCTATCCACCCCTGGCCTGTGCACCGCTGGGGCAGCAACGGCACCCGGTGCGTCGTTGACAGGGGAAGCCATGTGAAAGTGGCAGATACCAACGCCACGGGCCGCTGATATCCAGACGTCATGCAAGCGTGACATCTGCTGCTCTTAGCGCTTAAGAGACGAAAACCTTGTGGGTGGGTCCAGAGTCGTAATATCGTGGATCACGATCGCTTCATGGGGATGAAACATTCAGAGGACAAAATTTGAAAGGGGCGCGGATTGATTTTGAGCCAGGTGGCGCTGTTCCATTCGCATTCCTGGAGGGCCCGGTGAGGGGAGGCAGGTAATGGGCCTGCTGCACTGTGATCGACGCTCCCCTTACATGACGCATTTTGGATGCCATTTTATGGCTTGCGGAACGCCGGTACATCGCCCCGGCGGAGTTTCCCGTGTAGGGGGTTGAAGTTTGTGTTTGCGCTACTATCCGTTCCACCGCATTCTGCAGTTGGGCCGCTGCCGGCATGGTCCTGGGTTAGTGAGGAACTGTGGCGAGAAGACAGTGTTTCTAGCACTGATGAGAATCCTCGGCCATCAACTTTCGTTATGTGGAGATCAAGCCGTTGCCGTCGTCTCTATGCCATAGTACCAGCCTTCACCTTAGCGTCCGGTGAGAGGGCTGAGATTCGACACTTCAGCAGCAAAAGGAACCCGAATCCTAAAGCTGACACGCAGCTCGAATTTCTGCACAGAAAGGCCGAGGCCATTTCTACCGCCGAATTATTCCGCTGATTGGAAGCTCCTTTGCAAGAAGGTACCTTTCTGTCATGTTCATTCGTGCCATAAATGGGCATGTTTCTCCGTCAACCCATATCATTACTTCGTTGTCCGGGCTACGCGGGGCTGACACTCGGTGACGTCAGCTGGCTTTTGGGTAGGCGAACTCTCACTCTTTAGCAACTGACAGAAGTTTGGGCTGGAGCCACCTACCTATTTTGCGGTATTTCCTGGCAGGAAAGTAATCTATTAGCCTCAAGTGTTGATACGGTCCCTTACATTGCCATGGAAAAGGCTTTCCCAAGCATACCGGCATACCCAGACATGATCAAGGTAAGTGCGGCAAATCAAAAGCGATCCCGCACTTGGTCTCAGTCGGCAACTTGCTCTAACTGGCTGCGCGCGCAGGGGCTGCTGGAATGCCCCTGTCCCAATGTGGCGTTATCCTTGTCACACTCACTTTCATCATGGGTCCTGGGTGCACGGATCAGCCGGAGGGTACGGAAGGCTATATCTAGCACTGGGTCAAAACGCATTTTCCATCCATTTTCGTCAATACAGGGACCCCACCCCACACCACCCTTGCCGCCGACCCCCCCTGAGTATATGGATTAATCAATATCCATGTACACCCTACTACCTAAAGGTATTTGAAAATGTGTGCGAGCGGCCCGTCCGGGGGCGGACGAGCATTTACGTGGCCGTTCGCCCCCAGACGGGCCGCTCGCACATTTATCCCTCTTCATTTAACGCAATGTCCTAGATCTATCATAATTCGTTATGGCCCCAACTCTTCTGTACTGCCCCGGCCGGGCCCGTACTCAACATGCCACGATCTTACGGGATAACCCCTCTTGGGTCTCCTGTCCGTATTGTGGCACCCTCCTAGCCGACAAGCCCTCCAACGCTTCCTCTGACGATGACCTTGAAGAGGTGGACTTCCAGAACCTACCCGACCGAACCCGAAAGGCCTTTAAAGCGACCGAACGCCCCCAACCGGCACTGTACGCCTCAAACGCCGAGTCGCCCGCGGTGTCTACTCATCGAGCCGGCGCAACCGCTTTCTCTTCTGCTCTTCGAGAAGCTGATAAAGCCCGCCAGACTAGCATTCAGAACGACAAGAGTAAGGCCGAACGGAGTAGTACGGAGCTTATGCAGCCCCGTAAGATCGGGATTTCGTTGTACTTGTACGCTGGGAATTACTGTACGGCCGAGTCTGGTGGTATCGAGACTCTTGAGTGGTTCGACGTCATGGCCGTACATAGGTTTCCGATGGCAGTACAGTTCAGTACGGCCCTGGAAACGGATACACACCAGCAGTTGATGTCCGCCATCATCAAACGGTTCTTCTCGAACTCGGGGGAGTGGGCGAAACTGGCTGAACGGGAGTGGACAGCTATTCCTATCGATGGGAAGCCACTAAGCCTGAACTTGAACGTTCGGTTCTGTGAGGCGGCGTACGAGTCCACTCAGCTATGGGCATTCCTGTTGCAGACAGGACTTCTACCTCGGTCGGAAATCCGCCTACACCTACGTACTGGCATCTCGGCCGAACAACCAGAACGGGATGAAAAGGTCAGTACGAAGGGGAAAAGGACCGTACTGGCCCAGCCACAAGGACGTAAACGCAATACGTCCGAGCCACTGGCTAGTATTACAGTCAAGGTTGAGAAACGGTCTACTTCAACAGCCAAACGAATCAAAACGGAAGCGGATGGGCCAGTACAGAAGGTCAACAAGAAGGTAGCCATACCGGTCAAGGCCGAGGCCAGCGGGTCAACTCAACAGGATTCAGTCAAAGCGGAGATGAACGGCCCCGTCCGGGGGGTAAAGGTCAACGACGGGACGGACAAGCCTGTTCGGCGGACATCTGAAGGATGTAGTATAGACGACGATTGCGAAGATCTCTTTGGGGATAACCCTTTGCAGTCCGACCCCTTCGAAGTATTCAAGGGTACACGTTCGCACGCGAAAGGTTCTGAACAGGCCTGTCTGGAGACTACAGACCTCGCTTGATAGCTAGTTTCGAGCTGACCCTGTCTCCGAATTTACATCCCATTCGTTATCGGAATCATCCGTTCCCCCACGAACATGCCCGTCCAGATCAAATCCTCGTGTCCTCAGTTCATCCTCTAGATGTCGAATACCTCCAGTTGGCGGCTCCTGGAGGTGTAATCGTGGGTCGACTCCGGATTTATGGTGATCCTCAAGTTGTTCACGTAAGTAAATGTACGAGCGATAAAGAGGAATATCGACACCATTTACACGGCGCTGTTCGCTCCCATCCCTGACCGAACGGCTGAGTACGGACTTGCAGAGCGCCAATACCTCGGCAGAGAGATACGACGATAGATCGAATGATCTATGACCAAGAAGCTCCTCCATCTCCTCTAGTACGGCTGGAATGATTGGCTCCCCGTAATCCTCCGTACTGGACTGTTCGGGGTGGTGAAAGAGGACGTACGGGACCCCAGGGACAACATGAGGTCGGTTGGGCTGTTTACGGATGTAATGGTTATTCCATACCCGTACGAAACCGCGCAGGTCCGTATCTAAGGGTTCCATATATATATAGAGAAGGGCAATCTGATCGTAGATATGACTGGGTTCGAAAAGCCCTATTGTATGTAGGGTTCCAAAGACCGTCTAAACATGTCAGTACGGAGGCGTTTAGGGGTACTCGGGGGCGTATAATAGTATCTTACCCGCCAGAACTGCGAACGGCCTTTACAAAGACGATTCCACCAGCTCTCGATCTTGACGTTGTGGATGCTCTTGCCGTATACAAAACAGTCCTTGAACTTGATCGGTACGGCCTCGCCCGTGAGCGGTTGTATCCGTTCGCGCCCAGTGTGACTCGAGTGATACCAATAGAGGCCAGCAACAACCGGAGTTTCCTTCCCACGATCAGCCCGTATAATCCGCGGCGTAAAGCCACGTTCGCGAATGATCGAGAGATATTGGAGGCCAACGCCGATAGACGTGTGCGTACTAAAGCCAACGAAAAACCAAGGGATATATCTCGAGTAGGCGTCAATCCCAGCGTAGATCTCAAAGCCGTACGGCTTTAATTTATCGTACGCATCGATAGACCAGATAAAGTTAGGCCCAGGGCAGGTCCAGCCCGTACGGCGCCGTCTGAACTCGTCCAGCCGGTCTCGGAAGCTCCTTTGGTGGACTTCTTTGTAGGCAGAGTAAAGGACATCTCGGCTTGTAGAGAATCCTTGCTGGCGCAGCTCCGTTCGGAGGTATTCGCGCCCGTAACCTGCCAAACGGCGAGTTGGATCAACCGCTTGGGCGATACGACCGATGGCTTGTTCTCGCAGGGTAATGTTTTCCTCTCGGGTATGCCGCTTTCGGAGGTCCATCTCTTGGCGTAGCCGTACGAGGCCTTTTTGGGTAATAGAAAACCCCTCAGATTGTAGCACTTGGAGCAACCGTTCGTCCGTAAGGTAGTGTTCGAAGAAGTGGAAGCGTAAACGGTCCCGGAGGGCGTCAGTCACTTCCGTACGACCCTCACGTTGGAAGCCCCAGATTCGAAGAAAGCGCTTCAAGGTAGTATCGGAAACAGGAACGTTCAAATCCGTCCGGAGCCATTCGCATAAGGCCGCGTTCGTCCAGCGTAGTTGCCATTTCCCACGGATTTGTTCCCGGTAGGGCTCGAGATCGATCCTCTGTCGTGGCATTAGATCGGCGTGTTCGGGGACGTTCGGGGGCGTATAGAAGATATTTCAATGAATAAATAATAAAATGTTAAGATAGAATCATATGCGTAGGGGAAGGAAAAATAAAGAGCATAAGGTCCATTTCTGGGCCGTACGGGGGCGAAACCCCCCATACGGAGCCGGACTATCTGAAATACCGAAAGACCAAAACGGTTATGAATGAACAGGAGGAGTTCACATTTCCGAACAGGCCTGTTCGTCCATCCCCCCCCCCCCCCCCCCAAAAAAAAAAAGAAAAAAAGTCTGCGGACAAGAACGGTATGTCAAAAAACCTTTCCAAAAACGTGATGCCGACCGACCATGCGAAGCCAGACGGGGCCGGTCGCGGGGTATACTGTCCTGAACGCCAACGAAAATGACTTAATCAGAATCAGACTCATCTGGAAAAAGTTAGCCCTCCGTTCAAAGCTGTATGGGCCTGCACGCTCCCGTACAGGGATGGACGGGGATGTACATACCAGTCTCGTCCTCGACATCGTCGGCGACCTTATTAAAGACGTCCGCGAGCGTACGGAGGTGCTTGAGGGGGACGGAACGGATGGCGTCAAGAATGTCATCGTCATCGTCAAGGGCCTTACGCTTACGGCCGCGCTTCTTACCCCTAGGCTTAGCATCTCCGTCCTTGACTAAAAAAATATGTCAGAACGGGAGCGAACTGGCTAGAACGGGGAAGAACGGGGGCAAACGGGGGCGTACGTACCGTAGAGAGTGCAGCGCTTAGCCGCGGAGTTATAGCGACAGTTCGCGCAGGCACCGTTGATCTGAACGCAGCTGTCGAACGGGCCCAAACCCCTCTGGCACGGGCCGCACGCGTCCGTTCCGGACCGTAAGTTGCCGTACAGATGGTGGAAGGCCGCGTCACAATTGGCACCCCGCTTTAGGTTGAGAGTGTTGTAGTAAGCGGTTCCGTCCGCGCCCGGACGGGTACGGACGCCCATGATGCGCTTGATCTAACGTGAACGTAAGCGTACGTTATCACATAGTGCCGTACGGCTACGGGTGGAAGCGAAAGACAAACCTTAAAGTAGTTCTGGGCGAGCGCACGAACGGCGGCGGAAACATTCTTGGAGACGTCTGGCAGACGGGTTAGAACTGGCGTGAGCGGGTAAAAACTGGGCAAGAACGGGAGCGTACGCTTAAGGACCCAGGCGGTTAAATGCTCGCTAACGGTCTCGTCCGGCTGGTCATCCTCTAGCTCCGCGTTCGGGAGCTGATGGCCGTGAACGCGAGTGTCCGGGGGCGTCCAGCTAGGATGGTTGGGGGGAACCCAGGGCTGGAAGTCGGGCAGCTCCGAGCAGGCGCGTCCGCTGTCGTTCGAGGCCGAGCCGCCTCCGTTCGGGGCCGGAGCGTCGTTCGGGGTCGGAGCGGTTCCGGACGTGCCCTTTCCACCCTTTCTGCCCTTACCGGAGCGAGATCCGCGAGGCATTGTCGTTCGGGGGTGTTCGGGAGCCGAGGCGTACGGAAAATTGTACGAAAAATGGCTATCGACAAACCGGGGCTGTACGCGAGTGTTAGCATATGTACGGAGCAGAACGGGGGGGGGGAAACATGGGTAAAATGTAAATGAAGTTGAGGTGGAGGCCGGAAGGAGCCGTACGGGGCCGTACGAGATGTGGATTTCGCGTGGAAGGTGGGGCAAAAACCGGTTATTGGGTAACTGCGGAAACTGCTGAAAAAGGCCAGAAAGGCGAGAACCAGAACAAAGGCCGGGCAGGCGCTCAGGCACGTGACTGCCAGGCAAGGGAGTAGGCCAGTTGACCGTCGCAATTGAGCGATCGCTTCCGCGCAGGCGCTCAATTGCGACGGTTCTGGACGGTACTGAACGCGAAAAAGACGCTGCGTGTTGACCTGATCGCTCCCGATCGGTGGCGTATGCAGCAAGAGGGTATTGTGTGGGCGCGGGGTGGAAATCCAGTGGTCGGGGTAGAACCTACCTGGTCGGTTGAATTGGTTGGGAGGGAAAAAGAGCGTTAAAGGAAGGGCTGGAAAAGCTGGGATGCGGTAGGGGATCCACAATTCCTAACTTTTAAAGCGATTGTATTGGCTATTGCTTAATTTGGACTAGCGGTTTGCATCTAGCCAGTAGTAGTCCGTGCCCACGGCCGCCGTGGATCTATCCAGAAACTCGTTTTGACCCAGTGCTAGATATAGCCGTCCGTAACAACCCCACCCCTTACCATCCAGTACCCACCTACTGCTAATACCTGTTGAAAGGACCAGGCATATATACCACATTCATACTAGCATCAGTGTGGGTACCCATTACTTTTGCAGATTGGGTCTCAACAATACCCACCTACTGCTAAGCAAAAATTCAAGAGTAGTGCTATTAGGGCTGTATAATATTGCTATCCGGGCTGTACCCAAAATACGCTTGCCTAAAGAGGGAATTTGTCACATGACTTTGAGAACGCTAGCCACATTAGGAAAATCTCGCGGCCACGTGACCACCCTCACTTACAACACCCCGCGATATCGGATCGCAATTCCTAGGCCAACTTAGACCTTTTACCATCACGTCGTCCCTCTGCTATTCCACACAACCATTTCTCATAAGTCACAATGACTCAATCTCACGCTGAAGACGATGCCATCCACGGCATCTTTTCCCTGGGTTCTCAAATCCCACCGCCGCCGCCGTCAGCGCAATTCTCGTCTCTGGATGACCTCGTCAAGTCTCTGCAAGACTTCTATCGTAAGAACGGCGCCGCCTTGGTGAAGAAGTCACCGGGTAACTATCGTGAGATTCATGGCGTTAAGCAACCAACTTATATTCAACTGCGTTGTGACCGCGGTGACGCTCGTGAGTGTGAAGCTGCTGATGTACGCAAATCCAGTACGCAAAAGGTCGGCTGCCCGTTTAAGATCACAGCGTCAGCAACGCAAAAGCTCAACTATCTCTGGACCTACCGAGTCGCGGTCTCTGATCACAACCACGGCCCGTCCCTCGACCCGTCCGCACACGTGATGCATCGCCGCCGCACACCAGAGCAGCTAGAAGTCGAGCAATCTCTTTTCAAGCACAAATCCCTCCCCGCCCGCGAGATGAGTGATATCATACGTGATGTAACGATTGAGCCGTCTTTCTTTCGACAAAAAGACATCTATAATGACCGTCAGAAGCTGCGGCAGGCATCTCTCAGCGGCAAAACAGCGACGCAGGCGCGGATCGGCTCCCTCCAAGATCAGGGTCTCAAGCACCTCGTACGGTATAGCGCTGACCGCAAAGTTGAGGGTGTTTTCTTGTTAAGGGCTGGCCCTTCGAGGATCTTCCGTGCAAAGAGTGCTGTGAATTGTCTATCTAAATCTAAGGAAGAGAAGAGGATTTCCTTCTGCAGGAATCTTCATACAGTCTTATAGTAGTTCCAGGGAAGTCTTCGGGAAGTCTTCCAGCCGGTTGCCAGGGGACTTCCCGTGTCCTCCGTAGACCCTGTCGGTTTAACACTAGTAGTTGCTAGCGTCTTGACTCCGGCTTCGGCACAGCCGCAGCCGTATCCCCAGGCTCCAGCCTGTAACATTTCTGGACTTATCCTTGGTGTGAGCTGATGTGGAAGAGGTTTCCAGAGGTTCTTGGTATGGACAATACATATAAGACTAACCGCTTTAAAATGTACCTTTTCCAGGTCACTGGCGTCACAGGCCAAAAGTCTGTTGTTAACTCTGGCTTTGGTCTCATCAACTCCGAAAAAGAGGAAGGATTTCAGTGGCTTTGTGACCAAGTGGATGATTTCCGCCGTTTTCTTGGAATCCGAGTGCCTTCTGTTGTTATTACTAACAAGGAAATAGCCCTAAAAACGCCCTTTATGTAACCTTTCCAGACACGCAGCAGCAGTTATGCGTCTTTCATATCAACGCCAACATCAAGGCGAAAATCACAGCCCGTTGGAAGGACCCAAAAGACGCCGATGCTGATGAAGATACTGACGATGATGACGATGATGACGATTATGTGCCAACGCCTAGTCTCAGTAATCGACATCATGAAGCCCTCTATCACGAGGCCAATGAAGGAACTTACGGCAACTGAGACTCAGCATCACCAGCACCGCCGCCTAGCACACAAGGTGAATTGACCCGCGAGACGATGTTTTCCGCCTGGCACCGAGTCATCTATGCCGACCAAGTGAGTGACTTCGAGGCGGCTTGGGCCTCGATGAACGATGCATACAACCCACAGCAAAAGTCGATCCTTCGATACATCTCAAGGGAGTATATGCCTTGGCGGGAACAGTGGGCAAAGTGCTACATTTGCCGCTATCGCAACTTCGGCCAGAGGGTTAACAGCTCTGTTGAGACTGCCCACAAGGATGTAAAGTCATTCCTAGTCACCGGCACCGGTGACCTGCTTCGCCTACACAAAGCTATCCAACAGATGTTGAAAAAGAAGCAGCGTGACTATGAGCAACAAGCAGCCAGAATGATGATGCATCAGCAACGAGAATACATGGGCCGGGAATGGCTTGGTGAGGCTCCCTTACAAATAACCTACGCTGCTGTCGATTTGCTTGTCAAGCAGCATCGATTTGCTGAGGCAGCTTTACTATCACTTACGCAGCAGACCCCCGAGCCGTTGAGACCATGTTCCGGCACCTTCACACAGCAATATGGTCTTCTCTGCAGTCACTATATCTACGACTTGCTAGTAACTAAAGAGCCGTTATTAAAGGAAGTTATCCTGCCCCGCTGGTGGCTCAATAAACCTCTGGTAGGAATCACAGCTCTTTATATAAGAAATCTGCTAATTTCTACCTCTAGGACCTCGAAGAGCCACTCCTGCTGATCCGCGACCCTGACGTTGTCGCTAACCTCCGCGGCCGACCTCGAATACCTATAAATAGGAAGCTCATGATACCCTCACATCTACAAGCCAGTGTGACCTCGAGTCTCCAGCAACAGACCCAAAGCCAACAGACCCCCCGGCAGCCTCGCCAAAACCCACAGACGACCCGGCGGCTCAACCCAAGCGTACGGCGCACGCTGTCACAGACCGAGCTTGTGGACACACTAAGCAGCCAACAGTCCCGAAAACTGTCGACGCCAAGATCAAGAGGCCATACAAATACAAGGAAAAGAAGATCTAGAGGAGGACGAGGCAGAGGTAGGGGCGCCGGGGCCGCGGCTCCGGCCCGGTCGCAGTCATCAGCGTCGTCAGTCGTTGAAGATGTCATTATCATTCCGGCTACGCAGCCGGAATATTAGTCGGACCGATAGAAATACTATTTTTTTAGAGGAAATACCGGAAATGCGTTTTTTGAGCGATTTGGCTGTAGCCGGGCTCGCGGGCTGTTGTGATGTGTTGACCTTGATTGAATTGGCCTGATGTTATTCGCGTTCTTTGACTTACACTGTAATTTTGGTGTGGCGGGGAGCATTTGCCGAATGCGGTTAAAAATTACGTGGTCATGTGATCAATACAGCCCGGATAGCAATATCATACAGCCCGAATAGCACTACTCTTTATTTATTTTGCGTTCCCTGATGATTTGACATTCGATATTCCGGTCGAGATCTAACCCGCCGTCGTCAAGATGTACGAGGTAATAGCGCTCATGCGCTCGCTAGTGAGCTTCAGGGACACCCTCAACAGTTCCCTACCAACCTCCGGCTGCTCGATTTGAATCTTGGCCCACTGCTCCCGGTCCATAAGCCAGACGACACAATCTCTCTCCACCACCGCAGTCGCCGTCCGATCAGTATCGGAAAAGAAGGGGAGCTCGCCGCAGGTCGTGCCCGCCACGATGCTCTCGCAAAGCCATCCCTGAGGGAGGTCGTATTCAGCCCGGATGATGCCCCGTTCCAACATGTAGAAGCCGTTCGCCGACTCTCCGCGCCGGAAAAGAATGGTACCGGCCGGATACTCGCGTCGGGTAAAGTATGAGGTTGCTGGGAACCAGAAGTCCTCGTTTCTTTCCTCGTTTCTTTCACTGAGGCCCTGGAAGATCTGGAGCATGAGCCTAAGAGGCTCTTGGAAGCTCATCCATCTGGATGGACGCCGCACGTCGACACTGCTCAGTGCATCCTGGGCAGCCTCGACAAGATGGTTTCGCCGAGGTGAGTTGAAGGGCGGGTCGAATGAGGAGAACGCAGTCGAAGATCTCGCAGGGACATCCAAGTTCTGGATGGAAACTCGCTTCAAAGCAAGCTCCTCCTGTCTCGCATATAGGGTTTTTAGAAGCTCGTTCTCGCAGCTCTCCAATGCAGAGTTAAGATCGGGCACCATCATGACATCGATTCCATCGCTTCCTAATCCAACGGCCCTCAGGTTTCGACCAAGCTCACTGTCGCAGTCAACACCACTCAGGACAAAAACAACGTCCTTGTTGTTGAGAAGCCTACTGATGGTATTGAACGCTTCACCGGCCGAGTAATCAAGGCCAGAAACGTGCCACAAGTCCAATATTAGGAACTTGATGGGCTGCTTGGCAAATGCACTGTCCTCCAACAGGCATCGAATCTTCTCCTCGACGCTCACAACGGTTCCGAAGAAGAGATACCCCGTGAGCTTCACAATATAAATCTGGCAGCCAACCCGGTGCAGGTAGTGATGCTGCCAGAGATTGCGCCTCACAGTGGAAGTGACAATGTCACCGGAATAGTTTCCACGGATAGCTGACACCAGTGAAGTTTGTAGAATGAGTGATGCGAAGGCTAGCAAGATGCCAGCCCCGATACCCACCACAAAGTCGTGAATGCCCATGACGAGCACAATGACGACTACGGTTATGTACTCAGCGAGCTTGAGCTTCTTGCGGGGGAGCCATAGCGCCTCCAACATGAGCTCAAAGCCCAGATCAAAGATCAAAATGCCCACCATCATGACCGGAATGAATCCGATAAGTGATGGGCCAACAAGCATGACGCCGAAGGTGGCGGCAGCTAGCATATAGCCTGCGAGGCGTGTGTTTCCGCCTGACCGCATGAAAAACACGGTGTTCGCATAGACCAAATAGTTCTGGATGCTGCCAAAGCAACCAGACAGGAAATTGGAATAGCCATGAAGCCTCAGCTCCTTGTCGAGATCAGCGTGGTCTTCGCCGCAGTTCAGGGCCAAGGCAGGGACGTTGATCGGGACATGTAGGATGCCGAAGAAGGTTAAGGCAAACATGGCGGGGATACATTCGACGACTGCATCCCAGCGCACAAGTTTGAACTCTGATGTGATTGTTAGAATGGTTGCCAAAGACATCTATAGAGAGTGAAAAGCACTTACGGTAGAGAGTGTAGAAATACCACCACGGCTCCCAGGAGGGTGGCCCTTGGAAAATCCATCCTTGGTCGCGCAATGTATCCACATCCAACACGTCGAGAGCCAATACAAAAAAGTAAAAAACCAAGGGAATCGCCAAGATAAACAAAGGCAAAAAGAACTTGGAGGTAATTTTTGACTGCTCGTAGAAGAGAAGAATGGCCAGTATCAGGGGGACAACCCAGAGCGGTACGGTTGATGGGTTTGTCAACTTCTTCAGCGTGTCGAGGTCATATTCCAGACTACCGTCGAGGCGAGCCGATACCTCGAACCCCGTAGCGACCAAGAACCATCCGACGCCACCTATGCATCCAATCAAGATGTGCCGGGGGATGAACCCCACCATATATCCAACCTTGAATCGGCCCATGAGATAGAAGACGAGGCCGGTAATCATGGCACTTATGGAGTATGACACGATAGTGGTGGCAATGGTGGCGTCAGGGTTATTCTCTCCAACCGTATCGGTGATTCGGAACGCCATGTTGTGAAAGAACGGCACCACCTCGATCTGCGGCGTGTTAGTCAATGACGCCGGAATTGCGCCATACTACCTTATCAGAGACTCACCAATTCAGACCCCACGGCGCCCTTAAAGATACTGCCCGATGAGAATGTGATTTGTGACACGATGGTGCTGACATAGAAAACTGAGATACCGGCAGATCCTAGATGTGAAAAGATTGGCTTTCCCAGAGGAAAAAGAATCATACCTGTTATCCGTCAGCGAATTGTATAAGGCCCCATAACAGTTTAACGCACCGTAAGAGAGCGCATCTAGAATGTTGAGCAATAGACCAACAGTCACGGCGGGCAAGCATGAGACGTGAGTAACCACCGTGTTGTGCCATATTGCCTTGCCATCCCAGCGGCGCAGATTGACGGCGACCGCAACGCTATGTGTCACTCGTTCTTCCACCTTGTGGCCTGCTTCTACCAAACCGCTTATCCAAGGACGCTTTGCGCGAGATTTCAGACCCTCAAGATCCTCCGTGTAAGACCGCCTGCCGCCTGAAGTCACCCTCGACAGCAGTGGCGTGCGCTCCGAACTGGCATCGGTATGGAAACGCGGCTCGGGCTGGTTTCGGTCCCCATCGTCTTCTTCATGTTCGGTCTCGGGAGGGTGATGTTGAGCCATCGACTGAGGAGGGGAGCCCTTGAGGAGGTTTGCAAGAACCGAGGGCCCGGCGGGCGCATGTGTGTCGCGCTCGGCCTCTGGCGATGGCGGCTCAGATACCTCTACAGTCGTTGTCGAGTTGCGCGCATGGTCAGTTATGGAAGACTCGTCGCCGTAATCGGACACGGCAACTTCGTGGACGGATGATCGCGAGCGTAGGAATACGGGGCTTGGGGGAGCTTGTCCGTCTGAGAGGAGGTAGGTGGCAAGCTCCGCGGTGTCTTGACGAATGTTTCTCGCATTTTGAACACTATCTACCGGAACTAGTCCGCAGGAGTTAGCGATTTTGGATTGTCTTCAATTTTTTTTATTTGGAAGCAAAAGCTGGGTGTAAGCAGGCGATGGTGTGGAGATGATAAGGGCGTTAAGCGCATTAACTAAACATACCCAGTAAGTCATCTCGCACAGAGCTGTGAATAAAGGATCGAATGGGCTCTCGATGGCTGGGCGCGGAGCTGATGGACGTCGGGCGAGCTTGCGTAGCAGTAGTAGAAGTTTGGTGGGAACCATGCGAAGGGCTCGAGCTGAAGCCATCGGCAGGTTGGAGCTGCGGGGGATCGCGCTGCGAGGTCGAGCTCAATGCCCTCCTCCTCCATGGAGTGAAGCTGAGCGGCGAAGACATTGGATCAGCTCAAAGCTCGGAACTGGCCGATGAAGCTCCAGGAGGCAGCCGGAAAGTGGGAGGGATTGGGCATAGTTATTAATATCGCATGGATGAGGACACGACAACGAAGAACGGAAAACATAGAGAAACTCAAACCACCACGAAAGGCGGAAGTAAAAGCATTCCAGGCCTCAGATAGCGGACAGACGGCGAGAGTTCGTGGGGAATGAAGTAACGAAACTCATTGACCGAGTCCTGGTGGGTCATGGCACCAGCGAGCGGGCGCAAGCTGTTGCAATAAGTTTGAATAGCCCTACGGGTATCTTTTAATTTTATTGTCATGCCGCTTTAAAATTCACTCTGAACCACTTAACGGCAGTAAACCTCCTCTGCAAGAAGAAGAGCTGAAACTTAAAAGCAACATCATCACTCTTCCTAATTAAGCTAAAACAATCCGGCGGTACCTGATAATTGATTCAAACTTATTGCCACCCACTGTAGGCGTGAACGCCCGTAAACTAGTCAACTCAAGAAAAACCTTGCTTTCAATTCAGCGCAAGATTCCCTTGTCCGTTTTGCATGTGGGCTCGCCCCTCAACACTCAAAGACCGGGCACCGAACCCGCCCCTGCAGAGGCTCCGGAGTGGTTGCTAACCAGTGCTGTGCGCAGCCGTTTCATCGCACTCTATCCGAACTATGGGAAACAAAAATCCCCCAGACGTTGCTCGTTCACCATCCTCACAACCATGTCCAATTCCCCTTCGTCCAACGCAGCCGTTGGCAGCGTGCCCTCCACAGCCGACGACTCTGGTGAGCGATCCTGCCATCGTTGGCGCTGCCCCTCTTGTTCCTCAGCCTGACCCGCTCCGCCCGCCGATTTTGCCCCCAACTTGCTGTCAGACGGAGAGACCCGGCCGCGAGGATGACTAAGGATAAGGGAGGCTGGATTGAGCCGAAAAGAGGGGAAATCCTCAGACAAGCAACAAGCAGATACATCGATCACAAGTCACGATAACAGCCCTATTACGACTGTAATCATCACAATTGCAATCGCCTATTTGGCCCCTTTATTATCATCAATTTCCCTGTGCCGTAACGCACAGCAATTCCGGCCGCTAGACCGATTTGACCCTGTCACGTGTCGGACACCTGCCTACTGACCATTCCAGTCAACACTGAGGCGGCCGCCAATTTCCCTCCTCGCCGAATGTGGTTCAGCATAACTAGCGAAGTAGATGCCACAGATGCCTCTGCGACTAGTGGCTTATGTACAGTAATGGCGCCAAGATCTGTAAGTAGGCGTGCATGCAAACCCAACGTGAACTGTCTGGACGCAGTCACCAGCGTCGGTGCGCCAGATCCGTACCGTCTGGTCCTCCGAGGCTGACGCTACGAGCTCCGAGTTGTGTGAGAAGGCCACCGACCTAACGGAGCCGCTATGGCCCTTGAGTTCAGATGCAATCACCCAGGTTTGAGGATACAAGGGGTGTCAGGCTGTTTGATAAGAGCTCTTATCTTTTGCGACGCACGGTCCATAACATCCCCAGCAAGTCATCAATTGACGCCTGAAAAAGACAATAAAATCGGTTCACAGCGCTGCATTATGAGAAGGGTAAGTCTATGAGATGAGCGATATTTTCGCTTTCAATTGATATAATTTTCTTGATCGATATTGCTGTTGTTGATTTTTTTGTAGAATATATTCCTCGCCACTATTTGCATCTGTACCCCGAAAACCGGCATTGATAAGATTGATGATTGATGCGACCAATCCATCCGGCCAACTGCAGAGAGTTGATGTCATTCTGACCCCAAAATTCACCAACTATGACGGCATTTCCAAATCGGTGAAGTGGGGTATGATAGCCCTCATCGTTCTCAAATTGCTGTACACCACCGCGTCACTCCCCCCAGGTCGTCTCTTCTCAGCCCTGCTTCCGCGAGGCTTATGAAATATGAAGCTCATTTAGCGGCTCTATTTTTAAGCCACACACGATTATACGAGTTTCCTTCCACAGAATCGGTCCCAGCTATCCTATGTATTTAACATGACAAAGATGGACGGGCAGCATCTCCTTCCTAGCTTTGGGCCCTACGATCCACATCCAGCCATGATCGGGTCGGTTGGCTGGCGAGGGCGCCAGCCACATTCGTCCATTCGTGCTCCTAGCCAAGACACCAGCGACCCTGTCGAGACAGCAATTGAACCGGATGACTTGCGGGCCATGAGCCCGCGGATGACAAGCGAGGATGTTGAAGCGTTGGAGCCAGTGTGTCCAACAACCAAGTTACTTGACTTGGTTGGTTGGGATTGGTTGATTACGTAACAACCAAGTAAAGTAAAGACGGTCTTCAACCAAGCAAAGCAAGACCCCTTCGCTTACTCGGGTTTACTTGAGGTTACTCGACTGCATTTCCGTTTTAGGCAAGGTCGTTGCGAAACCCCCCCTTTTTTTTTTGAGGTCGCGACAGGAGGCTGCAGCCCGATCAATTTGTCCCATGTCTTTTGCTGCACAGTCCAAATCCCAAGTTAATAATGCCTTCATATCCAATGTTTCAGCCTCGGGGAAGGTTCGGAAAGGCTACACCCCCTAGGACTCCCTCTGAGCCGATCGATTCTGCTCAGTCCAGTACCCCTAGCTCGGTCTCAACTCCAACCAGTGTGCCACTTCATGGCGCTTCTCCCGCAACCGTTTCCCACGAAAGAGAGGTGCCAAAAGCTTCTCAATGCCATTTCCCTGTCGAGTGGGACAAAATCCGTTACGATGGGAAGCCAGTGCCATCCATCCGATATCGTCAGCCTCATAAGCGCACCATCAACTCCAAATCCCAACCCTCAGCAATCTACAGACACGGCGCACAGCTTACAACGGACGGAGACAATAAGTACTGGCTCTGCAAATACTGCCACGTTAGTGGCCATCACAATACTGCGCTCTTTGCCAGTGAGAGCACGACCAGCATTATATACCATCTGAAACATCAGCACAGGCTGGAAGAATTTGGCTACAAGGCAGCAGAATGCAACCCCTTCAGCATAGCCAAGGGCGCAACAAATCTCACATCATACCTCGGAGGCCGGCGCTTGGTGTTCAACGACCTGCAATTTAAAGACGATTTTACCGACTGGGTGATTGATCTTGATCTCACCTTCCGTCAAGCAACCCATCAACGCACCTATGAGATTTTTACCAACTATCTGGAAGACAGCGACAAGATTCTGCCCAAGAGCCCGTCAGCTCTTAGTAGCTGGGTCAAAGAGAAATGGTTTGGTGATGCTGGGAGACGTGTTTGGCTGAGAGAAAAGCTCCATCTCACCACAAGCAAGATTCACGTCTCGACGGATGCGTGGACATCTGAAGAAGGGACAAACTATCTAGCTGTTGTTGCTCACTTCTTGGATGAAGGACATAAGCTACAGACAGCTCTTCTGGATCTTCCCCCTCTGAAAGGCCCTCACTCCGGCGAGAATATTGCCAAGGTGCTGTCAACAGTCATCGATTTCTACGATATCTCCCCAGTCATTGGCTTCTTTATGATGGACAACGCTAGCAATAATGACACATGCATTCAGGAGCTAGCAAAGCAGTACCCTGCAATCAATCGTCAGAGTCGCCTTCGGTGCGTCGGCCATATGCTGAATCTCATCGTCAAAGCTCTCCTCTTTGGGCAGGGCGTTAGCAAGCTGGAGCAACGGCTCCGTGGCGCATCTGATGACGAGCGGTTTGAGATATGGAAGAAGCAAAGCTTTATCGGCAAGCTCCACAACTTCTGTACGTGGATCAACAGAAGCGACCAGCGACGAGAGAGACTGAAACAGTACGTTCTGCAGGCGTACGACGAAGGCAGCATCGAGAGCCTCTACACTAGAGTCCTGGTCGATGGCGGGATCCGCTGGAACTCTGTATATTCCATGATTGAAAGAGCTCTGAAACTCCGCCACGCCATTGATCTATTCTTCCTCAACTACAACGATACCAACGGAGAATATGATATCTCACAGGATATCCTTACTCCACAAGATTGGACCGATCTGGGCCACTTCCTCAATATCTTAAAGCCCTTCAAAGACCTAACAAAGCGCATGGAAGGCCGGGCAAACAAAGCTGGCCTAGAAGGATCGCATGGCTCCCTCCACGAGACGATCGAGTCGCTTGATGTCCTTTTCAAGAAGCTCCAGGAGGCTGGGAAGTTTGCAGATGATCACCCTGACGTGGTGTCAACATACTATTCCCATGCTATTGATGCTGCTCGCATCAAGCTTGAAGAATATTTTGGCCTCACAGATGCCACGCCTGCATACCGATGTGCAGTTGCCCTGCATCCGGCAAACAAATTTACCTACTTCGAGCTTGAATGGAGTCACAACAAGCAATGGATCAGCGGGGCGAAGAGAGTGGTGCGGGAGGCTTATGCACAATACGAGGAAGCAGCTGCGGAAGTGGACCTAATAGAAGGAGCACGACAGCAGGAGGAAGAGGAGGAGGAGGAGGAGGAGGCTATTGCTGATAACGGGGCGAGGCTTGATCCACTCCAGCAAGCTCGTAAGCGTCGTCAGAGGCTTGCTGCCATTGCGGCGTCAGCCACACGAGGGAAGCGGACAAAACTGACATCTGAGCTGGATGAGTTTATGGCCAGGACTAATAAGGCTGATCTGGATGTTGAGGATCCTCTGGAATGGTGGGTTCGCCATACATCTGACTACCCCATCCTGTCCAAGATGGCGTTTGACTTGTTCAGTTGCCCAGCAATGAGCGCCGAGTGTGAACGCGTTTTCTCACAGACAAAGAAGGTTATCACAGATGAACGAAATCGGCTTAATTCGGACACTGTAGCAGCGATTGAATGCCAAAAGCACCTGCTTCGAAGCGGTATGTTAGCATAGATCTACCACCGGAGCCACATAAGGAATGGAAAATAGTCGAGTAACGTCAACCAACCAAGCAAAGCAAGCCTCTCTACCGAGTAAACCAAGTAAAGCAAGGGGGTCCCGTCAACCAAGTCAAGTAGAGGGTCCAAATTTTGCTTTACTTGGTTGATGGACACACTGGTTGGAGCGTGAAATGCATACTGAACTGCGCCGGTTAGTGAAGACTATGGGATCTGCCGTGAACGTTAGATGTGTCCGAGGGTGGCCATCTTGGGAACTGCTCACTGACGTTTGTTCCTGCGGATCTAGGCATGCGAAGGCGTTGCAGGACTCACTACTCCTCATCTTTAACCGCGTCGAGGCAGTTAAGAAGGGACATGAGAAGCTAGACAGCAACAACAAGTTGCTGCAGAAGTATATTGGAGATTTGACTAGCATGCACTAGAACATGGCTTCGGGCAGCCACGAGAAGTACTGAACCTTTTGTGGGAAGTTTTTGTCGTTCTCCTGAGACCGACACGCAACAACAGCTGGAACCCGACTTTGAACTTGGTTCCAGCAACTGGAACGAAATGTTTGGCCATTAGATTTCTGTTGGTGTGTTTTGCGGTCTCCAGACGTCCTGGGGTCCGGCCACGAGACAGCGCACATCTTACATTCAACTTCAGAACTGGCTGTTCTATCCCTGCTACCTCTAGAACTAGCTAGTCCCTGCTGCCTTCAGAAATGGACGAGCATCATCACAGTACGACAGGAATCGACATGCTCTGAACCACTACAGGGGGACATTAATCTGCAGTTTTTGCCCCGGCCTTGGATCTCCAGCAGAAGTCTCGTTCAATCGCCGAGACTTGTTCAAAAAAACACCTTGTGGAGACGCATGACGTCCCAATGAAGCCGCCGAACGGTCACAGGCCACCGGGTACTAGATCCGGTGTCGAGGCGGCTGGCGATTGTAATATCTGCCGGCAGACATTCTTGAGTCCCGACGACTTGTATGACCATCTAGATGACTGCGTGCTCAGTGTGCTCATCGAGGAAGACCCTGCTGAGGCAATCAACGAGAAACTCTTGGCCGAGGTTATGGGCGGCGAATTTACAAACAGCTCCCCAGAGTTATATCAGGTGGAGCCACCACCCTTCACAGGCAGGGAGGATAACCTGTCGCAGGAATCGCGGTCACTATCCTGCGGCGTGGGGTTTCGATGATAGCCAGTAGTCATTAAAGAAACGGGTCACTGCCTGTTGAGATCCGTGGTTTAACGGATCAATGGCTATTCCGATCCATTGGTGGATATCATCTTATCAATAGCTTCCGCTGTTTAGCGCTAGTTTTCTTCTTCTTCAATAAACACAACATGCTCATTTCAACACTGCCGTCTTCGACGGCCCTATTCGACTAGCCAGGGATGAGATTGTGCTCTCGAGGGATCTTGGAATCCGACTCACGTTGTCTGATGGTGCATCATATGTGACCGATCTCGGCGTGATGACTCTCAGCAGAGCAGAAGCTGTCTTTGCAGGGCTGGAGGAGGCAGAACTGAGCGCAACACAACAAGTTCCTCAGACATCGCATATTAGCGATTGATGACTACCAATTACTCAGTATCACACGTCGGTAGCTGGCATAATACAACAATTCTAAGAAGAGAGCCTGTAGTAGTTGGTATCCACGGCGCCGCTGAGCCGTCGCTGATTCACAGCGGCGAGGCGAGGCGTGGCGCCCACCGGCTTGGCTGATCCTGAACGCCCCCCGCGCCTGCGGCGCCCGGCCAATGGTATCCCGGTATATCCACAGCGGGCCCCCCGCGCTGGCCACCCGGATGACCGTGGATATTCGCGAATATCCATGCTCCCTCGCTGATCGGCCCCTGGGGTGCCCCGGTCCTGCTGATCTGGCGCTGGAAGGCTGGGCCGGCCTGAAAATTAATTATATATCTCTGCAGACCCCAGGCCGGTCTAGGCCGGCCTACTCTGAAGACCTCATATGCGATAGATCGGATCAGCTGTCGCCTCTTTAATTGATATCCGACTATGACGAGAAGACGGGCTGGGAAGAGGAAGGCGGCGGCTGTGGCCGACTCGATAACCGTCAGGACCAGCACTGCAACGACTACTGCGACCGGGGCTGTTGCCGGGGCCGCTGCAGCCGGCACCAGGCACCACGGTCGCGTCGGGCTTAACGCGCGCAATAACGCTGAGCTACGTGCTAACGCACAGCATATCCTCTCGATGATCCAAGACGCGAGGCCGAGAAATACAGTGGCTGCATATGAGCCGAAGCAGAAGGAGTTCAGGGACTTTTGTGAGCGCAAGCAGTATCAGGATGCAGATACCGTTACAGAAGACAAGCTCCTCCTCTTCCTTGTTGAGGAGGTCGCAGACCGGCCGCTCAGGGCTAAGAGCCACAAGGCGGCTGAGGATACTCTACAGGAGGCTACGCGGCTTGCCTGGCGATCAGTCCGCAGCTATACGACTGCTATCACCGACCTATATCGTACGCAGAAAGCGCTCGGGGTGAATACCCACCCTTCACCCCGGGAGGATAACGTTCGGGAGTACCTCAAGTCCCTCCAGCGCCGGGATGCACAGCAGGATAAGGCTAGCTACGCCGATAAGGGCCGTGATACCCTCCTCGATGGGTATACAGAGCAGGAATTCGAACGCGTCTGCTACGAGCTCTGGGCGCATAGCAGTATGGCTGCTGAGTGCCACCTGCGGACTCTCGTGGATCTGCTGCTCGGGCACTATATGCTGACCCGAGGTGGCGACCGCCGCGCGGCCAAGATCTCGGACCTCTTTACCTTCGAGTTCGAGGAGGAGGGCCCGACCCGCTGCATGCCCCTGATCTTCACAACGCGGGCTGGGAAACAGAACCAGCACGGCCGCCTTGAGACAGCCGGGGCCTTCCGGAATAAGAACCCGGTTATCTGCATGCTGGGCGGCCTTGCCTTCTACCTCCTCTATCGGTGGGATATAGCTGCCGACGAGCTGTTTCCAGACCTTAGCCAGCGGTCTGCGTGGTATGATACCCGGCTGATCAAAGGGAGCGGGAGCAGGTATAACCATACAGCCGCCCTCTCATATAACTCACAGCGAGACTGGGTCGTCAAGGCATTTGCATATGCCGGCATCGCCTCGAGGAAGAAGACGCACGTTGGCCGGAGCTCAGGGGCGAAGACGGCTGAGCTCAAGGGGATCAGCGAGGACCAGATCCGCCGCGCCGGCCGCTGGAACCAGGAGCAGATGATCGGCTGCTACCTGAACTCCCTGCCTCGCAATTTTATGCGTACAATGGTCGGGCATCTGCCACAGAAGGGGTGCTTCGAAATATGCCGTGCTAGTATCATGCCACCGGATACCCTCCTCTCTATGATCTGGCCAGACCTCGACCGTTGGGAGGGCCGGTTCGGCCCTGCCCCTAATCAGATCAACGACCTCGCGGCTATGGGGCTTACGAGCTTGCTCTCATACCTCCGTGAGGTCATCCTGCAAGACTCGGTCTTTCTGATCAAGCAGTTCCCAGATAGCCCGGTCCAGTGTGGCTAACAAACCGACCGACCTAGACCGTCCCCTTCGGTCTGTCGGTTTGGGTTGGTCAATGCTCCCGGTCGGTCGGTCTAGGTCGGTCTGGGTTAGCAGCCCGGTCGGTCTAGGTCTGATTATCTGATGCCGAGATTCTACCCGCGCTAGTTAAAGGGGTGCACTCAATGGCTACCTGCGCCACGCCCCACTTATTTTGTGGAGCGAGTTCGGGAGTGCCAAAATAAGTGGGGCGTGGCACGGGTACCTTAGGGAGGAGCCGACCAATGGCGGCCCTGGAAACCCCCAACCCAGACCGACTCAGACCACCCAATCCGACCGGCAGCTCTGGTCGGTCGGTCTGACGAGAATTGCCGGTCGGTCGGTCTGCGGTCTGAAGGTGGTCTGTCAGACGGTCTGTCAGACGGTCGGTTTGTTAGCCACACTGGCCCGGTCTGGAACCACCCGGTCTTTCAGCATGAGGCTTACTTGCAGTTCGCACAAGAGGTATCAGCCCTTGTGGAAGAAGAGGGCGAGAGGCCGAGCCAGCTAGCCCTGCTAGCCCAGGCCGTCCCAGCTCTTGCAGACTATCTCCAGTCCGTCGATACCCGCAACGACACAAGGATCACCAGCCTACAGGCCGACCTTAGGGCGGATCTAAGAGCCGACCTACGAGCCGAGCTTCAGGGCGTCAGGGAGCAGGCCTCGCAGCTCCAGTCGCTCTTCTCAACTGGCCTCACCTTCCAGCTCAAGACAGCCGCCACCCCTGGTCTCCTGCAGCTACAACCAGCACCAGTACTGCCGCCAGCACCAGCACTTACTGCCGCTGCTGCCGCCGCTGCCAAAGAGGCCCAAAGCCAGTACACAACAGCTTACTCAAGCAATAGCAGCAACAGCCGCTCAGTGACCCCAGGGCTAGAAAGACCGCCACAGCATCGTATGTGCCGGGAGGTTAAGACAGTCAGGGACTTATGGAGAGAGTGGACAGTCGGGCTACGAGGCCAGCAAGCTATTGCTACTCTCGATAGCCGCTGGGGAAGCCGGTGGCGGGCTGGCCGGCAGAGCGAGGTGCAGTGGTACTCCCTACGGCTCGAGATCATCAAGGAGATTCGCCGTATGGCGCAGGCTCAGCGTATAAGCGAGGAGGCTGCGATGTATGCCATAAGCCTGCAGCAGCAGCAGATAGGCTACTCAATTGACCAGCTCTGCAAGTTCCTCCGAGCTAATAGAAAGGCCCGGCTAACTATACAGAAGAAAAAGAAGTGAAGAGGAGTTGGCGGTATCTATAGGGTTTATAAGTAATTTATAATCTACGATCTCTATCTTCCTCTCGTGAGCTGTAAATAATACCTCTTCTATCCGCAGGCCGCCTTGGGCTTCACGGCCCTCCGGGCTGCCTATATATAACTCATCGCACAAGTGCCTCATCACATAAACTGACGGATCCGGGATCGGGGGGCCCTGCTTGATAGCTTCAAGCAGGTTCCCGGTTATTGCGCAAAGATAGAGACCTTCGATTACGTAGGAATTGCGTTACGCCGGTCAGGCCAGGCGACCGTGGAGAGGGGGTAATATTCGAAGTCGCTGAGGGCACGGACGTGATTTGGCGGCGTTGTGGCGCTAAGCGGCTTGAATCAGCCACCAAGAGGCCGCCGTGGATATCCTATTGACAACTCCACAACATTTAGTTGCCATGCCATACAAATATCGTCGCCCCAGAACCCCAACGATTCCGTGACAGGCACCGAAACTCCACAATTAGGAATATTACGCACACTACAACCAAAACCTCCGATCACTGATTCGAATTCAACGGGCGGGCCACGGGTTACGATGCGTTGGGACGCCGCCTATCGAACTACATATGACTCTCGTTCCGAGGTTTCACAAAGAACGTCCCGTGCCTTGAATCCGAAACCGCCGGTCACAGCCCCGACAAGTGGATCACAATCTCGAGACCCCGGGATAACGCCAAGTAAAGTTCTGAGTACACAGCTCAGTGCTGGGGCTTTTGTTCCCATCAATACTGAAGCCAACTCCTCTACGCCTCCTATCGGCCAGCTCCAAGCGACAAAGCCTCAGGTTTCCCAAGTTCCAACTCCCGATATTCCACCTGCAAATACGAAGATTTTTAGGAGATCACACTTAGGAACACTCTACAGATCAGACTCGGCGACAGTCTACTTAATACGCGAGCCATTCTTGGTTAGATCCCCAGTCAAACCACTAGTCAAACCTCCCGTCAAACCCCCGACCAAACCTCTATTTCCATGCAGCATTCAAATGCAAACGGGAGAGCCACGATTTGGCCAGCCGCCGCATGAGGTCCCCCCATACTTTCTGAAACGCCTGCGAGAATTGACGGGAAGCCGAGATGAGAACCCCCTTATATCTAAATTTCTTATAAAAGGCCGTTACCTCTGCCCTTGGTGCCAAAGAAAATATCATCGCACCGTCAGTTTTACGGATCATCTGGTCTTAAATCATATCAGGTCCCCCGATCCGAAGGTTGTATCACGATCCGAGCTTGACTCTAGCGTCGATAGCGATATAATCGACTTGACTTCCGAATCATAGGAAATGTCTATAGTGTTAATACTATTTCTCTTGCTCAATTCATGGTGATCCTCTAGTGAATTCTGGTCTCAAGCTCGAATAAACCAGAATACTCGTAGAATTTCCTACATCCTCACGTTCGCGAGCTGGCACCGTACTCCAGTGATTTGACCTGCTCGGAACTGATTTCCACGCTTAATCAAACATGAATTCCACGTGTCTTTTATTCCTTGAATGCGCAGACGGAAAATCGGTCGATCAACCTCTTCCTGGACATATCTGGGCATTTGAGCTAACTCATGAGTTTCGACCCTTTTAACTCACCCATATGAGTTTCGGTCTCACCATACCTCACTCATGAGTTTAACTCAGACTCATGAGTCAACTCGCGTAGTGTCAGACGGAGGGGTCCGGTTCGGTCTGATGACGAAGGAAGCGGGGGTCTTGGAGACCGTAGATGAGGGAAATCCCTCGCCGGTTAAGATGAAAAAGAACACGGTCAATCCATCAGTCATCACGACGTTATTAAGGTCATATTTATCATCAATTCAAGCAGCCTATTTTGGCATCATTTGATCGTACATTTCCCGGTGCCAAAGGCACCTGTTAAGAGGTCAACGATGTGTGCATTGATGATTATCACTAGCTAGCTAGGCGAGGGAATTGGAGCCTGTATGAGGTCCCGGCTGCCTGAGGCCACAGCCGCCGTAGGCGGCCGTGGGCTTCCTTCAACAGCACCCAACTCAGACCGTCAGACCCCACTTACGGAGTCACGAGATCTGACACGTAGTTTGGGGCGGTCAATAGGCGGACGGGTACCCGTCCTTCTAAAATTGGACGGGCCCGTCCTAATTACCGTATTCGGTATCGCTCCCTCCGTTGTCGGACCTTCCATCGCGTCCTGTCTAACCTTACGTCTACAAACACAACTTCTCAGGTAGCACCCTTCAGTAGTTATTAGAACACAGTCATGCTCTTTTCTCTCCTTGTAGAGTTGGAGAGTTGAAGTTAACTGTCTTCGATAAGCTTCAAAAGTACTATGGCTGAACTATAATACAGCTTTCTTCTTGCTCTACAGCTGAGTACAAGGCTTGTTGTTCATCAATGTCTTGCTGTGCCATTTCCCACAACTCACCCATACCTCTTCTGCTAGTGACTAATCGCCCGTTTTCCGTCTCCTGGGCGACGCGGGCTTCGACACGATCGGTCTCTGTCTTGTCCCAGTCCAGATAAGCCATCATCTCTTCTTTGGTCCAACCCCTTGAGTCTGCCGAGGTCGTACAGCGTTTCCCCATCTGCTTGTAATCAAGACACCACTTGAAGCTTTCTTTAGAATATCTTAAGGGCAGTCCCATTGCCTTTCGATACTGCTGATTGCCCACAAAATTCCCACGGCTTTGGGCTTTATACCAAGCATCTCTGGACGCAACGTATCTCTGGTGAATTGCCCGCGGATCACTATACCTAAGAGGCGGAGATGAAGTTGGATTTTGTAAAGATGGAGGCAGTGATGACCTGCGGGGAGAGATTGTAGGCGACAGAGATGTAGGCTCTGCAGGCAGCTGAAAGAATGGTTCCGCAGATGGCTCGTTGGTGGTTGCTTCCTGAACAGCTGGCTCCGGTTCGATGGCTAATTGTAGTGAGAGATCCGACGCCGCGTCAGATTCGAACTCGAACTCTTCTGGGGTGATGACCGACTGCCATTGTATCTGCTCGAATGTCGTCGCCGAAGGTAGAAGCGGCTGCTCTGACACTGGGTCCGGTATCCACCGAAAATGTTGTAATTGAGCCTTTGGCAGCTTCGAAAAAACAGCCGGTAATGCTCTTAGTTCTGAATATCTCAATGGACAATCTTTCGAAGTTCTTGTGTGACCCAGTATATGACATTTGCTGCACAAAGGAGGCGTTCTTGTAGCTCTCACATTCTCAGCGACTTCGAAACCACTGAGTTCTCTTCTAACGCTCGATAGCGGTAAGGACGAAGTTGTGGTGGCTGGGTCGATGCGCTGACGAGGTTCTAGGAGTGGTCGTGGAGTATCTTTCCGATGCAGGTGCCAATGTGGGTGGAAGTCTTCGAGTTGCAGAGTCTGGTCCTGAGCCAACAAACACTCCAATTTGTGAACACAAGGCAGACCTTGAGACTGTGTAAAAGAGCCTGTACAGGTCGGCGAGGGAAGAGGATATTTACTAAACAGTAGCTTCCGCTGTTGTTCGACCTTCCGTAAAGCTTCATGAGACACCCAACCACGTACAGCACTATACAAGACTCCGGAGAGTTCAATAGGCGTCCGAATATGCTGTTTAGCTTGATTGGACTTTAACTCGGCGAGTTGGTTAAGCAATGCATGTTTGATTGACATCCAAGCTTCGGATAGATCCAATGTCGACACTTTAAGATGACTCTTAAGTAGCCAATGAATGCCTTCAGCCCGTGAAGTGACGACGTTGTCAAAGTGAAGATGTCGATTAACCCAAGCCTTTACTAGCTTCTCTTTGATTGATCAAGCCAGTTCGTCTTGACATACCTTACTTCTTCACTATAGTCAGGAAGATACTTTTGCTCAAACTCCAATACACGTTCATGGAATGTCTCTTCGTTTGGTGACTTGATGATCGAATGCCAATGGCCATAGAACTCTTTCCAGGCTTCAATTCCCTGATTACCTTCCTGGAACTGGCGTGTGAATCGGGGTTGACAGTAACGAAGAACTGCTTTGTTGGCATGCCAAAGACATAGAAGCGGATTGGATGAAGGGAAGCACGTAGCGACGGCGTTCATGCAGGCTACACAGCGATCTGTTAAGACGACTGAAGGATGCCTGATCTTGCGACTTTCACACAGTGATCTGAACCGGTCTAAGGCCCAATAATAATCTTGTTCGCATTCGCCGCTCAAGAAAGCAAACGCAATGCAAAAAGATTGTTGACAAGAGTCAACTCCGATCAAATCCAGAAGCGGCATTCTGTACTTGTTCGTTTTGTAAGTGCAGTCTAGTATGAGGACATCTGGGTAAGATTGGAGGTATGCCACCGAATCAGGGTGAGCAAATAGAACAGCTTTGACTCGACCGTCCGGGCCAGTTTGGAACTGGCTCCAGAATCCTTCTTTGAATAATTGATCAGCAAGTGCGTTGATGCTGTTTTGTCCTTGGCAAACTTCTCGTCTGACGTCTGCAATACGATTATAGATATCTTGCTGTGTTGCTATCGTGTCTGTATTTTGGCGCATATATGTTCTGATTTCTTTTGGGGCGATACCGGCATTTGTAAGGCTTGTCAATTGGGACAGATTCTCTTTGGAGAGTGTTCGAAGTATCGGGTGGGCAGTCGTGTCTTGACTTGGTTCATGGTTATGCTGTGAGAACCTGTTGTCAGAACGATGCCGTAGAATCCAGGTACTCTTGTCTCGAGACTCTTTCCCTAATACCGAGAATTCGCAACCAGTTGTTCGAGTCGTTGTTTTCCGTCGACGCTCTTTTGAAACAATGGGATGGTTGCGGCGACGATCACACATATATGTAATTGTTTGCCGGCCGGTTTTCTCTTTGGTTGACCTTCCAGTTATGAACGCGTAGCCCTTTGTCGCTGCCCAAGCGTTGATCGCTTGGAATAAGGCATCCCGTGATTCATATTCGCCCTCAGGTGGGAGGCAGTCGTCGGCGAACGAAGCCGGTATTCGTCTTTGTGTCGAATCCATGAGAGTGCAATTTTGATAGGCTCACAATTCAAGGCGCCTCAGCCTCATAAGTTTTGGACGTTTCTCGTTGAAGTTGCAGACATGCAAGCTGGATATGAGTCGAGTCACATACTTTTGAACACGACGTGATGGAAGGTCCGACAACGGAGGGGGCGATACCGAATACGGTAATTGGGACGGGCCCGTCCAATTTTAGAAGGATGGGTACCCGTCCGCCTATTGACCGCCTAGATCCTACAGGAGACCGGTCCCCTACGGGGTCCGTCAATGCCTTTCGGAACGAAGCTACGCATGGGCTTGGAGGGCATTGGGTGTTAGGTGATCCGAGCGTTTGGAAGCCCTTTTGCTGCGTACAGCGGAAATTGGATGGATCCAAGCGCCTCCGCGGACCGACTGATAACCCGCCTCAATCCCGCACTTTCTTGGCGTCCTCCCTAAACCTCTCGACATCAACGAGATCCACGGAACCGTAATGCCTCAAAATCAAACCGAGGCGGTAAGTCTCTCCTTAACTGTATTTTGGCCCACTCTCAAAATCTGTCACCGGAGAAGCGTGGGTTACCAGCCGACCCGGTAGCATACTCCGCCTGGGTCCATCTTGCTAATATCCTTGGGTCAGACCGCCTCGCGCACGTTACGACTCACGGAGAACAAGCGCCGCTATCGCGCGCGCCGCAAGGAATACGTGGCCGATCTCGAACGAATGTTGAAAGAGGCGCGGGAGCGTGGTGTACAAGCTACGAAGGAGGTGCAACTTGCGGCTCAGCAGGTTGTGCAGGAAAATGCTAGGCTCCGGGAGCTCCTCGGCCTTGCTGGTTTCAGTCACGAAGATGTTGACGCCTGGGTGAAACAGGGCGGCAGTGGAAGTAGAGGGAATCACGAGAGCTGTGCTCGGTGGCGGACTTGCGAGCAAAAAGCGAGGGACTACGCCTCCAATAGAATACAAGTGGAAGCCGCCAGCGATAGCAGTGGCTCTGGTCGCAAAACCACCTGTAAAGCCTCTGCCACGCAGATGCCCGACATTCCAGAGCTCATCCACGCAACCGAGACTTCTTTGAGCATTGGGGACAAGGGTTGCGACACTCTGTCGCGATCAAGCCAAGACCAGCCGTCCCCGACGGCGCCCACCAGCATTGACTCACCATCTCAATTAGGGGAGGTATGTCGGTCAGCCGCCTCTCCGTCGGGGGATCCCTTGCTGGCGGCGAGGCCGAAGCCGCCGTGCAAACTTCTCTCGCGCCTCGCGGAGAACCCTGGTGCGGACCTGACCCAGAATCCCGATCTTCCAGCTGCGGATGAGCTCGCTCCGACTTCTGGCGATGTGGAGGGAATTGAGTGTGCTAAGGCGTACGAGATGCTCATGCGTTTCGCGACATCTGAGGAGAAGATCGACGACGTTGCAGAGGCGTTAGAGAACGGGTGCACGTCGAATGGCCAGGGAGGGTGCGCTGTCAAGAAGAAGGTCATTTGGCAAGTTCTGGACGGGATGGTTGGATGAAGTGTTTAACCCGGAATGGGTGGACTTGGGTTGAGATATCCGCCACGTGACATTTCTGCAAATCGCCTTGTCTGGGGCGGCATTGCACTCAGGTTTCCGGACTCTGGTTGGGGTCATCGCTCCGAACGAAACCCTGGGAACAAGGGCCCCAAACGCAAAAACGAATGGCCCAGCAGGTATCGAGACGTGACGAAACAACGTGGTTTGAATTGTGCGAGCGAGTTGGTCTGGGGCGACGGCTACTCGGGGGGTGTGCGTGGCCTGGCGGCCCCCGCGTGGACGGCGAAAGCTTGCCGAAGCGGACCAATCATGCGCCGCCTGTCCGTCCACCGATTTCATTCCGCAGCTCTTGCACCATCAGGACCAAACATAGCTAGGCGCAGGCTGGATGAGCCAATTAGAGCCGGCCTGTCCGTCCACTCCCAATGACCCAAGGCAGGTATATATATGGGAGTATGCAACGGGATGATAGCTCTCGGTGAATACTGGATATCAAAGGCTTGAGAGGTAAGCACTCAACTCCAGACTTCTGAAGCGTTAAAACGACCGCTGCTATGACGAATCAGGGATTAGCACCTACATCAAGCCGCCCAATTGAGGCAGGGTCCAACCCCGACGATGTCGAAAAGTCGGCGTCCATGAATCCGCCGAGCATGGCTCCAACACCGCCAACTTCCGCATCTATCGGCGATGAACTAGGCCTTGAGGACAATCCAACGTCCCGCGACTGTCCTACCTGAAATTATTCTGGTTCTTCTTCTACAACTTCGGCCTATTCGCCTGGGGGGGCCCAGTTGCCCAGATCGCCCTGATCAAGGATCGCCTAGTCATTCAGGACAAGTGGATCTCCCTCCCCCGATTCCAACGCGTCTTCTCCGTGTACCAGATCTTGCCAGGGCCCGAGGCTGCCGAGTTATGCATGTTCTTTGGCTGTCTGTCTGCCGGCCGTATAGGTGGCATTCTCGCTGGAATTGCCTTTATGCTTCCCGGCTTCCTTCTTATGCTTCTCGCAAGCTATCTCTATTCCCTCGCCGGCTTCGAAAACACGTACTTCAATGCCTCCTTTAGAGCGCTGCAGCCCATTGTAGCAGCAATGGTGGGGCACCTGACCGTGGAGTTGTCTAAATGGGATCAGGGTGCTGACGGGGTTGCAGATTCTTCGGGCAACGCATAAGATTGCAGACCACTCAGTGAGGAAGCATAACAGTCAAAAAGTCGACCCTTTTCTCATCATGGCGGCCGTTTGCACTGCTATAAACGGCGCACTCCGTATTAACATGTTGGTTCCTCCTGCATTCCCTTTCACCCCACCTTAAGGCGTCCCACAAAATTGCAAAGGACCGCATTGCTGATCTTACTACACCTTTTCAGTTTTATGTCTTTAGGCCTCTATGGTGTCATTTACGCCTTCGTTGCCCGCCGCTTATGGATTCCTGCCGGGGCCCTCTTCATACTCCAGTACGTCGGCTACGCCATTTACGTCGTCTTCCGCGGCGTGCCGTCTCCGGTCTCCCTCGCTCTTGGTATTGCCAAGACCCCATCCACCATTAATCTGTTCGTCCTTGGCTTGGTTGCAGGGAGTTTGTCATTTGGTGGGGCATACACTGCGATACCTTTTGTTCAGGTCGAAGCCGTCCTGATGGGCGGATGGCTCCCCCAGAGCGTGTTCATCGACGCCATTGCCATCGGCAACGTTCTGCCCGCGCCACTGGTAATCTTTGCGACTTTTGTCGGATTTCAGGGAGGATATGTGGATAAGTCGCTCGCAAATGCCTTCGCTGGTGCGGTAGTCATTACGTTGGGCATGTTCTTTCCGTGTTTCCTCTTTACCATTGCGGGGCACAATTTGCTCGAGAAGTTAGTTCGGAACAAGGTCCTCGCCAGTTTCTTCGACGGCCTCTGCGGCTCAGTCATTGGTGTGATTGCCATCATTGCGACGCAGATCTTGAAAGCTAGCGTCCAGGGATCCATCGACAAGTTCAAAGACAAGCCCATGGCAGAGGCGATTGCAATGACTGCTCAGGTCGGGCCTGCTGCAGTGCTTTACCTGCTTGCTCTGGCTGCTCTCTACAAGTTCACGAACAAGTACACGGCTCTTCTACTGGTGATTTGCGGTGCCGTAGCTGGTCAATTTCTTTTCGTCGTTCAGTGAGAAGATACGCTTTATTGAGCTGGCCTGAAAGCGCTGTTGGGAGTCGGGCATTTTGCCGTGGAGTAACGATGTATTTTGATACCTGCCTTTCACTTTTATTTACAGACGGCGATTTTAATAATATGCTTCTCACTAAAGCAAAACTTTTTTTTTCGGGAAATATCCTCCCCAACGTCGAACTTAGGTGCCAGAAAGGATCAAGAGATGTGGTTGATGGAAAGTTGTGACAACGGCAATCGGCCAACTGAACTCACGTGGATAGGCACCTGGTTTCACATAGGGAACGCACGTTCGCACAGCGGGACCGACGGCCCCGACCAGGTGGCTGTGATATATCTGTCAATATCTGGGTTGCAAAGCCCACTGGCTAAGGTTGGTAGCCAGGCATGCTGGTGGGATGTGGCGCTGTGTGGCTTAAAAACAGTGGCGCAAAAGTATGGCGCAGCGATTGTGGTGAAGTTTACGTGGCGCAGCCAGCTCGCACGGACCGTTTGGTGACCCGAGCTTATCAATGTGGACGCGGAAGAGGGCACGGAAGAAAGAACCTTTCGGAACAAGTTCCTCAAGGCATACTTCTGCGCACGGACCTTTTGAAGCTGGCACACAGGAGACCGGCCCCCTACGGGACCCGCCAATGCCTTTCGGAACAAGCCTGAGAAGCAAGGCACTTGCCTTGTGTGAAAGAAAGGGCCTGGCACAAGCACTTGTCTTGTGAAGCCTAGTATGCGCGACGAAGCCCTGCGTAGGTATCGCCTAATGGCCCCCTGGATCATAGGCAGTTGTAGGCGTCCTTGCAGGTGTCTGTTGGAAGGGAAGGAGGAAAGACGAGAGCGTGACTGTGGGTGCCGGGCACTGGCTTTATAGGCGGTTGGGAGGCTCTGGGCAGGTGACTGTAGGCGCTGGTGGCGTCTGCATGTGACCAGCGTTTTGCTTTTTGAGACGCTGCGCACAGGCGCTGGCTTACAGCTAAGACCCCGTGTTCGATAACATTTGCAGTTTAACATCGTTTCCTGTCCTCAATCCTTTATCTTTTGGCCATCTAATTTATTCAATCTGAATCTTCCTCAGGAAGTAGCAGTAAATGATTCTCCATGACTATTGATTACTCGAAGTGGGATAACATGGACACGGATTCAGAACCAGAAATATCGCCTCCGTCAGTCCCTACGGCCCATGCCCCCACTCCAGCAGCCTCACAATCAGGTGCACCAGCTACAGCAGCGCCAGTCACAAGCAGCACACCAGGATCCATCCAAGCCGCCATCGTCCGGTGCGATGTTGAGAGAATCAGATTCGCACCTTGGTCCGTGACAATGATCAAGGCAGATCATCCCGTCTTCTCCAATCACGTACCTCCCGTCCCAGGACTCATCGAGATCCCGCTGGTCTTGCACCGTATCGGCACTCAGTCCACAAACCGGGCCGACCTCGACAATCAGATTGCTACCTATCTCAACATCGATTCAGAGTCCAGGTTTGCGCCCCCGGTGTGGCAGTCCTACGTCGGCACCGTGCTGGTGGCGCGGAAGGATGAGAAGCCGTTGCTGCCCCAGCATCTGGAAGGCGTGTGGATGTATTGTGATTACATTCTGGATGTCTTTGGGGAGGGAGAAGGTACGCCGACACATTTGTATAATAGACAAGCATTCGAAGAGTGGTGGAAAGGCTATTGTGAAGAACAGAAGGAGCTCCGGCCGGGGACCGGAGGCGAGAATGATCCGGATGATTGGCGGGCAGTGAGGTCGCCTTATGAGATGTAGGGTCTTCGTGAGTTCTGAGTAAGACTTGTATATGTATCTCGCCCGCTGTCCTACGCTAGGATTTGTTGACTTTCAAATAATCGTCTCGTTTCTGCAGCTAGATCCGTCAGCCTCTGCATGGCATCAATTATGCTTTGGTCTGGCTTATTTCCGATGAAATCCTGGGGTCGTGCGGGACTAAGAAGCTTGATGCCTTGTAGTGTTCTGCTCCTGGATAACTGTACATAGAGGCTGGTAAAGTCGCATTTCGAAGGCTGACCATTCGTCATACGGTTTCCTCGCAGCTCAAGGAGCACGTCCTCGAACGTCTTGCCCTGAGCTTTATAGTCAGTAAGGACAAATGCCGGGACAACAGGCAATCCCCGCCGAGAGTATTTGCCCGATAGGAACCTGTAGTGGGAGTTGGCTGGATCGAGGGTATGCGTAATAGGCCGGATGAGCACGGTGCCTGTTGGGAGGGCTGGGATCGCTAAGTCCTTTGTCTCTTGCGAGTGTAGTAATATACCTAGTGGCGGACCAAAGTGAATGGTAACGTCATCCGCAAGATGGTAGCCCGGGGATTTCGGATCGGGAATGATGTCCGCGGCGGTAAACTCTGCCCCATTCACAACTTTCAAGCCGGTGTATGTATTTTTGTTGACCACTACAGGCATGCCCTGGGCGTAGAAGAAGACCCCAGGGATCTTGCAGTTGGAATTGTCGCCTTGTTCGATGGTCTGGGCCACCTCTTGCTGAGATAAGGCTCGACTGCGCCAGGTGTGGGTCGAGACGAAGACCGAGATATGTCTCCGGTGAAAGCGGGCCCAATCTACCACGGCTTCCATGTTGAGGCTCCATCGGTTCCGATTGAGCGGTGTTATGGCGCGCAAGCCATCCTTGAAGGTGATTTGGGAGCGGTCCACGAGCTTGGTGTTGAGCAGGTCAAGGTCTTCTATCGTCTGGGTTCCAGCGCGTACTCTGTCCAAAAGAGCGCCCAGCTGAGGATCGTCTCGCGCACGGACTTGTTCTTCGAGAAGAATGACAGTCTTGAACATCAGCCATAGACTGTGGCCACGGTGGTGAGAAATGGTCGCCTGTCCCAGGGAGGCCATGTAAGCGAGATCCACCATCCGGTCCACCAGGAGACTTGTCTCAAGCACGGGGGCGAACTGATAGAAATCGCCCATCAAGAGAATTACGGGAATACCTCCAAATGGCTTATCGGGGCAGTCGCGGAGGGCTTGGAGATGGCAACTGGCGTTGAACAGAGTGGCTCCCCCCAGCATGCTCACTTCGTCGATCACGAGAGCCAACTTCTGCTTCCACATCCATTTTCTCGCTTCTGAGAACATTGGAGGCTGCTGTTTGTTGTGAGAACGACGGATATCCAGTCCGCAGGCTGAGTGGAGGGTCGTCCCACCGATCTGAGCGGCCGCACTGCCTGATGTGCCGGTAATCTGGATATGATGTGGCTGATCTCTAGTGGTGAATACGTCCCGCAAGGCATCAACAATCCTAGACTTTCCAGTACCTCCTGGACCTCCGACGTACTGAAGATGTTGACCAGCGGAGTCAGGATTGGCAATATACTTGTCCAAGAACCGGCACACAAGTTGAAGTGCCATGCTCTGTAGATCGTTGAGCGTATAGCTAGAGGCGGCAAGAAGTCCCAGCTCTGCGAATCCTCTTGTGGGGCCTACCTCAACAAACATTCGAGGACTTTGTATTTCCGAGTCTTCCAGCCGTCTCGGAATGGGGATGTCTGTGTCACACTGCCGAACAAGAAGATCGTCTATGTCGGCGTTACCAATGGAGGTTGTGACACCCTGGAGACCGCTCTCCATCTCATTGAGCATCCGGAGATGCAGCATGTCCTGGGCCTTCGCCGCGGCCTGGACATCTTCCGCAGAAGGAATCGGACACTGAGATAAGAGGCTGTCCTGATGACGGCGAATTTGCTGATAGAAATCGTCGTGACGTTGGATGAAAGGCCGGCCTTCTTCTGCCGGGTTCTCCTGGCAAAGGTCTCGGATCAGGCTTTGCAAGACTGGGGAGTCCCTCGTTGCGTCGGAGTCTCGCACAGCATTTCGAAGAGTCTGGAGGAGAGCTGTATAGTTTTGGTGATGCTCTGCCATGGCTGGTTCGTCAGTATAATCGCCTTCATCCAGAGGGAAGTCCACATCCACTGTGTCGTCGCCTTCCGACCGGCTGGCCCAGAACTTTGCGTCTTTACGAGCATCCTCGGCCGACTTTCTGAGGAGGGAGATATTTGCGACATGGGACCGCAGGCGGGGACAGAGTGTAGCGGCATAGTTCGACCATACACCAGTGATGTCGCCCTGTGTCTCGGAGAGGAAGTTTTCCCATGGCACAAACAATGCCAAATGGAGAACCGAGTTGCTACACAAAATGTCAGAATTAACTCGGGGGCGAATGGCGCAGCAGCGGGAACATACCGTTTGAAATACACCGGGTGCTCGTCCATGTGGTCGTCGCTAATGAATCCCTGAAAGATCGGCACCGCGTACTCCGGGGGTTTGCGAAGCTTTTGGATCCATCCGTAGCACTCTGGAGGGCCTTCCAGCGCAATATGAGTGTCATCCTCATCTCGGCCACGGCGACGCTCCAGGGTAATCATAGACATGTAGTCATAAAGGCACACGTCCCTCAGGACTGGGCCTCGGTAGGCATAGGCATCCAGATATAATAAAGTCTGGCCATTTTCCCGAAATTGTACCGTCTCCGACGGCTCTTCGGCGTCGGTTTGCGTACTGGCCTGGCGACGGAGGTGTGTCCAGCGCCGGAAAATAGTCCAATAGAGTGCGGTCAAATTTATATAGGACCAGTGCGGTACATTAGTAAAGTCCGTTTGATAGCCAAGCAGGAAGTAGCAGACCTCTACGGCTGAAAGCTGTCTCTCGGAAAAGATTCTGTTTGCTGCCCTCATCAGAAACTGACGACTCTCGTTTACCATAGCCTGGCGCTCGGCATCCTGTTCGGCAAGATTCGGCCCCCTCAGCGCCGCAGATTCACGAAGCTGTCGAAGAACATCAGCCGCGAAGACAAGGCGTTTCCACATGGGCGTGTCCAATTTGGTGGCGTAGTTCGTGATGTAAAATACCATGGCGAGTCCCTTGGTTTTAGTCAAGATCATCGAGATGTCGTGGTTGTGGCGGAGGCCGACTGCCATTGCTTTGTTATACCGGTTGACGAGCGGGTGGTTCCGCCGAATCTTGAGCAGGCCGTCGTCCGTGAATCCGGTGTTCTCGACGATCTTCCAAGGCGCTCTGAACCGGCAAGCCGTCCCCTTGTGCTTATTTGCACCGTCTCCGACGAGTTCTTTCAGAGAATACTTGATACAGGTGTAGGTGTGCGAGTGCACCTGGCAACAGTACGCAATGTAGTTAGACTCGTTGTCGAAAGTCGCTGCGAGAGCCTCGGTGTCGTGCATAATTCCCTCGATCGGGTCGATTGGCTTCCTCTCCTTTCGGACAGCTTTTCCAGCTTCCTCATCTAAACATTCGTAAAATACCGAGTCTAGATACCGAACCACTTGGGCACGGTATTCTTCCTCCCCGGGTTTCGCCATATCATCGATCAGGGAAGGCAACTGCAAGTTACCCTCCAACCAGAGCAGACCATGCAGGTGTAGACTGCCTCGGTCATTCGTCTCGACCGTTGCGTAGTAATGGCTGATCTTTCCGAAAACCGATTCTTGGCCCGCCCTGACGTATTTTTCAAAAAACAGCGAGATTTCTCGATGGAAGAAGATGGCGGCACTAACTGGGTCCATGGTGCTGAGGGCGATCCTGTCATACCATCCCCGGAGATCGGCTAGCAGTTCCTTTGCTGTGTTATGCTCGTGGAGCCTGTGGATGGAGAGCCTCATCTTGACCGGATTGTTGATATCGTTGGGGTTGACAGTGATCCAGATGGCAGGCATACCGGTCCAAATGTTAACTGCTTGTATCTTTCTACGCATCAAGAGTCGAGTTTCGTTGGAGAGCGGCTGTGCGTGGCCAAAGATGGACAATTCGCGAAGCAAGAACGATATGTCCGGATCTGTCGTGGTCCTTGTGTCCCGCATCTCCTCCTCGGCTCTTTTTAGGCGGTCCGCCGTCAGGCGTCCATAGACCTGTTCTAGTCTGTCGAAGGAGCCCCTTGCCATACGGACCATGCTGATACGGCGGTTCGTGGATCGGAGGAGGATGTTGAAGACCAAGAAACAAAAGACCGGATGCGCAGCAAATCGACCCCCGTGTCGTTGCAACACATATTTGACCCAGTAATTGAGCGAGTGATTCGCACTCCGCTGCACAGGCTGTGAAGCATCATGCATATTGCCACCTGTCTCGCTCAGCGCCTTAGGGCCGCCACTCCCCCACGGAAAAAGTTTCGGAAAGGTCCGTGGAAAGAAGTCCTCGTGCAGGTTGTCCGCAAAATCCGCACCACGCTCGACCCGAATGAACGGCTGGTCTCCCGCCGTGTTGACCATCATAGCGAAAGGTTCGGCATCATCGCCGCGTCTAGTCTGACTCGTCTGGATTGCCTCGGCTAGGAAGGACAGCTTATCAACCTCAGCGAAAGCGGCCGGCCCGTCCAGAGGAAACATGCCGGACGTGGACGTCTCGTGGAGGATATCACCGTCACGGTCGGGACTCTCTGGGTCAGGAGCAGACATATGGGCATTCTCAGGTGGTGGGTGAGGCTGTTCCATCGACGCATTGTCAACTGAGATAGAGGTGTCGTCGCTTGGGTCTGCTCGAAGCGAAGTGAGGAGTTCTTCAATGCTTGTGAAACGGTTCTCCTCTAATCCGCGATCGGTATTCGGGACGATTGGGTCAGTTTGTGTCTTTTCCACCGCCGAGGGTTCCTCCCTCTGCATCCGCTCCATGAGAACGGCGGGAACTGTCGACCCCTCCGCGTACTGCCAGCCCTGTATTTCATCCAGGTTGATTTCGATGTCCCTGTAAAGGGGATTGTTCCTCTGTAGCCACAAAAGGGCAGCGGTTACTCGAGACTTGCGCACCTGAAGAAGCGTCCCCACTTCCGCTGGGCTGGGTCTGTTGGCGCCGCTCCAAGACACATGGATGTTCTCGATCGTCTGAAGAAGTGGGTGAGGGAGCACCGTGGCAACTAGATCATCTACATTGTTCGGAAATACGGCAATGTGACCCTTCACGTGTTTCCGGTAACTGACACCTGACGGCGTTTTGTTATCAACAGTGAACTTCGTGATATAGCCGAAAGGGGCCTGGAGAGCGATCAGTCTCTCCTCGACAGGGAGAGGCCATCGAGTTCACGAGGATAACGATGCTCACACCCGATGTCCATGTTGTTGACCGAACATGCCTTCGGCATCTTTCCGTTTTCGAAAATGCCGCGGCACTCGAGGCAAATATCGACCCCCATGTCACCGTCCTGTGGGAGACACTTTTTGCATTTCTGAAGAGCCGTCGTAGCCTGCAGCAACACTGGGGTCAAGTACGTTCTCCACTGGATAGTAGTAATCTTGGCTGGGGGGCATTTTCTATAGCAGAAAACGCAGTGGGAAATGGGTAACGTCCATTCGTCTGTGAAACCCTCGTAGAACGACTTCGAAGTCTCGACTTGGAGGGCGGGTGAGACTTCTTTGCACCAGGATTTTCCTACCGATGCATCCTTCTTAGCGCGAAAGCAGGACTCCCGTTGTTGTAGAATCGCGTCGACGAACCGCTGCTGGAGTTGGACAGTCTCGTGCTGCAGCAGCCGAGGCCTTTTCCGAGAGCGTTCCGGCCCCGAGGGCGGTGGAGTCAGCAGTCCTTCCTGCCGTGGGCTGTGGCGTTTGCGGGAAGGCGGTGTCTGTGGAGGAGGGAAGGCCGGCTCAGGGGTGTTTGGTCGCCGTACAAGTTCTGGAACGTCTGCCACTTGGGAAGCCTGATGGACCTGATTGGATTGGTCTTCGGCGCGCTGGCGGTCCAGATCGCCAGATGTGCGGGCGATCTCCTCAAGGGGTACTCTGAGCTTCGCACTTTGAAGATGTGGCTCCGTGACCTCTTGTGGACGCGGCCCAGCTCCCCGGGGAGTGCTTCCTTCGGTACGCAGTCGGGTAAGGTGGTCCAATGTACACGCGATCTCACCGAGGGGTAATAAAGCCTTCCCATGCTGTCTCCGATGGGCTGTTTGTTCGGCGCGCTGGCGGTCGAGGCCATCTAATGTGCCGGCGACCTCCTCGAGGGGCACTCGGAGCTTCCCATTTCGGAGCTCTGACTCCACGATCTCCTGCGGCCGAGCTGCTCGTCTCCGACGAGTTGTTTCTAAAGCATGCTGGCGGTCTACATCGCTCAACGAACGGGTGACCTCCTCGGGAGGTAACATGACCTTTCCCCCTCGTAGCCGTGGCTCCAAGGCTCTTTGTGGATGACGCCCTTCTTTCCGAAGGGCTGTTTCTTCGGCGTTCTGGCGGTCTAGGCCATCTATTGTACGCATGACCTCTTCCAGGGGAACTAAAGCCTTCCCTTTTCGTAGCCGTGACTCTGTGTCCTTTTGAGGACGAGTTACTTGTCTCCGACAAGCTGCTTCTTGGGCGTGCTGCCGATCTAGATCGGTCAACGTACGCGAGATCTCCTGGAGAGGTACTAGGACCTTTCCCTCTTGGGTCTGTGGCTCCGATGCTTCTTGCTGGTGACCTGCTTGCCTCTGACAGCCTGTTTCTTCAGCATGCTGGCGATCCAGGTCGTCGGTTGTACGAGTGATCTCCTCGAAGGGTACTCTGAGCTGCTCATTTCGGAGCTCTGACTCCATAACCTCCTGCGGCCGAGCTACTCGCCTCCAACGAGTCGTTTCTTCGGCGTGCTAGCGGGTTAGGTCACTCAACGTACGGGCAACCTCCTTGGGAGGTAATATGACCTTCCCGCCTCGGGGTTGTAGCTCTGAGACTTTCCGCGGGCGATTTCCTTTGCGGTGGGCTCTTTCTTCGGCATGCTGGCGGTCCAGGTCATACATGGTTCGGCGGATCTCTTCAAGCGGGACTCGGACCGGCTCCTGTGGGGCTTCGCGGAGAGCCTGTAGGGTCGCCTCGTCCACCAGCTCTCTACCTCCCTCGTCTCGTGGCCGGGTGGCTTCGGGGACACATCGAAACCGGTCTCGATCGCGTTGGCGGTCTAGATCTTCCAGCGTTCGGCGGATCTCTTCAAGCGGAACCTTGATTGGTTCTGGTCGAGGCATGGTGTAAGTGGGAACGGCACGGACCGGTGCGTCTAGAGGAAATAATAATAGCCAAACGAGACCCTGGGGCTCAGTGGTTAAGAGCTTGGGACCTTTTTTCAAGAGGTTGTTGGTTCGAATCCAGCCCAGGGCACAATCCTTGTAATTGTGCTGTGACTGCTAGCCTCGTCCCCTAGCAGAAAAGTCAGCCTGTACAGGGATTGAACCCGAGGATCCGACTCGCTAACCGGGCCTAAGGTAGCAAGCTAATTGGTCCCTAGCTTGCCTTTAGGAAGTGGACTGGCCAACCCACTATAAGAGGCTAACTACAGCGCATTCCTGCGCTTATAAATAGGTAACCCCCCCTCTACCCAGAGAAAATAGGAAGGTTGGAAGACTAGAAGGTTGAGGTGTTAATGGCGAGGAATAGCTTGAGGTGTTGTTACCAGTTACAGACTCGAAGTTGCATTGTATGCTCTACAGTGACCTTATGGGTACATAGAGTGGTAGAAATAGAAGGAAGGGGTAGGGTTTTCATCCAATGTTTAGGCATACGGTTTTTCCCTATCCGATAAAGTAGTAGGAGTTCTATAGGCCTTGATAAAGGTAAAATAGCGTATACTAAATAAATAAATAAATAGCCAAACGAGAAGGCACCATCCTTGACCGATATAAGGGTTAAAGAGAAGAAATGACGTGTTTTATCATCGAAGGAACGGGCCATGAGAGAACAACAGAGGCACGAGTGAAGGGTCAATGCACAGCTGCAATTCGGGTCGGCCCGCTTCAAAATCGAGACCTGTCCGCCTGTGGCATGGATACCCACCAAGAGGATGTCCAGATCGGTGGTACCCAGCCTGACGGATGACATACAAGATACCAAGGCGCGGCGTTCGGCGTGGGATCACATCTTGTGAGCAAGAGGTCCAGCTGACGTCGGTAAAGCTTGCCCGAATAGGATCAAAAAAGCAATATAGACAGGGACCGATACGGGCGATGACATCGTGGCGCCCGTTTCCCAGGGTCACGCCGCTGATAAACGCCGTCGCGGTCGAACCTTGGTGACATTAGAGGCAGGAGCCTTTGTCTCACGTGGCGCCATCACAAGTCTTGTCGGTTGTCAAATGAGGCTGGGAACGGTCCAGGAGACAAGCAAGTAGAGGCATCATTTGCTACCGCCACAGCCCTAGCTCATCACCTGAGCACCAAGTAGTGTTCGTGACCAAAGAACCGTGCGGAGAGGGATCCCCTCGCCCTCCCGGGACGTGTTTCGTAACTTCTTTCTCCTCAGGATGGAGGTCATTTGCGTATAAGAATATGGTGAGCTCTCCTTCCAAGAGGGCCAGAGATGATTTTGACATACTCCCTTCTCTTCTTGCAGGCATAAGTGTCTGCCAGGCCAATTTCTACCCAGAATTTCTCAAGGGCTAGATTTCCAGCAGCGGACAATCAATGGCTCGTTCGTCGGCATCGGGAACGGGCCCAGGGCAGCCTGCTCTAAACCCCCTGGGAGTACAATTCTTCTCAAGCCTCGAGGGGTTGGAGATAACCTCATCCGCCGATCGGCAGCTCATCCGAGGTCATAACTTGGTCGGTGCGGCCCGACTGCAGTTCGTCAGGGCGGACTTCTTCGATGATGGAGCGGGGGAGCATGGAGGACTCCTCGACGAGATTGATGGAATCGATGTGCCACTATCCATGCACGTATACCCCTTCCCCCAAACGGATGAGTGGGAGGGCCAGTGGTTCTTCTTCGATGTTCAGCTCCACCCCTACCAGCTGCATTTCCGCCGCAAAGTCGAGGACGGAGACGAGTCAGCTGTTGGGATGTGGGAAGACTCGTACGCAAAGTTAGCCCAGGTCCGTGGGCAGATGTGTGTTCAACCGTATGTAGCAGTCTTGTGTACAAGCTCCAGCAGATCCCCCATCCCCCCTAGGGGCTGAGTGTCTCCTCACCAAGAGAATTTGACAGGGACTAACCGGCCCCCATTCTAGGATCGCAATGAGGTCTCTTGGGCTTGCAGGAGGCAGGTTCCCAGCTGTAGCGCCTCGTGCTAGCTTCCACGGACCTGTTGACACGACGACATTCCGTTTTAAGCCTGGATCGTTGAGCAGCAATCAGCTAAAGTGCTGCGGATTCATCCGATGCAGAACATATCTCGTACCGCCCCGTGACAAAGATCCGACATTTAAAGGGAGCCAGACATTCTACATACTAGCGTACATGCCTCACGATCAGCAACCATGGAAAAGCCGTATTGACTGGGTGAAGAGCTCGCCGGAGGGTGGCTTCGCATCCAGGAAGTGGATGTATGGGAGGGGCAGCATCGTCGGCGTGCTGAACCCTACGTTGCTGGATGAGGAGCCCGAGTCTGGACAAGATATCCTAGTCGTACTTGCGGATGAGTTCGGCTTCACATCAAAGGCAACGTTCGACAGCGGCACAGCGATATGGAACGAGGCCTCTCCGCAGACAGCAAAGACCGAGCTAGGAAAAAGGCGAAATCCTTTCAGCAGCAGCCCAGGTACTTCGCCATCTAAACACACCGTGGACCCTTCCAGAGGGGCAAATGAATGGGGTTTGGGCAAAGAGAAGACAGTGGATGACAATTCTTCTGCAATCGCCACGCAGCCTGAACAAGAATCAACGAGTGAGTGTTCTTCAGAACAAATGAGAGAAAGCGGCGCAACTGAATAACGAAATGCCAGATTTCATAGCGGACCACCAAACAGGGGCAATAGTTGTAGCAGCGGCGACCCCGACGAAAGTAGCGGCGACCCTGACGAAAAGGAGACGCGTATAGAAGCAAGAGAGCGGTAGATATACGGCAGGGTTCAGGTTACGTAGGGGCACCAGTAAAGGGATTGGGCTCATTATGGCTTTTCGATGTCGTGCTCTTTTAAAGTGCTGTGCTGTTTGGTTGTAGTTTAATGTCGCAGCCCAGGCCTAATCAACGAGCCTCAGGAAACAGCTGTACTTGTATTTAGTAATCCAGCTGCGTGCTCCAAGTAAAACCTGTGGGCTAGAATACCCCACACTTTAGACAACAATCAATCAGCACACTGCTGCTGCTCATCATATTCACTTTACCCCTTTAAGCACGCTCAGTACGACATTTAAGCGGATGAGCTCAGCGCTGAACGGGCCGACAAGGCCTAGGTGAGCGGCCCGATCAGCGTGGCGCAAGAATTTTTCGGTTGTGGCCTTTTTTTTTTGGTTGAGGCTTAGAAAAGTTACGGTCGCACATTACCACATGGGTGACAAAACCATGTGCGAAAATGACTGGAGCTATTTCGCACATAGGCTTTCGGCGTTTTTATATGGGGCTACAGTATTGATGTAATAGCGCACTGTTTTCAATGTAGCACAGTTGATGCCATACTAAGTGGTGCTGATGCCATTCCATCGGCGCCGAAGCTCCGATAATGTCGGTTCAGAGGGGGCGGGATATTGCAGCTGGAAGCCTTGGAAGGAGGTATGAACTCCGACCTCTACCACGATCTCGAACCCCTGGTCTGCGTCTCGCACAATGCCGAGGCCCCGTAAGGACTTGGAGCGCGTCAAGGACTGGATCCTCGAGCAGCGGCGAGAAGGACTATCCATTGACACTATATGTGCCCATCTCCGCGACGATGGGCACGTACTCGACGTCAGAACCCTAAAAAGGAGGATAGCGGAATGGGGTGCCCAGGAGTACTCCCCCCTTCACTCAAAGATTGATACCAACACCTTCGTCGAGCTGATCAAAGGCTACTTCTACCGATACGGATATAGCGACACTTCCATCGTCCGTGATCTCAAGCGACGCGGCATCGAGATCTCCGAGCGGACTGTACAGGAGTATCGTCTGAAGCATGGCATGAAGCGGCGCTTCCGAGATCTGGCTGAACGACAGGAGGCTATTCAAAAAGCAAGAGAGTTCCTCTTCCAAGACGACCGTCAGTCTTCAAGCATCAGAGGATTTGGCAGGGGGTATCTATACCATTACGTCCGCATCCGTGCCGGCGTCCTTGTCGGCCAGAATACCTTATATCGCGAGTACCAAACGAACCCAGAGTGGAAGAAGCGGGCCGAACAAAGACGCCTTGCTGATTGGAAGCACCGGAAGAACTTCCAGGTTCCTGGGCCTAACTTCATGTGGTCTCTCGATGGGTACGAGAAGCTCAAGAACTTCGGCTTCTCTATCTACGCCTGTATCGACACGTACTCGAGAGCCATCATCTGGATATATGTCGGCAGGGGGAACATGACTGCGCTGAGTTCACTCAAACAGTTTCTACGAACTGTGTCGTACTCAGGGGTCCGCCCCCTTTTCACCCGCTCGGATCATGGTATCGAGACTCCTCTTTGGGCCGGAGCCCAGGCGATTCTCGCAGACCTTGATCAGACAGAGTTTCGGTATACCACCGAGGATAACGACCAACGAGTCCACAGGCAGGGAGCGAGACTGAGCTCCTGTCATATCTGGGGCCCAAGCACATCGAACCAACGGATCGAGTCTTGGTGGGAAAAGCTACTTAAAGGTGTCAGTCAGCGCTGGATCGCGTTCTCACACGAACTAATTGACAGCGGCCTCTTCCAACCAAACCGTCTTGCTCACCAGATCGCGGTGTATGCTCTCTATGGACCCATGATCCGTCAAGAGGTTGCGGACTTCACGGAGATGTGGAACGGCCATCGCATCCGACCACAGAAGAATAGGGAGCATCTCGTCGCCGGGATCCCGATGGATTTGTATAATACAAGCGAAGTGGAGAACTGGGCAGTCCATCTAGGGCCTGCGGCTCGAGATGGGCTTGCCCAGATGATGGCCGCTGTCGATTCTATCGATATAGACGATCTTCTTGACCCAATAACAACGGACTGGTGTGATCAACAGCTCCGGGATTTTCAGTTCGGTGGTCAGCTAGATGGGGAGCTTGATCATAAGCGACCACACCTCGCGATCTACTTACGACTTAGAGACAAGATTCAGGTTCATCTCGACTGCGGGGCAAGTCCGGTGCTGAGCATCCCAGAGAGTCCAGTTGGAGGGCAAGAGAGATTCGTACGTAAAAAAGTACTCCATCGCACTCAAAAGCTAGCTGACAATGCTTTAGCTTCGGCTCCTCGAGCAGAACTACCTTAAGCCTATTAACAATAGCCTCTCCGGAACTGAGCTACCTGGCGATATTATCAATAGTGTGGACGAGCTGATGGGGGACCTGGGTCACCTTGAGCTAGAGTAACTACTATTTCCTCGTCTGTTTACGAGGATGCCGACTACTTGGCCTCCTCGTATCAACTCCTCGGGTTCCAGCAGCGGGACCATGGGCAGTGAAGGCAGGGCCAGCCGAGAGCTCCTTATCCTCTGCCTCTACTGAGAGTGCTGAGCTTATAGAGTCTCGAGCTCGTTTCTGACCCGCGCGGGTCTCGTCCACGTCGCTAGTAATAACCTCGATCTGGTCTTGTGCGCTAGCTCTCGAAGGAGGTAGAACTGGGCTCAGAGAGGGGCTCAAGGAGGGCGAGTTGAACTCGCTCCCGATTAACAAGGCTGGCTGTACCTTCGCCTCGGTCTTGACTAACTCTTTCTTGATTCCCTTCTCCTTTTTGAACGGCTTTACGGCTGACCTCGGCGTCTTGATATGACGAGGGGCCGGGACTTGTGGTCGAGGAGGCAATGGCTCATAGAAAACAAGGAAAAGGAGATATCTGCCCTCTGTTTTACTGAAACGAAAAGGGCAGTCCTCGCCGAAAAGCTCTGCGACTGTCTGTCTCTCCCAGTCGAGGTCGCTCAGCTCCGTGATACCCTCTTTAATATGGGCGTTCTGAACGAGTCTCTTGTCGAACTGAAGAACAGAAGAGAGGGCAGGCTTGTCCTTGAACTGAGGGAAGAAGATGCTGTCGAACCAGAAGTGGACAGGTAAAGATGGTTCCTCGTCGACGAAGGGGCGCAAAGCGACCTTCAGCAGCTCTCTAGCCAAAGACCACTGGGGCTCCTCATCTTCGTCTAGTATTTCCCATGGGTCAGGCCTCGCGAGGAAGACAGTGAGACGCATCGAGATCTTCCGTCTGCTCTTGTTTTGGCTCTGTTTAGCCACAGCCTCACTGAGTTGCGACGAGCTCGCCCTCATGCCCCTCGCGATCCGACTCTGGGTAAGTTTGGCATCTCGATACATGGCGGAGGGCCGCGATGCTGCGAGGATACGGCCAGGGCCGTCTCCAGAGCCGGTGAAGATCGTCTGTGAGGGCGTGGAACGATCAGAGGCTGTTAGGTCGATAGACTGTATAGTGGAGGAGGTGGAAGCTGTCTCAACGTCTCGAAACGGGACTGGCGAGCTGTCGAGGATGGAGATACTCGTGGGCCAACGTCTCCCGCAATATGGACACAGATTCGACCCTGGGTGGCTATCGCGGATGAAATCGTGGCTCCTTTGGTACGATTTAGGGGCCACGGTCTTCGGAACATCGGGACATGTCTGCGATAGGACGTGATCGGGCATATCTACGTACAAGACAAGGTCAGTCGCACAATCTCAAGATGGATAGACCCGAGGTTACTTAGGGAATGGATGGGGATAGCCTATAATAGCTATGGGGGGCGATGGGCTGGGTATTGATGCTGGTGTGGATGTGTGAGTGGAAGAATTGTGACGCGTCGCCAGGAATTATCACGACATATTCCCTGGTGGAGATGCCATCTAAATGAAGAGATACCTTCCGGATAGTGTGCGGTACTGTAGTCTTGCAAGGGGCCACAAAATTACTAAGTATTTCCACATGGTTGAGGCTTCCCAAAAGGGTTATGTCACCCATGTGGTAATGTGCGACCGTAAAAAGTGGCTGCCGTAAAGCATTTGTGGCGTAAAGGCGGCGCAGCGATCCTGGTGAATTAGGAGGCGCGAGGGTCTGTGGTGCAGCTCGCACGGACCGTGGAACGAAAGGCAATCAGATATCTAATTGGGCAGGCCTAAAGCTAGATGTCTAGATGCCGAATCCGGAGCATGTGGCTGCTTGGAGCGATTGGAATCATATCATCTTGCGCGGAAATTTTCCAGCATTTAGATTTGTAAGTTTGAGCATCAAATCAAGAGACATGAGAGAATTTACTCACCCGATAGTTGATATTTCAAGTGGCCGCTGGAAAAGCGTGTTCCAAGTCATTCGGGGCAGTGAGGGGGGTTGGAGAGCTGATCCTCCCGGTGAAGCCTGTCATGGAGCTATGGAATTTTCTCACCCCCCTAGATAGCATTGAGACCGTCTCTTGGCTTTTCTGTGACGCGGGGCCGCTTTATGTTCTATTGCATCGGGCAGATGCTGTCGGAAGGTGGTGGTGGACTGCCATTTCCTATCCACGAAATTCTATCGGAAATAGTGTTCTGCCCATCAGGGTCTAGAACGGTCCATGGAGGTCGTTCGCACGGCATGTGACAGGTCGCAACCAGTGTTAGGTTATAGGGTTAGGTCGGAGCAGCAAGGTTAGACCGCTGCCCCTGGGGGTGAAGGCCCATAGCAGACACTGAGGTCGAGAGACATGATCACCCCCAGGGGCGAAAGTCCAGAATGGTCCCAAGGGGTGAGCGTCAAAAGTGACCCCTCGTGGTGGAAAGGTTGGCAACCGTAATGGCCCTCATGGGCAAGGTCGATACTGGCCGTCAGAGAAGCCTGACAATTGCTCTCAGGACGACAACTTGCGCCAGGCTACTCAAGTACAGGATGTTCAATCGGAACGCGGCCCGTTTACGGAGGACGATAGGGCCACTGTTGCAAAACTCCCTGACAGGTTTTCATGCAGCCCAAGCCCCGCCACTTACACAGAAGTGTCCCCCTACTAATCTTGATACCTAGACATTAGTACTACAGCAAGTACTGCGGACCAGCAGCGGACCCGCGCGGTCCTGATTGGGTCTAGAACACATCTCCAAGCCTGTAACAGACATCTCTGATAGCTTGCCTCGATCATCACCCGCATTGCCAAGGTTCCGCCGCTTCCCGGCGGAGGGTAGCGAACGGACGAGGCCACCTTTAAGCTTCTTTGTGGTCGGCAGAGGTCTGCCGCATGCTGTTTGGAGGTTCGCTTGACGGGCTGTATTGGATGGCACACTTCCGGCTGCAAGCAGTGCCCCCAAGTGTCCACGCACGCAGTCCCTGCTGCGGCCTGCTCTCAGCCCCGAAGCGTCAGGGTGTCTTCGGTGGCTGCCACCCCGCACACTTCCTTCTTTGTGTCCCGTTGCCACAAGGATTGAGCCATAAGAAGACCCATTACTTACTCTGCTCTTACACCCCTTTTCCTCCCTCCGGTTGTTTCCCCCTTGGACTTCCCCTTTGTTTTATCTTAAGTGAGCGCCCCTTGTTTGCGAAAGTTGTGTCGTGTCAGGAATGAGAGAGCCTGGGACAATGTTGCTGAAACACCTTCTGGCACTATCTGCCCTCCTCGTGGGATCTTGGGCTCAGACGACCACCCAGGCTGTGGGAGAGGCGGCGACTGAGACGCCCTCATCGACACTGGAGGAATCAGCTACGACTACTGCTACTGGAACAGGAGTTACAACGCATACTATCAACGTTGGAGCTGTTAGTAGACTCGCGTATTAACATCCTCGACTTACACTGACTTATAATATAGGCTGGGAATAAGTTTACTCCTGGTGAGACTGAAGCTGATATTGGAGATATTATTGAATATCGGTTCTATCCCGATGCGCACTGGGTGATTCGAGGAGAGTTTGAGAATCCATGCATCCCATATGAGTATGTTCAGACAGATAGACAAGGCTTCTCAAGCGGCCGGCAGCCCGTCAAGGCTATCACCGACGATGTGAGTGACTGAGATCTCTAATGCCCTGAATACACAATACTGAGTCAACTAGGCTCCTCGATTCCGCGTGAGAGTCAATAACACCGAACCAATCTTCTACTACTGTGGTGCTCCTGGATCATGTGTCAAATACCACATGATGGGTGTTGTAAATTCCGTATGTCTAACCATTTAAACTCTCATACACCCTCCTGATAACAAGTGTAGTCGAAGAATCAGACACTTAATGCCTGGCTCGAAAAGGCAGAGTATGTGGAGTACCAATTAACCCCCGGCGAACCCTTCCCAACCGAAGAAGGATTCCTGACTTCAACTACATCTGCAACCCCCGACTCAACCGGCGGCCCCTCAATCCATGGCGACGATCACCGCAGCCACGGCCACGGTCTCAGCCCCGGCGCAATTGCAGGCATTGTAATTGGTAGCGTGGCCGTCCTCATTCCCGCTGTCGGAGCCATCTACCTCTGTGGCAGACGTGGTGGCTTCGACAAGGCATATCACAACTTGAGCTTCCACAGCACCGTTCCTATCTACCCCAAGGGCGGACCACCTTTTGTTGAAGCTCAGTTCGGCTCGCCGAATGCTGCGGCTGCGGGTATCTGGGCGAACAAGCAACCGACTCCCATGGCTAACTCCGGTCAAATTCCTCCCATCAGCCCGCAGTTTACGCCTGGCTACAACTTCCCGCAGGGTGCTAGAATGATGTCGCAAGACAGGAACAGCCCGAACACACACTAGTAAGGTTCCTCTCCCCCAATTCAAACCGCTGGGATATTTGCTAACGAGCGCAGCGACCCTAACTCTCCGCACCTCACAACTCCCCCTCCGCCGCAAACACCAAAGCAGAAACCAACTGAGCTGTCTGCCTCTCCGGCCCCGGGGGACTCGCCTTCGCCGATGCATAATAAAGGGCGGTAGAGAACGTTCTCGTGGGAGGGCGAGGAGACGGGGTATCGGCCCTCGGAGTGAGACTAATGCTTACCTCTCGGCATTAATCACCTTGGATCGAAAACGCGGATGGCGGGTTGCGCATAAAGCTTGAGGCGTCTGGAGTTAATTTTCTCGATTGTGTTTGGGAGCTGGAGAGCTTGATTGGTGAGATGGATAGGGACTAGTAGGATGTATGACTGGTGGTCATTCTTCTTGTTGTTCTCTTGTATGTATTATGATGTCGTGGACTTGCGCGCTTATTGAAGTCCATTTGTTTGGCGTGAAGCAGCATTCTTGGGGTTTAATCTGCCAAAATGAGAATTGAATATATAAAGACCCCAGATTCAACATGCCCCCGATCAAATTTAATATCTGACCCACGTGCTAGGATCTCCATCGGCCGACCTGCTGCCAGTAGTGACACAACCTCGACGTAGTAATAGTCACTGGAATGACAATAACCGTCCGGGATCCTACCGGGTGAGCTCATCATATGACAGTAGAATCTTCCGCATGTTAGCATTGACAAAGATCATGCAGCAGCTAGTGAACCTACGTGATTGGGTGAGAGGATGATGCCGCTCTCTGAAAGGCATACCCCGTCTTCTTCCATCAACCTTTCCAGATTACCGTCCTCTGGTTGCGAGGCAGATTTGGATATACGTGGATAGGCCACTTGCAGTGGGACTTCGAGGTCCATCTTCCTGATGTAAGCGCCGCCGAAACAGATCCGAAGATTAATGGAATAAGACCGAGCTATAAGTTGACTGCAGAAGCTAGGGTACAATCGATGTGAAGGGCGTATGGGTATTCGGATCACCGTCTGCCAGGTCACCTCTTGCTTTTCAAGTGAGCGGGAGGCGGCCCAGGGCCAACTGATCCGAGGGGATTTCAATCGATCACTGATGCGTGACGCGTCGGAGCCTCGCTGTGTGGTGTCGTTCGCCTCATAGGTCGGAGGCGCGCTGTCTATGCATTTGTCATCAGGTACAGAGCTGTCCTCCTCCGGAATTGACAATGTCCACTGGAAGTCGCGAAGCTTTTGAACTTCTAGGTTCACCACAGTCTCGTACAAGTATGGCCCCTGCTCAGTTAGCAAATGTCTGCTTGGCATACAGGGCATCCTCTTAGACGAGTAGTAAGTCTTTGAGTGGATTGTGGTATGAACCTCAATGGTCATAGTGCGTAGGCGGTCTGGATCGATCACGCTCCCTTGAATGGATATGTTAACAACGCAGTCGGTCGAAGCTCCCAATGGACCGGATACATATATGAGTGGTGAAGGCTCCTCTGCAGTAACAGTGACGTGACCCAACCGTTCGCCAAGCATAGACTTCCAAATAGGCTGTTCTACCTTGAGGGTAAGCTCTCCAGGATAGCCTTGGATGTTGACCGGAGGTGGGGCGTGATTATATGGAAGAACCTCAATAAGGTTAGAAATGACAGCTGTAATATGCTGACCTGTAGCGACTTCTTGTGGACTGTACGTGACAATAGCCCGAAGGGTATATAGGATAGCGACATTAGGGTGATGCGTATGTCATGTGGACCATGGGGGTCAGGTTATGTGTAGAAAGTAAGATGTCTTGTCTATGGATAAGCTGAGCAGATTGTCTTATATGACGGCTAACTGCTCAGTAGATGCCTGGCAAGCCAGGCATCCCTAGGATACGGCTAGCTGCACGCATCATGGGGACAGCCATTGTGTTCCAGGTATTGGTGTGGAAGAATAGGCTGCTAGTAGAGGGCGGAGGTGTCTAGCATGAGGCAGGAAGTTCATGATCGGAAAGATGAGTGCTGTCCGGAATGATGAAGAAGAAAGGGATGCGATAGGTGTGCTCTAAACCGTTCCGCTCCACTCTGATATCCTCTGCTAGGGAAGGAAGGTAGATCATATCCAGTAACTGCGGGTTGTCAGTATAGGGGAGATCTAGATATGGCGAGATGCAGAGTTAGGCGACCAAACTAACCCTCCGAGACGCTACATGCCGAGTCATATTGCGGGAAAATGTTACTGTTGACTGCATGCCTGTGATATTATTAGCGCAACTCGAGCAAAGCGGCACCTGTGAGGATGTAGACGGAATTTCTTGCTTTACCTTCGAGACGTACCTCGACTCTGCTGAAACTTAGGGGGCTCTTCGACGACAGAAGAACTCGACCCTTGAGACTGTCGGATGGCCGAAGACAGCTGAAACTCTCCAACACTGTAATTCGGGACCTTTATATCCACCTCAACCCCGTCATTGCCACAAGGTGTTAGACGTCTAGTCATCACGAAAATAGAGATAAATTTAATGGTTTGAATCAATTGTGGGAGAAGAAGGGTAGGGCCTTTAAGATGCGATGTTAACCGTGCACCAAGTCCTGGGCGTTGGTGGTTTATTATACAACTCGGTGTGAGCAGTCAGACATCTCAGCAGCAGTTCGCAACCCGAGATCGAATGGGTCAAGTGTGACTGGCACAGCGGCCATCGCGAGGTTGGTGTTGATCGTGCTTATGTTAGTGTGGTGGGTGTGGTGTGGGCACACTCCACAGCCGTGGCTGAGGAGTGATGATGTAAGGGAAGTGTGTGGTGAGAACCCTGGTATCCTCTAACCCCGTGGTATAGGGTAGGCGCGCCTCCGAACACGCTCGCATACGAGCCACGGGAAAATACCAAACACATGCCGGTTTTTCTGTAGAATGAAGGAATGCAAACAAAAACTAGTCCTTCTAGATTTCTCTCGCCGAGAGCTTCCTATTAGTGCCAGTTTTGGTATGATCAGACGAATATTTCGGGCTTGGAGTCTCTCATATCCATCCCACATCCTGAATTGTATCCGTCCAGTATAATACAGTATTCATCGTCTTCCCATATTCATTCACCTCTTTTGTCAGAGGGACCTGCGGCCAAACCCAGCTTACCCTTGAACCGATGTACCAGTGACTTCGTAATCTTCCCGCAGGTGCGATCACTTATAGCGTTAACATCACGTCCTCACCGTTGCGCCTCACGTGCACCACGAAGAGCACAAGACCACATTCTGAGTCGACGCCAGAACGGAACGAGAAGAACCCGACGCCGGCGTGGGCGGAGGGATTGAGCAACGAAGGGACGAGAAACGTTTCCAGTTTTCTTTGATAAAGCGCGGTATCCAATCTGATGTTATAATAATTGCCTCAAAAAGCTCCAGCTCCTCGTGATGTGCCTTAATAGTCTGGGCACAGTGACATGAGCCAATCGGAGCCCTTGAAGCAAGAGGAACAGGGAATATATGGGACCGGGCTGTCAGAGTCTGGGGACTCGAGCGTCGAGACCTCTGAATTGACTGGTTGCCGAGCACATGGGGTTATGCTGCACCAACACCTGCAGAATCTCCCAGCACCAATTGTTGGAACAAAAGGGCGTCTTCACGCGCGACACCCTTGGATTGGACGCGCCAGGTCGTCATTCGCACTGCTGGTGGACGCTTCATTCATTCATACAAGACTTAGTAAATTCAATGGCACTGGCAACCTGGCGATTTTCGCGTTGCCTTTGCGCATGTTATTGGCCTCACTTGCCTGCGCAGCGATGGATGGGTATAAGTTGAACCTCGGCGACGAAGCCTCGATGGCTTCCAATACCCTCGATAAGCTCGCTCGATCCGCGCCACCGATCTGCTCGACTATCTAACTGCGTCACGATGTCCTTCGAAACATTCTCTTCCAGCCCTTCCCCCTCGAATCAGCCAGGCGCGATTGAGCCCGTTGAGTTCTCGTCGTCGCCACCTGTTTCGTCTCCAGGAACCTCCTTGCCAACGACGCCATCGCCCCGTCCTCGCGGGACTGCCGCCGACTTTATTAAGGTCGATTGGACACTCTGGGGCCACCAAGAGTGGGCGAAGTGGCCTGGATTCGAGCGCTATACCGGCGGCCAAGACACGAGGGCTTGGTGGCAGCAATATGGGTACCGCGTTGAGGACCATTCCTCCTTGCGGCAGGGCAATAAGTTGAAGTGGATCTGCGCGGACTGCTTCGCCCGAGACTTTAAGAAGAAGTCAGACTTCTGGTTTGTCTGCTCGACAGGAGTCTCTGTCAAGAATGTTGAAATGAGAAGATTCGTGTTGCTTAATTCATCCTAAATATGCAGTAGGGGAACCACTGTTTATATACCGGCACGATCTCTTGTGGAATGTTCCACCTTCTTCCACACCGACTTGGTCGCCTCACACTTGTGATCTCCAACAAAGAAACACTTTCGCGAAGCCCACGGGATTCTGGTAAGTCCCCTGGTCCTGGGCTTGATAAAGTGCCGATTTGAAAGGGCCTTAACACTGCGCTCGCCTCAATGGCACAACGTCCGAGACAGTTATGAATCAGGACCAGCCGTTTAGGTACCGTACTATACAGATTACCTTAGTATAAGATACCCAAAGGTGATCCACAGGGAATAACACCTCGTCACTAACAAACAAACAAACAAACAAAAGGTCTATCAAATCACTTCACAATCCAAACACCTCACACATCCCATGACTTTTACATCGTTTGATTGAAGTTCTGGCCTTGCGGCCCCTGCTTCGACTACTCTCCACCACATACAATGGTACATACAAAACCAGTTGCTGCCCCTCAACCTCGGCTAGCAACCGCCCCCTGTCGTCCTCTGCTACAACACCACCCTGTCTTTTCTCCCCCGCTTCAGCCTCCTCCACCTGTGCTTCTAGCTTATTACATACCACAGGAGATGGTGGTATCATAAGAACACAACGATCGATCGAGAAAATGACCAGTCCCGGGTCCGTGTCTAGAATGCACAGCAACAAGTAAAAAAAAAAAAAAGGAATATGAGACAGATTAGGTCGAGACTAAGATGCCGACGCCGAGTCATGCGGTGGTTGTCAAGAGACTATGAAAGAGAAATATCTCTCCTCCGGGGATCTAGGTCCCAGGGAGGGTGCGAGGGAGTGCCGTGTTTGTATGTGCGCGTAGAGATTTTGTCGAAACTTCATCTTGAACCGTGCCATGCAGTTGTTGCGGGTATCCACGGCTCCACCAAGTTTGTGGTCGAAAAGAACTTCACACTCGCGGCCGGTCACCGAGATTCAGCCAGCTCATATCTGACGATGTTGAGGCCATTGCAAGCTGAGGCTGGCTGCTCACACCTGTAGGGGGATTCCGCGGGCCGGCGACGCTTGGGAAGAGCGGCGTTCCGAAGTAGAAGCTAGGGTTGTACGCGCTGCTGTTCTCAATTACATTTTACTAGTTCCTAAGCGTAGCAATTCGTTGCGGGCAATTCATGTTGACTTCCCAAAAAGGAGACCTGCCAGGTCCAAGGTCGACAGGATGAGAATGAGAGAATAGATGCAATGAGAAAGCAGACGTATATAGTACACGGGAGAAAGGCGACGGGTCAAGTGAGCTTAGTGGGCGGGCTGCATCACGCTGAAGCGCTCCTCCTCCATCCTCCTCACGATGTCTCTATCGCGAGCAGTCCGGGGATCAGCGTCGATGCCCAAGATCGACGAGATGCGCGTCTTGTCCTTACCCTTGCTCTGATGCTGCTGCTCCCTCTCGCCGTTACCAGGGCTCGAGATGGGCGTGACGGCCGCAGTCTGGCTGCAGCACATGCCCGTCTTCCAGGCCTGCTCGAGAGTGGTCGGCGAGACGGTGGGTCCGTACTCGTTGGCAATGGCCGTCCAGAACGAGTTGCGGTGGGCTGCGTAGATGGAGTGCAGGCGGGAGAGGTCGACGTGGGCAGCGTTGTGAGCGGGCATCGTCGGCGGGGGAAGACCCGAGCAGTCGAGGCGAAGAGGAGTGGTCCGGTGATGAGTGTGAGGGCCACGGTGGAAGGGAACCGGAGGATGGATAGGGACGTGGTTATCCGCGGCCGGCGAGGCATACGTCTGGGAAGAAGCGGTGTGAGGAGGAAGAGACATGGAAGAAGGCTTGGGGAGAATGGCGGGCAGCCTTGGCACCTCTTCAGACGTCACGATGCTGGGGAGCTGGATGCAGTTGGCGTTGTTTGGAGGCGGCGGTCTGTAGCTGGCCGAACTTCCCGGTAGCGAGGATGAGCGAGACACCCTTTCGTGGGCTGGGCTAGGAGCTGTGGGAGCCATGGCCGGGGAGTGATCGTTGGTGCCAGCAAACGAGCACGAGGCAGCACGCTTGCGTAGGTTGCTGCCATGTGAGAGCTGATGATAGTGAACTCGGCATGCAAGCTCCGTCTTCTTGAGATGTGCCGCAATGTACTTGTAGGGCATCTTCTGGAGTCGAGTTTGAAGAAGATATTGCTCCTATATCAGGCGTGTTAGTGACGAGGTTCATATAAGTCAATGGATATCCACAGGGTTGGACATCTTACGAACGGGAATCGAATCGATAGATTCATTCGATGCCAAGTCTTACGAATGTCGAATCGAATTTCTTGGCGTTCGATTCGCATCGAATCAAATGGGCGCACCCCATTCGACATGCGAATCGAACATGCCACATTTCATTCGACATCGAATCGAACGGCGCTAAGCATTCGATCGATTCGGTCGAACAGTGCTCCCGATTGCAGAAATTTTAGCGTAATTGATCGACGCGTTAAGAATCTACTGGCGCGATCTTACGTGGCGACCCCAGTACGCTGCATCGTTCGCCACGAATCTGTCTTGTTGCTAAGATGGGTTAGTGAGTACGTCCATCCTCCCCGAGAGTTCTATGGCGCCATAGGTACCTTGCAACTTCACTCATCATCCCGACAACAACCCATAATTGAATGTGTCATAAAAGTTCGAAGACAATCCATTTGTGGCGTAGAATGAGGCATCTAGTCCATTTCTATGAAGAATATACGATTTGGGGGAGATGTTGAAGTGCGAGTTATCTTGGCTGCAAATTCCAACTTGCAAAGTTAGGAGGTACTGGCACTACCATTATTACGGAGGCCAGAGCTGCAGTAGTCTCTAACGCATTTGTATAGGGTAGGTCGACACCAGTAACATGGCGGCGCACGCAAGGCCGAAATATCCCAAACATACGCCGATTTTTCAGCAGAATCAAATGAATGCAACTAAAAATTAGTGCCTCTAGATTCTCTCACCGAGAGCTTTCTATTATTGCCAATCTTGGCATGATCAGATGAATATTTCAGACTTGGACTTCATATATTGACATGTATGGGACTCATGGTCTTCCTTTGTTTATCCAATCGTTCCTCTTTTGTCTCGGGGACCTGCAAACAAACCAAGCCGTACCCGTGAACTGAAGTACCAGCGACTTCGCAGGACCCTCGTAGTGCTTTCACTTAGAACATCAACTTCAAGTGCCCACCGTTCTGCCTCACGTGTTCCAGTTTACGAAGAGCTCAAGAATCCGTTCTCAATTGACGCCAAATTAAAATGAGACCAAACGTGAAAGCCGATACGGGCAGAGACTGAACAACGAGGGGATGAGACTCTTTGAGGCGTATGCGCAGTGGCGTGAGCCAATAGGGGCCTTGGAACCAAGAGGGACAGGGAATATATGGAACCTGGCCACCGGAAGCTTGCCTTTAGCCTGGGGTCTGTGGACCTGACCAACGAGACCTGTGAATTGGTTGGTTGCGAAGCGCGGGGAGGTTTAGTAGATCAACACTTGGAAGAACCCCCCTCCGCCAATGGCTGGAACGAAGGTTGACTCCTTCGCTACGCTGGCGTCTTCACGCGCGATTGCTTCGGATTGGGACGCGCCATGTCGTCACTCGCACTGGTGGTCAATGGCTCATTCATTCTTACAAGACTCGGCAAGTTCAACGGCACTGGCGACTCGCGAATTTCGCGTTGACGACAAAATGCGCGTGATACACGCGTGTAATTGGCCTTACACACCTGTGCAGCGATGGATGGATATTACTTGACCCTCCGCACGCAGCCTCAATGGCTTCCAACAACATCATTCAGCTCACTCGACCCGTACGACCGACCTTCACGTCTAGCTAACTGTGTCACGATGTCCTCCGAAACATTCTCTTCAAACAGCCCATTCTCCGATCAGCCAGGGGCTATAGAGCGCATTGAGTTCTTTTCGTCTTCGCCGGCTGTCTCGTCGCCAGCAACGTCGTTGCCAGCGACACCATCGCCTCGTCCTCGCGGGACCGCCGCCGACTTTATCAAGGTCGATTGGACACTTTGGGGCCGCCAAGAGTGGATGAAATGGCCAGGATTCGAGCGCTATACTGGCGGCCAAGACACCAGGGCGTGGTGGCAGGAATATGGGTACCGCGTTGAAGACCATTCCACCTGTCGACAGGGCAATAAGTTGAAGTGGATTTGCGCAGACTGCTTCGCGCGAGGTTTTAAGAAGAAGTCGGATTTCTGCTTCGTCTGCTCGACAGGGGCCTCTGTCAAGAAACACCTTCGCGCAGCCCACGGGATTTTGGTATGTCCCCTGGTCCGCGGCCGGTTGACATGCTGATTTAAAAGGGCCCGAACGAAGCTACCCGTCGCGGGGGAGGCTCATTTTTGCATAACCAGACTATCACTCATTTCCTCAACGCCGACTTCAATAACCCTAACGATCAGTTCCTCCTCAGCAACCTACGTGGACAATTCAACGCCAAGGGTCTCCGAGTTCTTCTTCTCGACTGGATTACGTACCACAACTTGCCGTTCGAGATAGTCAATACTGAGCGGTTCGAGCGGATCCTGCTTTACGGCAACCCACTCCTTGATAAGGCCCATATTCCCTCTGCGAAGACTCTTCTTCGCATGCTCGAATCTGAGTATAGAGGCGCCGTTGGGCCGGTCACTGAAGTATTGCGCAGTGCTCGATCCCAAATCCATTTCTCCTTCGACGGCTGGACGTCAAAATCATTCGTCTCGTTCCTTGGAATCAATGCTCAATTCGTCGATCGCGACTTCGTCCAGCACCGAATCCTCCTTGGGCTTCGACCTCTCACCGGGCGACACACCGGCGCATCGCTTGCCGACGAGGTGGCGGATACTCTTGCATTCTGGCAAATCAATGATCCTGACAAGGTTGGGTACTTCACTCTCGACAATGCAGCCAACAACAACACGTGTATTAGGGACCTTGCATTCGAATACAGCTTCTCTCCTGAAGAGCGACGGATTCGCTGCGCTTGCCACATCGTCAACCTCTGCGTGCGGGCACTGCTGTACGGTTCCAAGCGGGACAACTTGGCTGCAATTGTCGCAGCCGATGGCGACGATCAGGACGACGATGAGGAACGGGTTGATCAAGCTATCAACGAGACACTGGATGGAGAGATGGAAGACGACGAGGACGAAGAGATACAGCCTGACGTTGCTGTCAGTAGCCCTGATGAAAACTTCACGTCGTCCCACCCGGCTCCGGAAGAGATCAACAGCACCACGTTCAGGGAGTACAGCCAGAACGGCGCCCCGGGAATGCTGCACAACATCGGCCTTCAGCTACGAGCGAGTCCACAACTGTATGAGCAGTTTCTTCAGTCTCAACGCAAGGAATCTGGCAAGGAATTAACACTCCACTGGGTCTTTAACAACGCCACTCGATGGGACTCGGACATGCGTATGATGGAAAGGGCCCTTCGTCTCCGCCTAGCACTTAACACATTCTTCAATGACGTTCAGAACCGCTGGGAAGCTAAGGGCGCCTGTGAGAATGCCAAGCCCGCAGTTCTACAGTATCGGCTAAGTGGGTACGACTGGAAGATTATCGAGATGCTGGTCAAGCTTCTGAAGCCTTTCGAGGTCGCCACTAAGCAGCTTCAGGGCAGCGGTGTTCCCGGCGTGAGATCGACTTGTGGTAGCTTCGACGAGTACTTCCCTGTCTTCGAGATGCTCCTTGACCACCTCGAAAGTGCTATCGAAGGTACAATCTACGAAGAAGTTGAGGATCCGGTGAGCAAGAGGAGGAAAGACGTCGAGGTTGCCATTTACGCGGGACTTGATAACAGAACTCGTAAATTGTTCAAGGTTTTCATCAAGCTCGGGTGGAAGAAGCTTCATAAGTACTATGCCCTTCTGACCAGTGCCGCATATGTAGGCGCCGTTGTCTTTAACCCTGCGAAGAAGTGGCGTCTCCTCGACCAATTGTGGTCTCGAGTTCCTACTCGCAAGGCGCGGGGTTGGCGAGCCGACTACGAAGAGAAGCTATTGCAGATCTGGGAGAACAGCTACAGTCAACGCGACGTTGATAACGAGGTCCTCGCTACAACTGATGAGGCCTCAATGGATTACATCGAGCGCAGGCTTGCCAGGAGTGCCGCCAGCTCGGCATTTGCCACGACTTCACCTGCCACCGCTTCCAACCTCCGCAAGACCACACGCAAAGCGAAACAGACGACCACGGCGGCAGCGATTGATGATGAATATTCCAGGTACTGCGCCGAGGATATCGTCAACAGTCAGTACTACAGGAGCAGACCAATTGACTGGTGGAAGACCAATGCCTATCGGTACCCGCGGCTGTCTACCATGGCTGTTGATATGCTCAGTATCCCATCGTCGTCTGCAGAGAGTGAGAGGACGTTTAGCAGCGCAGGGCTTATGATGGCGCCGTTGAGAAATCGGTTGGGGAGGGAGATAGTGGCTATGGGTCAGTGCATTCGATCGTGGAGCAAGGCTGGGATCTACACGCCTTCGCTGCCGCTGCTTAGCCTAAGTGATGACCAATGGGTTGATGTACTTGCGTCGCTGAAGGACACGGGTGACTTCTGATCTGCCTAGTAATACCTGTTTCCACAAATTGACTCTGTTCTGCGACGTCTCTTCCCAAATCACGATCATAATGATGATGTTTATTCCGCCCGGAGGGACATTTCCTATAGGTCCCTACCGCTATGTTACATACTCCCTCTATGTGCTTCCTCGTGTTGCCTATTGCCCTTACACAAACCAGATTTGGATCACTCCATGTCAGACGGTCCTCTTATTGGCATGTCACCATTTCCTCTAACGTTCTCTACCTTCACGGGGATTAGTCATCTATTCGATCGAATTCGATTCGAATTCGATCGAATCTTGGCATCGAATCGAATGACAGGTGCTTGATTCGATATCGAATCTATGGGAGACGTGCTGGACTCGAATCGAATCATATGTGGCCACGCCCGAATCGAATGCCAAGCCATCGAATCGAATAGCAAGGCCGGGCATTCGATTCGATAGATTCGATAGATGTCTAACCCTGAGAACCAGTACGAGTTGTGGATCGGATTCAGCGACAACAAACCCAACCGGTGACAAGCACAAGACGCGAACCGTCCGCGTTTGAGATTACCGGGAATGGCAGGAGAGCCCCAGCTACTTGTAGCGGATGCCATGCAGTGGGCTGCATTCTGCTACGGACAATATCGAACCGTGTATCATTGTTAAATCGTAGTTAATTCACTAATTCAATTCTTTTGTACAACTAAATCCGGAACCGGCTTCATCCTTTGCACAAACACTGGTAATTGTGAGCACAGACCATATCATTAGGGATACTTATATATACAGACTAGAACTGGTCTAAATCCTCGCTTATTTCTACAGGGTGTCAGCTTCTGGAAAGTCTCATGAAGTACCCAAAAAATCTAAAGCAGAGCCAATCACAGCCGGGGTCAGCACAGTGCAATGCGACCATAGGTGATGTAGCTTGTCATGTACGTTAGTCAATTATAAATAATGCTGGTGAGTAGTTGGACCTCGGGCTAACACAAACGCCGGCGGCTCCATTACATAAATTTACACTCGGGCCTCTTTGTAACTTTTACCCCTCCTGACGCTATCAATAGCTTGTTAAATGTCAATTACAAATAGTGCCTTATATAAAAATTAATATGTCATCAAAGGTGTAATGTTTAAGCCTCTCTGATAGGGTCCGCAAAGGCAAGTTGAGCCTGTGAGAGGCAGTAGTAACACTATGTGGATTGCTAAGTAAAGTAGAATCACGAAACCTATTAGCAAGCATCCTATCTCTATAGCATAATCCTCTGTCGGCCCGTAGTATAAGACAGAAACGAGATGACTTGACGATAGTTGTTCTCTTGTCACCACGCTCTCACAAACACATTCACATCTCCTACCACTTACACTGCTCCTCGTTCGATCTAATACAAAAATGACTGCGCCCAAGACCTTTTTCATCACCGGCGCCAACCGAGGCATCGGCAAGGGCTTCACCGAGAAGCTCCTCCTGCGACCCGGAGTCACCGTTATAGCTACAGCTAGAGACCCCGCAAAGGCGGCCTCGCTCCACTCGCTGTCCAAGGGCAAAGGCAGCAAGCTCATCGTCCTCAAGCTCGACTCCCAGGTCGACGCTGATCCCGCCGCGGCCGTTGCGCAGCTCCAGCAGGATCACCGCATTAACTCCCTCGACGTCGTCATTGCCAACGCCGGCATCGCCCACTCGGGCACCACCGTCTCCAAGACGACTCCCGAGTCGCTCCGAGACCACTTCAACACCAACTCCATCGGCCCCGTGACGCTATTCCAGGCCGTCTCTCCCCTGCTTCAGGCCAGCTCGACCGACAACCCCATCTTCTTCCCCATCTCGACCCTGATCGGCAGCATCGGCAGCCAGGAGGCTCTCGCCGCCTTACCCCAGGCCTTCAGCCCCTACGGCGCCAGCAAGACGGCCATCAACTGGCTCGTCTCCCGCCTTCACTTTGAGGAGCCCTGGCTCACCACCTATACGGTGCACCCCGGCGTGGTTCTGACCGACATGGCCACCTCATTCATGCCTCCCGGCATTGACCCAGCCTCTGTTGGCGCCATCGACGTCGAAACTAGTGTTACTGGTCTCTTGAAGTTGGTCGACACTGCCACCCGGGCTGAGTTTGGCGGAAAGTTCAAGAACTATGACGGCACCCCGCTTCCGTGGTAATTGCCTAGCACACAATCGGGAGGTGATAGACGGGGAAATCCCATGTCACGACCCATGTCGAACTAGGTCCCGGCCTCGTCACGTGTGCTGACCGCGCCCCCACTTTTTCCTCCAATCACGAATGGATCACCTAGATCAGTAGATGATCCAAGTCATCCGGAATACATCGTAACTATATAGGCGCCTGAGAAGTGCACATCTATCATGAGCAGCTCCTCAGCTATCAACACAATTTGGTTACCTCAATCTACTCTGACTGCTACGCATCACCGTGAAGTGACTATTACCTAACATAACACTTCGACGACCGGTCAGTAAGTGAGCCTAACCGCTCCGCTAACATAGACCCCGGTCTCTAGTAGGCAATTGCGACTTAGGTTTTCAGCACCACAACATGAATTTCCAGTCTTCTGTAAATTTATTGAATATATATTTGTATCACTAATATGTCAACGCATTCATTTCGGCCATTACGTCCATGTTGCTGTTGCAGGTCGTGGTCAAGTAGAATCCTCGACGGCCATCATTCGTGGAGCACTGTGAGCGTTACACTTTCCATTTCTGGACTAGTGGAGCATTACACTTTCCTGATCAGGTTAGCGTATTTCAAGTTCCCCAATCTCAGTTCAGTTGCTTCAGGGGAAGTCAACGGAAGTCACGAACCACGGAAGCAACAATAAATGTCCGATTTGTGGAAGATCAAGAACAGGACCCCACTGTGCTACATCGGCGTCGTCTGCAAGTGAGACGTACACAAAACTACAGGCTACGCCAACGAGCGAACCGAGATGGACGGGCCACGGATTACCTATCAGGCTGGGTCACCATCTTCCCTGGTGGAGTCAACCACAGAGAATGGGCAGATAGGACCCAATAACAGTTCATTGATCGACGCTGGGGGGTTTGGAGGGCCGATATCTCTGCTGATGAAGCTTTTACGATCCTTATCCAAGAGGGTGACGATCCCGGCATAGACATCGAGCCAGCCTATTTTGACGAGGAGCTAGTCCACTGCACCGGAGAGCGCAAGAATCAGACAGAGCCTCAAAGCCCAGAGTTCCATATTGAAGCACGAGTGGGTCGTCCTGATAAGAGCGCTTAGACGGACGTAGAGCATGCCATACAGAAGTTTATCCAGCAGTTTCTGGTCGGAATCTATGGTTGCGGCACCCAGGAGCATCGAGAATCTCTGACAGCGCACATCGAAGCTGAGGGACTATATAACCATTATGGGCTTGATCAACTGTTTCCCCTCAACGTGCCTATACTCTCGATAAATAGGATTTCTTCACCCGCCAAACGTGTAATAAGACACAATATCCGAACCCTAGTCAGTAGCAAGAGTTATTATCTGGTGATAAAACCGAGCATTTTGATAGGAAGCCTAAGCAGACTTGCCTCGACACTGAACACACGCAAGAAATTCCTCCGGTTGTTTCATTCCATATCAATAGTATCTTGGGTTTCGTGACTTCTCCTGCAGCGGCGCTTCAAGGGATCCGGTTTTATTCTGCTCCTCAGTATCGTCAGAATATTATACAGATATTCACTTGACCCTGGATCGTGTGGATCCAGATCCAGAGCGACCCCGATTGATTCCATCACGACTGAAAGACGTGCCGCATTTCATCTTCGCGAAGGTCGAAGGCGCTGACTTCATCACATTGCACCTATTCTTTCCACATTTGCCATACTACCACAACTTCAATCGGTTCACTGATGAGCAGCTCTCGCGATGGTTTGATGATATCTTCTATCCCGCTGTCCGACAAGTCTATGATGTCGATCGGCTCCAGCTGTGAAGGGTTCTAATAGTGTAAATTACAGCTATATAGTCCTCATGCGTTTTACATACGAGCTGAGGAAGGAAGAAAGAAAGAAAGATAAAAGGACCGAAAATCCTTCATCAAATAGACCAAGTCGTCACTAGAGCAACAGCGCTCAGACCAGCAAGAGGACAAGGCACTGCCTTGTCCAGCAGGGCCTGGCCCGTTACAAGAATGACTTTATATCCTTATGTGCAGTCTCAGTCGGGCTGTTCACCCTCTGGCCAAAGTTGCAATAGTTATTAATAAAACACTTCGCCCATTGAAGCTGCCAAGCTATATATTCTTTAGAGATGTAACTGAGGATGCAATGCTGAAGAGGATACGTATTATTAAGCTTCTTCCACTGAGCTTCAAAGTCAGCTTCAGTAGGGGCATATACAATGCGTTTCCAGGCCTCAAACATCTCATTACAACTATGTGGGTCATTGTCAGGTGAGGCTGGCTGCAATGCTAAGTGGGCTAAGGTGGGTTCTTGTTCTTGTGGATTGTTGAGGGATGATGAGGCTACAAGTGGCAGCTTCAGGTGTATCGTCAGCTTCAGAGTCGTCGTCTTCGAGGTCATCGGGGTCATCAGGATTCCATTGTGATCTAATCTTTCCCTTTACATTAGCGTTGATGTGCCATATGCAGAGTTGCTGCTGAGCAGCGGGGAAAACCTGGTTCAGGGCATTCTTAAGAGCTGTTTCTTTATCTGTGATGACCACAGATAGAGCTGGGAGATGAAGATCTCATCTACAAGCATCAAGTTGTTAATAAAGCCAGAGATAGTGTGAAGGGCTGGCCCTGGGTTTGTTCAACGAAAGGGTGCGGTAGATTGGTCTATCTAAGACTAAGGAGCAGGAAAGGAGAGAGGGACTAACTCTAGGGAAGTCATAGCTATAGAGTAGAGCTCTCGCTTGCAAAGCGGTAGTAGCTGGCAGAAGGGAAGGTCAATCTCGCCTAGCTCGGTCGGCCTCGGCCGGTCGGGAGTGGCACGGCGTAGCCCGTGCCCCCATACTGGGCCTCAGCCCGTGACAGATAGGCATCCTCTTTCTTATTATCGATGAGGCCGAAGGCGAAATTCACAACAGACCTCTGATCAGAGACACCGGTCACTTGGAAGAATGGCATCTTGAAGCGGTTGGTTTTGTATGTATTATCGAGACCTAGAACCTCAGAAAAACACTTCCACTGTATCTTTCACCAAGGATAAGTCCAGAAGATTCCTTGAATGCAATGTTCATCATCATCTTTATATTTAATAAAATGCCGCAGACCGTATGATCGTAGGATCGAAATCCAGGCTTGAGTTGCTGTCAGCCCACTAAGAAGCTAAGATTGGAGGCGTTGTCGATTATTATAGATATCTTTCTGTGTAAAATAACTTGGTGTTGTCACGGGCCAGGGCCCATATCCTTGCGGCTGTGCCGCAAGACGTACTAGGCTCGTGCGCGCCAGGGATGAGAAATCATCCCACAGCTCAGGGGTGTCACGGGCCGGATGAGATCAACTCAAGAGGTAATACCACTGTATTGCGAGAATACTACGATGGAGAGGAAAAGAGAAAGCGGGCAGGCGCGTAGACGCGTAGACGCGTATGATAGTCCCTGTGGCCTGCCCCGTGCGCCCTAGCTACGTATCGACCCCACCCTGGGTCCAGCGCTCCGGACGTTCCCGTCACAGGCACCAGAGCAGCTCTCCAGCATCTATTGTTGACGCGCTTAAGTCATTTTCTAAGGGAACGAAGGCGATAATGCATCAGATAGCATTATTGAAGTCTGAGAACCAGATCCTTCGACAGGCAAATGAGACTCTTAGCAAACGGCGCAGAGGAAAAAAAACCCGCCTACGGAATGGAGGGAAGATGACTCTAGGTGAGGGAAGGGATGTAATTGATCAGAAAGAGATTGATGCGCAGGTAGTGGCCGAATTATCGAGAAGTGGTGGTCAAGGAAGGTCAGTGCTAGCAAGAGAAAGGCACTGTAGAACCTGTGGAAAGACTGGACATAATAGAAGAACATGTCAGATAGTTGTGTCAATATCCGAAGAAGAGTATAGCAATTAGTTTTAATTGGTTAGATGCTTTGTTGTGATTTTATGCTATATTCTATCTTAATGGTGGGAATTTTTGGTGCACTCGCTTGGTTGGTGCACTCGCTTATCAGACAACAATCTCTATTACTCCACGCTATGCTCAGAACCACCGAGATAGCGACGATCCTGGTTCGTTCGTTTCTATGGGTTGGGCTCTATGAAGCCTATCCGGGACAAACTCGCGGCTTGTAGCCCAAGAAGCAATCCATCATCCCGCATCATACCACGACGTCCGACCTCGCAGCTTCTGCGCAAAGGCATCCTCGTTTCGCTGAAATCCAGGAGATAGGGTACTAGAGTGCATCAGGGTAATAGGGAAAGGAGAATCCAAACAGCGGCCGTTCAGTTCATGAAGGGTATCTCAAAAATACGACCGCGGCAACAAACGCCCTGCTATCCTCCCAAACGTGTCCTGATTGTCGCCTCTTGCGGCGACAACCAAATATTTCATACCACATTTCCACGGATTCAAAAAGACCGGTGATATCCAGATCGGCGTTCTCGGCGAAGAGCCCAGCCCTTGATGGCAAGAACAACGACCTCCCAGGCCATCAACAACCCTACCAGTCCCATGGTAACGGTGTACATGAGCATGGCATCCAGTTCGTAGTGGATCATCCCCTCGACAGTGTCTCCAGCCTTTAACAAATCAGTCTCCTGACGCGACGAACAAACTGAGGGAATCGCCAACTTACACTCGCCATGAAGATGATACCTCCGGCAATCAAACCAAAAGATACTAGGAGTTCGGTTGGAGGCCGAGACGGAAGAACTGACTTGGGAGGCTTGAGGAACATGAGCACGTAAGTGAAGCCTCTTGCGAGAGAGGCTCCGAGCAGGAGATCCCCCCATTTCTTGTGTACCATGCTCGATATCATGGTCGCCTGACTGTGTGAGCTCATCATGATGCCTAACAGCAAGATGACCAAGGCGGGGATAGGATTCAGAGAGAACTCATACGTCGCAGGAGGCTGCAACTGCTCTCCTTCTTCGTTGGAGTACTCGTGCGCCGGTTTAGCATCAACCACCGTTGTGTTGAGCAAATCTCGGATCCGAGTCGATTCAATAAGCATGCCGCACTGTTAGACGGTTTCTGTGAGCTCCCATTACCAATGGCGCCTGAGCTGAGCAGCAACTTACCAGTCCACCACTAATGAACAAGACTATGATGGAGATATGCTCCATGTCCTGGGCAGTCCAAGCACCTCCCCAACCACCGAGATGCTCGAGGAAGATATTGGTGGAGCCATAGAAGAATATGAGGGCGCTCTCGACAAACTCGGCCGACGGGCACCATTTCTGCAAGGATCGCTTCGGACGCACATTCCAGGCCCATCCAAGCTCGCCGAAGCTGCCAGACCAACGTCCCAGCGTGAAGAGGCCGAGCCAGACGAAGACACCGCCCTTGATCCAATGCGCTAGGCCGCCGAAGATGCCACTGCCTTCCTACTTGGATATTAGCTCTGGGAAACATTCCGATTGGGCATGATTTGACTCACGAAGAAGCGACCGAAGGTGACGATGCCAGTCGCAAGCGCAATGAAACCGAATGGAAGGATAATGCGATCGACTACCTGGTAGCCGATGTCCAGATACCGCCAAATTCGACAAGTGACGATTTTTGCAGCCTGAATTGCAATCTTACTCTTCCGGTTATTCGAGGCCAAGGGCATAGCGTCTAGATCATCATTATCGTCGTCTTCATACTCTTTGTGGCGACTGTGGAGTGGAACGTCGTCTACTCCGTCAAAGGTCGAGACTGAGTTGCTTCTCAGGGACGATGTGTTGGGCTCAGTACCCTGGCCACTGTCGTCGGACAATCGGTAAGGGCCCGAGGTTCGGTCGCGATCATTATGGCCACCATGACTGTGATATTGATCCTCGTACGTCGCCTCGGTTGAGACTGGAAGAAACACTTGGTTGTCGCTGCGACTTCGGCTTCCAGCAGCTCGAAACGCTCCGGCGATCCATCCTACTGCGCTCACGAGCACTTGGGCTGAGACAACCCATGTTACGATCCAACCAATGTTGTGGTGCGCATTGTTCGGGTATAGGTCTGGGGTCTGAGCGTTATATATGGTACCGAGGAGGAGACCGAGGGCGTTGGTGGCTAAGAAGGCGGACTGGAGCGGAAGCGTGTATCGGGATCGCGCCAAAGCTAGCATCACGGCTGAAGGAGAAAACGGGCACATCAGACACATGCCAGATAGTTGTCAATGCGAGTGATTCAACGCTTACCGACTGGCAGAACGAAGACCCAGGCGATGACCATAAGCGCGATATGGGTGTAGATGACGCCGACATGGTCAAGATGGGCGAAATAGGTGGGTGGGTACTCGGAATCGTCCTTGGGCTTGTCGGCCTCGTGTATCTCACCGTGCTCGCCGCCGCCGCCATGGGCGAAGACAACGGGGAGAAGACCAAGCACAAGGGTGCTGGTCGGATGTGAAAGAAAAGTTTTCGAGGCCATACCTGGGGTAAGGTGTCTCGCGCGTCGCCGTCGTCCAACTTACACCCTAACGGTGACCTGGCGTAACTGGAGACTCGCGAGAGCAGCTCGATGTAGGGTCCACGATTATTGGAGGTGTATTTCATGATGGAATGCAGACAGAGGCACATGCAGACTGGTCTAAGAATGCTAACGGCCTTGCCTGCGTATCAAAGAATCATGGCATCCAGAAGTAGCAGAAGGGCCCAGTCGGGAGACCCAGGCGGTGGAGGAACCCTTCGGAGGAAGAAGGCATCGAGGTCAAGGGACAAGGGCTGTGGGACAGTGGATGAAAGAAGCTCGGGGCTTCGGGGCGAGAGACAGACGACAGGGTACCTCGACTGACGGCGAACTGGAGTGCCGATCCCAGGTACCTCTTCGCTCGCTCCCGCTCCCATGCCTCAGAACCTATATCATCGTTCAATCGACTCGACAGCCAGGGCTGATGGCGCCCACCGCTTGACGGCTTCTGTGGTGTCGGGCCTTGGCTACTTGGGTGTTGCTTTCGGAGGCTTACCAACCACGACCAGCCTTTCGGTTTATTGACAATGTAATCAACCTTTTTGTTACGACACGATTCTTGCGTCATCCCAGGGCAACAGGACCAAAGGGAGCCGGAGATTGACTGACGAGTAAGCCCTAGCCCACCTCTCGTTCTTTGAAGGCTGGCCGCCCACCACTACGGAAGAGGAGAACCCTGGCAGAGTCACGGAGCTACGGAGGCTGGAGAGTCTGGGGCCCGCTGCGTACAAATAGTTTGAAGGAGTACTTTGCTTCGTGCAGCAATGTACCCAGCAGAAGTGCAACCATCTGGTGGCAGGTAGCGTCGTGCATACATCCGTATTCGCATCCGAATCACATTCACAGCACCATCACAACTCACAACAAGGGATGGTACCCTTGAGAGCTTCACTATAAAAACGGATAATCCGTGGAGCCGCTTGTTAAAAGGGCTCTTCTCTGAGGCATTTGAACTTTAGACATATCCGGACTAGGACAGAAAATATTGGAAGGACTGAGTCACCCTCTGTTGTGCGTTAACGACTGAACGTATACATGTGAGTTAAATGGCTGTTTCCATATGTTGAGACCAGGGCAGGGCATGTTTCTTGGCTTCCATGACGTATTCTTGGCGGCGTTGAGCAATGTCAAAAAGGTAGTACGGCGTTTGCCAAGAAACCCAGTGGAATGTCAGCCAGCCTGCCCTACTGGACTTGCCACTCGGTTGATTTGAGACGCACTTGTCACTCAGGTTGTCCATGATGGTCCGGTGCATCCTGTCTATCAGATGGGTCAGTGTTGGCTTTGGGAATCCTTTGACCCTCTCACGTCCCCAACTCGTCTGAAGAGTCGCGTAGTGTAATGTAGTGTCGACGTGCGGATGGTTGTGATAGGTGGTGAATTAGGATCGCGGCTTGGCGGTTGACCATTGTGCCCAGTGGTGTGGGGATGGCTACGAAAGGGAGTCAATGGGACGGACAATAACCCCTGAGTGAGACGCCCAGGGGACTCTGTTGCGACCTGGGCTGCCGCATCCGGGGCATGATGTGTGGGACTGGTCTCCCTGGCACAAGCGGCATCATAGCGGCATCATAGCGGCATCATAGCGGCATCATCATCGACGCCACCAGCCGACCAGTGCTCGAGACTACACAAGAGAAAGCCGCCTTAACCAGTATTTTACTCGGGCCATAGAAATCACTGGCACATGACACAGGTCGAGGCCCCGTCATGATCTCTGAGACTGCATACGCATACCGAACAACGCCTCCTGGCCAAAAAGTAAAATACATAGACGCAACGAGCTGGGAAATCACCACTTGCACCGGTAGCCCAGTCTTCCCCACGGGAAAGCAGCCTGAGCTAATGGTACAATCAAACGGCAACTTCAAGGGATGTGCTCCCTTAATAATCGCCTTAATAATCGCCTTCAGCCCTTGCCCGATTCGTCTGCCTAGCGATACATAGACATTCTGGAATGGCCCCTACACCCGCAAAGCATGGGATCGGGCAAGTCGTCTCGCAGCAATCTCTTCTTCTCTATTCCCTTACAAGCCGTCAATCTACACGTGCCTAACCATAATTGCCAGCAAATCGGATACCGACAGTATTAAAAGCCTGTTATGCGCATCCAATCGACTCTCTGATCGCTTCGAGCGAAGCCGCTACCAGTCCGACATGCAAAACCCTGTATCTGTCAGTGATTGCCGTGATGAGTCCTCGATGCTCGAGTCTGCATCTGATCCTCCCGTCCTCAGCATCGAGTCTCCCGCCGCTCCTCCGCATTGGGCCCAGTATCTCATCCCGTGTCCCACCGAAGAGACTTCCTCGAGTCCTAGTCAGAGTTCTCTCTTTACTCAGCTCGATACTCACACTTGCATTGTCGAGAACCGTGCTCGCACTCGACCGCCTACTTCTTTCTCCGGCACCCTGCCTCCCAACTGCGACGACTATGAGCTGGCCCTCGCCATCAAGCCTCAGGTCACAAAGCATTTCGTTAAAAACCGCAGAGCATGGCTTCGCAAAGAACTAGCCCTCCTTGAGTCCGACCGACGAGCTGGTGCTCGCGTGACCGGGGCTTCCATTGCCCGAGCTTTGAAGCCGACCTGCACCCGCCCCGACAAACCTAGGCACACCGCCCTCCGTATTAGTGCCCCTACCCGTCAAGATAAGGACTTCACTCCGCTGGCCGATTATCCCCCCCCTCCCCCCCGTGGGACTCGCTGGCCGATCGAACCAATAGCCTTAAAGCGGAATGGACAGGAGAGCCCGTCGACCTCACCAACGACTCCTACGTGTGACCAACTTCATCATGAAGAGGTGTCGTTCGCTCGCTCGCTCGCTCGTTAGGACTAGATTGCGCGACATACCTGACGAGCAATCGACGTATCTTACTACAAGCGACCGCAATTCTTGCGAGCTGGCAGAGAGTTCCGTAAGACAGATGCACAGCAAGCCTGCTGTATTGATGTCAATACGGCCTCGAAGCTATGAGATTCCTTGAATAACGCTTGATGGTTTGATGCCTATTGGATGAAAAAGCACTTAGCGGACCCCATCAATGGCATGACTCTCGACTAGAAGTTGCTATCTACGACGGGCTCGATAGCAGAACCCGTAGATTGCTCAAGGTCTTTATCAAGCTCGGATGGAAGAAGCTGCACAAATACTACAACCGTCTGACTAGCGCAGCTTATGTCGGCGCTGTTGTCTTCAACCCGGCGAAGAAGTGGCGCCTTCTCGATCAACTGTGGTCTCGAGTGCCTTCTCGGAAGGCTAAGAGTTGGCGATTAGAGTACGAAGCAAAACTCTTGGAGATCTGGGGGAGGTATAGGGAGCGCGACGTTGACTGCGAGGTCTTCGCTACGCCTGACGAGGCCTCAATGGATTACATCGAGCGGAGACTTGCTAGGAGTGTAGCTGGTTCGACATTTACCCAAACTTCGTCTTCTGCAGCGCCCAATGCCCGCAATAGCACCCGTAAGACAAATCCGAGGACGGCGGCAGCGACGACTGATGACGAGTATGCTCGGTACTGCGCCGAGGATGTTGTCAACAGTCAACACTACACACTACAGGAGCAGACCAATTGGCTGGTGGAAAATCAACGCCAATCGGTACCTGCGACTGTCTCTGATGGCTGTTGGTATGCTCACTATCCCGTCGTCATCTGCAGAGAGTGAGAGGACGTTTAGTAGTGCAGGACGTATGATGGCACCGTTGAGAAACCGGTTGAGGAGGAAGATTGTGACGATGACTCGGTGCATTCGATCTTGGAGTAAAGCTGGAATCTACACCCCTTCACTGCCGCTGCTTAGCCTCAGTGATAACCGATGGGTTGACGCACTTGCGTCGGTGAGGGAGACGAGTGACCTGTAATCTGCCTAGTACCTTCTTTTTACAAAATTGACTCTGCTCTGCGACGTCTCTTCCGAACTCACGGTGTCGTCTGATGTTTTCTGCCTTCGCCGGATTAGTCATACGTTCGATCGAATTCGATTCGAATTCGATCAAGTCTTGGCATTCGATAGATATCGAATCTACGGGACATGCATAATGATGCATTCGATTCGATCCGAATCTGCGGGAGACGCATTCGATTCGATTCGAATCTACAGGAGTCGCATTCGATTCGAATGCGAAGGCTTGGTGTTCGATTCGATAGATTCGATAGATGTCTGACCCTGGCTCCGCCTTAGGTTGGTGCTTCGTCTGTCGAATGTTGCCTAAACGGATCGGCTATTGCGGCACCTGGATAGCTGGTTTACATTACTGGATTAGTCTTAGCCTTGTGGATAGACAGACTATTGACAGACTATTGATGTGACGTTCCCGTCACACCTTAGTCCCATCTTCCTTGTTTACCTATATTAGGGTTAACTAGAATTTTATAGGATTTAATACTAAGTTAAACGTGTATTAAATAACCTTATCTGAAACTTTTATGTATTTTAAGTCTAATTTGAAAAAGTTATTGATTCTTGTTGGATACGCAATTTGCTGTATGCAATAGCAGAAATGATTGATCAAATGATGTGAATTGAGAAGGTTGTTCCTCCCTTGATTGAGGGTCCTAGGGGCCCTATTTTATACTCAAAGGGATCTAGATCAGGGTGTCAAAGGGATCCGGATCCGGCGTTGTGACTATGCCGTATCCGGCTTATTACCAGATCCGGCGTTCCGGATCCGGCATGTTATGCCGCCACACGAGGTCTCAATCCAACAATTCTTTAAAAATCGCATTTAAGGTCCGATAAGGAGTGGCTAGCTCGCTTGTCTGGCTAGCTCGCTTATCATATACGTTATTGTTTATATTATTAGCAAGACTGGTTCGGAACACGGATCACCCTTTCAAGCCGCACTTAACGAACCTACGAATGTTAATCTCGACGTAGAGTTTTAATCTATCTGGGCAGAATTCAAGGGACTGCATGAGTCAAGATGACGTGGAGCTGGCGTTTGCACAGGAATGCGGATTTTGTTTGTATGAGTTAATTAACTTGGGACGACAGCAATTTTTTGTGATATTAAAAGCTATGGTAAAACAAAACAACACGGTAATTTTCTTTTTAACTTTTGCCCGGAGCTCTGGGCTCGGGTTCCACTAGAGATGCCGGGGCGGGAAAAGCAAAGTCACCGACGCATGCGATGTCTCTGCAATGTTTCTTTGTCTTTCTGGACGAGGGTTGTGTAAGGAATGTTTCCGACCCAGAATGGCTTTTCTGGGCAACCCTGATACTGATGTGAAATTACGCCAGTGCGCTAGCGGGTTTCAAGGGATCCTTGACCCTTGGGCCCTTGCGTGGGAAACGAAAAGTTGGCGTTGTTGAGGGACTGGGGTAGTTTCGAAGGAGGAGGTGGAGGGGTGGCGTTTTTTTTTTTTAATTTGGATCCCTTGTTTGTTGGAACCGTCTGCTTTTTAGCATGTTGAATGAAGATTGGTTTTTCTTCTTTAAAAGGCCGGCGTGATGATGGTGAAACAAGATCTAATTTACGACGTACAGTAGACAGTAGGTAGGCAGTTGTGAAAGCAGCATCATGATGAGAAGGGGAATTTGGGAGGGGCCTTGTTTGTTTCTGGAAGAGGACTTGTCATCATCCCACGAAGCTAATAAGCCTGTTTACTCATGCTGACTACATATGCAGGTACACAATCCCGTATAAGATGGAGCCCGCTTTTTATTTTGATATGAAATGGCTCTTCCCCGTCCAAAAGGTGAGCAAAGCGGGTGCGTCTTTGCGCGGGAGATCTCTCGGCTACGTATCATGGACCGACATGACTATGGTGTCATCAGAACCCGAAAGGCTTCATCTACTTGCGACGGACGTGCTTGGAGCGAGGACGAGGCAAGTTGGATATCCATTGACTTATATGAACCTCGTCACTAACACGCCTGATATAGGAGCAATATCTTCTTCAAACTCGACTCCAGAAGATGCCCTACAAGTACATTGCGGCACATCTCAAGAAGACGGAGCTTGCATGCCGAGTTCACTATCATCAGCTCTCACATGGCAGCAACCTACGCAAGCGTGCTGCCTCGTGCTCGTTTGCTGGCACCAACGATCACTCCCCGGCCATGGCTCCCACAGCTCCTAGCCCAGCCCACGAAAGGGTGTCTCGCTCATCCTCGCTACCGGGAAGTTCGGCCAGCTACAGACCGCCGCCTCCAAACAACGCCAACTGCATCCAGCTCCCCAGCATCGTGACGTCTGAAGAGGTGCCAAGGCTGCCCGCCATTCTCCCCAAGCCTTCTTCCATGTCTCTTCCTCCTCACACCGCTTCTTCCCAGACGTATGCCTCGCCGGCCGCGGATAACCACGTCCCTATCCATCCTCCGGTTCCCTTCCACCGTGGCCCTCACACTCATCACCGGACCACTCCTCTTCGCCTCGACTGCTCGGGTCTTCCCCCGCCGACGATGCCCGCTCACAACGCTGCCCACGTCGACCTCTCCCGCCTGCACTCCATCTACGCAGCCCACCGCAACTCGTTCTGGACGGCCATTGCCAACGAGTACGGACCCACCGTCTCGCCGACCACTCTCGAGCAGGCCTGGAAGACGGGCATGTGCTGCAGCCAGACTGCGGCCGTCACGCCCATCTCGAGCCCTGGTAACGGCGAGAGGGAGCAGCAGCATCAGAGCAAGGGTAAGGACAAGACGCGCATCTCGTCGATCTTGGGCATCGACGCTGATCCCCGGACTGCTCGCGATAGAGACATCGTGAGGAGGATGGAGGAGGAGCGCTTCAGCGTGATGCAGCCCGCCCACTAAGCTCACTTGACCCGTCGCCTTTCTCCCGTGTACTATATACGTCTGCTTTCTCATTGCATCTATTCTCTCATTCTCATCCTGTCGACCTTGGACCTGGCAGGTCTCCTTTTTGGGAAGTCAACATGAATTGCCCGCAACGAATTGCTACGCTTAGGAACTAGTAAAATGTAATTGAGAACAGCAGCGCGTACAACCCTAGCTTCTACTTCGGAACGCCGCTCTTCCCAAGCGTCGCCGGCCCGCGGAATCCCCCTACAGGTGTGAGCAGCCAGCCTCAGCTTGCAATGGCCTCAACATCGTCAGATATGAGCTGGCTGAATCTCGGTGACCGGCCGCGAGTGTGAAGTTCTTTTCGACCACAAACTTGGTGGAGCCGTGGATACCCGCAACAACTGCATGGCACGGTTCAAGATGAAGTTTCGACAAAATCTCTACGCGCACATACAAACACGGCACTCCCTCGCACCCTCCCTGGGACCTAGATCCCCGGAGGAGAGATATTTCTCTTTCATAGTCTCTTGACAACCACCGCATGACTCGGCGTCGGCATCTTAGTCTCGACCTAATCTGTCTCATATTCCTTTTTTTTTTTTTTACTTGTTGCTGTGCATTCTAGACACGGACCCGGGACTGGTCATTTTCTCGATCGATCGTTGTGTTCTTATGATACCACCATCTCCTGTGGTATGTAATAAGCTAGAAGCACAGGTGGAGGAGGCTGAAGCGGGGGAGAAAAGACAGGGTGGTGTTGTAGCAGAGGACGACAGGGGGCGGTTGCTAGCCGAGGTTGAGGGGCAGCAACTGGTTTTGTATGTACCATTGTATGTGGTGGAGAGTAGTCGAAGCAGGGGCCGCAAGGCCAGAACTTCAATCAAACGATGTAAAAGTCATGGGATGTGTGAGGTGTTTGGATTGTGAAGTGATTTGATAGACCTTTTGTTTGTTTGTTTGTTTGTTAGTGACGAGGTGTTATTCCCTGTGGATCACCTTTGGGTATCTTATACTAAGGTAATCTGTATAGTACGGTACCTAAACGGCTGGTCCTGATTCATAACTGTCTCGGACGTTGTGCCATTGAGGCGAGCGCAGTGTTAAGGCCCTTTCAAATCGGCACTTTATCAAGCCCAGGACCAGGGGACTTACCAGAATCCCGTGGGCTTCGCGAAAGTGTTTCTTTGTTGGAGATCACAAGTGTGAGGCGACCAAGTCGGTGTGGAAGAAGGTGGAACATTCCACAAGAGATCGTGCCGGTATATAAACAGTGGTTCCCCTACTGCATATTTAGGATGAATTAAGCAACACGAATCTTCTCATTTCAACATTCTTGACAGAGACTCCTGTCGAGCAGACAAACCAGAAGTCTGACTTCTTCTTAAAGTCTCGGGCGAAGCAGTCCGCGCAGATCCACTTCAACTTATTGCCCTGCCGCAAGGAGGAATGGTCCTCAACGCGGTACCCATATTGCTGCCACCAAGCCCTCGTGTCTTGGCCGCCGGTATAGCGCTCGAATCCAGGCCACTTCGCCCACTCTTGGTGGCCCCAGAGTGTCCAATCGACCTTAATAAAGTCGGCGGCAGTCCCGCGAGGACGGGGCGATGGCGTCGTTGGCAAGGAGGTTCCTGGAGACGAAACAGGTGGCGACGACGAGAACTCAACGGGCTCAATCGCGCCTGGCTGATTCGAGGGGGAAGGGCTGGAAGAGAATGTTTCGAAGGACATCGTGACGCAGTTAGATAGTCGAGCAGATCGGTGGCGCGGATCGAGCGAGCTTATCGAGGGTATTGGAAGCCATCGAGGCTTCGTCGCCGAGGTTCAACTTATACCCATCCATCGCTGCGCAGGCAAGTGAGGCCAATAACATGCGCAAAGGCAACGCGAAAATCGCCAGGTTGCCAGTGCCATTGAATTTACTAAGTCTTGTATGAATGAATGAAGCGTCCACCAGCAGTGCGAATGACGACCTGGCGCGTCCAATCCAAGGGTGTCGCGCGTGAAGACGCCCTTTTGTTCCAACAATTGGTGCTGGGAGATTCTGCAGGTGTTGGTGCAGCATAACCCCATGTGCTCGGCAACCAGTCAATTCAGAGGTCTCGACGCTCGAGTCCCCAGACTCTGACAGCCCGGTCCCATATATTCCCTGTTCCTCTTGCTTCAAGGGCTCCGATTGGCTCATGTCACTGTGCCCAGACTATTAAGGCACATCACGAGGAGCTGGAGCTTTTTGAGGCAATTATTATAACAAGTGGATGTAACAGGTCGGATTGCGTGGCGGGTTTTCGGAAAACCCCGCTAAAAACCGCCAAGCCCTTGACATCACCAAAAGGACTGTAATTTTTACGGATCTCGGTATTCATCGACGACCAAGGCCTGCACGGGCATAAAAATAGGATAAATAGGCTCGTCTAATTGAGCTGAACAAAATGACACCTGCCTCGAGCCGTGCATCCGTCTCGTTGTTGATGTGCGCGCGTTTCTGATCATCGCCTTTATTTTCAAGTGATGACCGTCTATGGGGTGGTTTACAAGCCCTAAAAAGGCCGCCAAGTTACGACCAAAACAGGCCAATTTTACTGCACTTTTAGGGGGGTCTAGGCTCAACACTATAAGCAAAAAAGTCGTGATAGTCGGCTCAATTCAGGGGTAACTAGCAAAACAGTCGCAAAAAGTCTGCCAAAAACACCACGTTTCACGGCTTTGCCAGCCATCTCAGGTCCAGATCTCCGTTCTTTATAGCCTTCCGCACCTTATCAAGAGACCAGTTGGCGCACAGCTCCTCAATTCGCATGACAACGAGTGAGTGTACGCCGACGTCGCGCTCGCCCCCCCGCTCTCGCGCCTTCTGCGCGATGAAGTCGATTATTGCCTTCCTGCTGCAGAAGACGGACTTCTGGTGTTTGGGGCGCCAAGCAGAGCCATAGTCGGCCTCCAGGGGCTCGATAGAAGGCATGCCCGCCCTCCCGTTCTTCCACACGGTCCACAGATCGCGAACGCTTCTGAGGTCTAAAGGAAACTCAAAGTGTGGTATTTGCGGCTCATCCGCCGCCGCCGCCGTCGCTCCGGCCGGCGGCGGCAGATGGGACGCAGGGGAGGCTAGGCCAACGGCTCCCTGCTCTTCCACAAGCGTAGGATTGGCGGGGAGAGGAGCGGCGGCCCGCAACGAGGGAGCCGGCGTCGTCAAACGTGCCGGCGCGGCGCGGCGCCCTCGTTTCGGCATTTCCAACCGCTGTGAGACCGTGCTAAGCCCAGGGCTGATCGTGACAGTATAGCTGACTTTGGATAGCTCAAGTATCTGTCTCGACAGCTTGTTAAGCTCTATCGTAAGTTGATAGAACATCCTATCTACTGTTAAGTTCACAGCGATCTGTTGGCTTTGTAAGGAGCGCAGTTTCTCTGCAACGGCAGGGATGGCTCGATCGATGTTGGCCACATAACTCTCTTCCTCAGCCGTTCGGCAGACGTCTTCAACTTGTAGCGCGAACGCTGCAAAATCACGACTTTTGAAGACTGGGTCGCGGAAGACAGGATGCCGGGGATAGAGCTTCCGCAAGAAGACGGCATCCTGTAACAACACTTCGCGCAGCCAGCCCAAAAGCTCGAGAAACGCGCCAGCAGCTTGTTCGGTTCAACGGCTAAAGAAGCAGTATCGTGTGCTTCTTTCCACCTATCGAGATCGGGCCAGATGTGTCGTAAAAGAGCGAGTGGCGGCTTGATAGTGTCGAGCGCGAGAAAGTAGGAACCTGACCAGTCAGTGTCAAAATCGGCCGAGGACCTCATAAACTCGAAGGGTAGTGATGTAAGGTAGCAACCCATCATCTGGTCACCGTTGTTCCATCTCCCGGCGCGCCGTATCTGTTTTGTATGGAGATCAGCATATAAACGCGGTATGGTAATGCTGACTGAAGAGCGCAGTTGAACGGCCGAGCGGAAGGGCTACTCCAGAGGGTTACGGGAAGCTCATAAAGCCTACCGGCCAAAAAAAAAAAAAAAATCAACGCCAAGGCTAAAAAGTCGTGATAATTCGCAACTATCCGGCGCGCCACCTCATCCACTCGAGATGTAGAAGGCCGCCATACCATTCAAAACAAGGCTAAATCAGCCGAAAATATAACGAATCGAAAGCTCTTAACACACCTGACCTTCAGGGACGCCTGCCATATCGGCGTTCTGTGCTGCTGCGACCCGGGGAGCGTGCGAAAGTTTTGAGGTGGAGATTCCGCCCTGGCTGTATAGCTTACTCGTCCACGACCGCGCCGTTTGGGCTGAAAGCGTCGCCTTCGGATCCGTGGCGGAGCGACGTAAGACCTTGAGATCGTACCACAACTCACTGCGTTCAAAACTGGGGAACGGCTCCTTTTCCTCCACCTGCCAACGCCAAAAGAAATAAAACGCCAGCGCCCCGAAAAGACAAGACCGCACGTCACGGTGCCGCAGGGCGGCCCCATACTCCATTCTCCCGTGTTGATTCGTCTTGCCCTGGTTCATGACAATCACCAAGGCGTATGTCGGGAACTCCCGGCTCTTCTGGCCCTCATTGGGAAGCTCAAGGCGAAAACAGTCAGGGAGCTCAATTGGCAACCGATTACTCTGCCTCAGGAGCATGTGGTTGCCCAGGAGGAAGTCGACCTGCGTCCGAAAAAGCGCAGAGACGTCGTCGTCGCTCTCCCAGACTGCAGACGTGTGATCGGGGATCTGCGCCGGCGTGTAGACGTCTTTTATCGTGCCCTCAAGGCGGTCGCGATACTCGGACCGCTTGCGGCTCCAGACGACGGCGAGAATGCTCTTCTTCAGCGCCTTGAGCGCGATTCCCTGCGGCCGAGGCGCCGGGTTCATATTCCTGCTCTTCTGCTCCTCATACAGCCTTTGTATGGCCGAGATATAGCCCCGGACCGTGTTGTACTGCAGCCGGAGCTCCTCCTCGTTAAATAAAGGCTCGTCGAGAGCAGGAGACTCTTCTTTTGTAGCCGCCTCGCCGGCAGGCGACGTGGCAACCACGATCGTATCTCCCGAAACGAAGAGTCAGCGATACGGCGTCAAGGGAAGGCCAGCCAAAAAGGGGGGGGGGGGGAGGGACGGTACCTGAAGCAAGTCGCCGCCTTTTCACGGCGGCGACGTCCTCTACCACGCGGGCGGCAGCCGCCTTGCGCTTCCTTTGCTTTGTCACTCGAACTCCTTTCTTCGGGGCTCGAGTGACGACCTCCTCCTTCATAAAAAGGAGTAGTTTGCCCTCATCAACCAGGTCGCCAGGTAGCTGCTGGCCCGGCGGCCAGGAGAGCTTCTTGTTGACCCAGTCTTCAGGGATAGGCGGCCAGTTACTGGCGCATCAGTTCTACAGTGGCGTCAGTACATAAATCGAGGGCAGGTAGCAACAATCTGACCTTCCATTCGGCCTGTTTTGGCGCGTAGTTCTTGACCGTGTTCTTGGGCGCCGTCCCCTCCAAGTCGAGCAAATAGAAGTCCATGGCCGCCCGCACGCGAGTATCTTCAATAGCGATAGAATCCATACTAAATAGATGACAAGATACGGGGTCAGCTGGGCCCGGGAGGGTCGTGGTTGTGGCGCAATTGCAGTACAATTAAGGTGGACGACGGAGGTGGTGATCGACGCGATTTTGGTGGGATTATTTGCGGCCATTTTTGGAAGGGCGGCGCATACAAAGGCAAGTCAGCTGACCTTCGGTTTTGTCACTTTTTTCTGGTGGCCTGGGCGTTTGTATGGGGTTTTTCGCGCAAAGGCGAAGGTCCTGTGGAGAGCCGTGACCTTCGATTTTGGGGCCAGTTTGGCGCCAAAATGCGCGGACCCACAGGGTCTTTGAGCGACCGAAAAACCGGTCTACGATACCCCTGCACCTGTTACACCATTTAAGGTTAAGGTTTCACTGGGAGCTTATGGAGCGCGAGGAGCGCGAGGAGCGATGCCCCTCGTTCCCATCGTTCCCATCGTTCCCGTCGCTCCATCGCTCCTTCCCTGATTCGCCCGGTTCTCAACGGTGGGTCCAAGGGTTCTGCCACCCTTCACCGCTTGGTCCCTTGTACGCTTTTAGCTTGGGTCGTGACATGTCGGCGATGAATTCAATGAAGGGGTAATGTGGCACGGCTTAACACAGTAATAAGCTTTGAGTATCAAGGGGGTTTTATTGTCGTCGAGCTAGTTAAAGCAATACAACAGTGATTCCACTACCGTAGAAACTCAGTTATCTCGCCCAAGTAGCGGCCCCCATAAAAACATGGGGCGACCAATGAAATCAGTTACTTATGGACACTTCTGCACATTTTTTGCGGTTAACAGTGGAAATATGGAGATAAAGTGGAGGCGCTACTTGGGAGAGTGAACCGAGTTGATACGGTAATTCCTTCTTCCTTGCTCAAGCCAACAACCACAAGCCCCTTAGACCTTGAGATGAATGTACCTAAACTTGCTCTTGTGGACCTTGCGCGTCCCATAAGCCCTGTAATTGTTCCAGTTGTACTCCTCAACAGTAACCATATCCCCATCAACAGCAGAAACCCAAGCAACATGTCCCTTCTGCCCAGCATCCGTCTGAGCAATACACCCCGGCACAGGCTTATTATCAACCCTCACACCACTCGCCCTCGCAGCCTCATCCCACTGATACCCATGTCCCCATGCCTTCCCCTTGTACTTGTTGTGGAACTTGATGCCCAGGCGCTCATTCACCCGCCATGCCACGAAGCTTGTGCATTGGCACTTGAAGTAGAGCCACTTGTCCGCTGGGCCGCAGCTGTTCTTGTAGGGATAGTCGTTGACTCTAGGACCTGGGATTTTGTTGTTCTTGGGAGGTTTGGGGACGTTGGTGCATTTGCCCTTTACGTAGCCGTCCTTTCCTGTCTTGACGTATTTATCGGCAACGTAGCAGCCATCGGATGTCTTGTCCCAGATGGAATTTCCCTCGATATTATCACCCTCAGTCTGGCAGGTGATAGTGACATCGTGGCCTTTTTTGTAGGATTTCTTGATGGCGAAGGCCGTGCCTGGACCGGAGCGGCAGTTGAGGTTGTCGCTGGTCACGGGGTAGGAGTGAACTCCAGTGGAAAAGAATGCGAGCGCATAGGCGCAGAAAGTTGTCAGCTTCATTTTGAGAGGTATTCAAGGCATTATCTTGACTGCTGGCGATATTGAACATGAATGGGAACTTGATAGTTGCTTCACTTTATAGAAATTGGAACCAACACCAATCGACCTTCAGCTGAAGGAGAGTACAACGACAAACGACAGACGATCGAAATCAAAATGAAGACGGACAGATTGAAAAGCCCCAGTCTGTAAGACGGAGGAATTCATGGTTCCATTTGATTGACGGTCATCGGACCTTTCCTGGCAGCCTGCGTATTGAGATTAAAGGACTTTCTCAATAAGGTTCCGGAACGAGACGGCATCCCCCGACAATCCCCAAATCGACAGTGTTCTCGGCCTCAGAAACGACCCTTGCTGACTCTGTATTAGCTCTTTAATCAGCTCCCACGGAGGTATCTCAAAAGGGTGTCGGACCACTTTCCTCTTTAGTTGTTTCACCGCGGAGGATCATAGTCGATAAAAAAGACAGGGGTCGTGATAGTCTGCACAGCCTTGTGCGCATTAGGAAGGACCTCTGTTAATTGATCTGCATGTGATTAATTAGCACTGACACGACCGTATTTTCCAGTCAAGGGATTTCCTCGAGCACGTGGGCTATCTATCCGAAACTGTTGATATTGTCGGTGGTTAATGCTAAAGTCAATCAGCTGTCATCATTCATCCAAATCTTCCGACAGGCAAGGTTCTTAGTATTGTGTCATCTATTCAAAGCATGTATAGTTTCATATATGAATGTGACGAAAAAAATCCATTGCTCCCCATGGTATTCGCCAAGTGAGAACTGAAATCACATCCTCATGGCAAACACAATGTTCAGTTTCAACAGCTCCATCAGAGCTCTGCTCTTGGTGCTCCTCACGGCTTACACCGTCTTTGCCAACGTCAACGACCCAGCCAAGAGTCAAACACCCTACCACAAAGGCTTCGCCCTATTCCACAGCTCCAACATGCGCAACGCAGACAAGCTTCCAAACGGCGTTGGTTTCCATTCCTTCAGAATCCCCGCTGCAGTTACTACAACTACCGGTCGCATCCTCGCATTCGCCGAAGGTCGGCGGCACAACAATCGAGACTACGGAGACGTCAATCTCGTCTACAAGCGCACCAAGACCACCAAGAGCCACGGTGATAGCCCCAGCGACTGGGATTCCCTCCGAGAGGTGGTCGGAAAGGGAGATGGCACTTGGGGAAACCCCACGCCTGTGGTTGACGGAAACACCATTTATTTGTTCCTAAGCTGGAACCACGGCGACTACAGCCAAAACGGCGGCGACACCCTCCCCAGTGGAAAGAAGACAAACAAGATCAACAAGTCTTGGGAGGGAAGACGCCATATCTTCCTAACCCAGAGCACCGACGACGGCAAGACTTGGTCTGAACCTGTGGACATGACGAAGCAGCTCACGCCTGACGGATGGCCATGGGATGCCGTTGGCCCTGGAATCGGCATTACCCTCTCTTCTGGTGAGCTCGTCGTTCCCGCTCAAGGAAGAAACATCATCGGCCGTGGCAAGCCCGGTAAGCGCACATGGTCCTACCAATCCCTCAAAGGCGCCGGCTCCGAAGGCACAATCGCCCAAACTCCAGACGGAAGACTCTACCGTAACGACCGTGCCTCTGCCGAAAACGACTACCGTAAAGTCGCCCGAGGCTCTCTGTCTGCATTCGGCCCCTTCGTCCTCGACAAGGGCCTCCCAGACCCCGCCTGCGAAGCATCCACCCTCCTCTACAACAAAAAGGACGCTAACGGCCCAGCGCGCACGCTCTTCATAAACTCTGCGCACAAGAGCAGCCGGAGACGCATGCGCGTACGGATCAGCTACGACGGTGATGCGAAAAATTTCAACTACGGGAGGAAGCTCTCTGATGCTCCCATCTCTGGTGTTGGGTTTGAGGGCGGCTACTCGAGTTTAACCAAGACGGCGGATCGTAAGGTTGGTGCTTTGGTTGAGACGGACTTTTACCAGGCTGGCGGGTCGGAGAAGGATCATAGGGCGATTGTGTGGAGGAGATTCAATTTGAGTTGGATTTTGAATGGTCCAAATAATTAGAATAAGTTGGACGCGGTTGTGATGGAGAAAGGATCTCTGTGGGTTGAACCGCTGGGCGGATGCTTGGTTTAGCATCGAGTCTTGTTCATCTCTTCTGCTGTTTATTTCAATTATGTTCTTCAGAACCAAGCCTGAGCTTCTTAAAGATAGTATTACTACGTCTCGTTTATGCGCAACTCTCCGCCTGAAGGCTTCATATTGACACTCGCACCGGCGCTGAACAACCACATTAGCCACAACATGGCTTGACCAATCATGCCTTTGGAATTCAACCTCAAGAATCAGCCCGTTCAGCATGTCATACTCGAGTACGGAGGCAGGGCCCAAAAGTTGTTGCCCAGGAAAAAGCAACGACAGCGCCACAACTAGGATAAATACAAGGAGTACTTCGATCCAATTCGATACCACTAAACGTTAAGGGGCAATAGCAGACCCTAGTGAGCAGCTAGAAGATAAGCTTTCCCTGCGACCTCTGATGCTACAGGGGCAATAGGCGGAGGCCTTCTGTAAGAGATTGAAGCTTGTTGTAACGGCAAGTACCTGACAAGGGTTACAGGATGTGGCGTTGTTCAACTTGGGCAAAGACTTTTGGGCCCTGCCTCCGTATTCCTTGCACATTCAACGCCTCAATGAATGCATGTCTCTAAGCCCAAGGCCCGTCCATTTATGTCAGACGGACATTTCCGCAAACAACGGATGTACCCGCCGTTTCGCCATTCGAAACGAATCTACATCCAGATTCGGCCCGTCGCAGAGAACCAAAGTCCCCAGTCTTTCAGCTTGCAGAATCGGGGCAAATCTCCGATATGTTTCACCAATCCCCACATCCGCAGGGATCCCATTCAGGCAATTGAGCAGCGTCTAAATCCGGCAGATTGGGATTTCCTCCGTAAGTCAAGAATTAATTTATTAATCGGCATAAAAGTTTCCCCGTCTTATTGTGTAAGAAGGAGTCTAGAATGCCGGCAGTTGTGTTCTTCAGCTGCTCAGAGAGCAAGGCGTTTTGGGGAGGTATGACAGATGGTTTCCAAGGGTCCAGATGGAAATGAGGCACAAAGGTTCATTTAAGTTACTCCTTTCAATCTTGCACGACATTGAGTTTTGAGTACATAAAGGGTTTCGTCTTGGCCTCTTGAGCTTGAACTGATTCCCATCAACCTCCTTTAACCCTCTTCAACTTCCCCTTTACAGAACATCGCCCACCATGAAGTTCACTCTCTTTGCCCTCTCTACCCTCGTGGCCTCCCTCGCGACCGCATACCCCATCACTGGCGATGACGTCAAGTGCCGCTCCGGCCCAGGCACCAGCTACGCGGTCAAGAAGGTATTGAAGAAGGGCACCGACGTCACCATTACCTGCCAAACCGAGGGCACAAACATCAGCGGGAATACCATCTGGGATAAGATCTCGGATGGCTGCTACGTCTCGGACTACTACGTCAAGACGGGCTCCAATGGATACGTCAAGCCCAAGTGCGGCGGAGGTTGCTCTGCGCCGTCTTCTAACCAGGCTACCGTAGACCTGATCGGCGAGTTTGAGGGTTTCGTTCCTCATATCTGTCAGTGATCTCTTGCTCTTGGGAGTGTCAGGAGTGCTAACGAGTCAAGACAGACAAGGACGCTGCTGGCTATCCTACCGTAGGCTACGGTCATCTCTGCAAGAACTCCAAGTGCACTGATGTCAAATACCCAATCCCCCTGTCAAAGGTCAACGGCAAGAAACTTCTCGCGGATGACATGAGAGTAAGTCCATCTTCAACATCTCAAACGACCAGTTCTAACACTATGGCAGAAGTTCGAGAAATGCATCCCCAAAATGGTTAACAGCAAAGTCACCCTCAACAAGAACCAGTTCGGCGCCCTGGTCAGCTGGTCCTTTAACGTCGGCTGCGGCGCCGCCGAGGGATCGCAGCTCATCAAGCGTCTCAACAAGGGCGAGAAGCCCAACACTGTGATTTCTGGGGAGCTGCCCAAGTGGGTTTACGCGGGCAAGAGGAAGCTGCCGGGCCTTGTTCGTCGGCGTAACGCTGAGATTGCCTTGGCTAAGAAGGCGACGAGCGAGAAGGCTCTTCCTGTGAAGTGCTAGATGGTTTCTTCCTTGGGGCATCTGCTGTACGGTTTGAGTTTGTTGGGGAGGGCTCTTGGTCTATGGTTGGTAACTCTGAGGGAACAGTGTGCTCTGCAGTCAAGCAGTCGGCCTATGCTCACCTAGTCAAGGCTCTTCCCATTAGGCAAGTTTAGTTTCATGAATGTATATATATATCAACCTTTCAAAGAAGAAGAAAATTTTGTGGGATATCCAACGTCAATAAATAATCGGGTTACCTGTCGGACTTTCATCGGACGTATGGTGGGTAGCAAACAGTGCTTAGTCAATCCATTTAATGTCTCCCTATCGGTACTATACCTTTTCGCTGGACGCCAAGCGGCGAATGATAAACTCTTAACACCGCAGAATGTCAGTACAGAGGTAGGCCAAGGAGGAATATGTTCCGGACCGAAAGCCCTGGCTCCTGGGCGAGGCAGGGTCCGAAACGGAGGCCATTCCCGTAATGGTGAGCTAGGCCGCGCAGCTATCAAGCGACGACACTTGACCATTCCCGACCGGGACAACAGTAATTTAACATTAAAAGTCAAATAAGGCCATGTGCAAGGTTTTTTGCAACGCAATCCCTCCTCTTCATTCTATTCCCTCTTCTCCAAATTTCCATCCCTCGCGCAGAACACAGTCGCCTACCAACCGTGCCAACCAAATGAGCCCGAGATGACAGCCCCGAAGAAGCCTCAGCGACATTCCGGAAGCCAAAGTGACGGATCAAGACCTGCACGACATCCTGGGCGTCATCAAAAGAACAAGCAGAGCGCGGACAAAGAAAACCCTAAGACCGACAACCAGGGTTGCAAACCACTCCACTAAATCCACGAGCGGGAGCAGTGACGTGGATGGACCTTAATCCACGAAGCTTGTCAGTGTAGTGGATCCATTTGAAGCGACCGTGGACGTGGAATGGATGTAGTGGATTAGTGGATGAGTCCATTACGTCAGCATTTTGGAGTTGTGAAAGGGTGAAGCTATTCCCAACCACTCACTTCCTTCTTGGTGGCACTCCGCCACATTCTCAAGCCACGCTGTTGCCCACTCTTGAAGCTCGTCGTCCGTCATGTGAGCCATCTTGAGATTGTCCTGCTCCTCTGCTACTGAGACAAAGAAAGGGTCTAAATCTCGAATAATACCCGCCCTAAGCCATGAACGCAAGACCTGACAGGTCCCAATAACCCGTGCTTCAAGCCGACTCCGCAGAGGTGGTACCATCCGCCCTGCTGCTGAAAAGAGGCGTACACACTCACCCGATATGGGCTGGATCGTAAGAAAGTCAAGGGCCATTCGTGACAGACGTGGATACTTGAACCTTTTCTCGTGCCAATAAGCAAGAGGGTCACGAACCTGGGCATCACCTGTTGAGATCCGTCGTTTAACGGATCAATGGCTATTCCGATCCATTGGTGGCTGGGATGTGGATGTCTTCTTGTCAATAGCTTCCGCTGGTTAGCGCTAGTTTTCTCCTTCAATCAACACAATATGCTCATTTCAACAAGACGATGCTTAGCCTCTTTTATGAGGCCACAGTTCTTCGGATTTTGAGGTTGACCAAGTTCCAGGAGGATGGCCTCGAGAGATCTCCTATGTGTATCCCACTCCTCAGCAAGGGACTGCTCCGTTCCGCTCTTCCAGAATAGGTTTTCTGCAGCGATCTGCGCCTAACTACGCACTGTGTTGACAGATTTTGTACCATGCGTCAATCGGGCGTCAACGCGCGGGGGAAACGATTCGACAAGCCATGACTCGGTGCGAGCGAAGACCGTTCGAAGCTATTCGAGGCGCCACTTCGGTTTCGGGTTTCGCTTCCATTCTTAATGCTCTCCTCCCCACCCGACATCGTGATGGACCGTAGTGGTCGGGCGACTCTCGGTGGCACTAGAGCCCGCTAGACCTAACATAAGTGCCGACGACGATCCCTCTGGCTAGCGAGTAGCCAGTGCTCACTTGAAGTCAAGTGTGCGAATGGTGAACGGTGAACACGCATGCCCTAGTCGGGGAGAGCCCACGCGTGATGAAACATTGCGAGGGGATCCTTGTAGATTGTAACAGGGAGAAAAATGCGAGGCGGGGAAGAAGTGGGACATATTCGTACCCTCTTGGCCTTGCTCCGCGTTGTTGCTCCGCGTTTTCTTCTGCACAACCAACTCCCGGGTCCCATAACGTTCTAGGCCCCCCCCCGTTTATTCCCTGTAAGCTTAACAGTGCAACCTTAACATGAAGGTTAATAGCTTTGATGAGTGAGCCTGACTCCTTGGTGCGACTGCACCCGGGATCGGCGCTGCAAGGCAACTACCCTTTCTTCTTCCCTCCTGCTCCTCCTGTTCCTCATCTTCTTCTAGCGAGCACATCTTTTCCCCTTTTGGTCACCCCGGTGCACCATGCGACGATGCCGAGTTTGCCCGTCCAGGGTCTCTCTCCGTACCCTCCACATCTTGGCATCTTCTCATCCTCCTTCAGCTATGGCGTGTCCCTTCCCAGTTTCCCCAATGAGGAGATGTGCGGTGAGACATGTCGCATACAAGGTGACCAAGTGCAATGCAATGCACAAGTACTGTAGTCCACCTCCTCCACAACATCCCTGAGCAACACGCAACGTAGAGCAACACCTTGATCCGCTTTGATCCGCATTGGATCTCCGTCTTGCGTTAATTTCATTCGGTAATCCATCCATGGTCTCATCCTGCATCCATGGTTTCCAGCCGTGTTTCCCCGCATGTTGCCATGCTCATTCCGTGGTCCATCCACACGTCGGACGGACTCCGCCCGGCCCGCTTGTTCTGTCGTCCCCGTATTACAAGATCATCACCAACCACAACTCATGTTGGCTACCTCAGTTGCGGGGAAGTTCCGTCACGGCTTCACCGTTCAGACGCCCGCGCTATCCCGGTTTTTCCCCAACCAACACTAACACCCAAATCCAGCCATGCCTGCTTGGGCTTGAACCTACCCCACGTCTGCTGGAACTTGGCTGACACCGTCGTTGCCAGGGGTCTCACTCCATCCGGATCATATTCGTAGATAACGAGAACTCTTTGGGGTTGCACCTTGGGGTTTTTGTTGGCTGCCCATCATACGTAGCACTCGGTACCGATGACATAGAATACAAAAGGCTGCTCCCGTTCCCCCAAAAACAAGAGGGAGAGAGTTCTAGAAGATCAAGCACCCCAGTCTCCTTCTCGAAGTCTGTCAAAGGCTTCCATCCCCCTTCCTTCTCCAATCTCCGAAAGATTGCAGAAAGTCTAAAAAGCCTGGTGCTTGCACTGGCTGCTTCTGGGTCATCCTGCCTCCATTCTTCTTCTTCACCTCCTTCATATTTTCTACCTACTCACTAGACTTCCTTCCTCGTGATGGAGTCAAGTCAAGTTCGTCATGGCGAGCCTGCCGACCCTCTCGCCAAGGGCATCGTCGCCACTGCCAAACAATCCCTCCGGGACCTCCTTATCTGGAAGCAGCGCGTCGTTGTTGTCAACGAGAACGGCGAGACGGCCACGGAATGGCACGACCCAGACCCCATCCAGAACCCCATCAGCCTGATGGCCCAGCTCTCCGCCAAGGACTGGGTCTTCTTCATCGTCGGCTTCTCAGCCTGGACCGCCGATGCCTTTGACTTCCACGCCCTCTCCATCCAGACCGTCAAGCTGGCCAAGTACTACGACACCACCAAGACGAACATCACCACGGCCATCACCCTGACGCTTCTCCTCCGCTCCCTCGGCGCCGCCGCCTTCGGCCTCGCTGGTGACAAGTGGGGCCGCAAGTGGCCCATGGTCTTCAACATGATTATCCTCGGCGTCCTGCAGATTGCCACCATCTACAGCTCCACCTTCTCCCAGTTCCTTGCCGTCCGAAGTCTGTTCGGCTTGTTCATGGGCGGTGTGTACGGAAACGCCATTGCCATGGCGTTGGAGTCGTGCCCGTAAGTGTTTTCTTTCCCCTCTCTCCAAGGTTGGAGAAAATTTTATTCCCGTTCTAATACCGTGTAGTGCGAACGCTCGAGGCTTGATGTCCGGCATTTTGCAGCAGGGGTACTCGTTTGGCTACGTCTTGGCAGCCTGCGCCAATCTTGGCGTCGGTGGCGCAGTCAACACCTGGAAGACAGTTTTCTGGATTGCCGGTAAGTTGCCTTCTGCAGCTTGATAGTTGTCACTTAACAATTGTTACTTGACCCTTATCAAAGTATATGTGCTTGCGTGTAAATCTAAACTAACTTGCTCGCAGCCGGCATCTCCATCCTCATCGGCATCATCCGCATCTTCTTCCCCGAGTCCCAGCAGTTCCTCGACGCCAAGGCCAAGGGCAAGAAACAACAATCTTCCCCCGGCGCCTTCTGGCGAGACTGCAAGAAGATGCTCGTCCAGGAGTGGAAGATGTGTGTCTACTGCATTATCCTGATGACCTGGTTCAACTACTACTCGCACACCTCGCAAGACTCCTACACAACTTTCATGCTCGAGCAGAAGGAGCTGGCCAACGCCGGTGCCTCTCGCGCCTCCATCATGATGAAGGTCGGTGCCTGTGTCGGCGGCACCATCATCGGCTACCTCAGCCAGTTCATCGGCCGTCGACGAGCCATCATGATGTCCGCCTTCATGTCCGCACTTCTCATCCCCGCCTGGATCCTCCCCGAGGGCGAGCGAAGCCTGAGCGCCTCGGGTTTCTTTATGCAGTTCTTCGTCCAGGGCGCCTGGGGTGTCATTCCCATCCACCTCAACGAGCTGTCGCCCCCTGCTTTCCGATCTTCCTTCCCCGGTGTCACCTACCAGATCGGCAACATGATCTCGTCTCCCTCTGCGCAGATCGTCAATGCCATTGCTGAGAAGACTTTCGTGACCCTGAAGAATGGCGACAAGGTGGAGGCATACGGCCCCGTCATGGGCGTTGCCACTGCTATCATTGCCCTGGGAATCATCGTCACCGCCATGCTTGGCCCCGAGAAGCGCGGCCGCGCTTTTGAGCACGCTGTTGCTGGTATGCAGGAGGAGGTCATCCCCCACAAGGATATCGAGACTGGAAGCATTGACAAGGTCGAGTTGGAGGACCGTGCCAAGGTTGAGCAGGAGGAGCGGAAATAAGTTCCTTAGACGAGCTACAGGTCATAAACTTGTGGTGAATGATAGTCAAGTATATCAGCACCCTAAATCAAGGGACTGTCTGGGCGTCCCTCAACATGCGACAGGTGGCCCTCAGGATGTGGCTGACGCTCTCCGAGGTCGGATTCCATGTCGGCCACACATTTTTTAGTGATAGAAATGGAATAGCGTATAACCGAGGGTCTCAATTTTAAGTAAGGGTCTTAGACCTTGGTAATATAGGCAACGGCAACTAGGAACAACAAACAAGAACCCGAATTTAAAGCTATTGCAGCGCCGTCAACGCTGACAACATATATATAATATCTTCAATATACATAAAACATCATCAAATGTATACTAGGAGAGATATTATATTATGATCAAATGATCTGTCTATTCTCTATAATGATAATGCTAACTTATCGTCACTTAGATCATCTGTCCCTACACTTCGTAATAGCTGTTTTGCTGTATTACAATAGTTAGAAAAGAGATAGATAAAGTGATAAGAGTGATATGAATAGTGGGATATTGCTATTTATTACTATGTGGCTCTGTGTTCTTTGTTATGTTGTAGTCTCATATCTAGTCATTGTCTAAGACAGCATACCATCTTTGATTCAGTGTAATTTACTATGTATCCGCCGACATCGCATGTCTCAGGGTTCTTGTGGCGTTAGCCACAAGAACCGGGCCACCCATCGCGTTTTGAGGGACGCCCAGACCGTCCCTTGTTGGGCTGTGCTAATGGTCTTCGTTGACGTGTCGGGGTTGATTTGTAGCCCTCTGCAAATGCCGACAATTTCTCGCTCAATTCCGCAAACCAGCCCAAGACGTCATCCTGGTTTGCGTCTTTCGGCCATTGGCAGAGACAGAGACAAACAACGATGTGATGGGTCACATGACTGGGGCCTCAATTAATAAGGGTGTTTGTAAAAAGGAGCTATAATAATGACAAATCGCTCAGAGCCAATCCCCCCAGATCTGATGGCACTCCGAAGGAGTCGGCTCGACGGCTGGTGCCACAAACGGTGAAACATAATTCTCAGCTTCATTTTTGTACAGGTAACTAGGCCTTTACAGGATGGCAACGACAAAGCCGGCAACGGCCACGGCAGCCATGGCCATGCCGGACTGGTGCGAGGCAGCACCGGTGGTGTCGGAGTTGCTCTCGGAGGTGGACGAGGCGCTGTCGGAGCCGCTGGTGCCAGTGGCAGTGGCATCAGAGCCGGAGCCGGAGCCACTGCCGGTCTCACAGACGTTGATGCCGGTGGCGTACGAGCTGAGGGCCGGGCACTCGGACAGGGCGGAGGAGAGAGCGTCCTTGCTGTCGTCGTACCAGGACACGACCTCAGAACTGAAGCTGGCGTATTCCTTGCTGAGGCTGGCGGACGTGTAGAGGCTGCACGGGTCGGTCTGGGGGTTCTCGAGGAGGTCGGAGACGATGGCCGCGGGGGGGGTTGGCACGTCGCTGTAGACGTCGAGTATGGCGCTCTGGCACTCATCGGAGAGGATACCGGTGGCCGTGGCCGTGGCGCGAGCCTCGATATCGCGCTACATGTTGGGGTGGGCCATGAAGTTGTCGGCTGAGGCGACGGTGGCCAGGAGGGTAGCCAGGAGCATCTTGGACTGCATCTTGACGGATGTGATGTGTGTATTAGGGGGATAGGTGGAAGAGTCTTTGAATGAAGAAGTAGAGAGGAAGAAGTAGACTGGAATGAGAGTCGAGTGAGTGAGGACAGGCACTTACTCCCAGGACGAGGAGAACAAGGCCTCTTTATACCATCGGGCTGCGACAACGTTCAAGCCCTCACTCTCAAGCTTCAGATAGCTTCCCCAGAATACAACACAGCTTGGCCGGGACTGGCAACAGCCTTGGTTAGCTGTCTCAGACACCAAGACCAGACACCATGCTAGCGCTTATCCAGACTCGGATGAACTGCGACCGTAGACTCAACATGCTGAAATGAGCCTCGGGTCTCGGCCTGTGCCAGCCCACGGAGGATGTGGCTGTTAATGTGAGCTGTTGTTGATAGGTCTAACTAGCTAGCCGAGGGCAGCGAAATGTCTGTCCGAAAGGGGTTTGCCGATGTCGGTAGTTGCCTTACATTTTAGATGTAAATTGTGACGCCGCTTGAACGTGGGTCTGACATAGGGATCCCACTATGTAACAGTGGCCCTTGTCGCGCCACAGCTTGAAGACGCCGAAACATGTTGGTCGAGGCGTCGTTGGATGGCACAGCATCGTTGCTTCACGTAGACTCTAATCGGATCTGGGCGTCGTTTGGGGAAACCGCCCACGGAGACAGTGGACGCAAGAAGAAAAGAAACCAACAGAGAGAATCGGGTCCAATCCATCCATGCTGCCGTTTCGACGGAATCTGCCCCTGAAGTCCGACGCCATCACCCCTGCGCTGACGGTTCCTGGGCGGACTGTAATATGTTGGTTATCGTAAATACACATCGCAAATCCAACAGATAGTTAACTAGCCGAGTTACAGTTTGAGCACTAGTAGTTTGTTGGTGGGAGCGTCCTTTAGTGCGGACCACACCCGTCCGTAGGGTAGGAGTTAGAGATGGCAGAAAAACAAGGGAAAGCAACAATTCGGCTGTCACCTGGGGACTTGAGATGCAGGAGGCAATGGATCCACTGCTTTCTGACGTCTCCAAAAAGGAAGGGAAGGAAAATATCGATAAGAGCTGCTGCGACAGCTATAGTGTAACGAGTGCAATGCGACAAAAAGGTGTAGTCAAGTGTAAAAGAAGGAAAAAGCGTGTCGTTTCAATTGCTCGGGCAGACTAGACGCCTTAAGTAGGGCCATACTAAGCTAGCTGCTGGCCCCTACTGCATTAAAACTCCAGGTGGACCGTTGGCCCCATCACAGTAGTGATTCACGTATCGCTCGTTTTAGTACCGATTTGCGGGCTCCCAACAGTGAACATACTTTTCCCCAGCAGTAGCCGTCCTCTCCGACGTTTTCGGTTGACTCACCTGCTATTATTTTGAATTTGCCTTACATGGTCGTCCACAAAAGCTGGCCTATGAAGGTGTGTTGCCAAATTGACCGACCTTTGCCGATAGTCTGTGGCGACTGACGAGATGCCTCTTCTTGCAATGCCCACCGAACTGCTTGAAGCAATCGCTGAAGGCCTGGGGCATGAACATGACGTCGCCGCCTTGGCCAGAATATGTCGCTGCCTCTTCAGCATTGTCAATCCCATTCTCTATTGGCGCAATAGCACGTCGTCTCAGCATTCCGCCCTGGAATGGGCAGCACTGGTGAATGCTGTGGGGGTGGCCAAGACGTTGATCGATCACGGTGCCTGTGTATCAACAGAGGATGGATATCCATCGGCGGCAGCCCCTTCTCCACGCCGCGGGGCAGAACTCTGTTGAGGTTGCAGATCTTCTTCCAGAGATGCTCATCAATCCATCAACGTCCACGAGGCCCTTCCGTGGATTGATTGAACTGCTTATTCAGCATTTCAACGGTTGATTGAGTCAACGAAGGCCAGCCGTTGATTGAATTGATATTGATTGAAATTCGTTGAAACCCCCCAGCAGTATTATTACTCATCGCCAGCCACGATATCACTGCCCTGGTCTCCTCCTTGTTCAAGTAGCTCGTGCAATAAGCCGTCATCTAACAATATGTTGTCCAACTCATCTATGAGCCCCGCTCGTAACCATGACCGTAGAGTTTGAATTAGCCCTATTGTGCTAGCATCTAAGCGGTTGCGAAGCGGAGTAACCATTAAGCCAACTGCCGAAAAGAGCCTCTCGCATTCGGCGCTCATTGCTGGCACGCTCATGACGTCCAAGGCCATACGGGATACCGGGGGTACTCGGATTGCTTAGAGATCCAGTATTGGACCGGATCTGTAATATCCCCGTCTGCTGTACTTACGTCTGACTGCCAGCGGTTGTATTCATCTACCGACGAAATCATTGGCAGAGGTCTGGGTGACTGGCCTCGTCGATGATCCTCGCGATATTTCTCGAAGGAAGAGAGCTTCGTCTTGCGCTTTTTGACAACATGGCCGTCATTAAGCGTAGCCCTGACCTCCAGGTTGCAATACTCCGTATTCCAAAGCGTCTGGACAAGGTCCTTCGCCTGTTGAATCCAATCCGGATGGTCCTGACTCCAGATATCGTCGAATGTCCAACGGACAGAAGGATGTAAAGCAGCAGCAGCATAATAGACAGGCGAATCCTGAAGAGTACGGTAATATTTGTCGAGCTTCATCCAGCCAAGGTTAATATTGAAGCTGAACTGCTCTGGCTCAGGATACTGATGAATCAGGGCCTTTGCTTATTCAAGTTTACCGAGCAGAAACTCGAAAGCTTCAAGCACATCAGTCATAGATCCGAAGGTCTCGTCAACTCCAGTCGACCGCCTACGGGACTGACCATCTCCCTGAAGGACTTGGACAACGACATAAAAGTCGTGAAGAATACTCTCAAAGGCTCTAAGGACTGCCCAGTCATTGTCGCCAAGAAGGCTCTTCTTCTCAAGGCAGGGTGGCAACTTGGCATCTCTCTCGCCTTTCCTCGCTTCTTGGAAAAGTCTCTTCGCCTTGATAATAAATTCGTCGTAGAATGGCTGCAACTTAAGTAACCGCCGGATCATGTAATATTGGGACAACCACCTTGTATCGTTGTCGAGATGGACATCCAGTGGACCCTGGCTCCGCATTTCTGGGTCTTCGGAGGCTGCAAAATACTCCCGTTGCAACTGCCTGAGCAGCTGGGTCAATATATCCGATCGATGAACCCAAACAACAAAGTTGTGAGCTTTTCCGACCGGGCCCTTCTTCATCCACTCATCGTGTGCTGTCCTGGCAAGAAGCTCTCCCTTAACGAGGGATTCTTCAAAGGCTTCGGCATCTTTTCCAAAGAGTAGAGCCTCGACAACGAGGTTGAGTATATGTCCCGTGTAACGGACCCGGCGCTGGACAGGATTGAAGCCGAGCTTTCGGCCAATAATCTCCATCGCTGTATCGTTGTTACCAGCGTTGTCGAGAGTGAAATAAATAGCCGAGCTTGTCCTCAATGCCAAACGAGCGAATGACGTCGAGTACCTCTGCCGCGATATTCTCTCCGGTATGGCGGTTGATCAGTTCAGGAAGGCCAAGGACGATTTTCTGTGGCTCATTCTTGACGTTCCTGAACAATTCCGTGACTCCGTATAGCGTATGCCGGTTCCTGCTCCTAGCACCGTCAAAGGCAACGTGAATCTGCCCAGGAGCTTCCTTCAGTATTCCTTTCACCCTCGTCTTGTGTTTCTCGAAGTGTTGAATTGCCAGCTGCCGAACAGTATGCCTCGAGATGTGGGCGTCTGTGACCTTTACAGCAGGGTTCAGATATTCGAAGATGTGCCGTAGGCGAGGGTTTTCGGCTTGTTGGAAAGACTGTTGACTATCGACAATCCAGTTGACAACGAGCTTTAGGAAATGCTCTCGATCAAAGCTTTTAATTAGGTTGTTAGCCAGGGACTGTTCCTTTGGGTCGTCCCGGCTGAGATTGAAGATATCTGTAATAGAAGAGAACATTCTCTTCCCTCCCTTCATCACAGAGGGTGCCGGACGTTTTCCTGACGGATCCCAATGACGGTGGGACTTCCATAAGTGATGTTCTGCATTCTGTGTGCCTCTGGAATCGTAGGGTTGCGGGTTGTTGCTTCTTTGACGGATACAGGGCATACAAATCCATCGTCTCGTCGTCTCGGACTGGATCTCAATGCCGTATCCCAATACCCAAGACGAGGTATCTTTTGATCGTTCAGCTAGCGTGAATCCTTTCCACCGTTTGAAGATGCGGGCTTCTTCCTCGGGGGTTGGATTCCAGTCAACTGGCATGGCAGGTTTGTTGTCGGTCGATAAGATAGAGTCAACAGGTATTTGGCTTGGGTGGTTCGCCATAATTAAAGCAATGACCGATAATTGTTACGAAAGAAAGCGTAGCAAGTAGGGGCTTTCTGACGCGACGCGACGCGACGCGATTCAAGTGATTCAGCCATTATTTTACTGGTGTTAGTACATGTTAACAATGACTTATGTTTTACTCGGGAGAAGATATCTGGATCTAACATTGCCAAGCCTGGCAAGGGTCCCATGTCTAGTAGTAGTAGATTTATTACGCCCGGGAGAACGGATCTCATAGGGCCATGGAATACGCTATGCTATTTACATTTCTGCCACCTTCAATCCTGACCACAAAGTAAAGCCCCACTTTCTCTCCCTGCATCGCTTTCTTTTGGCCTCGCTTGACTCTTTCTGACAGGCCTGCTTGAAGGCCATTTTCTCCAAGTGTTCAGCATCCTATCCTCAGCAGCTGAAGCGTGGTCTGTCAAAATGAGGCTGTGTTGTGTTAGTATTTTCTAGTTCTGGTTGTTAGTATGTTCAACCCTCCCTTGGCCCTAGTCTTCCTGTCTCCATCGCGAATTTGATTGTTACTCGCACCGCCTGTAGGTTAGGTGACCATCTCGGTCCGTCCAACGCCGACTTTCCTCCCAGAAAGAATGAGAGGTTTCCCATCTCGCTTTGTCCGATTCGCCGCATGCCTTCGCGTTGTGCATCCCACTTGCTGCAGCGAAAGAGAAAATGTTCCATCGTCTCGGTTGCCCGTCCGCAATCACACAAGTCTGATTCCACCGCGCCGATCCTCGACAGGTAGCTGTTGATCCTCGCCATTCCCGTGCGTAACTGTGAAAGCGTGTCTGCTTCGCGCCTCTTCAGTCCGTTGTATAGCACCTTTGTGTGTTTTCCTGGTAGCGCTTTGTCAACCCTCTTGGAGAAGCCGCCCACTCTGTCCGGTAGCGCCTGGTGCTGTTGTAGCTGTGCTCTCGCCAGTCTTGTCCGCGTCGATCGAGCTTGGTATGGCGGCGTCTCTGCCGTACGTCCTGCTTCGGTTGCTCTCTGCGCCTGTCTCTTCGCCTTGGGTCCCAAGGGGAACGCGTCGTCCCGGGACGGTACCCAGATCATTTTAATACTGTTGTTGCCTTTTCCCAGCCGTCGGATGTGGTTGTAGATTTCCCGGATGGCGCACGTACAGCAATGCGCATGTGGACAAGCGATAGAGACGGTTGAGCATTTTCTCTTCCGATGCAGAAAATGGACCGCGCACCGAGCCGCAATGTTGCAGTGCACTGCGACACAAAGAGGAAATATCTCTTTTTTCCTGGGAGGAAAGTCACCGTCAGATGACGCAAAATGGACGCCAAATATGGACGCAGTCCGCGCGACTATACGATTTGCGATAGCCACAGGGCGACTGGACAACACGCAAGGTTGAAGACAGATTGCAAAACCTCACCTACCCTTTCTTACTAACCCACCCTACATCAAACACCTCGTGCCATGGACAGCAGGCACCGCTTCAGCCGCCGTAGATAGGACTCTGAACACTTGGAGAATAGCCTTCAAGTTCGCTTGCTAATAATACAAACCCCACGAGACCGAGCAGAGAGATGGAAAACGAAGAGGCAAAAGCAGAAATTGGACGCTGTATGGGCTTTTACGAGATCATGACAAAGCTTGGGAAACGGATATGTACAATAGCAACTAGTGCCCTATTGGTTATCAGCCACCGGGCGAAATAAATTGAGTGAGTGAGTCTTCGGTCCCGTAGTCCGTCAGGCATGCATCGCAATGCCATCGCTATCGCCCCCAACTCGGCCGTGTAGGGGTTCTGGTCGTCTCGAGAGCCGAGGGTGACCGAGTACCTGGCCACGACTCTGTTCGCTTGCCCTGCTGCTCTGTGGCTGATGATGCCTCCCATGCCCACCATTCCTCCTTTGTCCGAAGCGCTGGTCGTGATGGTGATGTCTTCGGCACTATTGGCTGCCGCTATCGCCATCTTCCGTTCTACCTCGCACACCAACGACACGCGGGCGTGCCACGGCGGTGCTGCATAGGCTTCGATTGTTTCCATCCGCCCGATTCCGCTCTCGCCGAGGGCAAGCGCCAGTCTCTTTATCGGCGAGATGTACCTTCGACTCACTGATACTTTGAGTGTCGCTAGCGGGTGCTTCTTTGGCAGCGTGTGCATATTGATGTACAGCTTCATTCCAGCCAGAGCATGTCGCTCGTGTACTGTTTGGATGTTGGCTTCCGCTTCAGCTACTGCCCTCGCCACCGTCTGACGCGCTCCTATTTTCTGTGCCCTGTTAAACTCTTTCAATTCCCTTTCGCCGCGCGCATGCGCCCATACGACCGACGCGTAGTCCATGGCTGGGGCAACGGTTGCGACGAAGAGTTGTCTGGCAGCTTGTGGTGGCAGCTTCCTGAGTCTCCTTAGACACATGGCTGCCAAGAGACCTTTCGTGGCGGCCTTGGCCATGTGTTCCTTGAACCTGAGCTCCGTGTCCATGATTACTCCTAAGAATTTGGCCTTCGCCTTCGGCTTGACCTCCTCTCCATTGATCGTGAACGGCGCCTCGCTGGTGCGTTCAGCTACGCGCGTGAAGTGGACAATTGTTGTCTTGTCATGCTCAAACGTCGCTCCGCTGCGTTTCCCCCACGCCAGTGCCCGGTCGATGATGGCCTGTATGCGGTCCCTGTTCGCCTCCGCCGTCGGCCCCGTGACCTAGGCTGAGTAGTCGTCGACAAAGGCTATCGAACCGCCTTTCGAGTCAATCTTGCTTTGCACAAGGTCTGCATTGAAGAACAGGAAAAGCACAGGCGAAAGCGGCGATCCTTGGGGAAGGCCGGCTTGCGGCAGCTCCCGTTGCTCTGACGTGTAGTCGTTCACCACGAAGCTGGCTGTGCGATTGGAGCAGAACGCGCTTATCCATTGCACCAGCTTCTTGGGGATGCCTCTTGCTTCCAGCCTCTGTAGCTGTCTGTCCTTGAATACACCGTTGTACGCGCCCTTGACGTCGAAGCTGACTAGGCTGACCACCCTGCGGTTCCGCCACGCCTCGTACACTTGTTCTTGGAAGAGCAGCAGTGCCTGCTCTGCCGACCGTCGCTTCCTTGCCCCAAAGTGGTTTGTAGGCAGGAGCCAGAACGTCTCGGCGACGTACGAGATCCTGTCCGCCACCACTGCTTCGAGCACCTTGCCCAGCGTCGACAGCAGCGAGATCGGTCTCCAGGCCTTTGCGAGCGCGTAGTCGCCCTTGTCCGTCTTCTTGAGCGGGATGATCTTGGCGCTCCTCCACTGGTCTGGTAGCTGTCCTTCATTCAGTGAAGTGCGGAACAGATGCATCACGCGTTCTTTGACCACCGGCCACAGTTGCTTCCACACCATCGCCGGCAGGCCGTCTTCTCCGCATCACGAACTACGCCACTAAACTGGATACACCAATGTGGAAATGTATTGTCAATAATATGGCCGAAACAGCGGATACGGCGGCGGACAGGATCGAAGATGATCTAGACGAAACTTAGCTGGCACAGACATAGAAAATTCATCTTTACTTACTCCTCGCTCGTGAAATAGCTTCTCGGATAAAGCTTCTAGGCAGGTATTGTTCGAGGATGCGTCATCTCCAGTATGATAACACACGCGTTGAATTTCGAAGCGCATAGTTTACAGCGATCTGGGTTACGACAAGAGAACTGTATTATTTCTATGTTATAATTTATTATTTCTATATTTATAATTTTACGGCACAGGATCCAGACCAGAGCCACGACTGCTCACAGAACCCTCTGCACCTAGCCTAGACACCTGGGAAGATTCGGCATAGGCGCCTTGAATCTGCACGGAATAGGGTGCTTCGTCGAGTAACATGTCGGTGTCTGCATGGCTAAACCCACGTGTTGCCTTTGTTGCCGGAGCCCCTTTTGCGTCCATGACATGCATTTCCACAGCGGTAGTGACAGTTGGCCAAGCCTTCGATTTGGGGCGTTCTCCTCTATCTTGTGTTTTATTCGCTAATGTAGTATCGCCAGCTCGGGTTGCTCGGGATCTCGTGCCGGTATTGGTATTGTAGTCGGATCCGTGAGAATGTCCTGATTGCCGAGCGATCTTAGCGATGAGGCTGGCCATGGACATTTCGATGTTGAGTTTGACAATGTAAGCGAGCGGGTGAAACTGCATGTACCTGAGACGGCAGACGCCACGGTTAAAATCTCCCAAGCGGCAGGATTGACGGGGACATACACAAACGTGTTTTTCAAGCTCATCATGGAGATAATGAGAACATCCATGCTCAGGGAGAAAACGATGATGAACATGTTGAACTTGACCAGGTTGTCGTATTTGCTTAGTCCCAATTCCACCAGATTCGATCGGACGATGCGGATGAAGAGTAAGTTGAGACAAGCATCGACAAGGAGGTAGATGATCTTTTCACAGCGATCCCATATCTCGTTGATGTGTATATACGACTCGGATATCTGTAGCCGGGCGGGAATCCAGATACAGTAGACGGAAATGTTGATAGCGGTGATGAAAGCTGCGACGCCATATTTGACTCGCCAGACGAAAGTCCGGTCGTGCAAAAGGATTGCACATCGGTTGACAATAATTTGCAGGAGGAACTGAACCTGAAGGGCCCATAAAGTAACTTGAGTGGAAAAGCGATGTTAGTTTAAGAACAGACCTGGATACAACCAAGATGTGTGGGTTAATAGACGTACGGATGCAAAAGTAGAAGGCGAAGCTGCATGCGATGTTAGAGACACAACAGATGGATGTATTCTCGAGACACTTACCTAGGCATAACGACGCCCAAAATGTACATGAAGCAAATAATGCCAAACCCAAGACAAACGGAAATCTCGCCCCAGATCATCCAGATGTATGGGTTGCGCAGCAGAGCAAAACCGCGTCGACGATAGGCGCTGGCGGTCTGCTGGATGGCCGACCATGCCGTCAGCCAGCCGATGCCCAGGGTGAAGCCCCAGGCAAGAGACGCAATGATCAAGTCATTTGTTGTCACTTCCTCCAGCACAAAGTTGTCAGGGAGCAAGGTGAGCATGCTGGAATGGCCAGCGGCATATCAGGAACAATGAAAGGAATGAGGGCAAGTTGGCGCTGCGGACGGACATGGAAGCTGGCGCAAGAAAAGAAAAAAGTAAAGAACAAGCAGTGTTATAAGAGGTAAGAACCAGATCTCGAGGGGTCAGGGGTGATGAGAAGCCTGCTTTTTCGTCTTCGCACGTTCATGTACACAACTGACGCATTAGCAGAACGGTCGGACCCTCTTGGCCCGAATCTCGCGAAGGCGTGCTCCGCCGGTGCTCTGCATGCGAAGACAGAAACTACCAAATGGTTGGTCTCTCATTTGTCTCCCCTTGTCCAAATCTGTAGCGTGAGCACAGGTAAACTCTAAAACCAGTCACTAGACGGCGGCGGACCGTCCCCGCAGAGGCGTTAGCTGGATTGCCCAGAGCCCAATGAACTGGTTAGATGAGAGCCGAGCGCTTTGGTATGACTGCCATTTGGACTCCTAGTTCTCTATTACTACTGCTAAGTGCTACGTAGTACTGCCACTACTAATTACTACCACTCCTACGGAGGAGACATGTGCAGACCATCTTCAAACCTTCCTCAAGCCTCCCTCAAGTCTCCCTTTGGGACTCAAGCCTCCTTCAAGCCCTCCTCAGGCCACTCCATGTGGCTGACTCGCGTGGTGCAAACACTATTTCGGCCCTACTGCGGTGGCTGCCGCCTTGTCCGTTGTGTGTGTGTGTGTGTGACATTATGTGTGTGTCAGTACCTATTATGTGCGTGTCACTCGAGATTGCCCCTTGTCGCAGCAGGACGTGGAGACGAAATAGCGGGTCCCCACATCCCGGAGGCTCCATAAGGAAAAGCCTGTGTATTGATGCGGAGTAGTCGGCATGCACGCCAAGGGCCCTTGAGACGGACTGATGAGAGCTGCTGGCATAAGGACCTGCAAAAGCTGGCCAGTCAGCCAATAAGAGCACGGGATGTACCTTATGTAAGCAGCCAACCGTGCCTCTTAAAGGACTTACACTGTAAAATTACCTATCAAGGGACCCTGGCCTTATGGGGCTAACAAACAAAACATATGCCGGCAACCTTCGTACTTGGAGCACCGCGTAATTATGCTTGGGTACCTCTTTGTGCCCAAAGAGGTCTTCATTCACTAACTCGAAGCATAAGTTCACCGAGGAACGGGTTTCATCGCGGGGGGCACCTAATCTGGCGGCGCCCAACTTGCGTAGCATGGAATTTGCCACTTGTCAGCTTCGTTTTGGCTTGAGCCTGGCTGAAGATGGCTTGTGTCTCTCCATGTGGTAGCGCACACGTTTCTATTCCTGAATCCTTCTGTCGCTTGGGCGTTTTTCAGACCCTTGAACGTTTTGTTGACCCTTGGACCCTTGTTTTGTCGTCATGACGCAATTACCCATTCACGTAGAACTGGTGGTGGATCTCCAGATCCTGGGCTGGGATGGTATGCCAGATCATTGTTGAATCTGATGAACGCAACATGTGGGTCTCATGGTCCCTATCTGTCAGGGCAAACCTGGTAACGGGTAACAGACAGACCAGGCTGCAACCAGACCAGACTGCAGACCAAGCTGCAGATTCATTGATCGCCCGGACTCCAAATCTGGGATTTCTGGCCATCCAGATTAGCATCCGCATCCCGAGAGCCTAGCGCAGGGGGTTTGATACGAGGCTTGAGTGGCGTCCCAAAACCGCACGGCTCCTTGGCTCTCACACCATTCTCCTGGATCTCGACCGTTTTGGTGAGAACATTGCGCACCCATCTCGAGTCGGACGAAGAAGTCAGCGTCGAAAAGAGGGTAGGTCAAGCCTAGGTCAAGCCTCAAGGTGACCGAACCCGGCTAAGACGGGGCAGTTGCAACTAAAATAGCGAGACCGTTGGACGGCTTAGCTCATGTGATCCTGTGCACAGCAGCATCTGCGCATGCATCCTTGGCATCTTCCACCGCGAGAACCTTTCCGGGTAGATCTTGAGACCTTATTCATGGCAGAAGTTCGTCAGCAGAACCGCGGTGATTGTGAATGAGGCATTTTAGCCGTTTTGCGAGCTACCATTTCCAACACCCTGTGTATTAGTCAAGTAGCGTCATGACCGGATCTGTGCCACCCTTGAGCCGACATCTTCTCTGCTTTCCGCTGCACAGAAAAACCTCCGATCTGTTGGGTCATCGTTGACACTAGACAAGGGGAGTCATGTCCCTCACAACAGACATCGAGATAAGTTGCATTGCAGCAAGTGGGTCTCGACCGCGTTGATTGAACATGAGCATGTGGAACGCGTACCCAGTGTGGCTAACAGACCGACCGACCCAGACCGGCCCCTTCGGTCTGTCGGTCTGGGTTTGTCGAGGCTCCCGGTCTGTCGGTCTAGGTCTGCCTGGCTTCAGCGACCCGGTCGGTCTAGGTCTGACAGTCTGATCCAGTGATCCCGAGGTTTTTTACCGTGCTGCTGAAAGGGGTTCACTAAATAGTACCATACACACTGAAACCCTTTGCTCTTCGTACGCAAGCATTAATTACTACACTACCAGCCCTCTTATTAGCCAGTACTTTTGGAGTTGATCTGCCTCGACTACCTCAGGTGCTAGCTGATTGCGCTCGTCGGTGATTATCTTTTTTGTCTGGCTAAACACCCTCTTACATTCAGCACTTATGCCAGGAATTGAGAATAGATCTAGCGCTATTCGATATAAGACTGGATATTCCAATTGATATCGGTTCCACTATTTAAGAGGGTTTGCAACGTCGAGATCTTGGGGGTAAATTGGCTGTGTCTGGAATAAGTTAAGGTCGCTAACTGTCTTGACCTTCTTTCGTTGTGTATTTAATGAACGGATTGACCTCTTCCCAAATGAGCTGTAGTTGTTAACGTCAGCTTCGATCTTATCAGTTTTATTTTCTAAAAGCCCAGCTTGAGCTTGAGTTTTAACTTCAGCCTGTTGAATATATTTATCGAATAGGCCACCTACAGCGGACTGTATATTACTATACTATTATGGCCTATCTATTGCGTTTTTCCAGTACCGCTTAAAGTAGTTATATCTATAGGATGAATGAAGCGCTAATGCTGCTCGGTAGATAGATATACAGTCCGTTTTGATATAATAGTCTTTAAGCTTTTTCTATCTGCAGTTAATTCCCGACTTAAAATAGAAGGGCTCCTTAAATTGAGTTTTCTCCGCAGCCTGCTTAAATTTGATAAATAGATAGTCTATTATCTTAAGAGTCTCCCATATAGCACTATACCCGCCCTCTGCGCCTGGTTTACTGGCGTTACCCTCTATAGTCTTTATAAGGATATAAAATAGCTTTAGGAAGTTGTGGAAGTACTCTAGTTCAGCTTAGTCTATAGTATTAAGGAAATCCTTTATTAGGTTATAGTAGATGGAATTATTTTTGGGTTATTGCTAGTAAGATTAATAGAGCTTAATAGTACTATATAATTTAAGTACTAGAATAATCCGATTCCGGGTCAGCAAATATTTAATAGAGGTGAGGGATAGATATATATATATACTATATTTAATTATAATATAAATAGAGTTCCAGTATATCTTGCTATTAATAACAATCTCTAATATAAATATAGTATCGTCTTCTGTAAGTTCAGTCTGTAAATATCGAAGTGCCTGTTATCGCTGGTCCGTCCAGTAGATATAAGTAGTAAGGTTGTAGAGTCTGCTAATGGCCCCCTTCTTAGCCTAAATCTCGAAACTGAATTCATCTGTAGCCCTATAAAGCTCCGCCTTGAATTTACTAATATTTAAGCTGAAGATAACAGCCCGGATAACCAGGTTAATAATATGGCCTATATAATATAAGCAGCGCCGGCTGATATCTATTGGGAACTACCTAGTAAGTATCTCTAGGTAAGTATTATTACTTTTAGTATTATTAAGTATAAAGTATCCAAGCTTAGAGCCTATTTTATATTAATTAATTACCTCCTTAATATATAAGGCTATATTCTCGCCAGAGTATAGACTAACTAGGCGCAGCAGTCTAAGAAGGATATTATATTTTTTGCCTTTACTGTTAATAAAATAGCCGACGATACTGATATAGTAAAACCTATTAGAAGCAGTCTAGAAATTAAAGTTTAGGTGTCACGGGCCAGGGCCCATATCCTTGCGGCTGTGCCGCAAGACGTACGAGGCTCGTGCGCGCCAGGGACGGGAAATCGTTCCACAGCTCAGGGGCATTTGGGAACTTCTTTCTTTCTTCTTCATCTTTGATGTAAATAGCATCCTGGACTAGATAGCTGGAATCCAGCTACTAGAGGCCGTTCACATACATCAAAGATCATTCTATTTGCATATCTGGAGTACTTATTATTTTGTTATTGAAGATTTTGAGCTAGAAGCCGACAGAATGGATCACGCCCACTCGATCATCACCCTCGAAGCTATAATGCAAGAGCTCAAGAGCATACGGGAGGAAAACGCAGAGCTCAGAAGAACTCTAGCTGAGAACGAAGAAGAATTTAGATTGAAGCTGCAAGCCGTCGAAACTGCAGTCCACGACAGACGAACCAATACCACCCCCCTTACGCCGAGCGGACTCAGTACCTCGACACCCCAAGAAGAAGTCAGCATCCCAGTTCCCGAACAGAAGCCCACTCGACGACCACGCCCTCGACTCCCCGATCCAGCCCTTTACGAAGGAAAGAAGAGTACATGGCGTGGATGGAAGCTGGAGATGGAGAACAAGCTACATGAAGACGGCGATGCACTGGGCAGCTCTATGTCACAATTCAAGTATGTGTACTCTCGGTTATCGGGAAGAGCAAAGGAGGATGTCACCACGTTTGTGGAGATCGAGACCAAAAAGCCTGAGGCCAACCCTGCCTCGCTTCTCAATCGCCTGGACCTGTTATATGGAGACCGGGACCGCGAAAAGAAGGCTATTCAGGCACTACACAGCCTCAAGCAAGGAGAGAACGAGTCCTTTGCCGCCTTCTACCCCCGATTCGAGAGAGAGATTGCCAATGCAAATGCGGAAGCATGGCCCGATGATAGCAAAATCTCATACTTGCGCAATGCCTTGAACGATAAGCTGAAGATGATGCTTGTGCCGGTAAACCGAGCCGAGATCAGCTCCTACGTCGGCCTTGCAACGAAGTGTGACGAGTTGAGCAACTCTATGGAGCTGCTTGGTCAGTGGAAGAAGTCGAACAGCAGCAGGAGTCAACCGAGGGCCCCTTCACCCGCTGCCCCTGGCAGTCGTGCCCAACCGGAAGCTAAGAGAGAGGACATGATGGAATGGGACCCGACCCCCCCGGGCTCGATGCAGGTCAATGCCTTGAGGCCCAGGAGGAACAACAATCTCAATGGGTATCCTTCGAAGCGACCTCAGGATAAAACCCTCCTGGGGAAGAGAGCCAAGTGGGTTAGTCAGGAGGAGATCGACGCGCGACGGCGCGAGCACCGCTGCCTCCGTTGTGGGAGAGACGACTGCAGAATCCTCACATGCCCATTAGCAGCACCCCTACGCCCGGATTCGCAGACACATGTCAGCGTTACATCAGCAAGGCCTCGCGTCATTAAAGCAGCATTCGAGGACGAGGAGAGTGAGAATGAGACCACTGGAGATGAGCAATAGGGGCACGCGGCAGCTCAGAGAGAATGGAGAAGAGATGGCAGAGCAAAGATGGATGGAGACCCTTTCCTAGTCGACATCAGACTTAATGGAACCGACTTCACTACAGGTCTGGTCGACTACGGCTGTCTTTGCTATGCTGCTATAAATGATCAACTCTTCCGCTCCTTAAAGCTGCCACGGATCCCCATTCCTCCTCGGAAACTCGAGAACGCTACTGGCGACCCCAATACAGTGATTGACACAGTCACTTACGCGTCAGTTGATATCGACGGTCACCAGCGCCAAAGGATCTTCTTCTATGTGGTCCCAAAGCTGAACTATAGTATTATCCTTGGGAAGCCTTGGATGGAAGATGAGGATGTACATATCTCAGCAAAGAAGGGCTGCCTTACGATTAGGTCCTCAGGTGTGCAGGTATGGAATCGGGCCAAGCAGCCAGTCCCAGACGTGAAGGTCAAACAAGTGATGGCATCAGTCTTCATGGCAGAGGTACGACGAGACAAGAGGCGGCAGGGCACTGGAGTGTTCTCCGTCACCCTGAAGGACATCGATAAGGCCCTAAGGCCGAAGACAAGGACGGACCCAAAAGAGAAGCTTCCAGAGCATTACCACCGGTGGCTCCAGGCATTCAGCAGGCAACTTGCCGACAAACTCCCGCCCCTACGACCCGGTATCGACCTCCGAATCGAGATTATGAAGGACAAAGATGGAAATGAGAAGAACCTCCCTTGGAGCCCGTTGTACGGCATGAGAAGAGAGGAGCTCCTGGTTTTAAGAAAAATCCTCACTGAGCTGCTGGACAAGGAGTTCATCCGCGCGAGCAGCTCCCCAGCAGCTGCCCCAGTCCTATTGGTTAAGAAACCGGGTGGAGGAATTCGCTTCTGCGTCGACTACCGAGGGTTGAACAGCATTACCAAGAAGGACCGATACCCTCTTCCGCTTCTGAGTGAAACTTTGAGGAATATCGCAAAGGCAAAGTGGTTCACAAAACTCGACATCATCGCTGCCTTCAATAAGGTACGGATAGCGGAGGAAGACGTACACAAAACGGCCTTTCGCACGAGATATGGCTCCTTTGAGTACCGAGTCATGCCATTTGGGTTGACTGGAGCCCCCGCCGCCTTCCAACGCTACATCAACAGCACCTTACAAGACTACTTGGATGACTTTGCTTCTGCATATGTGGATGATGTCTTAGTATATTCCTCAGGGTCCCTCAAGGACCACAGGAGGAAGGTTGGCCGAGTTCTACAAAGATTGATGGATGCTGGCCTCCAGATTGATATCGATAAGTGCGAATTTGAGGTCAAGACTGTCAAGTATTTGGGCTTTTTGATCGAGGCAGAGGTTGGCATCCGAGTCGACCCCGAGAAAGTCAAGGCAATTAGGGAATGGGCTACACCAACCTCAGTCAAAGGAGTCCGTGGGTTCATTGGCTTTGTGAACTTCTATAGGGTCTTTATCCAAGACTTTTCGGATATAGCTCGACCGTTGACCGAGTTAACCAAGAAGGATGTTCAGTTCAGATGGGACGACCGATGTGAAGAAGCATTCGACAAGCTGAAGGAAATGCTCATTACGGCCCCAATCCTCGCGCATTTCGACCCGGAGAGAGAAACTATGGTCGAGGCTGATTCCTCTGGTTACGCTACAGGAGGACTGATGCTACAGAAAGATGACCATAGCATTTGGCGCCCTGTTGCTTACTTATCGAAGAAGCACTCTCCTGCTGAAGCCAACTACCCCATCCACGATAAGGAGCTCCTTGCTATTATACGCTGCCTTGAAGCATGGCAGCCCGAGTTGCAGGCAGTTAAGCACTTTACGATTCTTACAGACCATAAGAACTTAAGGTACTTTTATTCTGAGAAGCAGCTTACTGAGAGGCAAGTGCGTTGGTCCGAGTACCTCGCCAGGTTCAACTTCACTCTGGAGTGGAGGCCAGGCAAGAGCTTGGGGCGTCCTGATGCCCTGTCTCGTAGGGGACAGGACCTCCCAGCAGATGGTAGCGACGAACGGTTGAAGGCTAGGTTCATGAAGATGTTCCAGTCCGAACACCTCAAAAGTGTGCACATTGCATCAATGGGAGTCCCGGCGAAACCTGAGGAAATCAACTTTGAAGAGGAAGTACGGCTTTTTGAAGACCAAGAACTACAGACCCTATGGCACGAAGCTCGAAAGGATGAACTCTACCGACAACTCACAATGTGTGTGGCTAGGGACGAAAGAAACTTGCCTACCCACCTTCAGAAGGAGAAAACTGTTAGCATCACTGAGTGCACTGTGGATGAGCGAGGTCTTCTTCGTTTCCGCGATCGAGTCTGGATTCCAAATTTAGAACCCCTTCGCACAAAGATCATTCAGGATATTCATGACTCCCATATTACTGGACATCCCGGCAGAGACCTTACCTATACTATTCTATCGAGGCAGTTCTTCTGGCCTGGAGCTGCAGCAGATGTGCGCCAGTTTGTGAGGAACTGTGAGGTCTGCGGCAGGAATACGATCTGGAGAGACACCAAGAAGGGGCTCCTCAAGCCAATGCCAGTCCCTGAGCGCATCTGGGGAGAGATCTCAATCGACTTCATTACAGACTTACCACCATCCGGGAGGGATAAAGCGACAAATTGCATGGTTGTCACTGATCGCCTGACGAAAGGGATAGAGCTAGAGGGAATGGACTACATCTCATCTGAGGCAGTTGCAAAGAGGCTCTTTGAACGCCACTATCCAATTCATGGCATACCGACAGCAATAACTAGTGATAGAGGGCCGCAGTTTGTGAGTGATTTGTGGAAGCACTTTTGCAAACTTCTCAAGATTGAACAACGGCTCTCAACAGCATATCACCCTCAGACTGATGGCGCTACAGAGCGTATGAATCAGGAGATCGAGAAGATTATACGGATTTGGGCTACCTACACTCAGGATAACTGGCTGGACCTCTTACCAATTGCAATGGCAAGTATAAACAACCGAGAAGCATCCTCAACAGGCCTGAGCCCATTCTTCTTTATGCATGGCTACCACAATGAACCGATCCGCCTGGTAGCAGACCGCATGATTGAAGGAAAGCAGAAGGAGGGCGAAACTCTCGCTGAGGACTTTATCAGACGATTGCAAGACGCTACAGAATGGGCACAGGCGGCCATCGCCACAACCCAGGAGAAGCAAGAACGGTTCGCCAACAAGTCCCGCACAGCAGCCCCAAGGTACAAGACAGGCGATTGGGTCTATCTGAATATGAAGAACGTAAAGACCACAAGACCATCGAAGAAGCTGGACTGACTACATGCCAAATACCAAGTGGTCCGGGAAGTCAACTCTCACTCCTATCAGCTGAACGTACCTGGTAGGGTTCACCCGGTCTTTCACGTTGACCTATTACGCCCAGCGCCGACAGACCACCTGCCCTCACAGAGACCAGATAACACACAACCGGCACCCATCCTAGTTGATGGCGAAGAGGAGCGGCATGTGGAATGCATTTTAGATGAGCAGTGGAAGACTGAGGAAGGCATAAGGCGCAAGAAAGCTTTAGTGAAGTCGGTTGGTTACTCTGAGCCTACGTGGGAACCCATTGGCAACCTACAAGCTACCGCTCAGTGGAAGCTCTGGCGCAAGAACCATCTGAAGCCCTGTTGGTGGAATCCAGGAGGCAATTGCGATATAAGTCGTCAGCGCCGCAATGTGAAGGGCTGGCCCTGGGTTTGTTCAACGAAAGGGTGCGGTGGATTGGTCTATCTAAGACTAAGGAGTAGCAAAGGAGAAGGAGCTAAGCTAAGGGTAGCTTACAGCTATAAAGCAGAGCTCTCGTTTGCAGGGCGGTAGTAGCTAGCAGACGGGAAGGTCAATCTTGCCTAGCTAGGTCGGGACCGGCACGGCATAGCTCGTGCCCCTATACCAGGCCTCAGCCCATGACAATGTGGTGTTCATAGAACTGAAGCATCTGTTTCGTGTCAACAAGGAAACCGACGAGCTGGTGAGGTGAGGGAGGGATGAACTACCTTCTGCGGACACTTCTTGTAGATAGTTTGCGTGTCATGCTTGGTCTTCTCGCCGTTCTTCCATATAAGAAAAACGACCAGCTTCCCATTGCCGCCGTCCTCACACGCGTCAATTGTCTCAATCTCATCCTCCCATGACCCTGAAGGAGGGCTCCAATTCTTCACAGTCGCGGATGAAGTCTTATCAGCCAAATGCGCCTCGTTCCCTTGCAATCGCTTAGCAGTCGTGTTAGTTGTGCTATTTGTTCCCCGTCTTCGCTTTCTGGTCTGAGCCGCTTTGTCTGATACCTTGAAGATCTTATGTCTTCCACCAATCTTATTAAAATACTCGTTGAGAATCTCTTCGCCTGACACCCTGAATAAAATGCGCTAATGAGAAAACTGCAGGATAAAGTAGAGGCGCCTAATACATACTTGAGATTGGCCTCTGGTTCCCACGTCCAGTCTTTCTTGCTCTCATAGCCCTCCCACTGAACCAGAAATTTGAGAGCTCCCTAGAAAGACGTCAGTTACAGACATGGCCCAGCTGGACGCAACATGCTAACATCTCTGTCGACGTAGTGGTTTTTGATCGTCTTTACAATGAAACTAAGATTCGTTAGTATTGTATTAAGCTCGTAGCAGCCAAGAACCCCACAACTCCTCTTCAAGTTCGTGGTCAACCTCATCTTCGTCGCCCTTGCGAGCTTCAACTCTGTCCCGGTTCGCGACCAACATTGGGCTCCCCTGAGTGCAGGTCTTAAACTTGCCCCGATTCGAAGATTCGTTGTCATACAGTGCTTCAGAAAACTTAGCTCTCATCTCCTGCTGCCTGCCACAGAGAGCTTGCATTAATGGGCTGGCGTTTGTAGCGCGAAACCAAAGCGCCCATCGACGTGCCGTGTGGCGAAACTTCTGGGGAGGTTGATAAGGTGCAGGTCATCGCGTCGGGAACGGGGGTCGTGACAAGTCCCACAAAGGCTACTCCGCGGAACATCCAGCGCCCAACTCAGCCAGAGTCGGGAAAACATCGGCGAAACGGCTACCCCACCAATGCTCCTTGGCCTTGTGGCCTCTCACCATGCATATTATCTCCAAGCCACGGTCCCTTCGTCTCTTCAATGAATTATGCCAAGGTCACTACTTAGATCCTCCAGCTGTACACCCACCCCAGACGTAGCTCCCTGCCTATCGCTTCTCGCCATATGCAGTACACCCAGGGCGGATAGGAAATCCGTCAACTGCTCTCCTTCTTGCAGGCGGGTTTTGAGTATACATAAGAACGCCGCCCTGCGCAAGGAGAAAGCCATCCAAGACGTTGTTAAGCGCCACAATCTAACAGTCTCCAACTTCCCTGACCAGAAACTCGTCCAAATCTTACAATATTTGCTGAAAGGAGGCGTATTCCGCTTGAGTATAGTAGCCCGGCCCGACTTCCCGGAGCTCTTTCCACTACCTGATACACCGCAGGAACGGGAGGTCTCTACATCATCGGGGGAGCAACGACTGGTCCCCCCGGCCGGTATTTATGGGGCAGATATTCAAGAGGGAGTCTCCATTGTAACCTTGGACTTGCAGGCGCTTTCACACATTGTATTTCGGCTCCGAGACCTGTACAGTACCTGTCGCAATAGTGACAGCATCGTGAAGCCGACCAAGGCCAAAGCGCTTGAGGGATGAGACGGCGGCACCAAAAGATTGGAGAACCTGCTGTGACTACGACTGAAATCTCGTCCGAGCGAGCCTAGCCGGTCGATGCAAGATGCACAGAAGCAAATACAAAGCACAGGCACACGGGGCGGGTCGGCCCAGTTGAGCAACTCGCCGCAGTGATCGTCGTCGCGACAAGCCAGTTGGGTTGAGGTGGGGGAAATCGGACGATGCCATCGACAGCACCGACAGCACAGTGCGAGTCCCCGTCCTCCTCGAGGCGGCATTTTGTCAGCGACGGCACCCCGGTCCTTGTCTCTTTTTTGCGCCTTCTTTTTCGCTGCCTCCACGTCATCTCTGACGTCTTTTCCAACCTCCGACGTCTCAGCCAGAGGTGAGTCGAAGTCCCCAAATCAGTCGAAGAAATCCACCCCTGAACCCCCAACCCCTCCACCCCATCCTGCCATCTTGTTTCTCCGCCATGACGTCATCGCTTCCCGTCATCCCCATCCACCTACCGTTGCCGTCTTCGTCCCCGCCTTGTGCCTCCGTCCTCATCGCCTATCTCCGTCAATATCGTCGTCACCGTCCGTCCTACTTACGACTAGCTTATCGTTACGTCTAGCCTCTCGCAAATGCCCCGACCGACGCAAAAGCCGAGCCGCTCGTGAAATCAGAGGTCGCGTCCAATGCCGAAGCCGCCAAACCCTTAGCACCGCTTCCCTACACCTAACGAATCTTCCTTGAGGACGGGTTTGACTCCCGGCGGCAGCGGGTTTATGTTCCTTGCGCCCAGTCCCAACTCCCAAGCCCTCTTTGCCCAGCTTGCCAGTGGAGGGGCGACGCCTAGCACCATAGATTTCCATCGCACTGCTATGAGCGTGGCTGCCAAGAGAGAGCAAACAAACTGTGTTCAGCGACCGTCCGGACAATCCCAACAGGCTCCGCATAACGTCTTAACCTCAAGAGATCCCCAAGGGTGCTGTGGTTGTCAAGTCTGAGACGAAGCCCGCATCCCGTCCCTTTGACCATCACGACGACGACGCCGCTAACGGCCTTTTCATGCTTACCTAGGGCAGGAACGGGACCCAATCAACGAACCAGTTTGCTGTGACTTCGGGCGCAACGAGCCACGCACACGCAGCCCCTGTTGTGCCCAAGAATATGAACACCTCGCCGCAGATGTCGATCGCCAGTGGTGGCTGGATCGGTTCCACTCGCGGTGTGAGCGAAGGTAGTGTCGCCTCGGACGATAGCGACCAGACCCGACCCAATATACGAGGCAAGGGTAAGAAGAGCCCGCCTGCCACAAATGGTCGAAGAAAGGCCGATGAGGCTCCCGCAAAGGCACCCCTGAACAAGAAGTCCAAGGCCAATAGCGGGGCTGTCACTATGCCTGAAGACATGGATATGTCCGACGAGTCTAACATGAAGTATGATGAAAACGGAACCAAAACCAACATGACGGATGAGGAGAAACGCAAGAACTTCCTTGAGCGAAACCGGTATGTCTTACTCGAAATTCTAATATATGTATTGAACCGTGGTTACTGACATGTCATAGTGCTGCTGCCATGAAGTGCCGTCAAAGAAAAAAGCAGCGGCTTGCCAACCTGCAGACCAAGGTGGAGATGTTCAGCACCGAGAACGATGCTCTGACTTCGCAGATCACCCAGCTGAGAGAAGGAGTGGTCAACCTGAAGACACTCCTTCTCGCACACAAGGACTGCCCAGTTACGCAACAGCAAGGTCTCCACAGTGCCTTCATGTCTCAGGTTGTCGAACCCTTCAACCCCCAGATGAACCCCTATGGCATGGGTGCCCCCATGCCCAATCAACCGGTCATGGCTGGCCAGGGTGTCCAACGGCGTTTCTCATAGAACGAGTTGCAATCCGCCGATGTCCACGGTGAATTGGTTTCCTTGGACGGCAAAATGACTTCCATGGATGACCCTTTCTTTCCGCAATGAGGGGATGGTGGCGTCTCCCTGATAAAGGCGACATCTGAGGGCTCAAACCGCCAATACATAGGGGGCCACAGGATTTCGAACTTTTGGCCGCTTGCCAACCCTTTTTTTTCTTTCTAATCTTCACTTTTCGGCCCGTGCAACAATTCGTGACGAGTGTAACATCCGGACAGGGATCGGTGTCTGGGGTTCGTGGTTAGTGGGCGAGCCTTTCGGGACTTGCCTACGGGATTCTTAGCGGGATGTGACTCTCCGAAGGTGAAGCTTTGATGAGAGAAACGAACCCGAAATTTCACTTGTACGTAAGTTTTTGGCAAAGCACACGGGACGTACATCAAAGAGGTGTTCGGCCAGGCGGGATTTACCCTGCCTGGGGGCGTTTTAGGACTCGGAACCACGGTGATGAAGTTTTTGGTAGTGTTGGGAATTGGTTTTGCAGGTAGCTGTGGGTAACAAGAGCTACATGGTCGAAGGATAGTTGCGCAATCAATCATGATGAGAATAAATGCTTTGGTTGAAGTGAGAAATGCGCGAAGCCAGAGTGACGGCTGTGAATATAGATGGAGATGGAGAATGGAAGGAAGAGAGAGATGTAGTAGCTTAAAGGCTTAATGTCTGGAGTTTCCCCGGGTTCTTGAATAGAAAATAAAAAGGCGACATAGAATTCATTAAAGACTTGTTGTCTATAATTTTACTGAGTTCTTGATCAATTAGATATTTTCTCTGTGCTCTCTACGCGATGAGGCTGTTGACTCATGCAGGTAGATAGATGGGCGGCTGACGATGTCTGGAGCTGGCGGGTGGTGTGGTGGGTGTTGAGTGGTTGCGGCAGTGGGGCGTCAGGTTGCCCCAGAAAGGATTAGCGCCAGAGGCAGTAAATCATAGGTGATGCGCCTCAACCATTACTGATAAAGCGAATAGGTTACCAGTAATATTGAAAGGTGTAAGTTACATCTCTGGGTGAGGAGCACAGCTCACTACATAGTATCCACATCCCAGCCACCAGCAGATCGGACCACCTTAGTCATACGGTCTCAACAATTACAACCTCGTCGCGGCTCTCAAACCACCGACGAGACCCGGAGCACGGCCGAACCATCGCAATTGAACCGGGTCACTGATTGCGCGACTTTTACGGGATCCATACCCTGCGGCGGCACGTATATCACGAAGCGACGCGACTCTGCAGCCCGAGACCCAACCTGCCACAGCCCGACCTTGATTGCCGGAGTCCCCTCCAGACCACCACCCGGAACCTCGGAGTTCATGCGGTCCCGAATGCGCCACTCATGATGACTCTGGTGACGACTCGTCGGCCGGTACAACTTATTAGCATGAGCAACCAGGCGGGGCGGCGGACGAGCAAGCGTCTCGCCAGTATATTGCACAATGAGGACGCGCAGCGGGGACGAAGCGCTAACCGCCGAACAGCTGTGGCCGACTATGAACAGGATGACGACTTTCAGTTTGTGCGGAAGTCGAAGAGGGTTAAGACGGAGAAGGCAGACGAGCCAGAGCCCGTGAAGAAGTCGGGGCGGGGGCGAGGGCGACCAGCCGCAAAGGCACGCGCTACCAAGGATTCAGCACCAGCCAGTAGCGTGGTCGAGGAAGTGGCAGCGACGGCAACGGCGACGGAAACAGCGAAAACCAAGCCTACGAGGAAATCCACGAGGCGGAAAGCCAGCGTGGACGCGTCCAACGAGAAGCCGCCACTCAAGATCCCTCAGAGAGGAACCAGGGGGAGAGCACGAGTTTCAGAGGAAAAGCTGGACGAGGAGGTACCACAGACAAATGACGCACCGAAGAAACGCGGCCACGATGCAGAACCACCGAAACGCGCGGTACCAAACTGGGACGAGTTACCACAGCGTGAGGCACCGATTGCAGCGGCCAAGATCGCGCTCCCGATGAGCGACACGCCAGTCATCAACCGGAACAAGGCGATGCGAAAGAAGGGCAACGGAAACCGGCAGAGCAGTTTGGGAATGCGTGGGCGACGAGCGAGCTCCCTCATCGACAGCGGCCAAACGGCAATTCCGCATCAGGAGGTCGACCCGGCTAGTTTCTACAAGCACATCGAGGCTGATGGCCTGACAGAGCTGCGAAGAATGAAGCAGCTTTTAACTTGGTGCGGCGAACGTGCTCTGACTGAGAAGCCGCCTCATGGGGCGCCTAATGCCATTATTGGTGGTGAGTAGCCCTCGAATACCTGAATTACGAGAAGAGACACTGACTTTTTCAACAGCTCGCGCGGTTCAGGACCAACTACTCAAGGATTTCGCAGCCCGATCCGAGTTCTCGGATTGGTTCAGCAGAGACGATGATGTGCCCAAGGCGCCTGTGGTCCTAATGCCCAACCCCAGGAACATTGAGCTTGATGAGAAGATTGCACAACTGGAGATCAAGGTTAAGAGGTCAGAGATTCACGGAGAATGTGTTGTATTACGGCTCCTAACTTTTATGCCCAGATTACAAGAAGAAAAGAAGGCTTGGCAAGCGATTCGGAAACCACCCCCTGAGCAACCGCCTCTCTTCGCCGAGAACGAAACAGACCCCATTGTCTTGCCAGACTTTGATCTCCTGGATCCGGAAGAAGGCAAGATTAGGGGCTACTTGGCGGACGAGGCGGTCTCATTCGAGGCTATTCGATCGCAAACCGAATCGCGATTGCGTGCCATCCAGTCCTCTCTCGAATTCCACATTGACCAGCTCTCCGACAACGTCCACAAGCTCGAGCAACGGGTTCTGGTCGCCGGCAAAGAGGCAGAAAAGGTCCTCAGCTTCAGCGCCCTCCGCCTCCGCCAGCGGAAAGAGCGCGAGAAGACGAGGGCGGGCACCAAGGAAATGCCCGTCATGGAAGTGCTGAGAAGTCTGGGCAACATCCTCCCAGAAGGTCATCCAAGGGTAGCTACCGATGTCATGATGTCTGGTAACCCAAAGTTGCCGAAGCCGTTATGTTCGGTGAGCTAAGGATAGCTGCCGATACCATGATGTCCAGTAACCCAAAGTTGCCGAAGCCGTATGTCCGGTGAGCTAGGGATAGCCGCCGATGCCATGTTGCCATGATGTCCGGTAAACTAGGAGGAGTTACTGATGCTATTATGTCCGGTAAGCTAGGGATAGCTGCCGATGCCATTCTGTGCGGTAGCCCAAAGTTGCCGATGCCTTCATGTCCGCTAAGCTAGAGTTGCCGTCGACTTTTGGTCTGATAGACTGGATGGTTCGCCGTCGACTTCATGTCCGGTAAACTGATGCAGTCATTTTTGGCCATGGTCCGGCAGACTCGCTTCTGGTTGTACCTTGCTTTGACCTAAGTCATGCAAGAACTCAGTCCAGAACTCAAGCTTTGACTGCCATCAGCCACGCAGGGACCCGGCTTATCCATCGAGTCGACCCTCAGCCCGTTGCTGCGTCTGGAGTCACCAGAGTCAGACATCTATCGAATCTATCGAGTCGAACGCCAAGCCTAGGCATTCGAATCGAATGCGACTCCCGTAGATTCGAATCGAATCGAATGCAGGTCCCGTAGACTCGAATCGAATCGAATCGAACCGAATGCATGTCCCGTAGACTTCGAATCGAATCGAACGCGTATCCGTAGATTCGATACCTATCGAATGCCAAGACTCGATCGAACGCATGACTAATTCCGGTGTAGGTAGAATAACGTCAGAGGAACTGGTGATTTCGGAAGAGATGTCGCAGAGCATAAGTCATTGATTGAAAACATGTTCTAAGCTGATCCGACTAGATATCGCTCGTCTCCTTCAGCGACGCAAGTGCATCACCCCATTGGTTATCATTGAGGCTAAACAAGGGCAGTGAAGACGTGTAGATCCCATATGTAGACGTTGACATCCCCTAACATCGTGCCATGGGGCTCGCAGTTGGGGACGAAATCCCAGCTTTACTCCATGATCGAATCCACTGAGACATCGCTACTATCTCCCTCCTCACCCCCATCATCCCTCCTGCACTACTAAACGTCCTCTCACTCAGGCCAATAACACGCGTAAAGCACGCACATTCTGTCGTTCAACGCGAAAATCGCCAGGTCGCCAGTGCCTTTGAACTTACTAAGTCTTGTGCGAATGAATAAAGCATCCACCAGCAGTGCGAATAACGACCTGGAGCGTCCAATCCGAAGGTGTCGCGCGTGAAAACGCCCTTTTGTTCCAACCATTGGTGCTCGGAGATTATGCAGGTGTTGGTGCAGCAAAACTCGCTGCACTTGGCAACCAGTCATGGTCAACATTGTGCTTAAGGACGCCAGTTAATAGCAACGGAAACGCCCACACGAGCGATGGCACGGGATGTACATTGCATGACACTAGTCGCGCTTCTAGGGCCTGGACGGCTGTGACAGGAAAGACACACGCCTATCGTAGTCGACCACGGGATGAGAGTAGGATAAGAGAGTAGGCGCCGATGCGACGAGCCTGTTTGTCTCCTGATTCCTGCGCCGCTTAGACAAGGGCAAGAATGTAACAGCGACTCCTAGGTTGTCTGAGGAAGAATCTCGGCTTCATTCACGCAATCTCCCAAACCTCAGCTTAACACATGTCACTGCGGCTGGAAAGGAATTGCCCCGAGCAGATGATCGAGGCACTTGGAAACTTTGTGACGAATATTTGTTCAATGCAATGTTTTCAAGATTTAAGCAGATAGATGATTCGCTAGAGCTTAATTGAGGTATGTGCTCGCTGGCATCTATAGGTCTCATCACCACGGCAACGATTAAATTGTTGCAGCTGAGACTTTCCTCCGATCCTTAGGCGATCTTGGTCACGGACGTCAGTGTTGGTTGCCTTGGGTGATGAGGATGCTGCTCAGAAGGTGCACAAGTCTAAGGACGATGACGCCAATCCGTTCAACATGCCAGAAGAGTACAGGGTGAGTCAGGTTTGTGCCAGCCACCGTATGTAATTGAGGGCACACTGTCCGGATACGCGCGGGGTCGCTGGAATGTCACGTCTTGGATAGGTACCTAATTGGCTCGGTTCTACAAAGGGGCACCAAAAGCTGAACACAACACCAAACCATCACGACTCCCTCGCTATGGATGTCTTCAAGTACGCAGCAGAGGCGGATAGTTATGATAAATTATCCGCCTTCCAGATATCTCGGTTTTTCAAACAGCATAGTCCTACCACACGCGACGACTGCGATCGCCCCGCCGCTGACATTTTGAGCTGTCCCGTCGCCCCTACGCCAGCACAGGGTGCGACCAGCTATACTGTGACAGCAACTGAATCCAGTCAGACACTTAACGTGGTCTAATTTCGGTCTAAAGAGTTGGATATGGATCTCATCGGACTTGCAAGACAATCTTACGGGGATTTAGTCCACAACTGCGAGCCCCATGGCACGATGTTAGGGGATGTCAACGTCTACATATGGGATTAGGATCGAAATGTGTATTTTGCTCCAGCACCCCGGCCAATCGCGCGACCCTGCGGAGCCGGGTGAGCTTCGCCGGCGTGGGCTCGCTTGCCCCACTATGTCTGGTGAGCCGGGCATCCATGCAGGTCTTGATGGTGGGCTCCAACGTAGGCGCGTCAGAGTGCCTACCATCCTGTATTCTCATTGGTAAGCTGCACCGCGTCACGGACGAGACTGCAACGCGAAAATCACGTTGGCGTGCCATAACGGAGTATGGGCCTGAATAGAGTCCCGCGCACGTGCATGGGTCTTCGGGGCGATCAATAGGGGGAACGGGTACTTACCAAGGCTTCGCGGACACAGACCATCAAACCCCTCTAAAATCTGTGTGGGCGCCGTTCAGAGGCACAGCTGCCCAATCCGTCTGGTGGGTCCTCTTTTCGATGTTGGTTGTGTCCATCGCCGTCGGTGGTCTTATTCACAATCCCATTCGCCACCGTAAATAGTGTAACCACTCTGTTGGTACCGAGAGTGCGCGATTTTTGTATCAAATGAAGGGATTATGCGTGATCCTGGCAGTAGTTCTCCGCATTCGAGGTGAGTAATTATGACCCCAGCGACATTGGCAAAACCAGCGCTAAAGCCACGTTTCTTATTGGACCGGGCTGGCACCGTGGAATCTTGACAGTCTGCGTCCAGAAGGCTCGTCCTGTGGAGATGAAATCAATGAATTGATACGATAGCAAATTCTTGCTACGATTGCGGTCCTTCTTACCGTCGACGCGTATCCTTCTAGTGCTAGTCACTGATTCTGATGTAAGATGGTGTCGTAGGATGTGTTTTGTTTCCGTGCTCCCCATTCTCCTTCTGTTCTCTCTCATATTGTCCGAGGCTTAGCGGGGTTCTTCCCACACTAGGTCTAGTACCTGCATCAACATCACGTCCATATCCACATTACGTGCATATCACATCCGTCACATGTGGCCACGCCGATTTTCCTGCTTTGCTGTCTGGGAATACATTTACATTGATTCGCAAGAGTCTAGCCTCCGGTCGGCCGACAGTATGATCCTGCGTAAGGATGCTACCCACCACCCTGATGGACCTGCTTGTGCGAGAGCCGTCTAGTCAAGGATGACGCCGCGCAGTAAACAGTGTGTAAACAGTGTTGCCTCTTCAGAATTCGGCGCGATCCAACGTGGCCCCACCCATACCATCCACCCTTAACGTTATCAGTCAGTAGCCCTCGTCTGACTTCGTGTCAGGGTGCGTTGAACGATCCACATGACTTGGCAGTACGGAATCTGCACACTTCTCACAACTGTCCACGTTCCTAACGAGGAGCCTAAAGATTAACCAAACAGTGCGGTTGGCCCTCGATTAGCCTGGTGCAATGCCTTTATGTGAACGCTTTCTGGGTATCTTCAATACAGTAGCGCAACCTCGACCACCTGCATTCGTTAACAAATTCATTCAGGGGTGATCTAACCCGTTTGACGAACCTGTACTCTGACCCTGGCCTTCCTGGTGACGCACAATTTCCCTAGTGGCCCCCCGCCAGCGAATGATGTGATAAACCAGACTGTCGGGTTTTGAGCAAAGTAATATTAAGGAAGCTGACCGTACCTGTCTAGTTCAGTCACCTACTCCGTAAACAACGCTGTCACCCGCTTTGTCCCGACGCCAACAGCGTCTCACACCATCCTCCGCCAAACGCGCGGCTTCAATTCTTTTACCCTAACCAGATGCTGCATGCACTCTACTGTATGACAAGCCCCACATTACTTGTACAGTGCGTCTTGATTTGGCAATATGCCAATCACCGTCCCCTTGCGCCGATGCAAGCAGGTGCAGACCTTGATAGGAAGGTCTCAGAGCGAAGACATTGAAGAGGACTCCGTCATCTACGTCAACCCAGTGATTATCCTGTGCCCGTTGCCGACCTGGATCTTCGACTAACAATATAGCACAAGCAGAAACCGGTCAGTGCCTGGCACTCCCCAAACGAAGGGAAACGCCGTCGGCTTGGCAGTAAACGCTTTACTGGAACCGCAAAGAGGTCCATCAGCTTCGAAGACGTCTTTCAGGATGGTCGCGCAACAATTAAGCACATCATAGTACAATTTCCGGCGGGAGACGGTTCGTGGTATATCCTTCGATGTGACAAGCATGACCTCAGCTTTAAAAACCACCCTATCAAGGGTGCTGCGAAGCATCTTGGTGGCAAACAGCACGGCCGGATGTCGCGAAAGCCCTCAGTGGCTATCAAGCATCTCGGCGTCAAGGTGTTGAATTGTAACAAGATTCTGGCTGAGAAAAACAATATTGCAGCTTTGGAGGCGCTTCAGAAGGAACATAAGCACCCAACTGCGGATGTGGTGGACAATGAGCCCCAGGGATATCTTATCCCGACCTCGGCCTATAAAGCACCGGCGCGGAAGACTCAAGAAAGCCAGGGCCGAGCTGGCAACGCCCTACTGACTGACGGCAGCAGCCAGCAGGTCACAGATGTTGAAGTGATCACAGAACCAATCCCCGGTGAATTCTACCTGGCCTATCGGAAAGGTTCGACGGACCGCTGTCCCGTGCTTCTCCTCCCTCTTGGACATCTCGACAACGTTGGCGTACCAGACGCAGTTGAAATCCTGGGGCTCATAGATAGTGTGCCTGCATGCTATGTCTATAATCAAAGCGTCAACGACTTGGTGTGGCAAGAAGGATACGAAGATGACGGACCTCTAGTGGCGAAGCGTCAGTTCCCTGTTATGTACTTGGACGGCTCGGAGTTTCCAAACAGGGGCCTTGTTGGGTGGGTGGGTGCTGAAGATCTCCGGCCGTTTGATGTTCAAGGTTCCGACTCCTCCCTCGTACGACAGTGCAATTCTGTACGGGACTTTCTTCGAAAGCGCGCTGAAACAACGTCTGAGGACACTGCGCCCGATTTCAATATTCTGTTAGAAGGTGTGTCTTCTTCAGAGAACTTCAACACACTGCCTAAGACATTTGCTGACAGACTGATGCCCGGATGTACAGAGCAATTGAGCCGACAGATCCCTTCCTCGAGTTCTGCACTCGCTTACAGCAGTCATAACGCCTCCTCCAAAGAAACTGAAGCACCAACCTGGCCACTCAGGATACCAATCCCCGTCGATGAGAAAAATCCTATATCGCAAGATGTAAATGAGACGAAGCAAGACGCTGGATTAGGTCTCATAAGATCCAGCAACCATCAGCCTGAGGCATGGAACGATGTCATATCAATAAGCAGTTCGAGCACAAGGGAGCTTATCGACGTCATATCGATAAGCAGTTCAAGCACAGAGGAGCTTGTCGACGTCGAGGATCATCATTCGCACGGCAATAATTTCCGAATCCCACTCCGAATCCGAACACATCCCCAGAAGTAACTAGGCCGTTCACGAGCTCGGCAGAGCAATTCTCTCCGATTAATCAATTACAAAACACCAAATCCGTCGCCTTGTGCGAGTCTGCGCTTGTCACGCTCAATCCTCAAGCAGCGACACCCCAAAACATGCCGCCGGCGATAGGTGGCCAATTTGGAATGCTTGTGCCAAGTCCTATACCATCTATCAACCCTATGAACAGTCCAGTACGAGAGCAAGTGATGGAAGCATCAATATTTCATTGGCCACCTAGCATTACCCTACCTCAAGGCGCTAGTTACCCAATACTTTGCGAGGAGCATTTCGCGTACACCTCAAATTCGGAAAGTGCGCCGTGTCAACTGCCACCTATATTGCCTAGGCTCCGTACCCCGGAGTGCGGGCTTGTCGGTCCTGGCACCATCACGGCCTCGTCCACATTATGGCCACAACAAATTGACAACCGATTACCATCAATCAGTGATTATCTCAAACAAACACTACCTCCTGCAATGCACTCACACCCAGGTCCCGGCGAAGCTTCTCTTGCGGTAAACAGCCCAGCCTGGGAGCACGTGCCGCCCAGGCATTTTCACATACCGAGCTTTAGAGCGGCCGAACGGGGCGTTCCGAATATTGAAGCACAAACAACTACGCCACAGACCTCACAGGCATCATTTCGAGCGATTGGGCCTCGATTTGGCGTGGCACCGTATGTTGTCCCTGAGCAAGTTCTTGCTAAACTAGTAGAACGCTCAAAATCCGGAGGAAAACACCCGGAGCTTTCTGAATTTAGAGATTCAGAAGGCTTGTATTCTTGCCCTTTTTGTTTAAAACAATTTGCTCGCGGAATCGTCTTTGTGAAACATTTGTCAAACAAGCACAACAACTTCATTACATGTACTCGTCCACGGGGCCATTTTGGCATAGTTTGACACATGATAAGCGACCCTTGGTAATAATAAACTGTATAAGTCCATACTGGAAGAGTTCAATTATCCGCTGGAGAGAGCTAGATTATGGAAAATATTTTAAGATGGATTTCCCTTACAGTACTGTAACGTAAAAGCAATACCTAACTTGAATCCCTGTTTTATACTGTATCTAGTGATGTTGTTATTTGGATGTGACGACAGATGCAGCAGTGTCGCCAGAGGTAGGCCTGAGCTTCGTGTGACGAAACATTGCTGTCTCGTGCTACTGCGCCGCTGTGCGGTGGGCAGGTCTCTTTGCCCACATCGATATAGAACCGATCGCTGCATATGTGGGAGAAGTCAAGAACATGGTGTAATTTGGAGTCAAAGTTTCCGTGACTGCAAGCAGATCGGATGGTGCATCAGGATATTTGAACAGAAGTTTGGCGCCTTTTGCCTCCATGAAGAGCTCTGGGTCGCGAAAGTCTTGCAATCCTGGTTGGCGTACCGCTGCGAGCATATGGTCCTACAGTTGCTGCAAGCCTTGAGGTGGCAGGAAATAGGACATCCGTAGTTGGGTTCGATAACTAGGAGTCTCAAGCAGGCGATACTCCACCTGGGGAGCACGGCAGGTAGCTAATGCGTGACGATAACTTGCCGGCAAGTGCTGGAGCCGATCAACATCATAAACTTGACGGACAGCGGGATAGAAGATATCATCAAACCACCGCGAGAGCTGCTCGTCAGTTAACCGATAGAAGTCGCGGTGGCATGGCAAGTGTGGGAAAAACAGGTGGAAAGTGATGAAATCGGCGCCTTCGATCTTCGCGAAGATGAAATGCGGCATATCTTTCAGTCGTGACGGAATCAGTCGGGGCCGCTCCGGATCTGGATCCACGCGATCCAAGGTCAGGTGAACGTCTGTGCCAATATTCTGATGCTACTGAGGAGCAGAATAAAACCGAATCCCGTGGACTGCTGCTGCGGGAGAAGTCACAAAACCCAAGATGCTATCGATATCGAATGAAATGACCGGAGGAATTTGTTGCGTGTGTTCAGTGTGGAGGCAAGCCTGCTTGGGCTTACCATCGAAATGCTGCGTTGTGTCGCCAGCGAATAACTCTTTCCACTGACTAGGGCTCGGATATTGTGTCTCATTACAAGTTTGGCGGGTGAAGAAATGCTCTTTACCGAGTGTATGAGGCACGTTGCGAGGGAACAGTTGATCAAGCCCGTGATGGTTATGTGCTCCCTCAGCCTCGATGTGCGCTGCCAGAGATTCCCGATGCGCCTGGGTGCTGCATCCATAGACTCCGACCAGAAACTGCTGAATAAACTTCTGTGTGGCGTACTGCACATCATTCTAGGTATTGCCATCAATAAGATCTGCTTGAACTTCAGCATAGACCTCTGGGGTCTGAGACTCTGTCTGATCATCGCGCTCCTCGGCACTCTGGGCGTTGACTGGTTCCTCGTCGTAATAGGCTGGCTCGGTGTCGATTATGCCCGAATCATCATCTTCCTGACAAGGGGTGATAAAAGTGTCCCTGGAAGAGATTTCATCGGGTCCAAACTCCCCAGTGTCGGTCAATAAACTGTCCTCTACTTCGGTCTGCGCATTCTCTACTACCGGCTCAACTATTCGAGAGGACTCAGCCTGATGATCTGTGGTCTTAATATCTTGTTTCGCTTGTTGTCGCTGCCGGAATTTCTGGGTACGTTCCGCTTGCCGGCCCTCTAGGTCTGAGAGTGGGGATGGGAACGTGAGACTCAGCCAACCGAGTTCTGCCTACGGAGGGCCCTTTCAAAGGCTTTTTCCAAGCGCTAATCCAAAAAGGGCAAGCACGCTATTAACTCTAGGATAAGTACGTTAAGTTCTTCGCTTGTTTAACTCTCCACTAAAGACTGCTAAATTTACAGCAGGCTATAACCACTACCTAGCACTTTAGCCTCCCTATGACCCCTGAAGTTATAGGGGATCTAGCGGACAACTTGTTATAGCTAGCCAGCATGCCATGTACCTCAAGTAACTCACAAGGATTACAGGATGTGGCGCATTTAGCTTTGGAAAAGACTTTTGAAAGGGCCCTCCGTAGTTCTGAGTGGAATTCCAGCTATGTGACTGAGGTCGTGGCGGAAGCTGGTGAGCCGCGTGGCGTCTTACAGGACGGATGCCCCCGGGGGCCCGCTCCGGTCTGGGGCAGCGGTTATGGTGGGTTTTAACGATCGCGCTACGTGAGCCACACACTCCAGTCGCCCACGGAGGAGGAGTCAGCGATCCAACGCGTCCACGACACACTATGGCCCACAGTAGTGCTAGGGACCGCTGGCCGCGGACATCGACTGGACGAAGCACCTCCATACAACAGATTCATGTGCTCATTTTCAATATCAGCTGTAGGAGAGGTAGACATTTAGGGCGACTAGAGAAATAAACTTGGTTGGAAGTTGAGAAGAGAGCCATGCGATTCGGCTGTGGCGGCACGATACGTGGCAGGCTTTGATTGCAACACACTTGAGCTGCCACTACTTAAAAGGGGCGGCCAAGACGTTCGACTTTTAATGTATCGGGTTTCTGCATAGGACCGACTATTCTATAATACACGTCCAGAGCATTGCTTAAGTGGTCGCGGCGAGGTCATAGAGAGACATGATTAAATAGGAAAGGACGGCCGGATGGGAGGCTGTTCAGGTGCGAATTGGAGAAGGTGGGTGGTCCCACGCTCTGCATGCAGAGCAAACAGCCTCGCGGGGGATATATCGAGATGCCGCCTTCCACCTCGGCTCAAACCCATCAAACCCATCGCATCCATTACGTCCATCGATCGCACCGCCATGGAGGCTGTTGGTCTCACCGTCGGGGTCGTTGGGCTCGCTGGCCTCTTCAGCTCCTGCCTAGAGGCTGTGGACAAGGTGCAGACCTACCGATCATTCGGGCCCGACTCGCACGTACTAGACACCAAGTTCAAGGCTACCAAGGTCCGCCTCGAGGAATGGGGTCGGCGCGTCGGGTTCGAAGAAACGATGCGGTCGGAAGACCACCACCCTGCTCTCGACAACCGCGATATATTTGCGACGGTACGGGATATTTTACAGATCATTAATACTCTCTGTGATGCGAGTGACACGTCTGTACACCGCACCGGCCGGGCCATGACGCCAAGTAATGACGCCTCGTTGGGCTCGCTCCGACCCCAGCCTCACGGCACGAGGCGACGGAAACTGGTTTGGACGCTCTGGGGCAAGACAGAGCGCACAGATCAGGTCGAGCTGTTCGAAAAGCTGGTGCAACAACTGCACAACTTGGTGCCCGTCCATGCAGTGCAGGGGACGCGGCCGGTACACGAGCTGGACACCAGGCGCACCGACAAGCTCGCGTCCGGGTTAGGTGCGTATCTGAACGCTGCCTCGATGCTCGTCGTCTAACGGAGATCAGAAACTTCCTCAGGCCATGCTTGGCCCGCTGAGCTGCAGCGGATCCTCGCCCGGATCGAAGAGGCGAACAGAGGTAAGGCGTCATTTCCGAGCTTCTAGTGTCAAGCTAACGGAGCGAAGCCGAGACGCGACGGGCAATCCACTCCTGGCTCGGCCGCGGGTCCCCAAACGAACGCTACCATGACTCCGTCCAGAAGAGGCTTGTCGGCACCTGCGACTGGATCTTCCACCAGCCCGCATTCCAGAACTGGCTCGACCAAGAATTCCCCGCAGGCGCAAAGCTGCTGTGGATCAACGGACCCGCAGGGTTCGGCAAGACGATTCTGTGCGCGCACGTCGTCGAACACGAGTACGCTTCGGGTCCCCGTGTGAAAACTTAGGCTCCCCGTGTGCCTAGCCTAAGGAGGCAAGGCTTAACGCTAGTAATGCAGCTAGACGAGAGGTACAAGATTTTAATATAACGACTAACCAAGATATTATTCAGCCGAAGGCTGACTCTACATTAGTTCTTAAGTTTTCCCGAATAATGAGGGTTTGGTGCAGACAGGGATAAATAAGTTTCTCGGGATCTGATTGGTCCAAATTTTGTATTGCCGGTCGCTAAAGAAGGCTGGATTGGTTGGCAGCTCTAGAAAAAGTGGGTATCCGCAAGCCACCATCTGTCACTGCTTCTTTGTTTCTTTGTTTATCCGTACCATCGCCAAATTTGCCTGGCGATCTGTTCGTTTGCTTGGCCAAGCAACCTTTCTTCCATTATCGATCCCGATGCACCGTATGACTGAGGATGGATTCCGATTCTAGGGGTAATATGAGCCCTGGATCCGATTTTGGAGTCCATTGCCCGTCTTGCAACCAAATAAAACCAGCAAGTGACTTCTCTAGCAGGAGGAAATGATGGAAATCTGCCAATCAAACTACAGCCTGCCTGGAATGCCGGGACCAGCGCAATTCCGAGGTAACTGACATCATTGGTATAGTCTATATGCCTCCCTAACCTGATCAAGCGTGCCAGATCCAAAGGTACGGTCCTGACGTTGAGGCACCTGGCCGTCCGTCCTTCCTCAGCTGAGAGATCTGCCCCGAAAAGAACCGACGGAGATGCTGGCCTATCGCCTCCTAATGAGAGATCCGGAACCCAGCCTACATCGCCACTGAAGCTACGGCAACTTCATACAGCTAGGAGTTTATTCGGAGAGTCAATTAGCCAGCCGCACATAGTGCTGGGGACTCCAATTCCACCAACCCAACAAAGCACGCGGCATTTCCGTGTTCTAGCTCCCTCACCTCCCGTGCAGCCAACGGCGCATCCAATCGCCTCACATTCTGACCCATCTACTGTCCGAAGCAGCACAACTGGTTTGGATTACTCTTACTTGGCTGCTAGGTTCCACAGGGCCGGGAAGCATCCGAGACCCTCCCTGTGTTATCATGATGGAGTTTGACAAATACAGCGGACCGGTATTCCTGACCACCCCTGATGGCAAGAAGATTGTGCCGACTCTCCCAGTGGAGAGGGACTTCCTCATCGGAGCCACTCTCTGCGCTCGCACCCAGTTTCCCCTGATCGTATGCTACGCAATTACCGTGCACAAGTCACAAAGCATCACCGAAGACATGATAGTTACAGATCTGTCCTGCCGGGACTTTCAGACTGGTTTAAGCTACGTGGCTGTCTCTCGCGTGAAAACGCTCGACGGTCTGATGTTGGATGCACCATTTGATCGTAATCACCTGGTCTACGGGTCTCCCCCCGGATGGCATGAAGATGAAGATGAGGGATCAGGAGCTTAGGAAACGACAGGTGCTCACACGGAATCCGTACATGTCACATAATATCAAGAATGGCCATGGCAATGGATCAGTACGTAGATGATGCAGTAGTAGTAATAGCTTCCCGGCCCGCAGACACACAGCCTTCGGCTGAGGCTACCCCATGCACCCCATCGCCGCTCCAATGTGCATGGGGTGACGTAGTATTTTATACCTACAGTCCCTTTCCTTTTTAGCTTTCTGCCATCACCCCCAAGACTAAGCTAGCTTCGACGATAAGATGATATCGCAACTTTGCAACTACATGCCTTCCAGCGCATATCACGATGACCCCAGAAGCCTCGCCAGCGCCGCCTTCGCACCGGCCTTGGTCTCCCCTACAGTCACCCTCACCGTTGCCTTTATGGCTAGCATCGTCACCACCGCCGTCCCCGTCAGCCCAGCTGCTGCCCCCCTCATCCTCGCCGTCATCCTCGCCGTCAGCCTTGCCGTCAGCCTCGCCGTCATCGTCATCTATGCCGTCACGACCAACGCAGCCGGTACGGCGGAAGGAGCTGACAGCCCCCCCTACAATAGGCATATACCCAACCCACGAGGCTGCCTTTTCTGCTATGCAGGCCGACGGGAGAGAGCAGGGCTACGCTGTAGTCTACAGCAGGCCGAATAACTACCAAGATGGCAAGCCTCGTCGATACGAGCTTATCTATGCCTGTAGAGGCCGCCCTTTTATCTCAAGGTCTACTGGGCTTAGAAAGCCCTCAACCTGGAAGATAGGCTGCCTTTTCAAGCTTAAGCTGGTGTAGAAGAAGACTCTTGGAGACCAGTGGGTCATTGGTATCCTTTACGGTGAATATAATCATCTCTCTGATGTTCCAGGCAAATTTCCAGAATACCATGCCTTACAGCCGGGCCAGATTGATGCAATCCAGTCCCAGTCTTCTAGTTTGAAGCTAACGGCAAGGGCGATAAAGATATTACTACGAGCAAGTAATCCGAATATCCTTATAACCCTATAGGATATCTACAACATCCAAAGATCCGCACGAGAAAAAGCTACTGGGCACCTCACACCAACACAAGCTATAATCAAAGAACTTAACGAGGATAGCTTCTGCCACGCTAAAGTCCTTAATGATAATAATAGACTGCAATATCAGCTTGTCAACGTCGATTACGACTTTAAGATGTAATTCCGATTTCCTCACATTATGATATTTGATGCTATATATAATACCAACTGCTTTGGCCTCAAGCTGCTCCAGATCAACAGCATCATATCTATAGGATCAGTCTTTCCTATTGCCTATAATCTTACCCCTTCAGAAAGTATGCCTTTTTTCACCTAGGCTCTTTACTGCTTGAAGGAGTGGTTTAAGCTGCTTTCTGATACTCATGAGATGCCTGAGGATGCCTTTTATCCCCATATTATTATCACTGATTTTGCTGCTACAGCTTGTGTGGGCGTGGACTCAGTCTTTTCTAATACTCAGAAGCAGCTATGCACTTAGCATATCAGAAAAAACATCTTAAAGGCCACTAAGGAATGCTAGATCAGCTCAAAAAGAAGCAACTTACGCCTTTAAGATTTTATTTCTAATAATAATAGCCCTACTGAGGACCTCATCCAGCAGCTTGCCGAGCAGCCTGCACAGCAGCCTATGCAGAACAGTGAGTCCCCAAGCACAGCAGACTTCAGCAAGACATGGAAGGCTGTTATATATACAGCAACAGTAGAAGAGTGTGATGAGCAATGGAGGGAGCTTGCAGCAGACTTTGCTCACCAAGAATGTATATGCCACTTCTTTTTCCTTCCCACTTTACTAACTGCCCTCTCTAGCCCTAATTTCCTATCTCAAAGACACCTAGATCCCCCTCCGCGCACAGTAGGCTCATACATACACCAAGCATTATCGCAACTATAGGCATACTACAACTTCGCCCTGCAAATCACTTCATGCTAGTACGAAATCCCTCCTTCAAAATGCCTCACAGACCCTCCATCAGCTATTCTACACCCTAAAGCTCCAGAAGGAGCTTCTTGATAAGAAATTCAAAGAAGAAATCAACCACAAAGCTCGCCGTATTCATAATAAATACCGGCATGAGTTATTAATCGATGTAGCCGAGAAGATATCGTAAAAAGGGCTTGCCCTTATACATCAGCAGTATCTCATAGCTAAAGAATCCAAGCTGCATCCTATTAACTGCCCAATTGGGGTCTGTAGCAGTGCTTTTAACAATCAATACGGTCTGCCCTGCAAGCATACTATTTACAACAATTATCTCAAGGTTAACAGCATTGGAAGAAATAGAAAAGTTATTATCCTACAAGGTCTTGATATTTCCTAATTCAATAACTAGTAGGTTCTTCATATTGACCTTGTGAGTATTTCTAATCTAATTCTCTATATATTTACTAAGGATTTAGGATGAGCTTGACCCATATCAACGAATTCGCAATCCTATGATCATTCCTCGAAGAAGGCAGCCGCAAAATACCGCCCTAACAATCCCACCACCGGCAACACAGTCACAGCCGGCGAGACTATCGCAGCCGGCACCACAGCCAGCACCGCAGTCAGAATCAGCAACACCAACGCCGACGAGGCAGTCACGGCGCCGAGGACCTAGCTTACGAGCTAATAACCTCGATGTATTATCACAAGCTATTCAAGGGATCGTTCAAGACAAAATAACACAAATACAGCCGGCAGCTACACAAGATATAATACAACAGCCCGTTATTCCACAAGCAAATACGCAATCTCGAACTACCCAACAATCAGCTACATCACAGATTGAGATGAAGAGGCTACCATCAAGCTTTGAGTACTTTAGTCCTCCACCGTCATCTCAACAAGCACCTCATCCCGGACCAAGAGAGTATCCGCGTTATTTCCCTCCGGCCGGAAGTCAGCCTCCCTTAGAGGACTTACTCCCTTCAATCAAGACCAACAGTCCTAGATCTTTCGCACAGAACCCTACATCACAGGCAGATACCATAATTGTAGAGGGCTACGAGGAGAGTCAGCCAAAACATCAGAGACGGCAACATCGGGTCAAAAGAGGTAACCTACTGCCATACAAGCAACAGGTTGTCTTCGAGTAATAGTGTAGTTGTTGGAGTCTTCAATAAAGGATATCACGTAGTTTGTTAATACTTCCTAATCGGGAAATTGAAATCGTAAGCGCGATCCCTTATTCGGCAGGCGGTGATGGCTAGCGTGCACTATTCCTAATTAGGTTAATTACACGGGGAGCCTAAGTTTTCACACGGGGACCCGAAGCGTACTCGTCGAACACCTCTCGTCCACCCTGAAGACACCCGTCACCCATTTCTTCTTCTCATCCGACCTCGAGAGCCGCGAAGACCCTGTCGTGGCCGTACGATCATGGATTTCCCAGGTCGTGTCGCAGCACGAGGGCGCGTTCGAGCACGTCCGCCAGAAATGGGAGGCTGATTAGGATCCCGTCGCGACCCGTGCGAACGCCGTCACGCTCTTTACACAGCTCCTCCGCGTTGTTCCCGGCTGTACGTTCATTGTCGACGGTCTAGACGAATGCACTTACTTGGACGACAGAAGCACGTCGGTCACCAAATTCATCGAAACTGTTAAGAAGGCGGTTGTTGGGACGAACACTCGTGTTCTCGTGGTCAGTCGCGCCGAGCCAGAGATCCGAACCGCCCTCACAGACGACACACCCGAAAGCTTTGCCGAATACGAGATTGCACCCGATGACGTACGATCCGACACGACCGCCTATTCCAGAGACATCGTCGACAGAAAACTACCCAACAAGAGCGACGATGTCCGATCGACCCTCTCCGAAGCAATGGCCGATCGATGCGAAGGCCAGTTCCTCTGGCTGAAGATGCAGGAGAAGTCTTTGAGGAAAGGGATGAACAAGAAACAGCTCCAGCACACCATCGAAGAAACTCCGGCTGGGCTGGACCAATTATACGACCGAAGCTGGCAGAGAATCACCCAGGCCCGAGAGGGAGAGAGGCAACGTATCTACGCCCTATTGCGCTGGGCGGCATTCGCACTACGGCCCCTGACAGTCTGCGAGGTCACCGAAGCTGTCCTTATCGACGAATCCGAAGACCTACCCATCGAAGATCTCCCCGACGCTGTGGATGACGACTACATCGACAGCGAAATAGTCGGTCTTTGCGGGCCTCTCTTGGAGGTCAGAAGCCAGCACTCGGACACCTCCGCTGGCCTACGAACGGTGCACCTGACGCACTTTTCTGTCAAGCAGTACCTGCTGTTTAATCTCCCCATGCCCGGCGGGATCCGGGAGAACGAGCGCGTGCGGGATGAATACCAAAACACCTTGCTCGCCAAGGCCTGTCTTTGCTATATTAATTTCCAGCGAGTTTGGCAAGAGGCCCCAGATCACCCGCCCTGTCTCGACATGACATTCCGCGACTACGCAGCAGCGTCTTGGCATCATCATATCAAGTCAGGCTTGCGCACCGATGGGGAGACGTCGACGCTTGCCATCCGATTCCTTGATAGAAGCAACCACGCCTGGAATGCTTGGAGGGCATGGTACGATGAACAGGATGCTGGACTTCAGAAACTTGGGACTGAATCCACCTCACCAGGTCCGCTTTATTACGCAGTGGAGCTCGAGTTAACAGGTGTAGCGACCATTTTGGTAAAAGAACAGAGTTGTGACGTGAATGAAAGAAACGACCTTGGAAGATCAGCTCTCCACGTTGCATGCGCAAAGGGGAACAAAGAAGTTGTAAAAATACTCCTTGATGCGAACGCCGACATATCAACTACCGACAAGAATGGGTGGACGCCATTACATGCAGCATCAGACAAGGGACACATCGAGGTGGTCAAGCTGCTCATTGAGAAGGGTGCTAGCGTTACAATCACAGATGAGGACGGGTGGACGCCATTGCATTTGGCATCACAGGATGGGCACATCGAGGTGGTCAGGCTGCTCATCGAGGAGGGTGCTTGCGTCGCAGTTACTACCAATGCCGGGTCGACGCCATTGCATTTGGCATCACAGGATGGACACATCGAGGTGGTCAAGCTGCTCATCAAAAAGGGTGCTGGCGTCGCAGTTGCTACCAATACCGGGTCGACGCCATTGCATTTGGCATCACGAAATGGATACATCGAGGTGGTCAAGCTGCTTATCGAGAAGGGTGCTGGCGTCGCAGTTGCTACCAATGCCGGGTGGACGCTATTACATTTAGCATCACAGAATAGATACATTAAGGTAGTCAGACTACTTATTGAGAAGGATGCTAGCATTACAATCACAAATAAGGACGGGTGCACAGCATTGCATTTGGCATCACTTGATAGACACATCGAGGTAGTCAAGCTGCTCATTAAGAAGGGTGCTGGCGTCGCAGTTGCTACCAATGCCGGGTCGACGCCATTGCATTTGGCATCACGAAATGGATACATCGAGGTGGTCAAGCTGCTCCTAATAACTCTGGGCGTTGAAACTAGCAGGGCAGACAATCATGGTCGTACAGCGTTGTTCTTCGCTTCCAGATGTGGGTACAACAATGTGGTTCAAGCGCTGCTTGTCGATGGGCGGATTGACCCGGGCATCAGGGACTGGTATCGTTCGACATCGTTGTTTGCTGCCGTGAGGAACAACCACTTCGAAGTGGTGGAGCTTTTACTCGCGGCCGGAGGCATGACTATTGAGGGCCAGGACGGTTTTGGCCGGAGTCTCTTCTGGTGGGCTCGGCGCACTGGCAATCTTCGAGTCCTTCAGCTCCTAGTGCAGCATGCCGAAAGCACCGGCAGTCCTATCCCCGACGACCCTGCTCCTGTCAATACCATCTCTATTCCGGTTGGTCATGAATCCGCTTGGTGCGACGCCTGTACACTGAGCATCCGGGAAGGCTGTGGGTATTCTTGCAGAGTGTGCGACAGCGGGGATTTCGACTTGTGCGTCGAGTGTTTTGACGGAGGTATCCGATGCCGTGACATCTCCCATGTGCTGGTGCCTCGGTGAGCGCCCAAAAGACCTATCCCTAATGGCCTACGCAGCTGTATGATGTAAGTTGATTTAGAAGATCGCACTAAGTATGCACAAGTTCATAAATTTCAACTGCTCGACCTCGTCAGAGTCTTTTGGCAGTCCGATGTTGGCAGTGAATACATATCTAATTTAAACCGGCCGTAAGTCATGTCCCGGCAAAGATTCGCATGGCTGGACGCCGTATGGTGGGCCGCCAGGAACGGGCGCAAGGCCGTCGTGCAGCAGCTCCTCGACCGGGGCGCCCACACTGAGGCCGCGGACAAGTACTTGGCCAGACGCCGCGCCGTCGTGCGGCACTGCAATTCCATAGTGCTTAGCCTTCATCGACTACGTCGCCATAACCTCCCGATGTATGACCGGGTGGCTCGGTGACAGTGTGGCTGTGCAGGGTCCCGCACCGCCCAATGCCACGAAACACGGCTGTTCCTCTAGTCTCCGAGAGGCAAACTTAATCGCCAATGTAGCTGACGTCGGAAAGAGGCACGTGAGGCGCGGCAGCCACTTGGCATCCACCGCCAAAATTAAGTTGTGGCACCCACAGCATAGCTATCTCAGCACCCACACCGATGATCATGAGGCTTGCTGGCGAACCAAACAGATTCTTCATAGATGAATTAGGTTAGATAACGTAGAACGGTCGAAAACATTAAAATCATCACGAGGTCATTATTTTTCTGCCATCTCAGAGAACGGACTCGCTCGTCGGATGTCTTCAGTTCCGCCTCCCGGCTACGCTCACCGTTCTGTTGGTAGTATAAATCACCGCAGTATAAATCACCGCATTTATGCCTCGATTGCTGTGCGTCTTGCAGAACCTGTGATCCAATCGTACAGACATGACCCGTCTAACAGTCATTGATCATTCCATAATACGATGCAAAACACAAGTCTAAACTCTGAAAAGCATGATCAGAACATTTATTCTGCATTACACCCTCTTCCCCAGGAAATTAGGGCAGCAACTACGAACACGGGCCAGTTTCGCGATGACTTGAGCAGCCCCCGCATACGTACGCTGAATGAGAATGTAGCAGGCTGCTCACAAGCAGAACAAGCCCTCCGGACATGAGTTAAGCTCAAGGCTCCAAAACGAGGCGATTTTGAAAGCACAACCCAATTCCCAACAGAACTTATTGATGCAGGCCAGCAAGCATCTGCAGGGGGAGTACACGTGATTGAGGACATCAGTATGGGCAGTGACGGCCAACAAATACTTGTTTTTACGACCGGGGAGCTCGTCGAAGCGAAAAGGGTGACGGCTGGTAATAGGGTAATACAATTTATTGGGTCAGTTTCGGATGAATCACTACGGGTTTACCTCAAGTTGCAAATAAAAAAATAGCTGCAGTATATCTCGACTAACAAAAATAACTGAAGGAAGCACAGCTGGCGGATCAGATTGACGCGGGGATGTTGAGGCTTAAGCAGTCCTTCGCAGCAAAATTGTTACTGGTGAAAATCTTCTAAGCAACCACCAATATTTAATGATAAAATCCTTTCCCGAGCCTAGCAGCTGTTCGGCGCGAGCGTTGATCATGATTGTCACGACGTAGGATGTTCTTGTGTTCAGCGTGGACGAGTGGCATATTAGTAGCAGCACCACACTTATCGAGGAGGAAATAGACGGCCAGAACATATGGGCAATCTGGCGAGAGAAGAGTAGACAAGGTCGCCACTGTGGTCACGATCTTAGGACCACTACTCGTTGAAGCATCACTTCTGCGGCTTTAAAAGCAACAATCCTATTGTTTTTGCCCTTGCCTGTCACGGGCCAGGGCCCATATCCTTGCGGCTGTGCCGCAAGACGTACGAGGTACGGTTGGATGGATGGATTTTATTTCGCCCGGAGGGAAGTCCCTATAGGGCCTTGACACAATCTAGTTCACATTTCAGTACATTTGGTACCTGACACCCCAAGCCCCACGGATCGTCGTCTCATCGCTTGCTGCTCAACCTCGTCGCTGCATGTCCATGACAGGCCTGCTTGAAGGCCAAATTCTGCAAGTGTTCAGCATCCTATCTTCAGCAGCTGAAGCACGGTCTGCCAAAATCGAGGCTGCTTTGTGTTAGTAGAGTCGCACGCTAGAGGTTAGTTTGCCGATGCCGCTGGTCTGCGCCCAGCCTGTTTGTCGCGATAGCAAATTTGATTGCTGCACGCACAGCCTGCATGTTTGGCGTCCATTTTTCGTCGTCCGAGGCAGCTTTTCCTCCCAAGAAGAACGATAAATTCCCAATCTTTGTTCGCGAGCATTTAAACATGGCTTCCCGTTGCATTGTCCACTTTTTGCATCGGAAGAGGAAGTGCTCAATCGTCTCTGCTGCTTGTCCACAATCGCATATGTCCGATTCCGCTGCCCCTATCCTGTGAAGATAACTGTTCAGTCGCATCATCCCGGTCCGAAGCTGGGCTATCACGTCCGATTCTTTTCTTTTTAGCGAGTCGTATAGTGCACGGGTGTGCTTGCCCGGCAGCGCCTTGTCGATGCGCTTTGAGTACTGTCCAACCCCTTCCGGAAGTCGCCCGCACTGCCGTTGTTGGAGGAGCGCCAGTCGAAGTGTTGTGGACCTTGCTTGGTACGACGGTGTCTCTACCATGCACTCTGCTTTGGTAGCTCTCTGCGCTGCTGCCTTGGCCATCGGTCCCAATGCAAAACCTTCGGCCTTAGCCGGCACCCACATGACTCTAACAGAACAGCCTCTTTTCCGAAGGCACTTGGTGCGGTCGTATATCTGACGGATAGTGCATTGACCGGATTGCTGCCGAGGCCTCCTGATCACTTCCACGGCCGAGCGGTTGCTCGTCATGACCGTTACGTCCCGAAAAGGAAGCCTGGGCGGCGTGCACTCCAGCGCCATCGCTATTGCTGCTAGTTCCGCTGTGTACGGATTCTGCTCGTCTCCGGGCCCGAGAGTGACGGAATAGCTGGCAACCACCTCGCCTGCGCTGTTGCGAGTCGCGTTGCGCGCGACGCCTCCCATTCCCACTATGCCGCCCTTCTTCGAGCTAGACGTTGCTATGATGATGCCCTCAACGTCGTTTGGTGCCTTGGCTGCCTTCGCTGGGCGATAGGGGGCACTGTTGCATAACCCCCCGGTCGTTTCCTTTTGGGTTTAGGCGCTCAACTCCTTAGTCATCTTGGTACTTTGGGACGCCATGGGATATGTACCGCGGACTAGCAGCGGGCTCGCGCGGTAGCATTCTGCCATTGACTTTCATGCTCACCACATCAGTCGATAAATGGTGGACTGGTTGCTACTACCAAAATAGTCACAAAATATGTCCAGAAGATGGTTCTGACAATCTGAGTTGGCCTCGAATCCAATGCCGTTTGCTATTTCGCAATTAAAATGCACCTATTCCAGAAATCGCGAGCGCTTAATTACCCATTCATCTTGACCTCCGGATAAGGAGCAACTTGGTGAGACTACAAAGGGTCACCGCAGTGATCCCGCTCCTAGTCCGCAGCGGATTAGCGCAGTAACCTCCTGCTCAAATGAGTCTAGCGACTTCATCCACCATAGGAAAGGGTGATATTGATTATTCTTGTTAAATTAAAACCTCAGTGGAAACCAGATTCACCCCTTTCTCTCCTTTCCGACTTTCACCTCCTCTCTTCAACCGAAATGAGCCCTCCAAAGATTCCCCCCGAGCATGTCTATTGCGTCCAAGCCGGAAAGAAACATCATGAACTCTTCACCACGACGTATGTTGGCGCGAATTATTGTGGCCGTTGCGGCTTAGCCAACCCCTTTCGGCTCCAGCATCAAGCCAGGTCCAAAACTCCGGCACTTCCGGGCCCATACGATGAGGTGGTGGAGGTTGAGGACTCCCCGCCACGGCCAGTCAGTCCAGCAAGCCAGCTGCTGCGTGAAAGACCGAAACCCGTGTCATTCATCAGCATTGGACGCACGGCTCAACTGCTCCCCAACGAAGTGTCTGCTCCCGGCACGGTGAATACACGAGCACGCATACCTCCTCCTGAGGCGCCGGGCAATCCCCATTTCATGACAGTTGCATCAGCGGCCAGTCGGGCCATTCAGGATACAAAAACCAGTGCCAGAAAGCCTATGAGGCAGCGGACGGGGTACCAGTGGGTACATATAAGTCTCCTGCTTGTGAGCTTGGAGACCAGGTATTTCAATGGGCTTGCAGTGGAGGTTCCGGAGACGGTGCTGCCTCTGAAAGATACAGTGATCAAGTTTTCCTCGTCAGATTTACTGACTTGGCCCTCATTCACCGCGATTTTGTTCGACTATCTCCGTCCGCTCCCGCCCACAATCGATCTTACGAACCGAGACCTATGGAGCCTTTCTTACGCTTCGAGCTTCTCTGGCAAGAAGATCGTCACCGTTCCGAACACCGACAAGTACACAACCCCGTCGAGTATGCTCGCCTCGGGGCACTTCGGCAACAATCAGGCAGGACAGTTGAAGGTGCTAGTCGTCCTTACATCCACGGATGTAGTCGACAAGCAGGAGCCAGTCACACCGCTTAGGCCAGATGAATACTCCACGCCAGTCAAGGAAGAAAAGAAACGGAAGGTCAAGCAAGAAGACCCGAGTCCTGCGCCCCGGCGCAAAAAGCGCATCAAGCAGGAGGAACATGTCAAGAAGGAGAGTCGCACCGGGGACACGTACAAGGTCAAGCAGGGGGTACACATCAAGGTGAAGCCGGAAGAGCCTGTCCCGACTGCCTCCCGCCAGAGCCCAACGGACGATGAGCTTGAAGATATCGTTGAGGAGATCATTGTGCACGAAGATGTGGCAGACCTCTGTGAAGTGGAAGATCCGCTTCGTGATCTATTGTTTGACGGCATCCCTGGCGATAAGGGGAGCGGAGGTATGGCAGGTGACGGAGATGTAGTGGACGGGGGAGATGATGAGGAGATTTTGGTCCCGGAGTTTGTAAGAGACTAAATTACCTTATTGTAGAGTCTAGTTCTAATACTACTAGGTAACCCGAGAGTTCATTGCTCAGAGTATTAATAGCAATCAAGCTCGACTGCCCGGCACTGATATTGATGAGGCGCTTCCACCAGCACGATCCACACGCTTCAAAGGGACAAAGATCCCTGCAATATTTGCTGTCCGACATAATAGGAAGGATTGACTACTCGGCTTCCTTATCTGAAGTCTCGCCATCCTGCTCATCATTACTTATTCCCTCCATATCGTTCCCTTCTTCGTCCTTATATCCTAGTTTAACAAGTGGTTGCTCTGCTGGTTCCCTATCTCCAAGTTCATTGTGGAAAGCCTGATTTGCTCGGTTGTATAATACTTCCTATATGCGTTTAGATTCGTGAACCCGCAGAGAAACGGCAGGGCTTATATATTCGGCAACGCCCCCTGTTGGCGCTTTGCGATATGCCAATGTAGGCTGTCGGCTACTTTCGATGTGCTGAATGATTCTATCTCGAAGGCCCAGGTAGAATCGCTTGAAAGGCCGCAGCTTGTCTGGCTCCTGGTGAGTCCCATGGACGACGTCATCGTAGCCCATTTCGACGAGAACTTGGCGACACCAATCCTTTGTCTGTGGCTCCAAACAACTGCTAATGTCGATATCAGCCAGTGGTCTGTGCAGTCCCTCTAGAACCGAGCGGTTAATGGGGATCCCCCAGTTGCATGCCTTCTCTGGGTCCGGGTAATGGTAGTTCATCCAGGGCTAACCGTGGACCACGTGCGGACGGTTCTTCTGAAGGCGGATCCGATGAATGTTCCACGCCTCCACAAAGTCGAAGAGTTCTTGGCGTAATATATCTTCGAAGACGGCATAGATGGCGATCTGATCCTCCAGCACATCGCCGTCGAAGTCCCCGTCCCTGGCAAGCTCCCCAAAGTAGTCCACCCACTGCCGGGAAGATACATGCAGCATGCGCTCCCACCAACTTTCGATCTTGACATTCTTTGTGCTCGGTGCGGCCTTATAGGAATCCTTTAGGCGCTTCCCTTGCTGGAAAACCTTCCCGTTCCACTCCACCCGTCCGTCTGCCGCCAAAGCAAAATTCCAATGAGCTGCAGCGATTAGCGGCGTCTCGCTACCTCTGTCTGCCTGCAGATACCATAGCCGGAAGCTATATATATCGCATACAGCCAAATACTGCTTCAGAACGCTCAAAGCAGTTGTAGCAGAGTGGCCAACATAAAACCAGATAATGTTACGCGAGTAGGCGTCGATTGCAGTATATATCTCGAATCCGTACGCCTTGAGCTTGTCATAACCATCAATACACCACTGGTAGTTCGGACCAGGGACAAGAAAATGTCCTTTCTTCCTCCGAAACATCCTTTTCCGGATCTCGACCTCGTTCGGGAACATGATTTTGTACATCGCAAAGAGAGGATCTCTTGGTACCCAGAACTGCCTTTGCTGGCGAAGATAAGGCTGTAGGAGGCTTTTGCCATATCCGGAAATGGCATTGGAACGTCGTGTCATTTCGATAATAACCTTCTCTGTCTTCTCCAGCAACGCAAGGCGCTCCTCATCGCTATTAAGCCTGCGCACCCAGCGGCGGTCTGGGTGAAGCCTGATGCGCTTCAGACCTCGTTTCGTGATCGGCCAGCCCTGTCTCTGTAGAACGCTCAATGTCTGCTTCTCGCTAAGCCCAACACGGAATATCAGGTCGCGGGTGGCCTCTATAAGCTCTGGACTCTCTTTGGTACGGGCTTGCTGGCGTGGGAGATGCCAGCTTGCGATTCGGCGAGAGATTGTGCTGAGATTGACGATGACGCGATGATGCTTCCGAAGCTTGTACTGAATCCTGCTTCGCGAGACGCCGTTGAGGTAGAGATGAGTGACATAGTCGCGGTATTCATCGATTGGGTTGGGCGGACGTGCCATGTTTGCGCGGTGAGGTCGAAAGAGTGTGGACGATCTGCTTCGTCCTGACAGCCAGAAAAGGGTGTGATGAGGCTGGCTTTCCGCACTGGTCCGCAGCGGTTTTGCAGCTGGCCCGAAGCGGTGACTGACCTGGAGGGGCTTAGCGTCAAGTTGCTGATTGGTGGAACCCCACCAAACCAGGGGCAGGACCAAATATCTACAGAACCTAGATCCCTTCCAACCCTGTTCCACCTTCCCTTTTGTATCATGTCCGTGGAAAGTCTCGTGGCCAACGACGGCGCCATGTCCACAGGCGATACAGTCGTCGTAAGTGAGACCACGACCGCTGGCACGACAGATGGGGACTCTCGCAGCCGGAACGCCCCAGTGAAGGGGAGCAGAAGATTGATCCAACCCAGTATCCGCAAACCCGCGGCGAAGATTACCGTACGATCCAGTAAGTCCTCATGCGAAGCGACGGATGCTAACTTGCCTGTCCGAGCAGAAGAAGAAGCAGACGAAGAAGGCCCCTCCCCGTGGTTCGGTGCGTCACTTCCCGTGCCGGCCCTGCGTCACCCGCGCCACAAGGGCTCCCGGCCATGAATGTGCCTCTCAAGACAGTATGCTTGGTTTCCCAAGGCCGTACACCTCCTACGCTGACATGCACGGAGTAGATACAGGTGCTGCGTGCTGGGACTGTGCAAAGACCGGCCACACATGCAGGCCGGTAAGACATCTCTGCTCTGTCAGGTAACAAGCCACTGACCAATCTGCGTTGCTAGGTCCCCACTGCGGCTCATGCTGCTGTGCGTGCCTTTTGGGACCTGAACCGGCAGTTCAGTGGCGTGAATGACGATCCGGATGATGCCTGGCGCGCTGCTGCGCTGCGCGCCGCACAGCAGTTACGAGCTTGCGGTAGTGGTGCGGCTCCTCCTGCCGCTCCAGTACCAGCTCCTGCTTTGGATTCGTTTGGGGAGGTATTAGAGAAGAGTCTCGAGGAGAGAAAGGTTATAGCGTTGGAGGCCATCGCCGGAGCTGCTCGGCTCTGGGTTGTAAGTGTGATCAAAATCAACAGATGCAATGCAACTACTAACTCAATGTTTAGCAGCTCATTCAGCAAGGCGAAGACGATGAAGAGGAGGATGAGGATAATTGAGAAGGGGCATAAAGCTTAATGCCGCTTTGAACAGAATAGAAATGCAATCTGCTGGTCCGCTGCGGGCTCGCTGCGGCGACTGTATCTTCCCTGTCACTCGCAAAAATCAAGAAATTCAAGCTGAGGTACCTAGGCCAATGTACTGCGGGTCAGCGCGAATATGTCTCTAACCTAATTTGGCACCTGCGTGGTGATTTTGGGGGTTTTGCAACAGTGACCCCTATAGCCTGTCGTAGTCACCGCAGAAAGCCCTCGGTCACTCCGAACTCGGATGGACACAACCAGGCCACCCCTCGCCCTCACCATCCGCAATACCCACCACCCCCAATGGAAATCATCACGCCCCAGGACTACCGGAACAAAGCCCGCACGCGCCGGCGCCGCAGACTCCAGCCCTGCGACGCCTGCCAAGTGCAAGACGCGCTGCGTGAGCAAAGACGGCGACGGCGACTGCGTCCACTGCCAGCTCCGGGCCAGCGCCTGCACCTTCCGGCACTCTCCCCCGGAGCGCCAGGCCACCACCGGCGCAGGCAGCAGCAGCGGCGGCGCCGCGTATAGCCTCAGCGGCGACGAGCGCGCTCCGGGCGCCTCCAGGATGGCCAGAGCTCCAGCCGGAGCCTCAGCCGGAGCCGCGACGAGTCGCAGGACGAGGTCCAAGTGCTCGTCTCCAAGATGCAGTCGCCGGTGCAGTCGTTCATCTCGCCCGCCGAGGCCGGCGCCTCCGGGAACAGCAGCAGCCAGTATCTCCACCAGGCGCCGTCCGTCATCGTGCCGGAGCTCGTCGAGCCCGATCCCGATCCGCTGGAGCGGACGCTGGGCTGCTCGTCGTTGCGCTTCTCGGAGCTGTACGGCTTGGGCAGCGACATGGAGCCCATCCTGATGCGCCACCGCCCATACGACATTTACACCCACGAGTTCAGCCTGGAGACGCACTCGATCCGCCGCGTGCTTGAGTACGACGAGGGCCAGGAGTATCCCGTCACCTTCCACCTGGCTGCCAACGAGAAGGTAGTCAACCCGCACTCAACGCACGCCCTCGTCGACGCCATCGAGGCGTGCGTGCGCCCTCACGGCCAGAGACTCCTCAACTTGTTCTGGCGCCATATCCACCCATGCTATCCCATCGTGTCTAAGGACGCCTTCATCAGCATCCACCGCCAGTCCTACCGCAATACCACCGCCGCCCTGCTCGGGGCCATCTACCTATCCGCCATCCGCTGGTGGGACTACGACCCTGAGCTCTCCATCCATGCACCCCCCAATTCAGCTCTCCTGCGCAGAATGCTGCGGTCCGCTCTCCCATCGTCATATCACCGCCCTAAGCTCTGTTCTATCCAGGCCGCCCTCCTCCTTCTGCAGTGCCCGCCCGAGGATCCCCTCAACCCCGATCACACCTTCCAATGGGGCCTTACCTGCCAAGCGCTCGCCATTGGCCAGAGTCTCGGGCTTCACCTCGATGCCACTAACTGGACCATCCCTCTGTGGGAGCGCAACGTCCGCAAGCGCCTGAGCTGGGCTCTCTTTATGCAGGACCGCTGGACTGCGCTGGCATACGGCCGCCCCGTACATATCCACGAAGACGACTGGGCGGTCAAGGACCTCACTCCCGCCGATTTATCGGACTGTGAGTGTGAAGTATCAGCGGTCACCCCAGGCCCAGGCCCTGACAATCATGGCAGATCCATCGCGTCCACAGGCATAGAGCAGTATATGCAGATGGTGCAATTAACAAAGATTCTTTCCGCTGTCTGTTTGAACTTCTACACAGCGCGGACATGTCGCGAGCAGGACACCGTTACTCTCTTCGCCAAGGCCAGGCCGCTCATCGATATGCTCACTAATTGGTATCATAGCATTCCTCCCACACTCCAGATGAATATCATCTACCAACGCAAGTTATGCTTCCACGGCTATCTCCACTAATCCTATTACGGCGTGGCTATAACACTGCTCCGCCGCCTCATCCGGTCCACCGCACTCCCGCCACGCTGCACAGACGATCGCGCTCTCTCCGACATCCGTCAGATCGCACTCCAGACTGCCCAGAGCGCTATCAGCTTCGTCACCAACCTTCGCCCAGACCACCTCGAGGCGTTCTGGTACTTCATCTCGCCCTACCTCTTTTCCCTGGTCGGCTCCTTCACGACCCTGCTCCTGGTAACATCTCTATCGTACCAGGAGCGCCACTTTTGGCAGGAAACCCTTAACTCATATCTATGGAATCTGCGCATGATGAGCAAAAGCCACAAACCTATGCAGTATGCCGTGAATCGCCTCGAGGGTGCCATCCTGCGCGGCTTGGAGCACGCACTGGCTGTCAACTTCATCTAGCCCCTTAACGGCAAAGTTAGCCCCATGGTGGGGAATTATGCATTTGATGTCTATGAATATACCGACTTTGGTGATTGGGGCCTGGCTGTGGGGGACAAAGAAGCATATGATCTCCTCAGCGGTCTGGCCGTGCCGCCAGATCCCATGATGCCCAGATAATTAGTCTACGGCAGAGTCTCTTGGTTTAGGAAGGCTTGAGGATTAGATGAGTAGTTTGGGTTCAAGATACTGGTACTACAGTAGCAACGAGCCGTTATATCTATCAACACACTTGATTATCTGAAGCCTCGCTTAACCATTATCCTCGCGTATCAAACACAGCCGCAGCGAGAATGACCTGTTATCATTTGCTGGCATAGCTCCTTCTGATCCAAGCGGAGTAGACCCAACTCAAGGCCTCGGCACTAAATGCTCCGACAGACTGACTAGTGTTACACTTCTGAGCCTGACTTGAAAGAGGACGCTCACCAGGCAGATAACCACGATGATAGTGGTTCCCCGCACGAGCACAAAATGGCGCTGTTTCCAGATGACGACCGTGTCCAGCCGCGTATACCGCCTCCGCATGCTCTCCTACACCGCCGTCGTTGTAGGCTAACCGGCAAACATCATGAGGTCTTGGTTGCGGCGGAAGATCAAGCCCAAGGATGGGCAGCCCACGATCGACCTCTCCTCGTCGCACCACCTCCCCAGCAAACCCTCCCTGGTGGGCCTTCATCGGTGGTCAATCGCTCATCCTTTGGTCGCGCCTTCATCTTGTCCTCCAGAGTCGTCTTGTCCTTCGCAGTATTCTTGCAATGATTATTGTCGATGCCATCGTACTACTTATTCCCCTTTTTCTTAACAAGACTTGGGACATGACTTTTAAAAGAGCCCTCCGTACATTAAGTGGAATCTTCGATACCCCACTTAGCCAATCCCCCCTAGCCCCGACAAGACAGCTCTGGGCTGTTATGTGGCCTTCCATCAGGACCAGGAAAGGCAACTTGAACTGTATTTGTTCCATTCAGTCCGTATACTCCCGTCACTCGTTGGGAATGAAACGGCAGCACTACGGCCGACATCAGTGAAACCCCCATTGCGATTCCCAAACCATTTCAATCACCGGCTGAGGCTGTGGCCCTGAGCTACCAAAAGCTCCCTGGTCGCATCTGGACTGGGAGGGCACATTTGATATAGATTGGCTGGGCGCCGGTAGTGGTTCTTTTTGGAACGGCTCTAATACCATATCAAACAAATCATCTCCGACTTCCGACGACCTTGAGCCTTGCTGAAAAGGGTCGGTCCATGTTAGCGGAGCATTTTCCATCTTAGGAGTTTGGATGCTCAACGAATCTGTTCCACTTGTTCTGCTGCCGCTTGAGCCCCTGTGGTGTGGAGGTGTGAGTCCGTCAGAGAGTTGAAAGGCTGAAGAGCAAGATAAGAGGCCGTCGACGGACTTTCTCGCTTCGTTTGCAATGTATTTCTGGATGAGAACGCAGTTGCAATCAGTATGCCGCAAGAGCTGGGTCTTCAAGTGGTAGATCTCGGCAGTCAGCTGGTCGAAACAGGTTGAGAGGTATCGGTTCTGATCCTCCATGACCTGCTCACGGGAGGCGAGTGCTGATGCTTCATCCCGTTTGCGCAGACGACACTTAGTAGCTGCGATTCTATTGCGTTCAAGGATGCGCCGTCGCCGGGGGTCCCTAGGAAGATCCTTGTCATCATTGCTCCCCCCTTTTTGCTTTCGACGTGCCTTTGCAGGTTCTTTAGGTTCGATTTTGGGGTTCTGGCCTCGTTTTCTTGCTTTCAGTACATCCGAAACGAGTGCGAAGGCACCGGTTTCTGACAGGCTTGAACTTTCTTGCGATTTCCGTCGGTTTCGGGGTCGGCGGGGCTGTTTCTTTTCGCGTTCTGCGGTCGGCAATACTGTCTGGGAGGGTTCATACTCAGGGGCCTTGGCTGCCATGCCATATTGGGGTGGAGGTTTGGGAAACCCGAGATCGACCTCTGTCGAGATCGGGGAGGTGCCGATTGCTTCGTCAAAGAACGAGCCCTCGGTGACTTGGTTTATCGCTTGTTGATGGGCCATGTGGTTTCGAGATGCGGGGGAAGATGTGCTGATGCGAAAAGGTGGAGGAGTCATCAGGCATCCCACCGCTGGTGTCGAGGCGATCCCGTCGAAGTATTGGCCAAACGCAAAATCTCCCGCCATTTGAGGGTAAGAATGGGCGAAAGCTGCCATCGAGGACCTTTCTGCACAGATGGTGATCGTTCTTCGGTTTCGATTTATGCTATCCCGGGGTTGGGTGGGCAGGTGATTACGAGGCCAACTGGTTAAGGGCCGGTTTGCCAACGAAGACAACACGCAGGGCTGTAACTCTTCCCGGTATTTCTTGTTCGCTCGCTGGACGGCAGATGAGTGAGCCAGTTGTGTCTGGACCAGGCAGGGCTGAGAGGCGGTTGGGGAGAGGAGCAGGTCTGAAAGTGGATTTGACGGGTTAAGGAGTGGGCCGGCTTGGTAATTGACAAGCAGAAATTCACGGGCAGGGTTTTGAAGAAGGGGAATCCAAGAGAATGAGGAGAGGATTCAGCGTGACGGGACAATCAAATATGGATGGGATCTCGCAAGCCACCAACTGCCAAGGTCCGTGGCTCACAAGCTATTAAAGCTTTGCCCGCCCCCCGCCCCCGCCCCCCCAGCAAGCCCAGGACGGGCACACCAACATGCTAAGTTACGTGCTGTAGGACGCCGGGAGGGGAAATAAACTTTTCCTTTGAAAAGCTCGAGATTCAGACATCTTTCTGCAAGGCGATGGGGTCAACAAGCTCTCAAGTCTGAGTTCACGGAATTCCGATTGGGCCACCCTAGCGGAATTGTTTCGGTTGCATTTGCACTTCAAAACCTGACGTCCCGGTGCAGCTCGCGCAGCTATGCCCATACATGGCAGCAAAGGGCAAGAACAAGATAAACGGGGGTCTAAGCGCCGCAGTATCTTGCTTTGTAGTTAGCCATCGTTCGAACTCATCTGCAATCGGTTCTTTCTCGTAGGTTGAATACGACATTAGCTCGTCTTGAAACGAATCGAAGGGATTGGACTCTCGCGCCCTCACGGCCACAGGGAGATTACTATCAGCAATCTGCCACTGGATCGGAAGGTCACGATACTCATCTTCCCATAGGGTTTGGATGAGTTGGCGAGCCTTAGAAACCCAGCCTTCTCCAGCGTAGCAAGAAGAAACTCATATGCAATGGCGACCTGCCAGACAATGCCATATTGCGCCTTAACTCCTCCTTTACGGAGTCTGACCTGACCGTCTCCTTCAAGTCGTAAGAGACAAGAATCGAACATCACAAGAATATCTTTAAGCCAGCCGAGAGCATCCCAGTCCGCGTCAGTCAACAGGTTTTCTTCCTCCAGACAGGGCGGAAGCGAGCTTCGCAGCTGTGCTGATTTCGATCTCGATCGGGTAGACTTTTTGCTCGATTGCACCGTGATGTCGATCAGTTCTTCAAGGTACCGTCGGACTTTAATGGCGCGCTCTATCATGTAATATTGCGACAGCCAGCGTGTGTTGTTGTCGAGGACCACGTCTAGGGTACCGGGATAGTTCTTTTCAGGATCCTCATCTTGCAGCCTTCGCAGGGTTGTCGTTGCCTTATTTGAGCGATTGACCCAAACTACAAGATTGTGTAATTTTCCAACAGGGCCTGCCTTCGTCCACGCATCAAAGTCATCTGGATCCAGATCCTCAAGAGCATTGCCATCGTTGACAAAGAGCATCGCTCAAGCGACAAGGTGAATGATGTTCCCGAAACAGCGGATCCTTCTACTTGCTGGATCCCGCCACTGGAACATCCGCCCTAGTTCTTCGATGGCACGATCGTTGTTGGAAGCATTGTCTAGAACAAAGTACCCAACCTTGTTGTGAGAGATCAACTCGTATTCTTTTAGCACCTCCATCACGGCCGCAGAGATGTTCTCGCCAGTGTGGGCTAAGGAGATGGTTGGAAGGCCCAAGAGAACCTTTCGAGGCCGAAAAGTGTCTTCATCATGGAAAAAAGCGTTGACGGAGAAGAAGGAATGTCTGTTTCGAGAAGTCCAGCCATCAAAATGCAATATGGACCTGGCTATGGCTCTGCAATAGGGTGTCAATGATGTGAGATTTGTAGGTATGAAACTCGTTGATGATCCTGATCCGAATCGTTTTATGCGTGAGGTTTGCTGAGGTCTCCTGAACCAAAGGGTTAAGGTAACCAAAGACCTTCTAGAGCCCCTCATGCTCAGAGACGCGGAAAGAGAGATTTGCGTCTGTGATCCATTGGACAAGCAGGCGCTGAAAAGTTGATTTGTCAATTCGAGCAACTAGCTCATCATGAAAGTCATCCCTTTTCCGCTTTTTTGCGGCAAAGTCTCGAAGTGTTGGTTGACTTAGAGGTAGCTCTAGTGTGCCGCGCTTAGCTTTTGATGGATCTGGGTTGAAAATGTTGTGGGCTTTGCTGAGGCGCCCTTCAATGTTCCGAGTGTTGGAGGAGACGTAAGCCTTTAGCTTATGCACCTTCTGCTGGATACAGTGACAGCAGAGCCAGCTTAATGGACCAGGCTTGCTCGCCGCACTTCTGGCCTGAACGTCATAGCCATGAGCCCAAAACCACCCAGTGGCTAGCTCAGTCCGGGTTGAGAGGACCCAATGACTACGAACAGGCTGAGAAACCGTGTCCCAGTCTTTAATGATCCCAGGGCTGCCGAGGGACGGTGACGAATCCAACTTTGGTAGCTCTGCCAGAGTCGATATCTCTGAGGAACTGTTAGGGTAGGTTGAGACACTGAACATATCGCTGTGGGTCGCCATTATGAAAGTCCTCTTATGGCAAAGATTAAGCCCAATGAGCCCGGATATTTTCGCATGAAGAGCAAAGCGTTCCTATATAATTCTGATAACAAAATGTAATCTACGGTTCAGCGAGGAATAGGGGGCAAAAAGGAGAAAAAGCCAAAATACAAGGGGGACAAGGGAGGGTACCAGTACCTCTGCACAGCAGGGACATACCAGTACGTCGAGGTACCACTACTTTAGGTGGTTTGGCTGCATCTACCCTACATTTCATCTATCTACCTGGCGGCCAGGTAGATAGGTAGATGACCCACAAGGGCCCACAGTAGATAGATAGATGTAGTCTACATCTATCTACATCTACATTTCATCTACATCGGTAGTTAGATTCCCCACACTGGCGCCATAGCATCATAGACCAACTTTATAGATCTCTGCAGGGCGTGAAGGGCGTGAAGGATTCTGGCCTCAGTATTTTGGGTCTGACATCCCCCGCGGTTGAGAATTAATCGATCAAATAGAAATGATGTAGGTTGAGGGATTTTTGTCACGCATGCTTGTTTGTCACGCAAGCTTATCATGTACATTAGCATTTGTTGAGGAGGAAAAGTGGGGAGTTTGGAGACAGCTGGTCAAACGCCAAATGGCGTTGGCGAAGCGGGGCGTAACGGATAAACATCCGGAGCGCTTCGGCCGTTGGTCAAGCCTGTTTACCGGGCAGAGCTGCCAAGAAATGGTGGCTAAAACAGAGTAGGAATAGAACCTGATAAGCCCGCTAACCTCAACCATATGCACATGCTCGAAGCTAGCATCAGTTCATCCAAACCACACCACGGATTCTCGCCACTGGCATTGCATGGCATCAAAGTCAGGAAGAATGGTAGACAGATTCGGATTAACGTGATATTAAACGGCTGCTGCAGCCGGCCCTCGCCTGCGTCCATCAACAGAGCGGCCATATGAGACGGTCTGCATTGCATTGCATCGCCGACATACAGACGCTCTAGCTCCGCGGAGATCCCCACCACGAAATGACATGATTCGTGGAGAAGAGTCTAGCCCATTGACAAGCCGTCACATGCCATTGAGTGCCACGAAAATGCAGAAATGCCAAATGCCAAGGATGTGGGCCAGGTTGTGAGTATGTGTGGCTGAAGCTAAACTTAGTCACCGGAACTCGGATGCATGCTAGGCAAACGCTAAGGAAATCAAATTGCCACCTGCAAGAGCAGGGGTAACGACGATGTCGGTGATGATGCAACGCTAACCCTTGTTCTCGCAACGATTAGTTGCCTCACTGCCGGGTTCCCCCACAAATAGACCTTGTGGATGGCGTCTCTTAGTCGCTAAGCTACCGGGCAGTGTTGTGGGCCGGATACACGCAGTGTGAGCGTACGTAAGTGGAGCGGGGGGAAACGGGAACATTCCGAGATAGTATGGCTGAATGGCTTGGGGGCGTTGAAAAAGGATGGTAAGGCTTGCTAGTGGAGGAGCGTCGGTACTAGATAATGCGGAGGAGAGTCATATATCATGCATCCCTTCCAAAAATCCTCTCATCCCCGTTGCGGATCTCCAGTAACTTGATATAGAATACGAAAGTAAACACCACCGAGACATGCATGGAGTGCCCAAAGAAAAACGCGGCTCGGCTCACCCTGAGGCTTGACGCGCGAGGTTCTCTTGTCTAAATCATCACTTGATATTGGCGTGCTCAAGTTTCGTCCGGATATATTACCTCGAACTCACTGGTACAACTTCTCACGCACTAGCGAATAGTCAAAGCCTGTGCCGGGGTCGCTACCGGGGTCGCTCCCAGTGTCCAGCTCACCCTTGCCTCCGGATAGAGATGGCGAGATACCCGCCTGCAGCCCGAGGACGTGCTAAATGCATACACTTGCTGCTTCCCTTGTTCCTCTCAAGGTATAGATTCGAAATCGACATCTGGTTCTTCCCAGTACCTTCTGCCCCTCTACACCTTAGCGTTGCCTACGTATCCGGTGAACGAGTCAGCGCGACAGACTCGCTCACCAGTTGCTTCTGGTTCCCAGCGCACTCATCTCCCATCACTCTCGATACCGGATGCACAACAGCAGCCTCTCTGACACTTAGCCCCAGTCCCAGGCCTAACGGCATTTCCCGGCTTCCGCCAACTAATCAGGACCTTGTGTTTGGTGGAACCCCCTAGGCTTGAGGCGTGCAACTACAACAGCCACAGGACAACAGACATGAGCGAGCTCGTAATATAGCATCGACCGTCAACCTTTATCTAAACACGAAAAGCCGCTTTTCTTTTCCTGTCCTCAAAGAGCCGCCATCTTCACCGCCGCTTGGCTTATTTTTCTTTAGGCAGCCCTTCCATCATTAATTCATTCCTTTACAAACAAGAAGTATCTCCTTGCAGCATCCGATGGCAATTTGGATGCTGGCGCGCGGTTTCGGTTCTGGGGATGCCGGCTTCTCCCAAACGCCCATGACAATCATTATCGTCTTCCTCGCAATCTCCTTTTACAATACCATCGAGCTCAACTGCATCATCTGGGGAACGTTTCACCGTTATGCCGGATTGTACTTTTGGACCTTCCTGATCGCCACTTGGGGCATTCCCTTGTACTGCGTGGGATTCCTCATTAAGTACTTCGGGTCCCCGTCGCTGGGTTACCTTTCTTGCACTTTAATTGTGGTCGGTTGGGTGTGCATGGTCACCGGTCAGTCATTGGTGCTTTGGTCCCGGCTGCACTTGGTGCTGCGGAACCGAAAACGCCTCAAGCTGATATTATGCATGATCATCACGGACGCAATTATCTGTCATGGCGCTATCATCCCCATGGTCTATGGCTCTTTTTCTAGTAGCCCTGAGATGTGGCAGAAGCCATATGCTATTATGGAAAAGATCCAGGTCACCATCTTCTTTCTCCAAGAACTCATCTTATCCAGTTTCTACATCATTGAAACTGTTAAGAGGATGAAGCTCGAACGCTCTATGGGAAACACCAGGTGGAGTCGCCGTTTAATGAAGCATCTTGTCCTTGTCAACATCCTCATCATCGTCCTCGATATCACCATCCTTGGTCTTGAGTATGCAAACCAATACGAGTATCAGACATCCTACAAGTCTTTTGTCTACAGCACAAAGTTGAAATTGGAGCTCTCCATCCTGAACCGTCTCGTCGAAATGACCACCGGGAGCAAGAACGCCAGCTCTAGTCCACGAAGTCGATATAATAATACGGTCACTAACACCAACGTCCCCTTAGAAACCTTCTCTGGCGAAGTAGATAGGAAACATACTGGTATCTCATATAAAGCATATGCTATGGGAGGTACCGAGGGCTCCAATGACAGAGCACAGCCATCACCGCCTCAGAATGGCAATGGGGTCATGATGACGACTGAGATTATCCTCCAACATGAGGAAAGACAGAATGATGGGACGGGAAGCATCTGTAGAAATTCGTCAGCGGACTCAACGGGTAGAGGATCGCAGGCATTTGACAGGGAGAATATAGAAGACATCTTCTGAGGTTCATCTGGCAACTCGAGGTTTCTAATAGGATATAATGCCGTTCCTTCACTCAGGAATACACTCTAATTCCATCTACTGTTTAGAGTTGTATTTAAATACAATTCGGTAATACTACGATATTCTTTTCTCGGCATGCCTTTCCAGAGAGTATAAATTAAAGCTCTATTACATCCGGGGATTTGGGAGACTATAGGAATGCAGGGTAGACGACGCCTTGATCCAACTCGACAACTGGAAACAAACGCCGTGCCATCTGCTCGAATCTCCAGCCCCTCGAAGCTTGAGAAGAATTGTACTCCCAGGGGGTTAGAGCTGGCTGCCCTGGGCCTGTTTTCGATGCCGACGAACGAGCCATTGATTGTCCGTGACTAGAGTCTACCCCTTGAGGAATTCTAGGTAGAAGTCAAACTGGCAAGCACTTATGCCTACAAGAGAAGGGGGTGTGTCCAAATGAATCTCTGACCCTCTTGTAAGGAGAGCTCACCATATTTTTATATTATGCAAATGGCATCTAACCCCTATGCTGCGTGTATTAAGTAGCAGGACCCGCCACTTAATGGCCATTTCTGGTGCTGCTATTAGCTACAGACCTTGCGCATAGGCAGACGGTTTACACTTCTAGCAACAGCTGCCCTAGGTAGACTCCAGTCAATACCTCAAAGCCCGTTCTGCCCTCTCTGATCTGACAAAGCTGACCGTCTTCGCCAATGGTGAAGACGCTGAGATAGTTCAGACCAGTGGAGACCGCTATAGCCTACAGCGCAATAAAGGTACCCGTCATAAACTCATATCTCTAAGGACCGTTACCAACTTGAAACCCGTTACGGTCTTACTATGAGAGTTCAGAAAGAAGACGTCGGTTCGATTGTCGCGGGAGACTGCGCCAATATGCCGGGTTGCTTTTCAGGACGCCATGCTTTGCTGGGAATGTCGACCTGACGACTAGAGTACTATTTTCGCGTCCGTGCACACGTCCGTGTCCCACGCATTCTTGTCTTTTTTTATACGCTGGAGGGTCCTTGCCAGTCTTTCGCAAAATACACGCTTTCGCCCGTGCACGCTTGCAGGGTTCTTCCCCTGGCTAGCACTGCGCCCCCAGCGAGCTTCCAGCAATCCCGGGCTAACACACCCCTACCGCCCATGTCCAATCCAACGACTGGTCAGCCGGACTCGGAGGAGGACGAAGATGGCCAAGCCAGATTAGACAATAGAGAATGTAAGCGAACAATAATAATCGGTTTCAGGCCACCCTAAGCTGCAAGGAACCATTATTTCTCAGTTTTCCCACTCATTATTTTGACTTCGGGTTGTACTTTGCGCTTCTGCTGTGAGCTGTATATGTGCCCTGTTGGCTGGTGCTGATCCGACCCGATCGATCCCTGGTAATCATCCAATGTAGATGAGAATGCTGCGCATCGTCTCTAAAGCATACAGACGTCTACATAAAGCCCTAATTTCCTGATCAAGTGTATTCAAGCGGATATATTGGTGTTCTGCACGCCTCTTGTGCGTTGAATGGTGTTTTGTGAGGGTCGAGCCTACTACGGTGGACTGAAGACCTTCGGCCTGTGACACTGGCGGTGGGAGAAGGAACTGTCAACCAGCCACGTGCCCGACGAGGAGAAGGAGGAGGATGACATGACCATGACGAAATGGAAGAGGAAGACGCATATCCACTGCCACCTTTGAAGGTGCAGCAAAGCGTGGGCCTGAGCATGCCGTTAGGACCAACGTCAACATTCAGTCAGCGGCTTGTTGCGCAACCCACTATATTTGCCCGACCACGACATGCTGCAGATTCCCAACTACCATTTATACCACTCCTCTCTGCCCGATAAGCTCGAAACCGATACACCACGCTTGGGAGTTCACAAACAAACCGTCTTGAAATGCCCCCGCCACGCGCTCCTTCCTGTCACTGTTGTCGCTGCATTTTTACCTCATTTTCTCCCATTCTAGCAGCGCATTTCCCTTTATCTGACACAGTTCTAGTCCCAAGTACGATTCTCTTTTTGGTAGAGCCCCACCTTACCACTGCAATTCACTAAACAGGACACTCATCATGCAGCGTAAGAAGTTTGTCTCCGCTCGATCGGTCTCTCCAGGCCCATCACACTGATTTTATAGCTGTAGCCAGATTTTCCTCGCTCGCCTCTGTGGCCAGGCTGAGCGCTACGATGAGATGGTCCCCTTTCTGAAGGAAGTCGTCAAGACGGGTAGTGAGCTGAGTGTCGATAAGCAGAACCTTCTCACCACTGCTTTTAACAATATGTTCGGCATCCGTCGTGCTAGCTGGCGTATTATCTCCTCGATCGAGCAAAACGAGTTAAGGGGTGATGAGAAGCATACTAATACTTTACGTGGATACCGCATTAAAATTGAAAATGAGCTCGAGAAGATCTGCCGGGACGTCTTGGATCTGCTAGACGGGAGCCTGATTCCCAATGCCAGTACTGGCGAGTCAAAGGCCTTATATTACAAGATGTATGCCTATTTTACTGGCCTCCCCTTCTCAAGGACACTTGGGCTGACTCCTCACATTTTTTTAGGAAGGGTGACTACAGCCGTTACCTGGCCGGGTTTGTGTCGGGTGAGGAGCACAATCTTGCAGTTACCTCTGCGTATAAGGCCTACAAGGTGGGTTCCAAATATATTGGTTCAGAATTCAGTCAGCTAAGGTATACTAATCAGAGACTTTTGTTTGCTTCTTAGATTGCTGCCAATGTTGCTCAAACAGAGTTCACGGCCACTCACCCATTGCGACTGGGCTTGGCTCTCAACTTCTCTGTCTTCTACTACAAAATTCTGGATTCACGCGATCTTGCCTGGCGTCTTGCGAAGCATGCTTTTGATGATGCCAATGCGGAGCTCGATGCCCTGAACGAGGAGCCTGATGGCGACAGCATCCTCATCATGCAACTCCTTTGTGACAACCTGACCCTCTGGGCGTCTTCAGACAGTGATCAGTGATAAGCCTGAAGGCATCCGTTGAAGATAGATGAGACATAGACTTGGCGCACGCATTTAGTTGACTTAGTCCCATGCATGCCTTTCATATATACCTCAGGCTATGGACTAAGAGAAGTTTATTTAGAGGTACTAATTGCAACTCAGATATATAAAGCTTCTCTGTCTCTCCCCATTCCTTCGCTTAGAGCGGGAGAAACATCCTTAACAAAAACTAGCACCTCTTTTGGCCCTTACAAAGGTAAGGGTCTGATCAACTATACCCTCAATTGTGGGAAGCCTCCCGTAAGTAGCTTGCTCCAGTGTTATGGTTACTAGCAGAAACTCAATGTAACAGTCACGATAACGTCTTATCTGTTATAATCTTATAACTGGTTTACTTGGGGTTAAGGCGAAGATCAGCGCTGGTGAAGGTATAGGCTGAGTAAGGAATTCTTATTTACCCGAATCCCTGCGAATGACCGCGTGGGAGGCTTACCACAATTGAGGGGATAGTAGAGTTGGTTTTCCCGCACCATATTTTATCCATCAGAGTTGGCTTGTAGGACCGGGGTAGAGTTGGTTTCTATCGATAGAACTGTAAGGGTGTCAGACGGAACGGACGAGGATGACACATCGCCGACTTCGGCAGTCAAAGGCATACCATTTTATATGCTTTTCACGGACTGTTATTTTCCCAGGCTAATAGGCCCAACAGTTGATCTCCCTAGCAGCCCAACAGCTGATCCTGCTGTCAGGGGGCTGATCCCGATCGCTGTACTAAGACATCTAGTGTATTCAGATTCCTCTATAAAATACGGCATTTCAGACCGTCAGTTAGCTAGGAATCAAGACCTTCTATCGTCACCAAGCTGTCATATCTAATCCATCCTGTATGATAGCTCATCTAGACGAAATAGTTGAAGAATCTTCATGATTTCAGGTCAACAACGAATGTTTCTCTAATCCGCGTTTTGCTTTAGGGCTACTGTGCCATGAGAACCCACTTCCATGAGGATCCTAGCCGTTCGTGTTTCTTCCTCGACCTTTGCAGCATTTCCAGATGCTCTGGGCCAAGTCTCCGTTCAACTTCTTGATCGCTCATCTCTGCAAGGCTCAAGACGCCCAAAAATATCGTAAGTATCAATAAATTGCCTAAAATTACATACCATCCGTCAAACCAGTCGTTAACCTCCTCTGCACAGTCGACTTTGGGATAGCGCTTCCACCTGCGAGATTACTTCTGCCATTCTTTGACAACTTAACGATATCTCAGCTCCTTCCGCGGCCCATTTACAACCCTATTTACGATAAGACCACCAACTATGGCTTCAGTCATCGTCCTTTTGCTATGCTTATTTGAATGTTTCTGAAGCATCGTGTCGATGACTGCTGCGCTAGCTGCTGCGGTGACGACTCTAGCTCCCTTGGAACCAGTCCACTTGCCTGGCTTGCCTCCCAATCGGAATGCCTCCACAACCGCCGCATCAATTGCTGCATTTATTGCGAGATTCATCTTCTCATTTTCTAAGTGATTTTCTCAGCGAGTGTCGTCAAAAGACCTGTTTTGGGACATGCTCACCTGGTTGATGATAGCGGTCGCGAGAATCAGATCGGTTGCGTCCTCTGCTAGACCGGGAGCGACTAAACAGTTGATTTCCTAATCGATTAATGAGATCGCGACCTCTGGATCTGGTCCGTGACCGGCGTTCGTCATCGCTGTAATAGAGGTAGTCGCTTGGATAATGACGCTCACGGCCACGGCCTCGTCGTCGTTTTGAATCGTAATCGGTCATGATGTTAGAATATTTAGGATTGTGTTCTCCAAGGCGAAATGCTAGAACGGAATTATTAGACGCTGTTACGATTTACTTTAAGAGGCCTTGGGGTAGCGGTGCTGTCCCACATAAACACACGTTCGACGTAACACTCAAGATACGGGATCATCCATGACCGATAGCGTCGTTCCTATCTTCTATTCGCCTGTGTCTGCGAGGCGGAATCCTGGATGCAGATCCTGGCAGACACATCATTGAGGCTACATCACCAGGTGGCAAGTGAAGCAAGGACGCACACTCTGGTGACATAATAGTGAGATTCGGGCAGGGTCCCCTTTTCATAGCTCCACAGGAAGGGGACAGGAATCATGTTCTCTCGGAAGCGACAGCGGTCCATGGCCTAATGAACGCCCTGTGCCATGGTCACCGGTCTTCATTCGAATGAAAGTACAATATATATATCCCTTTGACCATGGTAAGGCTACACTTACGCTAGTAACAGGGATTCAAACCAACGAAAAGGAGAGTAAGACGAGGTACAAGAGGTCCCACCTATTTTATGAGGCGCTAGAAGTCGCGGCTGTTAGAGATCTACATCGAGATACACAACCCTCTGCATAGCCACCTAGCCTTATGAAGTCAATCAGCCTACCGCTGACCTCCCGGGCCTCTATCTCCCGAGTGCGTGAAGACCTCCGGTCCGGTCACGATGAGGGGATATAGCCAATGAAAATGCGTCAAATTAAAGGTACATAATTCCTGCGCTAAATTATGTGGTGATAGAAGTCCCAACAATGCTGCTCACTACAAATCGATACATCGCAAATACGGCAGCCCCTTCTGTAAGAGGGTTTTAATCCTGACTTTTTATTCGTAGCTGCCCTTGCTGACATCCCTGATAGGTTGGGCAGTCTGATTTGACCTTACGGTTGACATGATTGACCTCGCGATTGGTGTGTTCTCTCTGTAATTCGGGCTTGTGTAGGTCACGCTCGTCTCCTGCTCGGTAGTGCTTCCTTGCCTGACTGTCATGACCGTAGGTGTTGAATAATTCGTTGTAAATGCACTCTCGCCACTCCCTTTGATTCGTATATCTCTTCCAATTTGGCTGTGGCCCATGAAGTTGAGCAATATAGCTATTAACGAGGGCCACATCAAGAAGGAAGGTCCAGCAAAGTGCCTGCCAAGCACCCCGGCGTAGGGGATGATCGTATGCATAATATAACCTCAATTGGTCACCACGGTCAACGTGATTCATCTCTTCGTTATAAGCAGCAGCCACTGTCGGGATATTTATCATCTTATTAGCTTCATCACCAAAAAAGCGGCGTATTGGCTTGGCTTCTGACTTTCCTGACGATGGCTTCTTCCTCTGTCGCATGACACGCTCATCGTCGGCGCCGGTAACTACGGTAGCCAAGAATAATACAAGCCTGTTGTCTTTCCAAGCGATTCGGTTGACCTAGGGATACGGCACGAAGACGAATTACTAGGGGTTTCTCATTGAAAGGTGCCTGAAGTCAGTACCTGATTGTCAGGGGTCGGTATCGCCTTGACCGTATTAAATTCGTACATTTTCTTGACCTTGCTGTCATTGTTCTTATCCCGGACTAATTCCTCATAGATGCCGCTGTTCGTACGAGCCGTGCCTGTGGCCCCGTGGCCGTGGCTGCGAAGGCTGCGGAAGAGATTTGACGACGAGAAAAGGTTATCCACAAATACGTGATATGTCGCTTTTGGCAGCATATTTGTAAGGGCAATGACGACGGCCTGGGTCGAATGCATAGTGATAGGCTTGTCTTCTGTATCAGAGACCTTCCCTGCAGCCGTGGCCGAGACCTTTCTTCACTTGCTTGGCCGACCTTGTGATGATGACTTTTGTGTTGAAATTTCAACGCCAACGGCGCCGTGCGGTGCCTCCTTGATGTGCCATAGCCACCGAATAAAGAAGCCCTGTTGGGCGATAGCCCATATCTTGAAGCCTACGGGGTCAGGCTTGCCTTTGATAACCGTTATCTCGTAGCTTTTGCCTGTGAAGCGGACCATACACTCATCGACGGCGAGGTGAGACCCGGGGAGGAATATCTGCATGGATACGGCTTGTATGTGCTCAGACCACTCTTCAACCCCTTAAGCAGATGCCCAAGCGCTACATGACTTTCAACAGTATCAAGAGAATGGACGAAAGAAGAGATGATGGCGTATTTGGATGGGAGCAAAGTGGAGGATGGACGCATTGTGGCCCAAGTCGTTCATGAGATGGGAGACAATTCGCTGGCAAACAAGAGAAGAGGTGTGAAAGACATCTGGAAGAGCGTTGAAAGAGATAGCAAGAAGTAGCAAGCCATGCGTTCGACTGCTGGCTCGGTAGTTCAGTGTATTGTCGTCAAACCGTAGCCGATTATACTTACAGTTGTGTGAGAATAAGCCCACCAATGCTGTGGGTGGTTGTTATTGTTCAAGTCGGGTATAGTGTAGAGAGTGAAGGTCAAGGCCTTGCAAATGTTGTAAAGGACCAGACATAGCAGACGCTGGCCCCGGCAAGTCCAAAAACAACATCTTGCACCGTGTGGCTGAGAGACGGCCGCATCAAGCGCGGGCTGTAGCGTTTAGGGTAGCATCTAACCCCCCGTCCCCTGCGTGAGATCGTGTAATCAGGGATCATAGCGCATCAGACCAAGCTCTGTGGCCCCGCGAGAAGCGACTTGTCATATGTTAGCGTGGTGATCAGACTTGCATGCACTCCACCGACTGCCAACCGTTGAGGGGATCGAGGGTCAACAAATCCAAAGAGGCAAGCCGGGGAGACGACTGCTGATAACGCCTTTGTTTTCGAAAGTGGAGAAGACAAGGGAGACCGAGACGAATTACACACACATTGAGAACTTCCCCGCCCTGCTTCCAGCTTGTACTACGCAAATCACTCTCACAGACGCCACGGAGATACGAAAGAGGGGTCCGAGGCACATTTGTGTGACACTCCCAAGTCGCCCTCGTCACACCCTGGCTTGACGCTTATCACATGTTGATACATCATACGAGCCGCCTCCCGAGGGTTTGGGTTGGTTAACCGCCTCTAGGAAGCTGGCCAACCCACAAGACCAGGTTCTTGATCGCATGAGAGATGGAGGCAGGAACCCTGAAAAGGGGATCGAGATGGGAACTCCCCATGGCACGGACCTGAAGGTAGGGAAGGAAAAGAAATTAACATTCTGTAGGGCAAGCCTGTTGCCCCCCTGAAATCACCCCCCGAAAGGATCTCCACAATGGTGTCTTGCCATCTTTCTCTTCTAGCCCCGTTTTAATCCAGCCATTATTCTTACTCGCGTCGCACACCCTGCTACGGCTGCAGATACGAGGCCTCTCGCTGAGGCCTCTCGCTGAGGCTTCTCGTTTAACGCCTGTACATATTGCTGGGACTCATTGACGAGATAGTTCTGGATGAGGGCACAGTTACACCCCGATTGCTGTAGAAGTTGCATCTTGAGCTCGTATACCTCGAGGGTCAAGTCGGCCACGCAGGTGGACAGGTCACGGTGGATGCGCTCTTTGTCCTGCTCACTAGACTTGAGTCTCAGCAAGGCTTCGCTCTTCTTGACCCGGAGCTTGTTGGATGCGATTCGGTTCCGTTCCTGGATCACCTTGATGCGCCTGTCGCGCTGTTGGGCTAAATGAGCGCCGTTGCCGCTGGGATTGCTCTTGCGGCGAACAGTTGAATGTTTCACCTTCTTCTCTTTCTGTGGATTGATGCCTTCGTCACCCGATGAACTTCGTCTAGCGGCACTGCGAGGCGGAAGCTTATTAGAGTCGCGCTTCCGCTTTCGACTCGGTTTCTTTGGTGTCGAGGGTGGATGCCAGTAGCCCTGAATGGGAGGTAATTCCTCGGAAACCATGTCCTCAGAATTTGAAGATGGAGCGGTGTACTTCGTGACAGGACCGGGGCTACTCAACAGCTCGGTGTAGTCGGTCACAGGGCTGGTGTCATTCCAATGGTCGGTCGAGCTGGTATCAGAGCGATATATAAAGCCATCGAGTAGAGGACCAGTCTGCTGGTAGACGCCGTTTGCCGTGCTGCTCCTGTCTTCAGACAAACCAAGCGAGACTAACTGGTCTATCGACCACCATTGCTCCCATAGAAGAGGTTGGAAGATGTAGGATATCCCAAAGATCGAGTTATCTCCTATGGGATTCGGTTCGCCCATGGCTCTGTCGCCCATGGGATGGAGAGGGATTAAACGGTAGTTTCTGTGCAAGAGGTTAAACTGATGGCCGAAGCAGCGGGAGGAAGAGCTAAAGAGAGGCTTTATCTATCTGAAAGTACCTTGAATAGACCTCTGGCTGTCGTTTTGTGCTAGTGATGGCGGTTTTGGGTTTGGTGGGGTACTGTGTAGTGGAAGCTTGGGATAGAAGAAGATACTGTGCCGACTCTCATAAATCGTTACAAACGAAATGACCCGCACCCTACAATAGAAATAGAAAACAAGACGTGGAGCGACCGATGAGCAAGTTCTTTCAATTGCCCAGACGAACCCGTACACGACGAGCGGCGGGGGGGTGAAGTCGAAGTTGAGGTTGTGAAAGCGCGTACAAGAAGAGCCATGTCTCAATCCTACAGGTACCGTTGAAGCAAGACTAGCAGCAAATTCCCGGGAAAAGGGTGGCTTAGCTCTGGATCCCAGGTTCTTCAATCTGGTATCCTGTTCGGGGGTTATCGCCCGTCACAGCCTGACTTGCCATTTGCCAGGAGGGACGACGCTAGAGGGATGATGGTATCGGAACGGCATCTGGGTCATTGAAACTTGCAAGAGACCGGGCAGACCTGCTATCCATGCGCTCGCGCGGGCAGGCTGAAACGTCACACACCGTTTTCTTACTAGCCCGCGGAGGGGATAGTGAGGGCTGCGGGAGACGACGATTCTGGTAAGGGTTCGAACCATGAATTTTGGAGACCTTGCGAGATTTTTGTTTGGAGGACAACCCCGCCCATTGGACTGCCAAGGTCGGAACATTCTACGTGGCCTCCGATTGAAGAACTGGAATGGAGTAGATGGACGGCGGCTCTGGATGAGCTGGGATGGCTGACGGGGTTTGACATGCAAACATGTCACTGGGATGGAACGGTGACATGGGACAAGTAGCAACAACGATGATGGCCAGGGCATACTTTTTTTGTTTGCTTTACAAAAGTCACGAATTTCCACAATGCTTATCTGGCGGACCAGAATTGGATCTTGTTGAGTTGATTCCCGACAGCTTGTCGACGAGATTTCTGAAGGGCAACGAGTCAGAGACTGTGGATGACGACTTGTCCACCAAAGTCTTCGCAATCAGCCAGTTCCAAATTTTCGGTAATAGTTGTTTTGGTTCTCAAGGGGCCATATGGCCAAGTCACATAACAAACCTTGAACCTACAGTGAGTTAGCTTGATATTCGCGCGAATTCTACCATACCCTTACCAATTGTGGGTCTCGGGAGACACAGTCTTCCGTTTGTATTTGCCAAGACGTACTCTCTAGACGAGAACTATCGGGATACTCTCTTCGGCGAGTGGTGACATATTTCCATGATGACCAGATATCTTCCTCCTTCCAATCGTGAGAAAGGTAGCCGACCTGTCTCCACGGGCCGGGCTTCATAGCACTGTCGTCTTCGGCTTGCCCACAAGTTGAGGTTGAGAATGGGATCACCGTATTGTCGATGAAGCGAAATGGATGTTTTCCTTGGACGATGACACTACCATTCTGGCACACTGTTCGGTCCACACCTCGTCATGCAACGCGCCAAGGGTGAAAAAACACCATGGAGTGACGTCACAGACACAGACTTTTTGCAAGGGCCCTGGATATCAGTGGACGCCAACGCCTCTCGAATTGATCGAGGGATGGCGTTACAGTGCTATCACCTTGCAGGTCGGGCGGAAAGTTTTCTCCGGCCCAAGAGTGTTGATAGATCTACATCGTTGCCGGTGAGCGCAATAGGCTCCCAGGTAGTACAGATTGCCTCTCTTGTTCTCGCGCATTAGAACATCCCTTTGTAGCACCCAACAATGTAACCCGTGCCACTCATTCCTCCATCCCGCTCCATCTGGGTCATCACATGCAATGGCCAATCTCTTTCCTACTTTTCTCGATGCGCACGGTGTTTCTATGGAATACAGGAAAGCTGCCAAATAACTGTCGTTGAAGATTATACTGATGACGCCATTGCTGATGATGACGTCGCCGAGAATGATCTCCTTGCCGTTGGGGCCGAAGGGAATAGCGCCGCTGATGCTTACTACGCGGGCAAGCTTGACGTTTGGGAAACTTGCCTGACAATTAGGGGCGATTACTGCCGCGTTGGCTTTCCTATACTCGGCATTTGCGTGAGCACAACGTTGTGGCGGCGGCCAATGCTTAACCAATGCATGCTAGATAAGTCAGCGGAGTTTGCCGAGCAGTCCTGGGATGCGAATAGTTAGTTACATTGTAGAGGGTAAACTGGTCTTTAGAGTTCTGGTTAGGGCTAAGAATCAGGGCTATCTACTGACATGCCCCGGGGTGAAAACGGATGGGATGATAGACGGGCTATGCCGACAGAAAGGTACAGCGGAATGTGTTGTAACTTTATCACCCACTAGAAGTCTGCTCAGTCAAGCCCCCAGGTATGTCACTGCCTCTCCACAGTGATGTTGGGTGCGCCATCCTTGCGTTGTTGCTCACAGACTAGAGGTAAATAAAAAGTAAGAACTCCATACTGCAAGGCCAAGGCCATTGGGGCCTTCCTTTCCCGTAAGATCAGATAGAAAATCAAGAGCTTTCATCATTGATCCCCATCACAAGACGAGACATCACACCAGGTGGGAGCAAACAAATAGCAGATGAGAAATGTGTGGCTTTTGGGAGATCTCGGTCAAAGTGTTGGAAACGTTATTAGCCTGGCGTGCTGGCCCTATGGGGCTTAATCCTCCCGAGCGTAATAAATTCCATCCTAGCTCAGCATGTCCTGTGCTCCAATAGGGGGCTTTACGGGCCTCGCGGCTCCGCGGACGAAAAATATACATAAATACATACGTACAAAGCCGCGTGTTCAAGTAAGCTGGAAGTAAGTAATATATTTAACGCCACGTGAGCGTAAAGTGCTTCGGCATCCCGTAGGGCAAGTGGGGTGCGAGGGTCTATAGCTTGCTGGATATCTCAAATATCAAGCCTTCCTACTGGAAAACCCGGCAGCCGGGGGGGAACGGTAGGTAATGGCAGCAAAAAGGGCCAAGCATTATTATCCTTTCTCCATTTTGAAGTACTTAATGTGCCAGCCTATCCTAAGATCGTAAATCTCTCCCTAACCCCAGGTCCCTGATCTTGTGGTGTAATAAGTCTTGAGGTTTCCTGCCTTTGCTTCGGAGCTCTTGTAGACTACTAGATGAGTCTAGTTTGGCCGGGGCTAAGGGCTCGGTTGCTGTCGAAGGTTGAAGGCGGTTGCTATTGAGGATCGTTCGTGGGACATGGCCATGCGAGTCTGTGGAGCCCGATAGGCTTTACGTCGGCGTGGATATGGTGTTCGAGGTTGCAAGCTGCGGCTATCAACACCTTCCCATCTTTGTTGGTAGACTGCGCTAAGGAAACTGTTTTCAAGGGGAAGGCGGGTGGCGTAATGAGCTTACAACGGGCGGCGCCAGTCCTGATGGCGTCTCCGGCAGGCGAGAACCATGCACACCCAGCCAGTCACAATCAACGTGCAAGAAAGGTAACCTGACTCATTTTAGCTGTTCTTCTTTGTCACTAATGACTCCAGGAGCCAGTATAAGTCAGGCAAGATCCCGAACTTCTCCCCCAAGTTGACAGTCGCCCACACAAATCACGGCATAGCTAAAATTTCGGAGTTTTGGGCCCCACGTCCCAGATTCACGTGCCGGAACATATGCTCCAAGCCCGGGCACTCCAACCGCCTCGCCACGACGAACCCTTGAGCTCTGGATCGTCAACGGCCTCCCTTCGCTCCAATGGGCCGTAGCAATACTCCACCGCCTTCATGGAATCCGCTGGAGGACCTTGTCTTACCTGAACTATAAGACTGGCGAGAAGAATTGAAAACACCCTTTTTCCTTCCCTGCTGAGAACACGCACGCACATACACCAATGGACCAGCATGTGCTTTGCCAATTTGGGCACGCTCATCTGCCAGGCATGCGGGCGGCGTGTAGGCGAGCAGCTCGTGGGGATGACGCCGTGTTGGGCCATGTGCGGCAAGTTCGTGTCGAAGTTGACAGGCGAGGTGGTTCAAAGCGAGTGTCGTGTTTGCCGCGATGCGAGGGCGGAGAGAGCCGATCTGGCGCGGAGTCTAACCCGGGCGTCTGGAAGTAGTAGAGAGGGAGGGAGGGGCCCGGGGCGGTGATTGTGACGCTGATGATGATCGCCATCGTGCGGTTGGGGGGTTTCCTAGGGACGAATGGCAAAGAAGACGGAGGAGACAAAGATGATGATGGCGACGAGTTGGTGAGTTGTTTGTACTCTTGGAGTTGGTCATGACTGACGACGTCTACAATACAGACATCTCGGATTCTATCTATTATAGCTTGAGAAACGGTCGTGCTCCTTACAAAACCTGGCACCTTGTTCATGGACTCGGCCCCAAAGACATTTCGAGCAGCTCCACGGCCGGGCCATTGACTGGCTGGAAGACTGGCCACGGTTGCAGGGAGTTCCCAGAAGCATGGGGCTGCTCGACGCAGTGGGCCACGACGGCCTGAATTTGGCGTCAGTCTTCATCGGCCAATCTGGACTATTTTTCCTTCTGAAGAAGGAGATCCTACCATTTCGTCGACGTTGGGACATTGAGATGGACGGTCGTGTAGATGTAGGCAATGAGAGCCGCTATTGGCTCTCGGTCAGGCCGTGTGCGTGCTAGTACACAGTTCGTGTAGGACGTTCTCTGGGTTTCAGGCAAAGTTTTCACATATCTCCACCGATTTTCAAGTCGCCCTCAGGTCGCCTGCACGGCCATCGGCGGATCGCAGCTCGTTCTATGAGAAATGACGTTGAACACCCTGGCCAGCCATGAACGGTTGATTGGGCATGGGTGCACCCATGCCATAGGGGTTCATTTGGGGGTTGAAGGGTTCGACCGCCTGAGACATGAAGGCGCTGTGGAGATCTCGCTGTTGCGTAACTGGGCAGTCCTTGTGTGCGAGAAGAAGTGTCTTCAAGTTGACCACTTCTGCTCTCAGCTGCGTGATCTGCGAAGTCAGAGTATCGTTCTCGGTGTTGAACATCTTCACGTTGGTCTGTAGGTTGGCAAGCCACTGCTTTTTTTTCTTTTACGGCACTTCAGGGCAGCAACACTGTGAAATGTCAGTAACCATAGTTCAACATAGATATAGATTTTCGAGTAAAACATACCGGTTTCGTTCAAGGAAGTTCTTGCGTTTCTCCTCATCCGTCGTCATGGTTTTGGACCCGTTTTCATCATAATTCATGTTAGACTCGTCGTCAGATATATCCATGTCTTCAGCCATAGCGACTGCTCCGCTATTGGCCTTGGACTTCTTGTTCGGTGGTGCTTTTGCGGGAGCCTTATCGGCCTTTCTTCGACTATTTGTGGTGGGCGGGTTCTTCTTGCCCTTGCCTCGTGGATTGGGTCGGGCCTGGTCACTGTCGTCCAAGGCGACACTACCTTCGCTCACACCGCGAACGGAACCGATCGAGCCACCATTGGCTCTCGACATCTGCGACGAGGTGTTCATATTCCGGGGCACAACGGGGGATGGGTGTGCATGGCTAGTTGCGCCCGAAGTGACAGCAAACTGGTTCGTCGATTGGGCCTCGTTCCTGCCTTGGGCAAGCATGAAAAGGCCGTTGGAGGCGTCGTTGGCGTGAGGGTCAAAGGGACCGGACACGGGCTTCGTCTCGGAGTTGACTACCACGGGGCCGTTGGGGATCCCTTGGGGTTGAGATGTGACCGATTGCTGTTGCTGTGGTGGAGCCTGTTGGGATTGTCCGGACTGTCGCTGAACACCGTTTGTTTGCTCTCTCCTGGCAGCTACGCTCATAGCAGTGCGATGGAAATCGATGGTGCTAGGCGTCGTCCCTCCACTGGCAAGGTGGGCAAAGAGGGCTTGGGAGTTGGGACTGGGCGCAGGGAACATAGACCCGCTGCCCGGAGTCAGGCCCGCCCTCAAGGAAGATTCGTTGGGCGTAGGAAAACCGCCGCGCAGATGATACGTATCACCAAAGTAGTCATTGGCAGGACCAGAAAGCATGGCTGGGCTCAGAGGGCCAGTCTGCAGCAAAACTCCACCCCAGTTGAATGGTGTTGCTTTAGGGCCGGGGAAGAGGGACGAGGGGGACGTCAAGGCGGCGACCGACGGCAGCTTAGTGCCTCCTAGTGTTTCTGGGGCGCCCCCGAAGGACTGCTCGAAGGGATTGGGCTCCAGACTGAGATCCGCCGACCGTGGCCGCGAAGTAGTCAGCAGTGTCGGTACCTTGTTGTTGACCGGGCCGAGGAGGAGGCGCAAGCGGTTTGGCGGCTTCGGCAGTGGACGCGGCTTCTGGTTTCACGGGCGGCTCGGCATTTGCGTCGATCGGGCATCTACGAGAGTAGGACGGACGGTGACGACGATATTGACGGAGAGAGGCGACGAGGACGGAGGTACAGGACAGGAATGGAGACGAGACGGCAACGCTAGGTGGATGGGGATGACGGGAAGCGATGACGATGATGCGCCATGGCGGAGAAACCAAGACGGGAGGATGGGGTGGAGGGGGTTGGAGGCTCATCTGGTCGAGGGGAGATTTCTTTGACTGCTTTGACTCACCTCTAGTTGAGGAGGCGTCGGATGTTGAAGTCCTCATGGTGACAATGTTGTATTATCCCTTTTAAATGCCCTAAGGCAACAGATAGGCTTAATTACCCACAGAGGGCGGGAGATCAGCGGTACGCCGGTTGACTTTAAAAATCTGTTTAGCTATATGGAGGGTTATGTACTGTGATGTAGATCGACATCAGCGGTGACTTCTGACACCAGATAAAATAGGTGGGATGCTATGTACCTCAGAATTCTCGCTTTGTGGTTGGTTTGAATCCCTGCTACTAGCGCAAGTGTTGCCTTGGGGCACTTAAAGGGATAGCTAGGGCGCAAGGTTGTGGTAGTTAGTTGAGTGGGGGTGGGAGTACGAAACGAGGACGGAGAGAGACAGGGGCGATTGCAGCACAGCACACCAGCGAAGTGCAGTCCTGGGAGCGAAGAGAAAGCAACGCGCGCTGCAGCGACCAGACGGAAAAAAAAAAAAAAAAGAGATAGACGGCCGAACCAGTGGAGTGCAGCTGGCGTGGGAAACCATGATCGCGTCGAGGTGTCGAAGGGTACAAACCGGCGTACAGCGCGCGGTCGGTGCTGTCAACGGCATCGTCCGATTTCCCCAACCCAACTCCAACTGGTTTGTCGCGACGACGATCATTGCGGCGGGTTGCTGGCCCGCCCCCGCTTTGCGTGTGTGCTACTGTGCATCTTGCATCAGCCGGCCAGGCTCGGAACGAGAAATCAAATCGTAGTCACAGCACGGTTCCCCAATCTTTTGGCGCCGCTCTCTCGTCCCTCAAGCGCTTTGACCTTGGTGGTCGGATTCATGATGCTGTCACTATTGCGACGGGTATAGGTCTCGGAGCCGAAATACAGTGCGTGAAAGCGCCTGCAAGTCCAAGGTTACTACCCTTTAACGCCATCCACCGTCATACCTCATACCGGACACCCCCACACATCTCACCCGCATCATCACATTGAGAGAAACTCAGCCCTCATAACCGCAGTTCCTAGTATTTCGACTTCAAATTTCATCATTTCATATCAAGAAACAGATCGCGAGTATACTCTACGCACAGTTGAAGAGGATCCAGATTTAATTGGTCTCCGCCCCTCAGCGCGCCTCTATGGAGTTCCACCCAAGACATGGAGGGATCGCCGCAATGGCTCCCAAAGTAGTCGTGTTGCAAATGAAAAGAACCAAAAGCTGACTGAAGGAAAAGTCTCCGACTATTGAGGAGAGCTTTTTAATCAATTCGTGTTTTAATTTTGTAATTTTAAGCAAAATTGGCTGATAAATAAACGTGGCTGATGATGACGGGCTGGTTTGGGGTTGGGGGATTTGTCCGACGTGACAGTGGATGGCGTCATTTTGCCGTTCACGACGAGTCCTCTATCACAACGTGATGATGGTATATGAGTCCTTCGCGGCCACCTCCTCACTAGCTTGTCGATCATAATATACCATGAATCCCTGCGCGTATCATTATCAATACCGAGTCGTAATTTAATGCGCTCATCCCATGCCTCACTGTAGATAGCTGAGATACGTCGCCACAGCTCGATCCGATGTAGTTTGCGCAGAGCAGGGATCATAAACCAGCTCTTCCTACTGGTGGTGTTGTCTAATCTATTATCCGATCTCGATGTAGGATTACCTTTCGAACGGAAGCCATTTTTGGAGGCGATGTCGCCAGGGCGTCTTGTCTGAGCTGCCGACTGATCTGACCGGTTTGATGTATCACCACCAGCACGTCGTGCAGGACGAGATTGAACCGTTCATAGAGGTCATCGCCAGTGACGTCCTTAGCAGCATCAAGTGCGGCTTGAAGTGCCCCTTTAGATGATGCGGGATGCCGCGGAGAATTCTCTCCTTCCTAAAGTCAACACCTGTCCTGACCACCAAGCATTTGAGGGTACGGCATATCCGTACCACCGCCTCCCCTGATTAAGCTTTCTTCACGATCACGCCTCGGAACACCCCGCCGCCATATGACAAAGTTGGGCCGCAACTTGATAACCTGCATGTGAGCAAACATGATATGACCGGTCACATAACACTGGCAGGTGACGTCGACTTTGGAGTATCATTCCCCAAAGCGACTAAAAATGCCAAAGCAATAAGCCCCAAGTATCAAACCCCAAACCCCGCGAAAGCCGGAATGGGATGTCTCTCGCATCGTTCAAGCCTTAACCGCATTTTTGCCAAGATATCAAAGATGGACATGCACGCATGACGTCCTACATCATCGAATAAGACTACGGTGCGCCGTGTTCTCATTGGCTAGGATCTCTTTGCCGGCCTCAGCAGCAAACCTACGTCAACCGCAGGGGTTTACATCTATCCACCAAAAGTAGATGCACCATCTACTATTAATAGAAAGTTGTGCTCTCTACCATTTCTACCCTGCCTGGTGTCAAGCTTCTATCCTCTCTATCACGGCCTCATCAACGTAGATTCAAGTGGGTAGATTGTCAAGAAATCACCGATTTATATATACATCACACGCCTAGTAGTATGGCAGGCAAATTAGATACTGAAAATTTAGTAATGCGAGCAATTTCGTTAGGCACTCTATGTAGATTGTCACATCTATCTTGCTAGTAGACTAATAGATCAGCAGCTACTAATAATATTACTTAATAATGTAAATATAAATAAGAAAGAGCGATCTATATAAGTTATAAAGATATGCATCTTAAATAAAGTAATATAACTATAAAGTATCCGGCAGATTCGGCGCTGACTCATCAGATGATTCCGATGGATCTTCTCTCAACGTTTCCTTTTCGACTTCATCAGCTCTACCAGGTCGGCGTCTCTTTCCGCGGAGGAGGTACGGTGATCGGCCGACGCCCTCGTAAGTGGTGGGTTCGTAAGCGGGTGAGCTGCCTGACGCCCGTCTTTCGCTTTCTGGAATTGACCGGTGAGTCGTTTCAAAGTCTTCTGCCCACTTGCTCAAGTCAAGTGTAGCCTGTCGACGCTCCTCCTGTCCGTGTATCCGCCGTTCTCCTAGTAGGCCGAGGGTCATGAGGCTGAAAGCTAGATACTGACCCACAGCCGTACAGACGTGGAAGTGATTTGGATGGGCGGACACCTCGGGGCCGGGTTCTGCTAGGTGGTAACACAACGTTTTCGGTTCCTCCCAGTCGACCCTGAGAAACACGATCGCTTCGCCAGTGGTCAGAAGACCATACTCAAGGCCTCCCTCCATCATGTAAAGGTAGGTCTGCGTGACGGCAGACGCTATCAGCCTTTCCGCGTGATACTGGAAAAGCGCGTCCGGGTCCATAGAAGTGGGAATAGTTTTTTGATTGACAACGTCCTTGGGAATGTTCATAGCCCGCAGACCGAGACGAAGATGCGGAGCGGTCAGCTTGTGGGGAAGTTTATATTCAGAAACCTAGATCATGGTACGGGTCGTCGCGAGTGCATCGTTGGATCGATAGACGCAGATTTGATCGGGTCGCAGCTGGCTGAGGTCTCGTGTGCGGTCTGGCGTCTGTGGTGGTGTCGAAGGAGTCTCCCGGACAATGACTTCTTCAGCGACGTCGCTGATAGCATAGGGTGGATTCTCGATAATGATGCCATTTCCTATGTCGAATGCACAGCTGACCTCCTCCACCTGCTTGAGCTGCTCTATTATCGCTCTGACTGGGTCCTCCACACTGCTGTGCAGGAAATGCTCGAGTGTCTTTTCGTTTGCTATCGATCGCTGGAAAATCCTGTTTCCCAAGCCGGCCAGGAAACTTCGGCTCCCGAAAACGCGGCTCTGGGCAGGGAACGTGTCGTAGAGTGCACCAAGTATGACTCTCTGTTGTTCTAGGAAGTCTGACCATGGCCTGAGATGTGTTGGGCACCGCTTGTTACGCGGATTGGTGAGAGGGCCCATCGAGGTCAGGCTTTTGTCTGTTTCGACAGCAAATTTGGAGAAGACCCAAAAAGAAGCCTAGCCAGCGCCGGTGAGTACGGTCGCACATTACCACATGGGTGACAAAACCATGTACGAAAATGACTGGAGCTATTTCGCACATAGGCTTTCGGCGTTTTTATATGGGGCTACAGTATTGATATGACAGCGCACTGTTTTCAATGTAGCAGAGCTGATGCCATACCAAGCGGTGCTGATGCCATTCCATCGGCACCGAAGCTCCGATAATGCCGGTTCAGAGGGGTCGGGATATTGCAGCTGGAAGCATTGGAAGGAGGTATGAACTCCGACCTCTACCACGATCTCGAACCCTGGTCTGCGTCTCGCACAATGCCGAGGCCCCGTAAGGACTTGGAGCGCGTCAAGGACTGGATCCTCGAGCAGCGGCGAGAAGGACTATCCATTGACACTATATGTGCCCATCTCCGCGACGATGGGCACGTACTCGACGTCAGAACCCTGAAAAGGAGGTTAGCGGAATGGGGTGCCCAGGAGTACTCCCCCCTTCACTCAAAGATTGATACCAACACCTTCGTCGAGCTGATCAAAGGCTACTTCTACCGATACGGATATAGCGACACTTCCATCGTCCGTGATCTCAAGCGACGCGGCATCGAGATCTCCGAGCGGACTGTACAGGAGTACCGTCTGAAGCATGGCATGAAGCGGCGCTTCCGAGATCTGGCTGAACGACAGGAGGCTATTCAAAAAGCAAGAGAGTTCCTCTTCCAAGACGACCGTCAGTCTTCAAGCATCAGAGGATTTGGCAGGGGGTATCTATACCACTACGTCCGCATCCGTGCCGGCGTCCTTGTCGGCCAGAATACCTTATATCGCGAGTACCAAACGAACCCAGAGTGGAAGAAGCGGGCCGAACAAAGACGCCTTGCTGATTGGAAGCACCGGAAGAACTTCCAGGTTCCCGGGCCTAACTTCATGTGGTCTCTCGATGGGTACGAGAAGCTCAAGATCTTCGGCTTCTCTATCTACGCCTGTATCGACACGTACTCGAGAGCCATCATCTGGATATATATCGGCAGGGGGAATACGACTGCGCTGAGTTCACTCAAACAGTTTCTACGGACTGTGTTGTACTCAGGGGTCCGCCCCCTTTTCACCCGCTCGGATCATGGTATCGAGACTCCTCTTTGGGCCGGAGCCCAGGCGATTCTCGCCGACCTTGATCAGACAGAGTTTCGGTATGCCACCGAGGATAACGACCAACGAGTCCACAGGCAGGGAGCGAGACTGAGCTCCTGTCATATCTGGGGCCCAAGCACATCGAACCAACGGATCGAGTCTTGGTGGGAAAAGCTACTCAAAGGTGTCAGTCAGCGCTGGATCGCGTTCTCACACGAGCTGATTGATAGCGGCCTCTTCCAACCAAACCGTCTTGCTCACCAGATCGCGGTGTATGCTCTCTATGGACCCATGATCCGTCAAGAGGTTGCGGACTTCACGGAGATGTGGAACGGCCATCGCATCGGGCCACAGAAGAATAGGGAGCATCTCGTCGCCGGGATCCCGATGGATCTGTATAATACAAGCGAAGTGGAGAACTGGGCAGTCCATCTAGGGCCTGCGGCTCGAGATGGGCTTGCCCAGATGATGGCCGCTGTCGATTCTATCGATATAGACGATCTTCTTGACCCAATAACAACGGACTGGTGTGATCAACAGCTCCGGGATCTTCAGTTCGATGGTCAGCTAGATGGGGAGCTTGATCATAAGCGACCACACCTTGCGATCTACTTACGGCTTAGAGATAAGATTCAGGTTCATCTCGACTGCGGGGCAAGTCCGGTGCTGAGCATCCCAGAGAGTCCAGTTGGAGGGCAAGAGAGATTCGTACGTAAAGAAGTACTCTATCGCACTCAAAAGCTAGCTGACAATGCTTTAGCTTCAGCTCCTCGAGCAGAACTACCTTGAGCCTATTAACAATAGCCTCTCCGGAACTGAGCTACCCGGCGATATTATCAATAGTATGGACGAGCTGATGGGGGACCTGGGTCACCTTGAGCTAGAGTAACTACTATTTCCTCGTCTGTTTACGAGGATGCCGACTACTTGGCCTCCTCGTATCAACTCCTCGGGTTCCAGCAGCGGGACCATGGGCAGTGAAGGCAGGGCCAGCCGAGAGCCCCTTATCCTCTGCCTCTACTGAGAGTGCTGAGCTTATAGAGTCTCGAGCTCGTTTCTGACCCGCGTGGGTCTCGTCCACATCGCTAGTAATAACCTCGATCTGGTCTTCTGCGCTAGCTCTCGAAGGAGGTAGAACTGGGCTCAGAGAGGGGCTCAAGGAGGGCGAGTTGAACTCGCTCCCGATTAACAAGGCTGGCTGTACCTTCACCTCGGCCTTGACTAGCTCTTTCTTGATTCCCTTCTCCTTTTTGAACGGCTTTACAGCTGACCTCGGTGTCTTGATATGACGAGGGGCCGGGACTTGTGGTCGAGGAGGCAATGGCTCATAGAAAACAAGGAAAAGGAGATATCTGCCCTCTGTTTTACTGAAACGAAAAGGGCAGTCCTCGCCGAAAAGCTCTGCGACTGTCTGTCTCTCCCAGTCGAGGTCGCTCAGCTCCGTGATACCCTCTTTAATATGGGCGTTCTGAACGAGTCTCTTGTCGAATTGAAGAACAGAAGAGAGGGCAGGCTTGTCCTTGAACTGAGGGAAGAAGATGCTGTCGAACCAGAAGTGGACAGGTAAAGATGGTTCCTCGTCGACGAAGGGGCGCAAAGCGACCTTCAGCAGCTCTCTAGCCAAAGACCACTGGGGCTCCTCGTCTTCGTCTAGTATTTCCCATGGGTCAGGCCTCGCAAGGAAGACGGTGAGGCGCATTGAGATCTTCCGCCTGCTCTTGTTTTGGCTCTGTTTAGCCACAGCCTCACTGAGTTGCGACGAGCTCGCCCTCATGCCCCTCGCAATCCGACTCTGGGTAAGTTTGGCATCTCGATACACGGCGGAGGGCCGCGATGTTGTGAGGATACGGCCAGGGCCGTCTCCAGAGCCGGTGAAGATTGTCTGTGACGGCGTGGAACGATCAGAGGCTGTTAGGTCGATAGACTGTATAGCGGAGGAGGTGGAAGCTGTCTCAACGTCTCGAAACGGGACTGGCGAACTGTCGAGGATGGAGATACTCGTGGGCCAACGTCTCCCGCAATATGGACACAGATTCGACCCTGGGTAGCTATCGCGGATGAAATCGTGGCTCCGTTGGTACGATTTAGGGGCCACGGTCTTCGGAACATCGGGACATGTCTGCGATAGGACGTGATCGGGCATATCTACGTACAAGACAAGGTCAGTCGCACAATCTCATGATGGATAGACCCAAGCTTACTTAGGGAATGGATGGGGATAGTCCATAACAGCTATAGGTTGGCGATGGGCTGGGTATTGATGCTGGTGTGGATGTGTGAGTGGAAGAATTGTGCCGCGTCACCAGGAATTATCACGACATATTCCCTGGTGGACATGCCATCTAAATGAAGAGATACCTTCCGGATAGTGTGCGGTACTGTAGTCTTGCAAGGGGCCACAAAATTACTAAGTATTTCCACATGGTTGAGGCTTCCCAAAAGGGTTATGTCACCCATGTGGTAATGTGCGACCGTAGGTGAGGGCCATGTCTTAAACCTCCAAACGAAAAAGGCCGCTAGCCGTTTTCTCGTCTCAGAAAACAAAAAAAATAAGCCAACCGCCAGGGTAGACGCGTAATGGGAGAAGAGGAGAAGTAAATAACGGCGCCGTAATTAAAGAGGGGGTCCCATGTATTTCATTCCATAGAACTGTCCTTGCGTTCCATTGAGAGATCATTCTCGAACATATTCCCGTTTTGAAACATGTTCCAGGAATAGCCATCTGTAGATGTCTTGGGCCAAGAGACGGGATCCCAGCTCATCATATTCAAGCCATCTTCGTATAGTTCGCTAAAATCATCCTTCTCCATATCCATGTCGACAGCGTAGGGACCAGACGGCGCGGTGCCACCCATCCACTGCTGGTCGTACAAGGCGGGATCAATGATTTCACCGTCTACCAGCAGCTTGTTTGCCTCGGGGGGCAGGTCGGCGGTCAATGCAGATTCATCACAGTTGCCGTTGCAAACAGGGATTGAATCGATAGGCATTACCTGTCCGAAAACCCCTGCCGCCTGCGATCGAGGAGTCGCTGGGAATGATTTGAATTCGTTGGCTAGCCTAGGCGGCGTCAGCTCGACATCCCTCCTCAGCTCAGGCGGCGGCGAGTCTGAAAGTGAGCGGCTCTCGGCGTCAAGGACGGCGCCTTGGGTGTAGCTGATGTCTCGAGCCGCGGAATCAAACAACTTGCTCAGAGAATTCTGGAACGCGCCACGCTGCGGTGGCGAGACCATCAAGATGCTCTGGGTTGACCATCGTCGGGAGAGGATCTGATCGACCTCGGGAAAGCATTGGGCAAAATCGCTATTCACCTCGGTCTCGTGCAGTTGCTGGTCATCGCCTGACGCCAGCTCAGTCGTCGTCAGTGGGCTCTTTGGGTCTTCGCCCTCCTGTGAGTCCGCAATGACAGACGACTGCCGCTGATGCAGTCCTCGGAGCTGGTAGGACCGCGGGAACACGTCGTCCACCTCCTCGTATATCTCTTCTTTCAGGACAATGTCCCTCGACACGCAGAGGGCCTTGCCGGTCCACAGTTTGTGAACCTCGCTGGCCCGACGCGCTGATTGGAGGCGGGCCTCGATGCTGCGGTCGCCTCGCCTTGAGGCGGCGATATAGGCGCGTTCCTGGTTCTGTTCATGCGATCTTATCGTCTGTGAAATCGCGTTAGTTTCCGTGTGGTAAGAAGCCGAGTGATTGACAAGCGAGGACTTCGAAATACCTTTTGTGGGGGGTTGTCGGAGTCCATGGTTGGGTCCATTGGTCTGTAAGCCATTGGCGTAATGCGAGGCCGAGATAACCCAGGTGCGTGATGCCAATGTCGAATTGGATTGAGAGGCCGTCAACACCACGTTGAACAGGCGTTGTTCGTAATCAGAGTGAACGGCAGTATAGTCTAAGGGATAGTGACTGCAAAGCCAAGAATGAGGTGAGTAGCAATCGGAAAAGTCAATGTTTGAAGTTGAAAACGAGCTTCCTATTGAGAACCACCTGTCGGGGAGTGCAAGGTGTCAGTTATGTACGAGGTGGGACACGCAAGACGAAACAAAATGTCAGGTAAGAAATCATGCTTGATACACTCTCAATTGAGAAAACTGGGCCAACAATTGGCTCCGGAGGTGTTCCGTGGGGCAGATGAGGCGAATGATCGTCGGAGTTTGGGAGGGCTTCAGGGTCCTACAAAACGCAACACGTCATTGCTGGTATATTATCACCAGGAATTTGCCCCTCCAGGCCCACCTGCCCTGTAATAGGTGGAACTGCCCGCTTGTCTGTATAAGTCCCTCGCAACACGTCAAGCCTCGCAACTCTGTCCGACTCTCCGACTCTCCGCCTCCCCGCTGCCATCAAAATGCGACTACAAAGCCGCCTCGATCGCCACCAACTCTTCCAATTCAAGTATTTCCACCTTGCCAACCTGCCCCGCCGGACCCTTTCCTCCGCCATCGAGATTTTTGCTTTTCCATTACAAGTTCACATACTTTATCCTCCCAACCGAGTTGCGTCACGTGACAACACGACAGTCTCACGTCATGGTGAAGCAAATAATCAGTTGTCGCACTGAGCGTGCTTAAGGGGTTAAAGTGAATTTGATGAGCAGCAGCAGTTGTGTTGATTGTTTTATCTCTAAGGTGCGGGGTACTCCATCCCACAGATTTTACTTGAAGCACACGGGGCTATGTGTGACAGTTAACTTGAAGCTTTTCAGCGTCGACATCTGGCCAAAACGGCATCGTCATAGAAAACCTTGCCATCACTAGGCAATGGTCAGCCGGAATCATTGCGGCTCCCAGCAGATGCAGCATCTACTATGCTGATTCCGGGAGAGAAGAAGCTTTTGGCCCAAGCCCAGTCACCTGGGCCATCTGATCACACAAGGCAGTCAAGCCCGTGTAATGGGCGCCATAGCTCGAAGCCTGTGGTCGCTGGCGGCCTTTTGGTTCCCACCTGGGCTGGTATGCGACGCTCGCTGATTGGCACATGCGCCGAACGAGGGCGCTGTGTATGACGTACTATACTTTCTATCGTCCGATGCCGTGAAGGTATAATAGAGGTCCAGAGCAGCTGGGAAACGTGATATGCTTTCTTGCTCGTGCCAAGTGAGGATCGCTTCAGATTGGCCGAGACAAGGCTTTTTTTTGTTACGGGTCGCGAAGACGCGGACGCACGAAGTTACAATCTGCACTTGCACTGCACGATAGAGGCGCCAACTGGCCCAATCTACAAGACTATCTTATGTCACAGTCACATCCGCCCCGATGCCTCGGTTTTCGAAGGTAGATCCGACACCGGAGGACGAACCGGAGACAAACGGTACAAGCGGAACAAGAGACGGAGTCCAACATGCCGAGCCTGATGAGCTCACGCGGCTGTTGCTAAACCGATTGGACTCGGACCGTGGTCTGCTGGGACCGGACAACCCGGCCGTCTCGCCTTACAACCTCTGGAGCATCCGGTTCATGAGTTACCTGACTATATTCTTCACCTTCATATCGTTGGTATGGTGGATATTGATGCTGGTGTTGTCATTTGCGACGCCTCCGGGATTCCAGACACGCGGGAGCGGGTTTCTGGCGTTTGGGTACGCGAGCCTGACGCTCGTGAATATGTTGTTGACCCTTCTGTTCTTCAGCGTGCCTGCTAAGCCCGTGAGAGTGTTGGCTGTCTTTATGTCGGTAAGTTTACATCACTCCCAAACCCTCTATGACATCAACGAGTTCTGATGCGGATGATGACTGGCAGGCTATCCTCGTACTCGATATGGTTCTTATCTTGTCTGCCCAGAAGACACGGTACGAAGAGGGTTGGGTCGGGGCCGTGAGCGTCATCTGGGCCTTGCTCATGAGCCTCCGGGCCCTCCTGACAGACCACCTCGTGAAATGGGGCAAGGCCGAAGAGGAAGAACGGTTGACGGGCCGCGCTGAGACGAGGCGAACGCTCCTAGAGTGGACATCCGTGATGCTGTCCACGGTCGGATACGCCATTATGTCCGCTGCTTTGTTCGTCATAACCTTGAACATCATCTTGCGAGCCCTTGATGCCGCTGTAGCGCCCCCGGGAAAGCTGCATTGGGTCGACGGCAACAAGTACAGGGTCCACGTATACTGCAACGGAAACAAGAGCGACAGTGTCCCTACCATGCTCTTTGAGGGAGACGCGAGCACAGTGGAATACGAGTTTTGGAACTTCGCGGACAATGGTATCAAGAACGGTTCTTTCCCGCGATACTGTTTGGTCGATCGGCCTGGTTACGGCTGGTCTGATACTGCGCCGTCACCATCATCAGCTGGATTCATCGTGGATGCGGTTAGCGAGGCGCTGACGAAGGCGGGCGAGAAGGGACCGTGGGTGTTGGCGAGCGGCGGAATTGGGACCATTTACTCGCGCGTTTTCTCGTCTCGCCACGGAGAAGCCGTAAAGGGTCTTCTGTTAGTTGATCCTTTGCACGAGGATTTCCTTGACAACGTCGGTTCACCGGGGCGGGGCTTCATGCTTTGGCTCCGGGGCGTCATCTCCCCGCTCGGCCTCGATCGCATCCCAGGCGCCGTGTTCCGGGGCCGGACCAGCCGAGACCGAGTGTACGGACGGGCGGCTTGGCAGGGCGGCAAGTACATCCTCGCTCAGCTCCAAGAGAACTTGGTGGCCCGATCATTCACTCGGCGGGATGTGGATGGTAGCAGAGGCATTCAGGACAAGGACACACCGCTGGTCGTCATCAGTTCCGGCAAACATAACAAGGCGAGCGGATTGTGGGAGCGTAAGCAGCGCGACCTGACGAAGCTCACTAAGAACCTGAAGCATTGGGACGTTGTGGACGGTGCGCCGCACGAGGTGTGGAGCACGTTTGAGGGACGCGAGAAGATTGAGCAGAGGCTGAAGCAGTTGGTGCATGCGTGAGCGGGAGGGGATATTGAAGGGAGGCGCGTAAACGAGAAGGACGAGGGATGCTGCATGGGCGGAACCAGATCTTGTACATCAGAAAACGGGAATATATGGAAGCGTGTTAATTAGTTTGTGCGCTGGGCGAGTAATAAAATACCAGTATGCAAAGCGAACGAGCTATTACTCTCCATAACAGCGAGGGGTAAGGCATTGAGCAGGCAAATTTCTCCACCGACGGGGTTGACTTGGCGATGTTGGTGACATTCAAGAGTTGGATGTTGTGTTTTGTTTGTGTTACCACCTAAGACAGAGACAGGCCACCTAGAGTTGGACCCCCCCTAGACTTAGAACCAAGTCCGTGCTCGGGCCTCTGATTGGATAGATTAGACCCACTTGTCATTAGGGGGTGTCACGGGCCAGATGAAATCAACTCAAGAGGTAACCTTATCCCTACTAACGACCCCAGTTTCCCAGTCATCAGAAATTGCCAGGGGCAGTCCATCCCAGGGCCATCACTATCCAGGCCTCGCTCTCGTGCAAATCCACAAGCCGACCCGGAAAACTTGCACGCCAGGACGTTAGAAGGTTTAGCAGATGACGCGTCTCCGGAAGGTGCTCAACATAGCAACGCCACCCTTGAGCGCTTCATTCAAGCCCTTCAGGTCGAGGACACTCGAGACGACTCTGACTCTCTTGGGCCATATCGAGTTGCGTATGATCAAGTGTTTCGGATATTCTTCAGCTCCATCTGCGCTTGTATGTCTACAACTATCTTTGGTAATAACGTGTCATACGCTAATCGGACTCTTAACCACAGGTTCACGTCAAGTTGAAGTCGACGAGCCAGAACACACTCATACTCTTCAGGAGGCCGTGCAATACTTGCAGCACTCCCTTCCTCCTTTACCAACACTCTTCGGCGAGCGAGGTTCCTATAATCCCAGCAATTTCTTCCGGGGATGGGAAACTTTTCTCTCCAATCAGCCGACACAGCCTCTTTCCTTCCGCAAGTCACAGGTGGCCCTTACCCCATCAAATCTCTCGATCTCGCGGCAGTGGGATATTGATAGTGTTTGGTTTGGGGCGAAAGGTTTGCAGGCGATCCGGCCACCAAATGACTTCAAGCTCTCGTTTCTTCCCCCTTCAGCCCTCAATCTTTCCACTGATCAGGTCATTCAGCCGCATGGGCTGGATCTATCAAAGACAAGACATATTCTTATCGGCACCTTCAATACGCAGAGCGTTCGTTTCTCCGCCTTCCTGTTCTTCCCCCATGCTGCTCGAGATTCAACATCAGCTACCAGGAATGCCCTCTCACTCGAGCGGCAGAAGGACCTCTACGACTACATCATCATTCCGGCAGCCTTTGAGGCAATATCTGATCCTTCCCGGTAGGAGATACCTCGAACGTATGACATCGCATATGCAAAGTCTCGTTCCTTCCAGGAAAAGCCTGGCAACAACCGATGGAAGCCGGACGACGTGAGAAGAGCTTTCCATCTCCAGTATACAGTCCCGGCGCAAGATCTCTCGCTCTTCTGGCACTTGGTGGTTGAAAAAGCAGACTCATTACAGATTCCAACGCAGCGGGGAGAAATAGTGTCATACTTCAAGAACCCTCGATCTTTCAATCCCACGATCTGAAAAACACATTTGGTCAAAGGACTCTCGAGGAGACCCTGAATTTGTTCCAACAGACCGTCCTTCAGGCTTTTGATCCTATCCATCTGGATGTTCGCTCTTGCTGGCTTGACATTCGGGCTCGCGACCACGTTACCAGTCTTCCGCCCCATGATTCTCTAGGATCAGAGCTTTATACTCTTTTATGGAAGAGTCAATGCCATCATCACCTTCATGAGCAACTCTGCAAAATTACTCCAAAAGCCCGACTCAGTGCCACATATTTCCGCAGCTTTCTCCTTCAACATATCGGGACCTACCAGTGTAAGGCCAAGCGTACTCGAGCCTCGAACCCAGGCCACCCTGACGAACGGAAGCCGGGGATCATTCTTGCCAAGGCTTACAACTGCAATAAGGAGCTCTTTTCGGTCATGTTTAGTGATTATGATTTGTTTGGATCTGGATTCCTCCCGCTCCTCGCTCTTAATGAAGAAATGATCAATGACTTTTCATCAGCAAACCAAGGCCGCATCAGGCACCCACCTCCCGGCTTCAACGTAGCTCCTTGGTAAAGGCGTGGGAGGCAAACAAGCGCCATCTGAGAGCCATTTCCAACACCAAGGCTCCCACAAGCTACGGTATCCGAAGGGAGATGACTTTTCGGCTCGATGCGATCCTCTCGATGTGGTACCGTGGGTATTTCCAGCCCAATCAGAACCCTCACATAGGACAGCGGGTATGGAACTTCTCATTCGTGTCTGAGTTGACAGAACACCATCCTTTTTGGGTAGTGCCAACTCGAGATATCAACGCTCTTATATTCACCCAGGCCGCAAGACTTGTTCTTCCACTGGATCACTTGTTCCAAGAGGCTGCTCTCAATTTTGCGGTTTCCTCACCCTGCCTCATCCTTGCATTCTATACTGCCCAGCTCTTCTGTCGGCTTCTCACATACACCCTCACCAGCGAGCAGCAGTTCCCGCACGACAACTGGATCTGGCTTCCGCGATGGAGGGTACAAAATCGCCGGGCTCACCAGGCCGGATCGTTGCTGGAGCGGCAAGGCCTCGGGGTAGATGTATCCATTCGAAACTCTGGGATGTGTGAAAGGCTTCTAGCGAGTTGATTCAACTAACTAGTCCCTATGCTGTTTACTTTCAAGATGAAGAAAAGAAAGAATGTAAATACAAACTGGGTGCGTGAAGACGCGTTATATCTTCTTTAATATAGAAGATTCGAGAATCAACTCGATGGCGCTGTGGAGAAGAATTCAGGCTTGGCGGCAGAGCCGCCAGCCAAGTGGGCCTGACCCGTTACAGGATGCTCTAGATCCCCCAAGAATGCATGGACTGGTATGGCGAACATATTGCACTATACACCCTAATCCAGCTCTACATACCTCGGAATCCCTTCCAGCGAGGCCTCCTCTCTCAGATGAATGTCCAGTGCCTTACCGCATCCAAAGTCACGATCGAGCTCTCATTGAGGCAATTACTTCAGCAGGCTCGGTTAGAATTCGATCACGGCCGTCGCCACAAGGCGGACCGGCTCGTTGAGAGCATCGTTTGCTTAGTCACTGAAGAGGTCGCCCGAGCATACCATCAACATATGCTTTCCAAGTTACAGCTGTACTGGGGACGGCTTCGCACCCAAGTAGGATACAATATTCTGCCCCGGCTTCTTAAGCGTCTGCAGCAAGCCCAGGAAGAGTCAGCAATGCAGGTTGGCCGTATCGTTACCGCTCAGACGATATGAAGGTTTATGATGAGGCTTGGACTGCTTACATTAGAACTCAGCCTACCACTCAGTCCGAAGCAGGGCTCCTAATAGTGCAGACCATTTAGACTATTAGTGCAGACTGCAGATCAGGGCAGGGAATACGGACGCCCGGTGTGGACGCTAAGTACGCTAGGTTGTTGGCATGGTGTTACAAAACCAGGGTACCCATGATTGTTGCTGTGCCAACCACTTTGTTTTGGATATTTCTGATCAATTCACTGGTGCGATCCGGATCAACAAGGCTCGTTTCAAGGGGCGCATCATCCTAGTCGTCAATCCACGAACGCCCGTCGTGGATTGATTATTGATCTTGGATTGTAGTCTGCACTAATAGTGTAAATGGTCTGCACTATTAGGAGCCCTGGTCCGAAGAGATGCCATCAGATCTACCTTGCTGGATGGCGACCCAAAAAAATTTGCCACCAGAAGATGGCTGGTCCAGTTTTGATTTCCAGCGCCTCTTTCAATGTACGGATACTCCATCTTGGAATCGCCTCCACTTCCTTGAACTTTACCGGAAGTTTAAATGATTCTGGGAAATGATTCAGGATTACGCGGGTTCATTTGACCACCGATTCAGTCGCATCATTGGCAACTTCATTTTGGTGACATTCAACAGCGACCATACCAAGGAAGTCGGTACTAATCGCAAGCCTGCACCCTGGTATGTTCACCAGGTAACCTTCTTCCAGATACAGTACTGGGCGCCATACTTCTCACCACCCGGGAGTGCCTTCAACTCTTCCTGGGACTCGGTTGAGGATTATCAGCATCGGCATCCCGACATCCCGCCAGGTACAATCTCGAGTGCTGTGAACGCGGGGGAGTTTCAGCGCCATTCCAGTACATTCGAACATTTATGGCTACGAGTACTCATTCGCCATGATCAGCTACAAGAGGCTAAAGCTAGGGGGAGGAACCGGATTTGCCAACAAGTCATGCAATGCTTAGTAGATCTTGTAGGACCCCCATGGAGCTATGAAGGCGATGTGGCGTTCGTCCTGCCATGGAAATTTTCCAAACCAACGGTGGAAGTCGGACAGCACGAGGATCATTTCCGTGTCCCCATCCTCACAAAGTCGGCCCGGTTCTCGACCAAACCTTGCCAGCCTACGATTTTGTTACCGTCCCGCCATAATGCCATGGCCTTGATCGACGCGATTGAATCTCTTCCTCGACTTAACAGAATGTCCTTCGGCGAGCTGAATGGATCCGTAAGGTACTCCACAATAATGGTCAGCAGTATGCCATACGCAGCCATCTGGAGGCAAAGCAGGGGGCAATAGACTCGGTTACTAGGCCTAGTTCAATGCTCCAGCAGTTTTTGGCCCAGACTGAGCCACCTCAGAGAGAAGTTGAAGTCCATTGATGCTATCAGTGGAAGTTAAATGCATATGGAGAACAGGGTACGGAATGGTAGGGTCAGTGTGTGGTGTCATTATGACTGCAATGCTTCTACCTCAGAAAAGCAGGACGGTAAATACAACTTCAGAAAGCCCTCCGAGCGGCAGACCACGAAGACTCGACCTCTTTGACCCAGGTATCCAGGTTGTCCTCTAGCTCTTCACGAGTCGTGCTCTCAGTTTGGAGGCGGGTCTCGGTCTCTTCCAGCTGAGTCGTGGGCTTGGCAACATTTCCTTGGAGGTGTTCGTTCTCTTTTGTCAATTTGGGTAGCGTCTCTTCGGAAACGAGCATCGAATCGACAGAGGCTTCGAGCAGGGGGTATGGGTCGGGGCATTGGACAGCGAGGTGTAGGCGGAAAGTAACGCCGAGTTTACCGACTTGGAATGATTCGTGATGAGGCCGATAAAGTTTTGGTAGGCTGGGCAGAGATGTGAGTCTTCCATCGAGCGAGGGTCCAGCGGTGTGAGTCGGCAATCTGCGTCTTACCTTTGAGCAAGCCCTTGATCTCGGTTAACTTTGTTGGGTCATCCAGCTTGCGAAAGTCTTGTCTTCTGAGCAAGGTCCTTGCGCTGGACCGTCGAGTCGCGCTGGTACGCCACGATCTCCAATGCCGTGTTGTCGAGGTTCGAGGTTAGGGTGGTGAAATCGAGGTCTGCAGCAGGCGAGTCAGCTCGACTATTCAGGGGACGCATCAGGGCCGCTAAGACTTCGTACTTCTCCATGCCGCAATTGCATGGTGAAACTTGTTGGAGGGCCCGCCAGGCGTCTATGTCGGCGGCGCTGCGGATGAGGATGGAACAGTCGGAGCTGTGGGAACTCCTTCCACGATGTCTGCCATGGTGAATGCGCGTCTCTCTCGTATAATTCGCAAGGTTCCGAATCGACCATCAGTCGAGCTGCAAGCCTCTCGTGGGCAACCAGCAAAGTCGAAGTGGGAGTGCTCTGTGGCAAGCGACTGGGTGAGATGCGGCAGGTTGGCGGACTGAGTGAATGTCAGGAGCTTGAAACTGAAGCTGAGGACGAACGTGTCCAGTTACTTGCTAGGGCAGGCGATGCAAAACCGAGGTAGACTACTCCGTACCGCTTGGATGG